TTTCTCGATCCAACGACGTGCTTCTGCATGGGTTGTCTGTTGTCTTCATTCTCTGCACGTCACTGCCCAGCGTCTGTAGGAGAGTTCATCGCTAGAAGAAGAAGGTTGTAGAAGAAGGTTGTGTGGATATACATTACGGTCTCTGTTGTAAAGCGTATGAAATCGTTCTCTGGTACAGAACGTGCGTCGACCTGGGTCAATCAGCAACTAACTACCTTATACTCGATGTAGTAATCGCATCGGTCCATTCGACATCGGTGGGGCCATTGCCCGATACTCCGTAGTACTGGAATTCCCCTTCGCCTAAAGAGAAGCCTGGCCGGTCCTTCCGCCTCGATGGAAGATGGGCCCGGAGTCAACGTGAGCTAATTATACGCCCCGACCAGCTAAATCTCACAGATTGCTAAGAATACGGAGCAAGGTCAGTTAGTCTTCAAGAGATGAAAAAGCAAATCATCACAGACGCGATCATCAGTGGATGCGAATGGTGGGGACTACACAGCGGGTCCGGGCTAACGCGACGGACATTCGCGGACCACCTCAGCACCCTGCATCGATCACACAGCCGGACACCAATATAGTCCCGGTCTAAAATGGCATCACTGGTCCTCCGGCCCCACGCCAGAAACACTTTTGAAAGCTAAAAACGTCAAGGGCAAAAGGAAAAGAGAGACGAAAAAAAACTAGATTAAAAAGAAGGAAAGGGGGGGGGGCCTGGCTATGCACTCGCCGTTAGCTTCAACCTTCAGCCCTGGGTTCCTTTCGAAAAAGTCTTAGAGGGCCCGGTCTAGCACGGATCCTCTGGACATTCAGGAATCAAAACGGGCGGTTCCCAAGAGTATCCGCGTTAGTGCCGGGGTTGAACGATGGCCATTGGCGAGATATCTAGTATCGAGTCCTTCCTGAATGGCTGCAGGCTGCGATTACGACGACCCGCGGAACTAGCCTGGTTCTGGAAGCACTCGATCAAACTTACGTCGCCCACTCTAAGGGGGGCTGGTGAGACTGATGGTCACCTTGTGTGTACTGGACGGAGGACACAAGGAGCATTGAGTGTTGAATCAGTGGACGAGTCGCTGACTGGGAAGGAGGGTTTGTATGTTCCATAGACAGTTTTTGGCCCGTACCATGGTCCTATATTCTTTCCCCCTCCTTACAAAAAGCAAAGCACTGCTGCTGTGGGCTGCATTGGGCTAAGTAATCGGCATGCTGGGTTACTCATTTGGACCGACTGAGGGTGGGTTCTTGAGCCTCAAAAGCCGACTATCCGTTTCTGGGCGGCTACGAGGGTGGTGCGTTTTACAGCACACCCGCCAGTCCCCGACCTCGACTCCGTACTGCTCGAGAGACACGGTCATCAAGGACCGGGGCTCCGTGAAATGAAAGGGTGGGCCCACGGGGAGATCGCGGAGCAGATAGACATTGACTACCTCGCTTGGGCGGACATTCGTCTTTCTAACTACAAGTATGTAATGCTCGGCCTTACATCATTGTATGGGTCCCTCCTTGTTGGGCTCGGGATATGGGCCGTTCGGCCGGATGCGATGGGGGTTTTCTCCACCAGAGAAAAAAGAGGGGGATTGGCACTGGTACAGACTCCGGAGGAGGTGTAGAATTACTCCGTCCGGAGAGTCGCAGTCTTGTGGAGGGATGGGCCAGCCAAATGTGGACAGCCCAAAAAGAGTTGCCGGTAATGATGAGGCTGGGAGGAGATATGCATAGGTACGGCTCATACTGGATCGGAATGAGACAGAGGGGCTGGATAAGCCTTTTGGTCATCTTCACATGGCCGTGATGTAGCGTGGAGACGAAGAGGGATCTCAAAGGTGTCGTGCGTCAACCGCGTGCAGCAGTCCGTCCTCGCCGGAGAAATAATTCATAAACAGAGACCGAGGAGAGAGAAAACCAATTCGGTTAGCTGGGGGTGGAACTTGGCTGGATGGGCCTTCCTATGGGCTCTCCCAAATTGAGGCCCCCGGGTGGCGCCTCGGCGCTTCTCGAACAGCCCGTCGACTGCAAAGCACACGCCCCACTCACAGGCTCTGCCAAGCCTGCTCCAGCCTTCAGGAGGGGGGCGAACCCGGGTGGAGGCCTGCATCGGTGGTGTCTGGAAGTAATCTATTGGAAGCCCATGAGGAACTCGAGTCAAGCTCCGTCTGCGGGCTGGGGTTTTGCTTTTTTAGACGGTGGTGGATGAAGGAGGGTGGAAAATAGCAGAGACGAGAAGACTGCAAGAGGAGTTAGTAGGAGGAGCAGGAGGAGGGCCGGACTCGAATGGCCCTTTCTCGCTTGCCTTTTTCTATTCCGTGATCGTATGCAGTACGGAATAGGGGGAGTGTCAAAACCCGATCGGTCTCGCTTTATCCCCCCCCCATATCCTCCGTGGCTCGGAAAGCAACAGCAGGCTCTATAGGGCCTGGGTAACGGGTTCATCGATCAGCGCTCCCAAATTGAGGCTGGAAGCAGGAGTCGGATCAAGATCAGGACCGGGGGTGACTAGGACCAGGGTCAGACAGGGTTACACGGATGCTGAATGCTGCCATGAACGCAGGTCGGAGGTGTGATAGGTGATGGGCGCCGTTAGGTTGTTTCGAGTTTATTTAGACGGGGCCGCCGAGCGGGTGGAGTCGTGGCCCATCCACGATCGCAGGAGGGGACGTGGCAACAAGGCGAAGTATTCTACGGATACGCAGTACGGAGTACTGTATACAAGTATACTAACGATTCTACAACGAATTAAGTACACCGGGGTTGTACATCATGTCTTCGTGAGATCGTGTGTAACCCAGTCAGCTTTGCATGACGAGCCCGTCCAATCTGATCCACATCGTAGTTGGCTCGAGTAGCTCTCCTGCCTTTGACATGCTTTTTGTGGAAAATCACTCGGAGGTAGGCTAATGACAGTCTTCCAGACTCCTCCGAACCAGACTCCTCCGAATGGTACCTGAAACGGTCCCTCTGCACGGTTCCGATGCCAACCGGTCTTTCTTAGTCCTCTCTAGTCAGCGGTGACACCGTTTTTCTCTTCCTATTTTTGCCTTTCTCGACTCGTGGACCTGCATGGATGTGGTCTTAATTTTCTTAGTTTCTGGTTCCTGTCTTGTTCATTCTGCCTTTTCCGAGGTCCACCGAGAGCGTTTAATCTCCACGCCGATCACTTCTAGGCTCTGTCGACCCGGAGGAATCCATCGTTATTCTTGAGTTCAATAGCCAGAGATCCCATCTTATAATTCGACTTTTTGTAATTTTCCACGCTATCAAGGAGCATACAGAGTGTCGCTGAGCTAACCGATCAAAGTATATCCCTCACGTTGTGGGTACAAACATTCTACTTCTACCGTATCTTGCTGCCCGCCCAATTGACGATCGGTTCCGGACCGAGAGTTGGGCTCCAAGGACCATAAATCAAAAGGCATGATGAGATTGAACGGAAGTAGTCAAAAATAATGTGTAAATCTTCTTTTCGAAGTCTCCTGTTGAATTTTACTTTCATGTCGGTTCTCATTGCGAATGAAACTCTAGAGGATCATTACATTTTGTTTTCTGCTAATTGGCACTTTCCTCTATAGAGTATGGCGCCCCGCCCAATATTCAGGTGAAATCTGCCGGAACGTCCAGTTCAATCTAAGTTCGATTCCCTCGGGTACGTCACGCCCTTTTCTTTGTGTCGCCTATCTTGTCCGTCCCGCTGGTCCTGCGTCTGCGTTGACTTGCTGCGCCCGCTCGCACCAATCCTAATTACGGAGGGAGAGGAGACCCAACATCAAGGCTAACGCGGACGCTCTGCCTTTGTTTTCCTGGACGTATCACGGTCCCTCCGTAGCATCCGAAGTACGGTTCTTGTCATTAGTTCAGCTATCCAGTGGTACTGTCCCGACCGAATCTGGGTTGAGGGGCAAATGGTTGGTTCGTTCCCTTCGACCCTGTTGCCATGCTTTTGCCCTTCCGCCGTTGGAACCAACTGAGTAGAGAGATCTACAGCGAAGAGACAAAGAACGCGGTCCGATAACTTACTGACTGTCGTTTGCTTCTAGCGGAGACTTTGTCAAGTGCCGTCGCAGACATAATGACCAAGTCTTGAGCACGGAAAGCAAAATCAGCCATACTAGTAGTGCTCTATTGACTTCTTCCGTCCAAGTTTATCTAGAGATGACTCGTTTTCTCCTTCGGCACTCAGGCACCAACATGGCGGGCCCTGTCCCCCAGTTCCCACCGGTCGAGGCTAACAAGCTAAATGGTGGCTTTTCACACGATAGTTTTGAATTTTTCGATTTGGGTTTCTCGTCCTTTCTCGATTGCCTTTCGAGTGTCCCACTTGGCACTCCGTTCTTACTGCCACACCCCGTCCTGCATCCTGCACATCATCATTATCTTCCTCCCTGTCGTCCAACCTGTCGCGCCCATAGCTCGACTGTCATATACATACCGCACTCTCTAGGATAGTCTCGTAGCCGTACCTCTATAATCTCCACCTGTCCAGTTCCATCATCCTGTTCTTCCGCGACTGATCCCCTCCAGCTCGGCTAGGTAGCCGTCGTTGACTTCCTTCTCTTCCTCTCGTTCTCCTCCTCTCTCCACTTGAGGCTCGGATGTTTACTGGACGAGTCACCGACGACTGTAATCTCCCTGCGTCCTGCACTCATCCTGGTCGATATTGCACTACGCTTCCGCTAGCGACCAGCCCATCCTGATACCTAGATCCGTTGGCCAGTGGTCTCTCCTCCGTAAGTTGGCGCTTCTCTGAGTTTCGAATTTCTGTACGGATTATAGGAAAGCCGTTCTGGTCTTTCCCCTCCATAACCTTTTTGTGGGCGTTGATTTTATCGATTTATCATTTTTTTGTTGTAGAAACCATGGCTTTTTCCGGTTCTTGGTGGCTATTCCCCATCGGTATTTTTTTTAGGGATTTTAATTTTACATTTATTTCGTTTTTTTCGGGGGGGTTTCCCCTCCTCTTTGTTTGATAAAAATTTAATTATATCTTTTTTTTAAAAAATGCTCGAGATTATGATTTTTCTTTTCTCGTTTTTGGTTCTTTTGGTCTTCTTGATGCTGAATACATATTCCGTTTTATTCTCCTCCATTTTCCTTATTTTTCCAGTCCGTTCTATCGACCGATCTCACGGACAACTCGCTCATCGTTTAATTCAGCAAATCTCCATTGAAATATAACGGGCATGGGTCTCAACGCAGCTAAATAATCGATCATGACCCTGGACTCTCCACTTGCCTTCACCACGCATCGACCCCTTCTATCGTGCCCCCAAACCCCAGTCGCAACCTACCCCTCCACGCCATTCTGTCCATCCTAGTCCACTATTTCACAGCCTCCGGTTGTGTCGCGCAGCTCGTTCCAGGCTCCCTCTCGGGATCCTCATCCTTTTCACTTCGACCTTATCCGATTGTTATTTGTTTATACTTTCTTATCCCTGGACCGACAGGATCGACTGGACCGAGTCCTAGACCCATATCCCCTTTCACCGTTTCTCGACCCTACCGGTACCTTATTTCTATCCAACCGTACCGGTCTGCGCCTGCTAAACTTCGGGTCTTCCGACGTCTCTCTTCTATCCACGCCTCGGACTGCGCCAAATTTCGGACCTTAAATCCTAGTTCTTTTCTATTTTTCTTGTCCTTCTTCCCCCCCCCCCCCCTGATTCTTGTCCTTGTCCTCCCATCCTTTTATTCTGCATCAAAGCTGGAGATTCTATCCCAGACCACGACGGAGGCCTTTCCTGTGACCGGCATGGTACAGACTGACCTTGGTCCTCTTGCGGTGTCAAAATACAAGGAAGAGCCAGTTGATGATTCAGTGAGTACTCGATCGATTTCCTATCTTTCTGCTTTTTTTTCCACCTTGGATACATGGTGTCTCTTTCAATTCTCGTCGTTGGCCCTCGACTTTCTCTTCGTTACCCTGCAAGCATCCGCGTCATAGATTGAGTTGCAAGATCTTCCTACTACAATATCATTCCGATCCGTTCTTGGATTCCCCTTTCATTGTTTCTCTTTTCTTATATCCGTGGGAGGATCTCATATTGTGCCATGGGCTGCCCTTTTTCCTTCCCCATGAACACACCACTCGAGCCACCAGATTGGTCGTGGAAACACACTCCCGTCTTGTGCGCCGGACAATGACCAAAGACGCCTGTCAAAACGAAGTGCCAACGATCTCGATCTGCCAATTGAGGCGAAGTGTCCTCGTTCTCCTATGGGGGGAATCGACACCCGCCATGAGCCCAGAAATTGCTCGATGCGTCGTGTGCCATTGTCCACGCAGCTAATCCGAGCTAATTCGAAATGCGCCCTGGAAAGCCCACACGCTGTGTCTAGACCCGGCAAAGTCTGTTATTCTTTGTGAGATCCGCATGAAATGGGGTATCCGATACTAGGAAAGAATACCTGCACGATGAGAGCTCATGTCTTCAAAGTCCATCTACCAAGTGCCACCTTTGGCAGGACGAAACCATCAGGCTGGAGTGCTTGGTCCTTCGGAACAAAAAATGAACCACTCGCAGTGACGCGCCCCATTCAGTGCTACGCATATTCGTGACTTTCTTTGGGCCCTGACTAGCTCATCCTGGTCATGATCCTGGGCCATTGGTCACGCACCTAAGCCCATCCCTGCTCGAGGCTTCCTCGGTGGCAAACCTCCCCCCATTCTTACCGTTTCACTACATACTCTCCCGAGGAAGCTGAGGAGCCTCTCCAAAAGTTTTAGGAGTACTCCAAAAATCCCCGTGTTGATGCCGTCACTGGGAAGATCCTGTGTTCTCAAGTTCCCTATTCCCTCTCCCCCCCCCGAATTCATTTTCTTTTCCTTCCCACGTTCTGAGGTGGTTGTACCACCTCTCGCGAACACTTGAACCAAAGTCTCCAGTCATACTGATATGCGTCCCTGTTGTACCAGTTTCGACACGGTAGTTCGGCGCGTCCGAGCCCACACCATTTGCAAACTCTCCAGCAGCCGCGATTAGGTCTTGCGCCTCTTGGAAAACAAAGCCCTATCTCCCCAGCCCATTCTACGACCTCCATTCAATCCTCGACTTACTCTTCACATCATCCACTGGGAAACGGCGTGATACAGTCTCATAGCCCGTACGGAGCACCGCCGCAAGAGTCACCCTACTATACTACCCATCCGACGTCATATACAACCGCCCAAGCTTCAAACCCATATCCTTCAAGTGGTAAGTCAACAAACTTTCTGTGTTTGTGCAGCTGCTTTTCTTTGCACAGTCAAGGACAATGCTAGTGCAATTACTGCATCTTGAACATGATGTTTTCAAAATTTGAAACTCTAGGCGTTGGGTTGGAATCGGCCCATGGACTCGCGACAGAGACGAACACCCAACTAATAGACACAAATAATAGGATCACCAGACCTCATGGCAACCACCGCTCAAATGCAGAGACCTTCTTACCCACCAATCTACCACACACCTCAATCAAACTCGCCAGCATCCGTCGCTTCGCAGCCGCATGATCAGCATGGTCGCAACATGTACACGCACTCCCCCCAAATGCCGCCCCAGATGTACGGCTATCACCCATATTCGCCGATGAATCCGGTGCAACCGTCGCCTTATGCAGCGCATCCTTCCCCTCAATCTCACACCCTCACCTCGCAATCCATGATGATGCCCCCTCAGACGACGACGGCACAGATGTCGCCGCATCAGCCATCACACGCCTCCAATTCCGCGCTATCCAGCAGCCCCGTCATGAAAATGGACCCGACCACCCAGTCCGCATCAGCCCAACGACCCATGCTGAATCAACCCCTCCCATCACCCTCCAACACCGGTCTCCAGGCAGCCGGCGTGCATCAAACGTCTCCGCTGGGAACGAGTTCGAGCGCTGCCCCAGGCCCTATCCCGGCCACCACGCCACTGGTGGTGCGACAGGATAGCAACGGTGTGCAATGGATTGCATTCGAATACTCGCGAGACCGCGTCAAGATGGAGTACACGATCCGCTGCGACGTCGAGTCCGTCAACGTGGACAATCTCAGCCAAGATTTCAAAACGGAGAACTGCGTCTACCCCCGCGCCTGCTGCAACAAAGACCAATACCGTGGTAACCGGCTTGTCTACGAGACCGAGTGCAACACCGTTGGCTGGGCCCTCGCCGAACTGAACCCGTCCCTTCGCGGTAAACGCGGACTCATTCAGCGCGCCGTCGATAGCTGGCGAAACAGCAACCAGGACCCGCGTCTGCGCAGTCGACGTGTCCGCCGCCAGGCCAAGGTCAACTATCGCAAACAGTCGATGGCTCCGCCAACGCCGCATATGACGGCTACCGGTCCCGTGGGGCCCAGTTTGCCTAGTACCTCGACGATGGCTGGGCCTCAGGGTCCGCGGCATAGTATATCTCATCCGGGGCCTATGTCGATGGGCCCGCCGCAGTTGCATCACCATCACGCTCAACCGGATGGTAGCCCTAAGATCGAGGAAGTTAGCGGTATGTTTCCACACATGTGATATGCTTTGATTTTCTGTCAATTTTCTCTCCTTGGTGCGACGCGCGCGGCGGGGTCATTTTCTATGGCTCTTGTATTTTTTCCCCCCCTGTTATTGTCTTCTGTTCTATACCTGGTTGGGATTTGATGGACTGGATGTGTGTGTTGGATGTCGCTGTGTTTTATTTCTCTTGTATGTTTTGGATGAATGTGTACATGTGAGGTGTTTTGCCGTGTGGTGTATGTCAACGATGTCGATGGCTTTCTGTATGAGACGTTGTACGGATGTACGCTCTATTATCAGGCTCTTGGTTTTGGATTCGGTATTTTCTTCTGTTGGTTCTGGCTTCTCGGCCTCTTTGGTTCTCTTCTCTTCTCTTTGGCTTTCTCTGCTCTTTCCATTATATCATACCCTATGCCGCTCTGTTTTATCATCGATGCCGCCGCGCGCCTCTTCATGCGTTTCGTTTCTTCCCTGTCGCAATCGGAGATGCCCACCACCCTCCACAACATGCAAACTTCAAAAGCGTAGGCTAATTTCTTCCCCTGCTTTCATTGTTCTACCCCATAGGCGCCGCAGACTACATCAACCCACCTCAGCGTCCCATTGACTCGACCCGTCTACCACCCGCACCATTCGCCAGTGACATTCGATCCGCCCAAGTCTTCCACGATGCCACCACGATTCCTACGTCCGCCAGCATCGGTCCATCCATGCCACCCCGGCTCCGCGACAGCAGTCTCGGCGCACTCGGTCGCCACCATACCATCGCAACTTCATCCAGCCAGATGGACAGCACGAGCGCGGAGGTCGAAGAAGTCGACGTTAGCCCCAGCAACGAAGACCTCTTCGGCCAACTCCCCGACGGCAAACGGCGCACCTTTATCCTAGTCGAGGATCCGCAGCGCGGAGCCCGCGTCCGCGTCAAGGTCCAGCTGGATAAAGTCAACATGGACGAGATCCCGGATTCGTATCGCATGTCCAACGCCGTCTACCCGCGGACCTACTTCCCCGTGCAGATGAAAGATGCGTCCGGCACGAGCGTCCCGAACAAGCGATTTTTCCATGACGGGACCGAGCACACGGATGATTCCGATGCCACGGTCGGCCGAACGAGTGTTTTGGCACCCTCCCTCGATGGAGAGCGTGAGATCGACGTACCGCAGCTTTCGCGTCGTAGACACCACAAAGAAGTCCTGTTGAACGACCTCGGATACCGACTCAGCTGGAGCCAGAGCCGCGTGTTTGCCGGGCGAACGCTATTTTTGCAGCGATCACGTAAGTGCCACCATCTATTTTCTGTTCCTGGAGCTAGCCATAGCTCTCGTATCGTTCCTCGTGTTCGTGGTGTATGGGCGTGGTGCTGTCATGTCATCTCATACTTGCACGGAGCGAGGACCGTGCATTGACCCCCCACGTGCCGAACGCGGCTGAGACTGTGTCTCACATTGGCGACGTGCAAATGTTCCCGAACGATCGTGCTAACATAGGCGAACCAATCTAGTGGACGCTTACCGAAATAAAATGCGTAGCAGTATGCTGGCTGCGGGCCAGGATGCGACCGAGATTCCGGAGCATTTTGATACTCGACGGGGCAAGAGGAGGTTTTTGGAACGTGGGGAACGGAGGTTAGAGATGGAGACGGGGCCGAGTGCGTCGCAGAGGAGTGCGGAGGAGGTGGAGGCTTGATGACTGAGGATTGAGGATTGATGATTTGATGAACGAGTCTATCTAAGGTATACGGAGTTTATATACTTGGGTTCGGGATGATGTCTATTCTGGTATCTGGATGAGTGATGCCGGTTTGACCATGATCATGATGATGAGAGATGATATTCTGAACTTATGACGAGATGACTGTTTACGTGAGTGATTACTCTCTATGGGTTGACGGTCGTTAAATATTTGTTTCTTGTTGATGGTTTCGTCCTTGTTCTTTATGCACTGGTCACCGATCTGGGGCCCACGTTTGTTTGTTTTCGGCCATGTATGGAGAAGGGATCGACAAACCGACCCCAAAAACAAGAAAGGACGGACGAGCGGGAATGAATTCATGACGGCGCAGGGATTGGCTTTGTATGATGGATTTATTTGGATTGATTCGGGCTTACGAGCCCCGAGTGTGATGCACTTATCGTTGCTTCTCTCATGAGGTTCTTCCAATACATACGGTTATTGCCATGAGCTTGGACTCGGAGCTTTGACCACGGATTCAATATTTGGGATCAGCCAAGTGAAAGGATCGGATGCTTAGGCATCGCGTAGTTCTGATGATTCAGATGATTCAGATGTCTTGTGCAAAGACTATGCTGAGACCGGACCATGGGACAGCAGTGACGGTGTCCCAAGGGTGGCATTCTCAGCCAAAAATAGCTCGGAGACTTACATAAGCGTCAAGGGACTCAGGGACTCGCCAGGGGACCGGCTCCACTCGGGACTCCACGTTGACAGGACCCTTCCGAGAACAGACGGCGATTCTGGAAAACAGGAGCAGGAGACCCGGAGACCAGGAGGGCAGGAGGGCAGGAGAACACATTCTCGCCGTACGTACTCTCAAATACCTATATCCTGAGCCAATCGATGAGGCCTTGATACTAGACCTAATACTGTACTCATTCTCCATATTCTACTACAATAATACACCCGCGAGAACTACTGATCCACTTCCCCCAAACGGTTGTCCCGGCCACGCTTCACTTGCTTGTTGACTGCACCCGTCATCCGCCATCAGCAGCCTCCAAACTTTCCTCCTTTCGGGTCGCCTAACGCCTCTTCCTCTAGTGTTTTCCTTCCTTTTCATTTCTTCTAGAAATACCTTTCTCGTCTGGTTTGGCTTCGAATCAAATCAAATCAACCCGATCTCTCGACCTGATCTACCTGACACACGAACTGCGCCCCTCCAGCGCATCCCAAGTCTCGAAGCCGACCCGCTCCCCTCTCAATCTTGGGAACCGTGAATCTCAGCAAGGCTGCAATGCTTGCACGTTCCTAATTTCTCTCACTTGCTTTCTCTTCCGCTTCCCTTCTCATCCTCTCCCTTCTTCCGGCAAATTCTTCGCGACAAAATATTGTCAACAAAGATACCCTCCCCCCCCACACCCTAAACGGCCGCATTGCAACCCTCGCATCCCGCAGAAACCCTTAAACCCTGATCTTCCCCCCCTTCCCGTCTGGGGTCAGCCGGGCTTTGTTGACCTCCAAATGGACCACGACGACGACAATATCCCCGCACCACCGCCCCATCGCTACGGGCAATCCCTCCGAAACAATTCCTCCGTCACACCCGGCGTAGACAATCTCGGCCCTACCTCAGTCGGCGGCGGTATTAGTGGAATCGCCCTCGGAGTCGCCAACAGCCACGATCGCCTCAGCGGCGTCGACGCAGTCCGCGGCATGGATCAACATGACGGCTTCTCCGGTCCTGCCGAGCGCGGTTATCACACTACCGGCTCGGACAATCCTTATATTCCATCATATACGCCCGGCTTGACTAGTTCGGAGTCCCTGCGACCAGAGCAGTCCTATGGCTCGAATATGCCGCTCGGTGGGGCGGCAGCCTCGCCGGGCTTGCAAACACCGGGACAGTCCTCGATCCATCTGAGCGATGCGAGCTCCCATCGGCGCAGTATGTTGGACCAGTACCCTGGTTCTTACAATGGTGGGATCGTGAGCGATGGACCGTATCAGCGACAGTCGCAGTACAGTACTGGACATGTACCCGCCGATATCAACCCCGACGAGATCGCCGATGACGGCGATGATGAGTTTATGCCTCGATCGCGGAATGCAGCTGCGCCGGCTGCGGGTGCTGCGGCCGGAGCGGCCACCGGGGGTGTTCTTGGTGGACTGTTTAATCGCGGCGGCAATGCGAATCCACATTATGGACCTGTGCCGGGCGGTGGCTTGGAAGCTGGGGGTCAAAGTGCGGCGGCACAGGAAAAGGCCGCAGAGGGTGGGGGTATGTCTGCTCGTAAGAAGCGTGGATTGATCGCGGGTCTCGTTCTCGGCTTGATCGTCCTGGGTGCGATCATCGGTGGTGCTCTGGGTGGAACGCTGGGAACGAAGCACAAGGATGGATCGTCATCGTCGTCGAGTGATAACTCTGCGAACAGCGACACCGCGCAGAATGGAGATCTCAACAAGGATTCCGACGAGATCAAGGCGCTGATGAACAACGCGGACTTGCACAAGGTCTTCCCCGGCATGGACTACACGCCATGGGGGGTTCAGTACCCGCTGTGCTTGAAGTATCCTCCCTCGCAGAACAACGTCACGCGCGATCTGGCCGTGCTCTCTCAACTCACCAACACCGTTCGGCTTTACGGAACGGACTGCAATCAGACCGAGATGACCCTGCATGCGATCAGCCAGCTCGGTTTGACGGATATGAAGGTCTGGCTCGGTGTCTGGATCGATTCCAACTCGACCACCACCGACCGCCAACTCGACCAGCTATACAAGATCCTCGACGATACCAAAGATACGTCCATTTTCAAGGGCGTGATTGTCGGTAACGAAGCGCTGTACCGTGCTGGGAGCGACACGCAGTCTGCGGAAACGAACCTGATCAGCTACATCAAAGGCGTAGCCTCTCAACTGAAGAAGCGCAATCTGAACGACATGGCCGTGGCCACGTCCGACCTCGGCGACAATTGGAATGCCGACCTGGTCGACGCCGTCGACGTGGTCATGTCTAATGTCCACCCCTTCTTTGCGGGTGTCAACGTCGACGTCGCTGCGGCCTGGACCTGGGACTTTTGGCAACAACACGATGTCGTCTTGACCAAGGGGACGACCAAGAAACAAGTCATCTCCGAGGTGGGCTGGCCCAGCGGAGGTGGGAAGGACTGTGGGTCAAGCCCGACCTGCGACTCTGATACCCCAGGCTCGGTAGCAAGTGTCGACAACATGAATACCTTCATGTCCGACTGGGTCTGCCAGGCTCTGGAGAATGGCACGGACTATTTCTGGTAAGCTAGACACCACGATTATTGGTACACGTTCCTATTGCTAACCTCATCTCAGGTTCGAGGCCTTTGATGAGCCCTGGAAGATTCAGTATAACACCGCCGGCAAAGAGTGGGAAGACAAGTGGGGACTCATGGATTCGGCTCGTAAGATCAAGTCGGGTCTCAAGATTCCTGACTGCGGCGGCAAGACTGCCTCGTAGGTTTCTTGTGTCTGAACTTTTGTCTTAACGGGATCACGATCATGAAAAGTACCTCTCACTCTACTCCATCCGTCTGTATATTCGCCTCTTATTCACGTCTATCCTTTCATCTCTTGCTCGATTCCCCTCCCTGCTTCCATCATGACCCCCTTCCATCCTTCCTTCGCCTGCAGCCTCTTGTCATTCCCTCTGCCCTCGTCAGTTCATCCCACCTCCTCCAGTCATACCCGTTCATGCCCGTTGGAGCCTTCATGTATTCTGTGCCTCTAGTGGTATTCCATACCCAGCTGGGCATCTCCAATCCTCATTGTTCCCGTTCCTATTGGGCGTTTTGATGCGCTACCTATTGCGCTTTCTTGGTTCATGAACTCGTATCTTCTTCTCTTTCATCCCCCGCCTGGGATGTTTATTGCATTGGACATTGTTTTTTTGGTGGTGGTTCATAGTTTGTCCGAGTTTATTTTGTTGCGTTGATTGGGCTCTTGAGATGTACATATGGCCATTAATATTGACCACACCTGGCTTTGTTCTGGGTTGTTTCTGGACGCTGGATATACGTAGTTAAGGTTTCTTCTGGTGAATCGATGGGTTGACTTCTCATCCATTGAGTCTAACCGGCTAGGACGAGCCAAATGATTAGATTATCATCCAAGTACGTTCTATATACAAGATCCACTCCATCGGCCTCCAAAAGCCTGAGGAGCTTTGAAAACAAATCCAATGCCTCACTCCCAACTCCACAGTATGCAGACAATTCGACCATCCAATGGTCGTAGCCAAAAGCAATATATACCACAACTCCCTTCACTTCCTATAAACCCTCACTCTTCCTTCCTCCATGATCAAACGTCTATACTCACAGCCCCCTTCCCCTCCCCCTCCCGAAAATAAAGCCTCGTCTTCCAAAACGCATGCTCACAGACCTCAAACGGCACCAAAACCACCGATCCAGTCCTCCCGGTAAACTCTTGAATAACTTCAGACTCTGTATCTTCCAACGGCCCACCAAACACCATACACGGATTGAAGGGCAGTAATTGCTCGAGGTGTTTGCGCTCGGCGCCGGGGCAGAATAGCAGTGTTTGCGCTGTGATCAGGGTGAAGGCTGCTGGGTGGGTGATTATGGTTATATCTAGGGATGAGAGGAGGGCTTTGTCGAGGGTGTTGAAGACAGGGTCTTGTGCGTAGACGTTGATTTTGGTGGATAACGTTTCTGGATGGGATGTTAGGGGTTGTTATACCGGGGGTTTAGGGCTGGGGCTGGGGATGAAATTGGGGAATGAAGAGAGGAGAGGAGAAAAAGAATGCAAAGGGGAGAGCCACGCACTAGATACTCTCTGTGCAATACTCTCCAACGCAGCGAGTTGATACATCGATACACTCCGGCGATCGACCCACCCCCCACGCAGAAATCCACTCGGACTACCGAGGCCAACGCATACGATCGCGTCTACGGGTCCTTTATCCTCGGTCAGTCGTTCGCCCAGCTGGACTTCTAGTCGTTTCCAGGTCTCCGAGGTTCCCCATCGCTCGCGATACCCTTGGTACTGCGTCTGCAGTTCCTCGAGGGTCAATCGCCCCGGTGCTTCCGCCGGACTGAACACGAGCTCGACTTGCCCGTCTGCATCGGTTTCAGATATGCCATGCGCTGGGTGTTGTCCTTGTGCCTGGGAATCAGAGTCCTGCTCCTTGATCCCCGTGCGAGTCCCGCGGAGTACGCGGCGGACGTTGTTGGTGGAGGTGACGTGTGTCCAGCCGTCGTCGTCGGTGACTTGGAGGCGTTTTTGGGTGGCGGTCGCGGTGCGCTTTTTGCGGGACGTATGTGGCATGGTCTCGGAGGGGGCTTTGTTATATATGTATATAGGTATATATAGATGGGAGGAGAAGTAGATGGGACGGTAAAATGAGCTTCTTGGATGGTGGGGTGGATTTCTTTTTTTGAGGGCTTATCGGTTATCGGTTATCGGTAGTGTATTATCTTATCTGTTGATCAGTTCCTCGATAGTTAACGTAATCCACGGCCGATCTGGCCACACGGCCGTCCTGGCCACCTACCCCCATTATAAACCTTCTAAACAAAATTTATCAATAACAACGCATTAATTCATTCTAAACTAGGCGATTTTTACATTGATTAATCTTATGCCCTGTCACTCCGCATCCACTGCATGTAGGAGGAGCCCTCCTAGCCGGTTGAATTGGCTGCTGAGGCAGATCAACCTGTTCATGCGATACTACCCTATCAGCTTCCATAGGCTCAATCTGCTGTTGAACTAGCTGTAGGCCCTCTTCGAATGATAGGCCCTCTTCGTGAGCAATCTGCCTAGTCGATCGAGTGCGCTTTTGACGTTTCTTTTCATTCGCTGCGCGTAGATCAGCGTTCTCCTTTACTAGTAGCGCAGTATGGTGTAGGGCTTTTGCATGACCCTTGATAATTTGATCGAGCATGCGCTTTGACGGTGTAGGCGGGCTATGCGATCGCTGTTTTAGAAGCTCTTTAAGCATAGAAGCTTGCTTTTCTAGCTGAATCGCTGTCTTAGGCGTTTTTGGTGTGAATTGGCTAGATCTGCTGCTTGGTCGGCTTGATGGTGGTGAAGGCGTTCGGATAGAGATATTAAGCTTAGAAAGCACTCTATCAGCATTAACTGGTACGATACTAGTAGCTGCGAAGCTGCTCTAAATAATATTTGGCTGGAAAGCTTCTAGCCGTACACGAGGATAATCTGCTAGAAAATCAAGCTTGTCGATATGATTATAGCCAGTCCGGGCTAAATCGCTCACGAAGCGACCGTACGCGCGTTTAAGCATAGTAAAACACCTAATATCGAGCGGCTGTAGTAGATGTGACGAATGCGAAGGTATACAGAGCGGTATAATATCGTTTTTAGCGCAGATTCGATCGAATTGAGGTGTTAGGTGGCTACTATGCCCGTCAAGGATTAATAGCCGAAATCGCCCTCGTACGCGCGAGTTCGTAAGTGGAATAAATAACTTTTGGAGCCAGCGTAGGCCAATTTTATTAGTTGTCTAGCCGTTATTCGATACCTTAATGCGCGAATTCGGAGGAAAATTTAACGATTTAAACTAACCAGCGATATAGACCTGGCCTTTGAATATGATACACGGCGGTAGTGAATAGCTATTAGCGTATGTCGTTTCGATCGCAGTAACCCATTCACGATTTCCTGGCTGTAAAAGAGGCCGCCGACCGTATAAATCTCTTCGAGTAATAACCTTCTGCGCAGAAATAAGGCCTATTGCGAAACCAGTCTCATCGAAGTTATAAATATCCTCTGGTTGGATACCGTTCTTATTAACTACGCGTTGTACCGTTAAAAACCACTCTCGTATAACCTTTGGATCCTTATTAAGAGCGCGCTGATAATTATATCGTTTAGAATAGCGTGATTGAAGCTTATCGCGTCGATTAACGAACGTTGATGCCCAATTAACGCTAACGGTTAATGGAGGGGTTGTTCCACGCGCTGTAAGAAGGATATTGGCTATCTCTCGAATAGTAGACGGCCTAGGCGCTGCTCCACGCGAATCCATAGAGATTATCCACTCAGTAAGCGAATCTTCTTCGTATTAAGTTAATTTATGGCCTGATGGGCGTTTATTAGCGCGTGAGATTTGGCCATAGGCACGCGTCTGTAAGGTAGAACGCGGTATATCGTATAGCTTTGCTGCTGCGCGAATAGATTTGATGCGGCCATCTTTAATATCGGATAGGGCTAATAGGAATCCTGCCCTCTTGATTGGCCGGGTTATGCGAGGATTCAACACGAATTGGTGGCATAGTAAGGGGCTTGAATTAGGTAGGGTGGTAGGAAGACGCGATTTTGGATGGGGTGGCCAGGACGGCCGTGTGGCCAGATCGGCCGTGGATTACGTTAACTAGACTATTCTTAGTCAGCTATTTGCTGACTTTCATTGGGATAAGACTAAAGATGTTCTAGCAAAGTCATGTGCCAACAGGACGATTATCTTTTGAACGGATAGTAATATGAAGATGAAGCTTATACTTGATTTGATTGAGGACTTATTGAGAGTAATAGTGCAGTCCAGTGAGGATTTTCTGGGCATACAAATCTTCGGGACTCTACGGTCGGTAGAGTTTGTACAGAAATGAATTGCTCCGTCGCCAGTGTAGGCATGGATTCGCCCCTCTTTTGATTAGTAGATTTAGTTTGGTGTCACTGTCTAGGCAAAGTGTTGGAATATTGGAGCTAATGATCGAATCCTTGGCCTATGACCCACTCTATGCTTAAACTACCATCATGGATGGGGGGTGTAGTTCCGTTGAGGTACTTATTCACCTCCACTTCATTACTAGCAACGTCGAAGCAAAGTCAACTTGGTTACTCCTCCATCACACCACAGATACTACCAATCACCGACAACTCCCACTACCAGTGTAAGCGCTGAAGACCACCCCTTCCCCTCGAGACTGCACCATTAGCGTCGCCCCTCGGCGCTTCCAGCTCTGGGCGCCCCACCAATCACATCCCAGAACCCGGTGATGGCACTTGCAGAAGAGCGTGATGATCCCCAATATCCTTGTCCAGCGGTACTCCATTTTACCCCTCTCGTCCACTCATACGCCGTGCAAGCTGCAGTCGCAGTCACATCCGAGTCCCGCATCCTGACTTGTCCGCGCACCCATGGCCGCATCGCACCTTAGGTCGATTGCCCCCTCAAAAAGAGCCCGATCAGCCCTCACCCGCTGTCCGTGGCTTGTGTCTTGGTCGAGCTTCTTTGACAGCTGCGCTGGATTGAATCCCACGCTCCGTCGATTTGTCCTGTCTTGTATACTACAATTAGGAACGAGAGCTGAGCGACGCTGAGCGTCACGATTAGCTTCAACTGGGAGAGATTGCGCCGTTTTTCTCTCGCTCCCAGTTCTTGTCCACAAGGTGCTGAGACTGGCTGCGTATCTGGACCGACAATTCATATCTCAAAATGGCTTTGCAACAATTATCGTCGCGATGGGCTGCTCTGGTCGTCCTGCTGTGGACAGCACTCGCCCGCGCCCACACCGTCATCACCTACCCAGGCTACCGCGGGAACAACCTTCAAACCAACGGGACCGTCGCCGAAGCAAACGGTCTCGGTGTCGCCTACAACTCCAAAAATGACTCCCTATACTATCCCTACGGCATGGAGTGGATTTACCCATGTAAGTCAACTCCCACAGCGACGAGTTTCGACCCCGACTCGAAGCGATGTCTAACATTTACCCCCGCTCTTCAGGTGGTGGCATGCCAACCTCTACGAACCGCACTTACTGGCCCGTCGGTGGCGGCGCCGTCGCTTTGCAGCCTGGCTGGTTCCCGGGCCATGCGACGGCCTTGATATACATCAACATTGGCCTCGGCGAGATTCCCGAGAACATGAGCCACCCAGTCGTGTCGCCCTTCCAGATTACCGGTCCCTCGAATAATCCTTACCCGGGAACTATCTGCCTGCCTCAGGTACCACTGCCCGCCAACATCAGTGTCAAGGCCGGTGATCTGGCTACGATTCAGGTTGTGGAGATTGCCAAGCACGGCGCCGCGTTGTATAACGTACGATCCTGGCCCCTAAGAAATTCCCTTGTTCATTGTTTTTGTGTACTAATATCAGCATGTATAGTGCGTCGACATTATCTTTGCCGATAACGGAGACTCCAAGGTTGCCGAAGTCACTACTGATAACTGCTTCAACTCGAGCGATATCAGCTTCCAGTATGTGTACACGACCTCGGGTATTGGGTCTGGCGCAGCTACGTTGAAGCCTCCACGGCAGATGTGGATTGCAGTCGTACCGTTCCTACTAGCGGCAGCGTTCATGTAGATATTGATTTGTCGATTTCTTGCCGATATGATGCATTTACGTGCGTGCTGCTTTTTGCTTTTGAACATACCCTATCTTCCACTGGAATGATTGCTGCAATAAAATGTTAATGTGATTGATTGAAATGTTTCTTCGTTGTTTGGAGATTGGCATGCTTTGGCCACTGCCGTTCACTATTACCTTAATAGGGCCATTGCGGTGTCTGGGGGCGTTTTGCTTGGAGTATAGTGGTTTATGAAGAACGAAATGAAAAACTTTCATCGTACATCTACCTCGATCAAGAAAATGTATTGCTTCTTGAAGGTCTCTATGGAATCTCATCCCTGCAACTACTGATAACCCGTTCTGTTAGGTGAACAGCGGGCAGGCCAGGATTTACTTCTAATAAATGACGATGGCACCCAAACTCAGGCTCTTGAAGACCGCGTTAGGACTAGCTCCCTAACTTGAGACAGGATACTGATCCACGTTCCTCAGCTTAGTTGTGAGCTGGTGCTCAGCGGCGATTTAAAGTCTGTGCATTTCTACTTGAGGTGAATGTGCACGGTAACAAGACTAATATTGCACATGTCTACGTTGACTTTGATAACTTGCTCCGTACTCTGGCGGCTACAAGTTGCAAAATCACAGCCTGACAGTTTGATACTAGAAGATCTCGCTCGGAACACCCTTCGACCGCCACTGCAGTAGGTCTATGCTAGCCAGATAATCAAAGGCTGGGTCGTCCATAAACGGCCACCTGCCATTTCTTGGGCCAAGTATTCTGCTTCAAAGCGTCGGCAGCAATTCCCGAACTTCGTTTCGACTGGTTTCTGACTTCGGTCAAATCCAGGTGCGCATGAAAATGTACGATCGCTCATTCTTGGCACAGACCTGTTTCCTTGAGCAAAAAATGATAAAGATATCATAGAACAAACTCAATGACAGCGATATATGCAAATCGGTGCAAGTTTCTTTAATTTTTTATACAGCGATGATGGGGACGGTGCCTTTGGGTTCTCCTGGCACGGATCCATGCGGAGGGTGAGATAGTGCAGTCCTCGAAGCAATTGACGCAGTATTTTGCTTCATTCATATCATATTTACGCAAATCACCCTTCGAGCTTAGGATACGCTTCTTATATACTGATATGAAGGATGATAGTAATACCTCGGGGCTCTTGCAGAGCTCTACTATACGATACTAGTAGCTACCCATCCAGCCCTTGTACCAACTCGAGGATGGTTTGCACCACTTCGTTTGGACTTTCTTGAGGTACCCAGTGACCAATTCCATCAAGCAGACGGAGAATGCGGAAATCAGAACAAACTGCACCGCTGGTCATCTTTTCAAGTGCTCCGGGCTCTTGGTAGATACCCCAATCCTGCTTGCCAGAGACGAATGCGCATGGACATTCGATCTTCTTTCCTGCAAAGGTATCATAGTCTCGAGTATATCGGCCGTCTGGAGCCGTGCGCACCCGGTACCAATTCAAGCCTCCTTGGAAACCTGTCCGAACATACTCGCCGGCGTAGACTGCAAGTTCGTCGTCCGGGAGCCACGAGTGGGAGCTCTGTCCCCGTGTTGGCTCATCCTTCATGTCCCTCTCTACGGTCTCTGGCATAGTAGCTTCCAATGGCATAATGTAGTAGCCCGGCATCTGAACAATTTCATCTGCAGTCCAGCTCTTCAGTGGATGCGGCTGATTCCCCGGCCAAGATCCGCTCTTGAGATGGAAATAACCACGCAGAAAGCGGTGCATTTCATCTCGAGATAACGACGACATGTTTGGACTCGCCTGCGGTGTCGAGTAATACCATTTATAGTGCTTGCGGCCATGTTGGGCCAGAGCTTCATGGATCCCCGAAGCAGCCGCAGATCCTTCGGTACCGCCACCTCCTCCCGCAGTAGCCGCACGCTGTTCTTCCACAGTGCCTTCATTGGCAGTGTTGAAAGGCAAGGTCGGGCTACCATTGAAAGGGTGGCTCATGAGCACCACGCTTCGGAAGAAATCCGGTCGTATTAAGGCACACGTCGCGGCCGTCATGGCACCACAGTCATGGCCAGCGACGCACTGTACTGAGCGATAACCCAAAGCATGCACTAAAACCACGATATCGCGCACCAGCTCTGTCATGGAAAAAGTTGTTAGATCCACATCCTCGTAGGCCCGCGCATCCCAGCCCGTCGTTCGGCCGAATCCGCGCTGATCTGGCGCGACTGCGTGAAAGCCCGCGGCTGCGAGCTGGGGGAGGACTCGACGCCATGAATAGGCGATCTCAGGGAACCCGTGCAGAAGGACAATCAACGGCCGGTCGTGGGCGGGAGTGGCGCCAGCCTCGAGAATGTGGAATTTTAGATCGCGCGTCTCGATGAAGCGGCTGCAGACGCCTTCCGGGAGGGGCAGTGGCTGTGACTCCTGTGAGGGAGTAGTGGCATCCAGGGACGACATAGTGGACACTGGACACGGTGGAAAGTGGATTATTGGGATGGGGGCCAATCTTGGAAATAGTTACCGGATTGCTGGGACTGGGTCGTATCGTTAAAGCGTGAAGGGACGGGTAATGATGTAAATGAACTTAAAGAAGACCGATCAAGTGAAAATCCTAGGGCAGGACCAGATAGGATCGGGGGGTCCTTTATGGGACCTGATTCTAGGCCCGAGGAACTATCGATGCCGACCCGCCGCAATTCGGGGGAAAGATCAGCCTGGTTTTCAGGAATACACTCCTAGCCTGCTTAGCCTAGGTCTCTATTCGCTCCTTGTGAACCTAGGTTCCCATGGGGAAATACTCGCCCGTTTAGTGACTAATGAGTCGCTGGTTCACCCGGGAACTGTACCAAGTTCGAGACCCTCGTCATACAGTAGCAGCTTCAAGCTTGACCCTTGCAATGAAAAGTTCATTGAACGTCTTGGAGGAGCTACAACAATATCTTTGAGCTACGCTTTGAGAATACATGAATAAATGACTATCCAATCAACACAGAAGAACATAAGCGTATCAATCCATCCAGGAGTATAGTTCGATGTACTTCGTACTCAGTACCGGCGCCAAGTCGTCACTGAACGGGTACCTGAGGCACTCCAGTCATGACGCAAGTTTCCCTTTTTCCCGCCCAAACTTCAAGCCTCAAGCCCTCCAAGTCTGCTCCTCCGCATGTAACATTCACTTTCTCACTTGCCTTTCTCCCCCTTGGCCTTTCAATCTCTAGTCTTGGGCGCAAAATCAGTCCTCCCTTATCCCTTTCACCCGCCATCCCGTCCTGGCTTCCTCTCGCTCCTTGACCCCGTTCGTTCCGACCGCCTGCGCCCTGCTCGGCCCTTTTTCTCTCGTACTCCCGCTGGATCCTACCTTTCGTTGCTTCGCGTCATCATCTAGGAGCTTTCTATCGTCAATTCGCTGTACCTGCTACCTCGAATCTCATTCCATACACTCGAACTCCGGCGCTGCTCGGCGCAGCTCGGCGCAGTGTCCGGTCCGGTCAGCTATCCGACCTTCGCTCATATCCCGGAAAGTCGGCAGCTTGAGCAATCATGTTCAGCCGTCGCAAAAGAAGTAGAAGCACTTCCCATCGCCAGGTGCGTTTCCAACAGAGATTCACAATCGGATCTATACGTGATGGGATTCATCTGGCGCTTTATGCAATCCGCACCCTTATCCATGAATAACGAAATTACTGCTGCCGGGACAAAGACTGACGAGCCCTGCGTGTTTAATAGCCACTATCCGGACCTGCATCGCAATCCGCACAGTCCGCCGCCAGCCATGCATTCTTAAAATCACAACCCTCCTCCAACAGTCTCTCATCCGCCGCTGCCGCCGCTGCCCTGCGCAATCTCACACCAACCCCAACGCCAGTGGAAAATGTCCAGACGAAACGGATGGTCCAGCGACGGGCCTCGACCCAGTCGCCAACCCACCTCCAGACGGGCCGTCGCTCTGCGAGTGTCAACGGTCCGCTGCGCCGATCAAATAGCTCAAGTTCTATGACGGCAAGGACCTTTCGTGAGCCATCCCCCCATCGCCCCTCCACCAGCTCCGGTCCTGGCGATCGACGGCATGTACCCGTCGATGTGCCCCCGCTACCGTCTCTACCGTCGAAATTTACACCACAGAATGGCCCGGGTCGTCGTGCTGTCAGCATGGAGCCGTCAATGAGATCCCCTCCGGCATCTCCGCGACGGTCCGGTCTGCATACGGGCGTAGACCAAGGGCAGGCTGGTAGCCCGGGCGGCAAGCGGATCGCCAGTTTGGGCACGGTAACAGAGACAGACCGACCGTGTAGCCGAAACTCGGTCAATTTCTCCTATCCGATGGGCTCACGGCCCATCTCGCCGACGTCGCCCGTAGAGAATCGTCCAGTGAGTCTAGATGTGGCTTCGGTTCGCGAGTCGCCCGACGAGGGTTCTGCTATGCAACAATCTGTCTCCGAGAGGTCTGGCAATTTGAAGACTAGGACTCCTGCGGCCGGGAACACGGAAGAGAACCCTACAGCCAAAGCCGCAGGTACTGCAGCTGGTATCGCTTTCGCTGCTGCTGCATTAAGCCAGCAGAAAAATAGCCCTCGCACAGATGCCAGCCATGCAAAGGCGGAGCTAGCAGAGCAGGGGGCACCGACGCCTAGCTCGCAAGAACAGCGGATTGATCGCTCAGCTCCACTTGTAGATAGTGGTTCGAGTAGCGAACAACCGTCTGGCCGACCCGGGCTTGACCGATGGCCCTCCACGGTGCTCGAAGAAAATGAGCCGAAGGAGGAGGGAGACACCAGTGTTTCTACCATTCAATCCACCGGAAAACGATTACCAAGCGCATCCCCAGCAGTCGATCACAGGGAGGCAGTGACTACACCTCAACCGTCTCCTCAGCCATCCCCGAAAGCCTCAAGAGACACCACACCACAGCAAGACGCGCAACTTCGTCAGTCCAGCAGTCCCGGCCGGTCAGCCCGCTTCGCCAAATGGCTTTCTGTGACTGCCGCTGGCGATCAAGTTCACGAGCCCCCACCACGATCTGTATCACCGGTCAAGTCGGCGTTGAAACACCCTCGAGGGAATTCACTGTCTCCAGATCGAAAGGTTAGCATCGGTGGTCGCGTTGTTCAACCACCCAGCGAAATCTCCGATGGGACGTCGGTCGCTTCGGACGAAGGCTCTCGTATTGGTATGAAGAAACGGCCGGTCAAAGTGAGCTTTGATGACGAGGCTGAAGTTGTTGGCGTCGCGGCCAGTCCGCCCACCTCTCCCGAAGAATACGTGCCAGAATCACCGCCGAGTAAAGGCAAGTCTCGTATGAGCTGGTTGGGTGTCGGCAAGAAGCGAGGGTCACCACTGGACTTCATGACTGGGGACGACGACTTTGATGAGGTCATGAGGCCTCGACCGGCTCTCCCGTCATTTGGCAGTGTCCGAGGCCACCGAGACGGTGGGCATCCAGCTCCAGCAATTCCGGAGTTTAGTGACAATGAGTCGACGAGCTCATCAGACAACGACATTGTGGCTCCCGGGTCGTCGTTCTCCAACGATCACGTCCTCGGAGGGATGCTCCCTAACATTTCACAGAAGGGACCTGCACACCCTCATGGTGTCACCACTTTGGAGCAGCTTTCTGTCACTGGGGACACTTCACTTCATCAGCAGAAGCCTGCACGGGAGGCCAAAGATGGAGTCGCTCTTGATAGCACCACTGATAAGTCTGCCTTCTCCAGTGCAGATGTCAATGTCAATCTACCTGTACCTGCTATTGCTGTTGAGCCGGCTACACCTCCCGTAGACAGTGACCGACCAACCTTCGAGCAGCGGTCCAGCTTGGAGTGTTATATTCCTGGTGGATTTCCTGCATCACTCTCTGACCGCAATCTTAAGGGCACTGCCTCTGCGCCTACCCTTGATCAATCAACAGTGCAACCAATCGCAAGCGCTGTCCCGCACGTAGACGATGTGGATACCGAAGGCGAATCGGGTGATAGTGTCTACAGTGATGCTGCCGAGGACATGGACGGCGATGGTTTCGGTTCGATAAATGCCATTGTTGATAGTGGACCAATCCCGCGTTCACCTGAGCCTACGAGTCACAGTCGTGATGCCACTCCAAAGGCAGTCGATCGAGTTTCAGCTGTTGACAGTCATTCGCAAGGTGTCACGTATCAAGCAACGGAAGACCCTCGCTCTATTACTCCTACTCAAGACTCTATCAATCGCGAGATCAGCGAGTCTCCTATCACCCCTTCGGCTAATCGAGGATTCGAGTCGGCATATCCTCCACTACCACTCAAGTCGAAACCTCAAGCGTCATCTCACAACGGAACCATTCGATCGACTGTCAACAAGCAAGATCGGCCTACCTCTTTCGCACCTCGTGCAGACTCTGATCCGCGTGGTTTCAATGCTGTTTCCACTAATACTGGCAACGGCAAGCCTCGACCAGTTTCCCTTGGAGCAGGATTCCAAATGAAGAAATCCCATGGCGCCGGATTACCGGATTCCCTCCGCCGCACCACGTCGAATGGTAGTGATTCTTCAAGCAGCTTCAAGCGCGCCAGCTCTTCTACACGCAGTGATGGTCCAATTTCCATGCGTCGTACCATGAGAGGCAGTTCCCCACAGCCTCAGCTCTCTTCTTTCCCCGGCCGTGCAGACTCTTCTGATGACCGTCGGCCGCTCTCCTCTGGCTCAGGGGCCGGGAGTATGCGAAAGACATTACGAAGCCCCGCCGGAGGCAACGAGCGATATTCGTTCTTCTCCACCAACAACAAGGCGTCTCGGGCAAAGTTCACCAAAGCACCCCCAAAATCCATGCGAAGCTCGCGCTTTGTGGATTCGGATGGAGAGGATGATGAGGTAGCGGCTCAGGGCTTCCGCAGCCGGTTCGCCGACTCGAGCGATGAAGATGAGCCCGGCAGCAACGCCATGCGACCTGTTCGCGGTATCCCTCGCCGGCAAGGTATCCATGACGGCGACTCAACAGACCTGGACGATAGCTCTGAAGGGGAACGTCAGGTGCAAGCTGCAGCCGTGGCTGCGCGTCGACCGAATCCCGCGCCACCCGGTTCTCGAGACAAGACCAACCCCAACATGTCTGGCTTTGCGGCAGTGGCAAAACAACGGGGGATGACCCAAAGAGAGCTGGAGGAGTTCATCATGCAGCCTCCTCGGGGTCGGAAACCCGGTCTTCTAACTCGCCTTGGACTGAAGAAGTCCAAAAACTCCGATCATCGCATTCGCAAAGCCGACGTCGAAAGTCCGTCTCGAAGAGACACTCCGTTGGAACGATCGCGGCTGGAACGCGATCAGTTGCGCGGAGAGCCTTTTATGAACGGTGCGAATGGGGATGGTGGCGTGGTGACTACAGTGACTGCAGATCCGCCCGAATCAACTTCACCTCGCAAGCTGGGCCGTCGGTTATCAAAGCGGCACACCACCGGTGGTGAACACTGGCCCCTCCGGACAGAGCCAAGAACCGAGACGCCCGAGCCAATCCCCGAGCAGAGTCAGAGCCTCCCAGCGTCACCCCTGCAGACAAATAAGGTTGGACCGCCGGTGACTAATGCTGAGCGCAACGGCAGCGTCTCGGTTAACGGCGAAGCTGCCGGGCCCATCCCGACTATACAAGAGGAGCCCGAATCGCCTCAAGCTGGGCAGGCTGGAGCAGAGATCAATGATGCTCGCTCGGATATCACCAGTACGACAGCTGAGCAGCCGGGTCCCTCAGCACGCGATGTAGTGATTGCCGGTTCTGGACGCAAGAAACGATTCCCATTATTGCGAAAGGCCTTTGGTCTACGAAAATAATCAAACGAACACCTCTTGAGGCCAAGGTCTTCTCTTTCTCTTTTTTTCCCCTCTCTTCTTCTTCTTTTTCACTCCTTTGTCTTGGGAAGCATTATGGTGGATTCCCACCGTACACGTTTAATGCCTCACTTTTTTTCATTTCTTGATATGATATTCTTCTTCCTTTCCAAGCTGAATTCCTTGTCAGGCTTGGTTCTATCTCCCTGAAGAAGGGCTTCCATCTTCCGAGTGGATCTAATCGTAATGATTGATATATGCTTGTCACCCGTGTCCGTGTCATGCGTGTATTTGTGTCTTGCCTTGTTCTGTCTTTTCCACGGCCAACCACTCTTTTTTCTCTTGTGACACTCTTTCTTTTCCTTTTCATCGGCGCATGGATCTGAACAGCTAGTGGATGTCAGGGACGTCGTGTCCATACACCATCCCGTTCTCGAGTCAGATCCCCGTCCCGGCTGGCGTTGCACTGGATCTTTGGTTTCTCGTGCTGAGCGGTTTCCGTACTATATACATTTGATACCCTCGTTTCTGTTCGGTTCTTGAACCTGGACTCTTCCTTGTTCTGGTTCTCTTTACTCTTACCATGTACGATCTGTCCCTCGTTGGACTCTGGTGGTCGGGCGGACCCCCCATATTGTCGCAGTGTACTACCCATTGGTCAATTCCTCGTTTTAGACATTGTTCCATCAATATATTTGGATATGGAGCAGTCAATTCAATCAATTTTTCGCGCTGCGATTCGACCTCCATTCTTCCTCCAGCATGAGAATTGGAATTGATCTCCACAGTACTCCGTAGCTGGATTTGCATAGATTAGGCGCCCATTGCATTGCGTCAAAAATGGGTACCGCGAATGACCTCAAGATCGACTCGTCACCAATGTGTTCCTCTGGAAAAAGCGCCGTCACTAGCACAATCCTCCTCTTCGGCTACTCTAGCTTCAATCCAGCACCACGCCCCAACCACGGCCCGTGCTTCTCACGGCACGCGCACGCGCACAGCTCCAGCAGTAACAGCAGTAACAGTAGTAACACTGCGAGTCCGCGCCGAGGATGATCCACCCACGCTGATGAGACAGTGGAGTCGGTGGAGCTCCCCAGCAACACCTCCGGCAACCAACCACCACCCAGCCACCAACCACGGACCAGGAAACCCTGAAAATCCCAGCCACTCTGCTCCCTCTCGTTCAGCTCGCCTGGCAGAGTGCTGACTGACCTGTGATGCGACGAGGCGATGCGCCGAGACTTTGGTGTTTTTTTGTTTTCCTCCGAGCCTCGGTAATTAATTACGGGCTACAGTTTGAGTCTCTGATACATACTGTACGGAAGTCCTCGTGTATTGCGCGTGTAATGTGTATGTGATACCGGTGGCGCTTCTGCATCGAGCAGTCTAGACGTCTGCAGGATGGCCCGATGCCTGGGTTTTGGTTCTGGAGTTCTGAACGGGGAGGTGTGTTTTTGGGTGTACCTCGGGGTTTGATTAAGATCGTTGGGCCGTCGAGTGTTTTATTGGTGGCTATTGGGTGCGATCGAATGCAATTGGATGCAATTGGATGCAATTGGGTTGGGGGGTGAAGGGGAGAGAGGCTGGTTGGGCTAGGCAGAAGTCGATGGATCTCTGGAGGTGTCGTTTGGAGTATCAAGTGCAGAGCAGAGTGGACTTATGAGGCACGGCTGTCTCCGGAGCGGGGGCTCCATTGGATTAACAGAAAGTACGGAGTGCAATGAGTTTTGGGGGGGGGGGTTCAAGAACTGGAGAGTGGTGGGTATCGATGACACGACCGTGGTGTGTTGTTTGGGCTCCACTGATGACACGGAGACCAGATCAGAAATACGGAAATCGAGTACCGTACGGAGTCCACATGCTGCATACAGTTGACACGTAGAAAGTTGTTGGCCAGCTGTAAGAACTAAAATTGATTTCCACGGTCAATTGTCCTATTTAAAGGGTATGGTTTCATCCTTCATAACCTAGAAAGCCAGACAATTCATTTTGAGGTCCATCTTCAGCCCTCGATGACGGCACCTGCTCTCATAACAAAGCCGACGCGCTCGACCGTAACTACTGTAAGGACTCCAGACTGGAGTCTGTACTCCGTAGATAACAAATCAGCGGACCGGTGGAGCTCAGAGATCGGCGCCCCAATTTTTCCGATTCGACCCGCGAGCCCGTGGCGTTGCCATGGCAATGGAGGCTGTTTCCATGGGAGCTGAGGCGCTGAGGGGAGGTTAGGACCCCGGGGCTGGCCAGCCTCCATGTGAAAGGCGATGGAGATGTGATAACCCTTCCTTTCAAAAAGAAAAAAAAAAAAGTACGGCAAGCTCCGTATGGAGTCCAATGTGTATAGATCAGGTACAGTTTTGTATGCAATAGCGCGTACAGTATGTACAGTATGTACTAAGTACTGTATACTGCGTACATATAGAGAGGATGCCAGCGATCGCTGGTGTCCACATTCCCATCGAGCGGTCTGGACGAGTAGGATCAATTATGACTCCGTATAGATTAGTGACCTTGGAGAACGAGCCAAAAAAAAGTGCTTCCAAAAGACTCTTCTGCCACCACTTTCTAATATGATCGTATGAATGCAGGCACTGAGAATAATTGTAGCTCCCCCGGTTCCAACGTGAACCTCGGGCGGTCGATCGGCCGCTCGATTAGGCCCAGGCGGGCCAGTAAACAAACAGACCCAAACCTTTTGCCAACCCTCCCCTCGAGATAAATAAGCCAACCTCCACTCCTCCACCCACGTCTCTGCTCCTCTTCCCTTTCCTCTCCTTCCATTCCTCGAAAACTCCAACTCCAACTCTTCTACCCTTCCATTCTTCAATCCCCCAGCATTCTTGCGACCCCATCTATCAGAAAAGCTTAGATCGCATTCTTCCGATCTAACTTCTCTCACCAACTCTCTTCTCTTCGAGAAAGACTTCCCCCAGTCAAGTCTTTTCTTGTCTACCTTTCGAGTTGTTTTTAACAGTTCGAAAGGCATTCGAGAAAGGACGCTCCAAAGTCGGTCAATCTGGACTTTGACGCCCGCGTCCCCATCCCCTTCAGTGTCTTCCCGTCGTCGTACCGGAGTGACGCTGTCTCTGAAACTACTCAGACAAGAGTAGAGGGAGAAGTCCAACTCGATCACACTTCGCGCGTCGAACGGGAAGATACTCGAACCTCTGCCCCTCTCCCCGACCCGCGCGTCTACGGAAAGGAAGAAGTCGATTTCCGCATCACTCGCGAAGATCGTACTGCGACTACCAACGCCAACTTTGCTCCTCGCTACGAATCTCACGAGACTCGCAACTACGCTGCCGAGGTTGATCTGACCCGTGAACGGTACGTTTTTTTTGGTCGTGTTTTCGTTTTTTGTGTTTTTTTTTTTTTTTTTTTTTTTTTTTCTTTTATTTCTGGGGGGGCAATTCCAGTCTCCCAGTCTCTCCCTCTCCTCTCTGCCAGACCGCGAATTTGGGTCGAAATGACGAATGGCTGGGGCGTGCTGCTCTGGTGGAGCCACTATTTGACTCGGATGTCCCATCCCGGTCTAGAGTGGTTACGGGACTCTTAGCCCCAGACTAAATTACGTGTCACGATAATACCAGTCTCCACCTCCCCCAATGAGCGGTGACGCTTCTCGTGTTTTTGTTTATATGTTTACAAACTTCCATTTCCCTCTTTTCTTTTTGCTTTTTCCCTTTTTTATTATGTGGGACACCTCGGACTGACTCTTCTCCCTCCTTCTTCCTCCTCTTATAGCTACCCCAACTACCGCGAATCCTCTGTCCGCTTCGAGGAACGTCCCCAAGTTTACGATCAAGCCGTCGAGAACCAACTCGACATCACTGAGAGAGAGTACCGTCGCCGGACCTCTCCCACTTACGAAGTCGACGTCTCTTACGACCGTCGCTACCAGGAGCCTTCCAACTCCTACGACTACCAGCCCACTCAGGCCGTCGACGTTTCGTACGACCGCTCTTACCAGCCTCAGCCCGCTTCCGCGTACCGAGGCCAAGAGTATTCCCGCCGCGAGGTCGAGCTTCAGCAGCCTTCTACCTCTTACTACTCTGCCCCCAAGACCGAAGTCAAGGTCGAGACTACTACTGTCCGTAACGTAACTCCCAAATCTCGCAAGATGGGCTACTACGACGACGAGGGTCACTACCACTCCTTCCGCCGCGGCGTTGAGCGCGCTGCTGACCGTGTCCTGCACCCCTTCTCCCACCACGATCGTGAGGAGGTCGTTGCCAGTGACGAGCGCGGCCCCGCCCGCTTCAGCGATGGCGTCCGTGAGGAGGTCCGCATTGTGGAGCCCCGCAACCGCGGTACTCCCGGCGAGAGTGTCCCCATTCCCTGCCACTTCGTCCGCATCGGTGACATCCTGATCCTCCAGGGTCGTCCCTGCCAGGTCATCCGCATCTCGGTCTCCCCTCAGACTGGCCAGCACCGTTACCTCGGTGTCGATCTGTTCACCCGCCAGCTGCAGGAGGAGTCGAGCTTCGTCTCCAACCCTTCCCCATCCGTGGTGGTTCAGACCATGCTCGGCCCCGTCTACAAGACTTACCGCATCCTCGACCTCCGCGATGATGGCAAGCTCGTCGCCATGACCGAGACCGGTGATGTCAAGCAGGGTCTTCCCGTCATCACCCAGGGTTCCCTCTTCAAGCGCATCCGCGATGCCTTTGCTGACGGCCGTGGCTCCGTCCGCGCCCTCGTCATCAACGACGGTGGCCGTGAGCTCGTCGTCGACTTCAAGGTCATCCACGGCTCCCGTCTGTAAATCATTTGGCTCTGTTCTTGCTCGGGTCTTTTGGGTTGCTGTCTATATCTTGAATGATGGTGTCTGGCTAGCCGTCGTCTCTCGGAACCTCCCGTCCATGTGTCTTGCTTCTTTTTTGTAATGTTTTAGATGGGGAGGTACGTGTGGCACTCGGGTTAAACGGGGGGAATTCGGGGGAAGGATTATGCCATGGCGTGATGAATCTTGCCTTGTGTGAATTTCTTTTTGTTATCTTATTTCCTTTGTCTGATGATCTACTCTCCATATGAAACCTACGGTTGTGATTTATTAGTTGGACTCGTTCCGGTGAAAATGTGATGGACCTTTTTCTATCCTACTACTTCCTACTCGTATATCTCGCATTCCTCTGCGTATTTAACCTGAAGCTTGTCGTAATACAAACAGGTCGAGCCTGTATTGCTGCGGTAGTAAAGGGATGTTGTGTTCGGTTTGTTTTTGTTTTGTTTTGAGGGTGTTTGGTTACGTAGTGGAGCTGCCTACTGTATGTAGGTCTGGTGGAGACGAGTGGAGGACTTGGGCATGACCTGGGCGATAACGTATGCCTCGGTGCCCAAGGTCAGCTGTCGTGATACAAGAGATTGCCACTTTGCATCCATGTTTCATTTGTCGCCGATAGTTACTCCTGCGTATCTTTACAAGCACGCGGATTCTTACCCCCGATACCTCCCCAGACTGGGCTGTTGTTTCAATGGGGCGGTCTCCGGCTTCCTTGCTGCAACACAACCAAATCACCATGGATGCCAATGGCCCCAAAATCACCTTCAATCTGTATTGAAATTCCTCTAGCATATTCTGGTAGTCTCGGTCGTTACAATTGAAGTTGAATTAAACCCCAATGGCATGCCATGGTTAAGATAACGTGGGCTGGATTGGAATGTCGGGGTAGAGAGGAGAATGTGGAGAATATATATCCATGGAACGTCGTGAGCCCATCGGCCCACCTTGTCTCCATGCTGGTGCCACCAGATCCAGAAACTCTTCTCCATTTAAGTCAGATGAGTTTCTGACAAGATATACGCTGTACCGGGGGTGGTTTTGTAGGTGTAATTTAACTTCCATACTTCCCAGCCGCGGAGAGGTAGGCTAAGCTAGATCGATATATAGAGAAAGCGATACGGATTTGCAGAAGAGCAGTGACATTTCAATCTCACTACCTAAGCCAAAAAAAAGAAGAACCGTCTTACAACCTTAGCGGACAAGATGAAAATCCAGATATAGAAACAAAGGAACCACAATTTTCCAAAACACCATACCCGAGCACCAAAAAAATACACGTCGAAACCGGCAAAAGAGAGGTACTGTAAACAAGAAACAGACCATTTCCATATAAAAGTCCAAGCAAAGCAAGCATCAGCATGACGGAAAATCGGATTAACCTCGAAACATGGGTAAAGATGGACACGTGAAAAATAAGCGAGAATAAAAAGTAAAAGCTGGAGGATAGCCGATGGTCGTGGGATAAATGGAAGATTAGAGAGGTGACAAGGCACAAGCATGAATGGCTTGAACGGAGCTCCATATTCATCCCACGACACATATCCACTGAGAGGTTTTCGCTGTCGTGCTCCAGTGATATCAACCTATGATATGATTCGATTCATGACGCCGGTCCGGTATGAGGGATATGAAAAGACGTAGATAATCGCAGATAGACGCCAGCAAGGCAAAGCAAACCCCAATGGAGACGTGGTGTATAATGTACAACGCAGAGGGAGCGAGGTGAAGGTGTGACAAGCTTGAGTGGTGAGAATAGATATGACAGAGGATGAGAGTTGCGAACGGAAGAAGAATGAGATGGTCGTGTGAAAACAAGGAGAAGGGGTATCGTATAGGTGGTTGGAGGCACGGGCGAGATAGTCGGACAACAGCAGAGATGAGCCTGAGGAGACACGGCGCATCCACGAGCACACGCATTGCTCGGGGATAACAAGTAATAGGTAACACAGCAGCCGCGTGGACCGCTATCGCTCCCCGAACTTGCCATACTCTTGCTGCCACTTGAGCAGGTGACGCGTGAGCACGTCCATCATCTCGACACTACTCAGGTCCTTAAAGTCCTTGTCGTGAGCCGACGACGATTGTGCATCGCCATCGCCGTCTGTCAACGCCGGCATGGACTCGCCGCCATCACTGACGGTGGACGCCATGGCACTGTCAATCTGGTCGACCATGCTCTTCAAGAGCAGGCCTTGTGCCCGGTCACCGTTGCCTGTCGGCGTCGACGAGTTCTCACTGGCGACCGCCATCTCGACCTGCATCCGCGAGATAAATTCCAAGATGGCAGCAACACGCCGCTTCATCTCGTTCATCGTCGTGCGCTGCGGGTGCATGTGCCGCGGCTTGCTGGGCCGCCCCGTGTCTCCGCCATTCAGATGTGTGCCATTAATGTAGCCGACTCGAGGTGAGTCACTTCCAATGTCGTGTGACTGACCCCGGCGTGGGGACTCGGTGCCGTTCCCGTTCGTGTCTCGATCCTTGGTATATTGGTTGCGCCCCACTCGGCCGCCGCGTCGAGCAGGGGGACGTCCGGATTTCCGCGTCGAGGGTCGCGCGGGCGTAGGCTCTTGAGGTGTAGGAGTGTCTGGGCTTGCCTGGGTTGGCTCAAGTTCAGGAGGCGGAGGGGCAGGTGCTGCAGCCTTGGTTGGGGACCCAATGTCGTTCTCTGATTCTGCAATTCAAGGTGTGTGAGAAACTATGACAAAGGCCTTTCGCTTGCAAGCCGAGTAAAACTCACCTTCTCCTTTACGTCGGATAGATCGCTCTTTCCGGCGAGGGACTGTCTCGGGGGCTTCAGGCTCAGGCTCCTCGGGCTCTTTGGTAGGTTCCTTGTCGCGCTGGCCTCGTGAAGTTGCTCTTTGCCGTCGAGTGCCATTGGTCGCCTTCGGCTGAGTCTCGTCATCGGATGGAGGTTGGGAGGGTGGCGGGCTCTGCTTTGAGGCCGCCGTGGGCGAGGGAGAGGTAGTTCGTGGGCGCTTAGAGCCTTGTCTGTTTCTGAATTATAATTGTCAGCCGCCTGGACTCGGGTCATAATGGCGTTGGAATGATCAGAGGGAAACGTACGATTCACTTTCACTTCGGCTTCGCTTGTTCAAGCGAGGGGCCGCTTCATCGGTAATGCTCTTCGTATCTTCTTTGCTCTCTTCAATCGCTCGTCGGATCAATTCTTCCTCGTCGTAGGCAGCGTCCCGGCTGTTCATAGTCGACCGCCGCTTTGGATTCGATGCGCCTTCACTGCCTCGGGATTTAGGATCCCTGGAGCGTCGGGAAGTATCCCGCGATGAGGCCCGGGAAGACGGCGCAGGTGATGATATGGGTGCGACGGGAAGGTAGGTAGAGGAACGCTGGCTGCGGGGGACGTTAGCATTGTTGGCGCTTAGAATAACCAAACGAGGAAAAAGAGAATTGAAGATGAACAGCGAGGGAAGGAAGTCAAAAGTTTAGCTGCCAGAAGCGCTGGCCCCGTGGGAGAGGGCTCTTCTTGAGATGAAGCGAAGAGCTCGTTTCGAGTCGCCACTGGTCGTGATACCCCAGCAGAAGCAGACTTGCCGGCAGCTTGCCAAGCGACTTCAAAGTGAAGCAAGAATAAAGTGAACACTGCAAAAGGGCTTCTCAAAAGACTATTCTCTCAGACTTACCCGTTGGATTCACCCCGGATTCTGTGTAAATCCTTTCGACACTCCTCGCAGAAATATTCGTCGGGGCTCATTTCCTCGTCCATGATTCCCACACAGCCACCATGCTGCCACACCTTACACGAATCACACTGAATGAACATGCTCCCAAGATCATCGGACAGCAGATCAGATGAATCCGCCGGCGGAATGCCTTCCTCGGGTTTCACACCGACGCGACCGAGGGCGTCGCGACGAGAGGGGGGCAAACCGGGATAGTCCTGCTGCCCACAGAGACAGCGAGTGATTTCCTCCTCCTCGTCCTCTTCGGGATCCTCATCGTCATCTTCGCGAGGAGGGTCGTTGTCACCGCGGGTACGCTGGCGCTGGCGCGTGTGTGGGAGATCGGCTCTCGAGCCATTTTCAGTCTCATCGATGGACTGCGAGCGATGACCGGACGAGCCATTGGGAGAAGGGTTTTTATGATTTGATCGAGTGCTTCTCTCGCGAGTGAGAGAGTTGTTGGAGCTAGAGGAGTTGGTGTGCTGGAGGAGGGCCGGTGAGGGCTGGGTGGTGCGAGCCCGTGAGGAGCGACGAGGCGACATGGCGGCGCGGTCGTTCCCTGAAAGAATCAGGCTCGATTATAGAAGCGAATGGAGTTTTTGTTCGAAGACAGGGAAAGGATTCGAGGGCGTGGGCGTAGGCGAGGGTGTCAGTGACGGAGGGAGGATTCTTCTTTCGAGCAGAACTGGGTTGCGAAGGAGCTCTGGACGCGCGATTGAGAGCTCCGGGGGGGGTGGAAAGAGAGGAGGGCAGTGGTAGGAATCGCAATGTAATCTGAAGCAGGACGTCACAGGGCTCGAAGAAGAGCCCGATGACTACATAGTACAAGGAGGAGGGCGAGATTGGCGGGGGTTGCAGAGGAGAGAAGAGAAGACGGAATGGGACTGACTCCAAAAAGATCCGGCCGTCTTTTCCCCACTTTTGCCTGCTCGACTGCTCGACGCGCCGATTCTTGGAACGCCCGGTCGTGTCGCGAGGGTCTACAATTTTGGTGACGGAGATAGATGATGAGTTGCTCTTGTCCTTGAACTTTGGGTTTCTGTATCTCTGCATTTTCCGTTCAATCTGTCTAAATTGACCAGGGCGTGTCCACGCAGGAATCTACGCCTCGCCTTCCCGCCTTTCAGAACACGCTAAGCCTGCACGCCCTCCTCTTCTGCCTCTTCGAGCACTTTGAGCACTTCCAGCACCGGCAAGACGACCACCACGATCTATTTCTATAATCACGGCGGATTTGGGTCGTTTGGATTGTCCACGATCCAAATACGTTTGTCCGAGATGCAAGACTCGAGCGTGAGCCGCAAGGAGGGAGGCTCATTGTCCTGCGGTGAAAGTGGTACTTTGGCCAATGAATCTTTGGCAGCGAACCGTTGCGACTCTCGTCGTCTTGCGATCTGGTGCAATTGCTGAACACTCGGTAATGTTAACTGCCATGTCCATCTAGGATGGCTCTCCTGTCGCACTCGATTTGAAACTCGCTGGATTGGACTTGACCTGACCGAGTGAGTCACAATGCTTCCCATTGAGACATCCAGGTCTCACTGTAGGATTGTGATATCAATTTCCAGGGACCGCTCTGTTACCCCGAGGATTGGCTCCCAGATGTTATGACGGTGCTGTTCGTCCAGCTTCCCTTCAGCTTTGCAACCTCCGTAGTCTCACGCAAGGCACGGATGAGCTGGTTCCCAGGTACATAGCTTGCGGGCGGGAATGCAGGTACATGTTGAGCCGGATTAGTCCCAGTTGAGGGTGGTCGTGTTCTGTAGTTAGCAGGGATGAATAAAAAATTGACTTGAGTTGTGACCAAATAGCTTCCTGAGAAATCCCCTCTCTTTGCGTGACTTGGTGGGTTCCCCGCCGGGGTCCCGGCTGTTGCAGGCTATGCAACCGATGCAGCCCTGGTTGATTCGGAGGGTTCATCAGCCTCGGAAGGTCCGTTTAACACCGCTCGATAAGGTCAGTCATGGAAGCCCAACCTCCTCGGCGGTACCTGTATATAGGCCCTGAGATCTCCCTTAGTCTGCTGCGTAATGCGCTCATTGCCAGTCGTACAGAGAAAGACTGGAGCAATCTCCAGCTTGGGTGCCCGACCCAAACGGGTTAGCGCCGTGCCTTCCCGAATTCCCGTGACTCGCTGGTCTTTCGCTTCACCTAACTCAACCCCTCCGCATCGTCATTTCGACTTCTTCTCGGTTCTTTCGCTCTTCAGCTCTTGAGAGCCGCTGGTAGACCGATTTGGATCTGGTTCTGCCTTAGCAACGCGGTCTCGAGTTCTGTCCGTACTTATTTATAGCATTGTGGGTTGGCCCCAGATCCTATACCCTATACCCGTGTCCTGTATCCTCCGTGATTGTGGACGACTTGAGGTAGCTTGTTCGGACAGGAACCGTGACTGCCCGGACGATATACCTCAAGTCTGGCTGGTTTGGCTGGAGTGTCGCCTCGTGTCTCCTGTTTTCGGGTTCTATGGACAACGGCTGACTGCCCCCTCTTCCGAAACACAGTCGCTCCCCGAATCGGCGGTTCCCCGACAACTCCAAACTCTCGAGGGTTGGCCTCATACACGACGACAAAGGTGGAGGGGAACAAGGAACGAAACGTAACGAGTTGGCAAGCACTCATACCGCACGTAACGACGTGGGTTGAGGGCGTTGGAGAACTTGCAGAATGACTGCTGCTATGAGTACGTCGATTCGTAAGAGGGCCGGGCCCCTTGGACTTCGACCCGTCCTTGTCAACGAGGCAGTCTGTTGGTTACTCGGTTACTGACGTGGCACTTTGTGTAGACGGGACGTTCAACTCGACCCCTGACACACCTTCCCCCGTCTATCCCGATCGTCTGATTCGGCCTCTCCCTCGACGCACCCTGCGCTCTCGACTGTCAATCGATGCGGCCGACACCATCCACTACCCTCCCACACCACCAGCTTCGCAGATCTTTTACGGCGTCGGAGACACGGAAGAGGTGGCCCCTCATGGGAAAGCCTACGCGCGACAAAAAGCCTTGGAGAGACACGAACTAACCCCGGAGGCCGACTCACACGGGTTCGAGACGGCCGTGGAGTTAGAAAGTGGAGACGAAGACGGACCTGTAGTTGTAAGGCGAAGTGCAGGATTCCGAGGATCGATGTCTCCGGGTTCTAGTCCTCAACGGCCAGCCTTTTCTGGTCAGGCACAAAGTCAAACTCAAAATCAACATCAGGGTCAAGGTCAGGAAGGTTCGCAGAAATCCTCGGGCCCGGATGGGTATGATGCATTTGAAAACACAAACAACAAAAAAAAGCGGAAAATCCCCACCCCAGGGAACATGGGTGGTCATCACTCAGCCCTCTCCCCGGAATTTGCCAGCATGGGTCTAGCCAACTCGGTTCCGTCACCTCCTGCGGCTAGCGATGGCATCTCAACTGGTACATACTATGGAAACGGTAACCCCGCTTCACCCTTGAGCAATGGGATCTCCGGTTCTGGTCGAGGTCGTTTGGGACGAAGCTCAACTCGCAGCAACAGCGGGCGAAACCCGTTGTCTGCGAATGCACAGAATGCGTGGATGAACACCACTCGAACGCCTAGTCGGCGGGATGGCCTGATGTCCTCTCCTGGACCATCCGGTAAGTTTGTTGATGAGATATTTGACTTCTTCTCGGATCGAGGGGTTTCCCGATGGACTAACCCACCAGCAGGTGAATCCTCCGACCAAGGCATCATTTCGACTGCCATCGCTAATGCGGCTACCTTTTCGTCTCCTCCACGAGGCCCCAGTAATGTCAGCCTGCTGGACCAAGAAAACACCACCCCCACCAAGACTCAGTTTACCTTCACCTGCGAGTCCGACTCTTCTAAAGGCATGGCCATGCAGCGAAACTCATACTCCGGTCCATACCGCTCCCCAACTTCCCCTCTCGCCCCCACGACTCAAAATCCCCGAGGGTTCTCTACCCAAGGAACACAGACGAGCCCCAATATGGCTGCACCGATGAATCAGCAGTTTCCGCCCAGCACCCAACCTTCGCCTCCACAGGGAGACCAAGGATCCGTGGGCCGCAAGAAGAAGCGTTCTCCAGGCAGTGTATACGCGCTGGCCGCACGACAGCGCAAGATCCAGCAGCAATACACCAATATCCACCATCCTCCCAGTCTGGAGGAAATCTGGATCTGCGAGTTTTGCGAGTATGAGAGTATCTTCGGGCACCCGCCGGAGGCACTCATCCGCCAGTATGAAATCAAAGACCGCAAGGAGCGCAAGCGATTAGCCGAGAAGAAGCGACTCCTTGAAAAGGCCAAGATGAAGGGCCGCAAGACTAAGAAGGCGACCAAGAACGCGAAGAATGCCTCTTCCCATCAGGGATATCAGCAGGGCTACGATCGCGCCTCGGTCGACCATTCTTCTGCCGCCGGGTCTGGCCTCCCGGACGACGAGTACATAGGCCATGAATATGAAGACGACCAGGGGTCCATCCCAGACCCCGACCCTGTCTCCCCCACGGATCTCAAACCTCCACTGCCACCAGCAAACAATCCCTCCAACGCCTTTGCACCCGGTGGAACTGCCAAGGGTGCCGCAGACGCCGGGGGCAGTCGACCAGCCTGACCTCAGGCACGGCCTGACACGGTACGATCTCTATCCGAGTCTACCTGGTTTTAGTCGGAGCTTTTGCAGGTTGACTTTTTGTTGAAGTACGTGTGCTTTATTTGCTTGGGAACTTTTTCTGTTTGCGCGGGTCAGATCGGATCTATATCCGTTGGACGGCGTGGATTGGACGGTTTACGAGTACTTGCATCTTGGAAATTCCCCCCTCTAGTAAGCATTTACGGGTTGGCGAGCGATCTCTCATTGGGCAGGGGTTCCTTTTCTTTTCACGAAGGATTTCATTTGCTGTAATTGTAATGACAGAACTCGCCACGGGCAATGTGCATATCAGAAATCTCATTGAGACTTAGATCAGATTTTGGAGATCATTTCGTAGACACGTTCAAAGCGCTTGACATGATGATCGTGCCTAGAGAGGAGATGTATCGAAGCCGGTGAAGCTGGAAACAGGAGATGAGGCCGTAGTGCTTGCTGGTCGTGGTTGATTCTTTGTTTCCCCTCTCTTCTTAGCGAGTAAGCGCTCTCGATTCAGATCGCCCTTGCTAAAAGCCCCAATCAATGAAAGGAAAGGGACATTATCTAATCCTACAAAATCTGGTAATCTTAAAATTAGCAATGCTCATCTGATTGGATCTCAATTGAGGAGGCAGTTCAACGCTGAAACCCCAATCCTCCCCATGCTGGCGCGCGCGAACTAAACCTTAGCGCCGATCCATCCTGGCGTTTCCTAATTGCTACCCTGTCACAGCTCCCGCGCCAGGTTCGTCAGCGCCACTTGTTACCGAAGTGAGAAATGTTTATTTCTGTCTAGCCCTACTAGAGCCGCGTTTCATCTTTCTTTGGCAGCTTGACATCCTGTGGAGGAGCGGGCAAGAACGAGTAGCCGAGACAGTGGAGTCGCGATCTAAATCTGCTTGACGTGCAAGAATGGCGCCAGCTTGGGGGAGCTTTGGTTTCAGGGATGCCAGAAAATAGAAACATTACTTTTTGAACAATGTAGCTAAAACTTTATTGCGAGAGGTTAGGTTAGAGGATTGAGTTTGGGATGGTGTATAAAGTGGTCAAGAAGACCCAGGATGAAACAAGGAAAACCAACAGCATCAGCAACGACTTTCCCTTTTTTTTTCTTTCTCTACTTTCTTACGCATTTCTTTCATTCAAGACTCGAGTACATACTCACTTCGTTTGATCTCTTCTTTGATCTGCTTCAACATAGCCTTCTTTCTTTGTGGCTTGCTCGGTTTATCCTGGTTGATGACCGCTGTCTATACACTTTGCCTAAAAATCGTCTCTGTTCTACTCTTCGATTCTTTATTTGAACTCTAGGCTACCCCTAGAATTTTCACAGCCTGCTGCCTCAGAATTCCTGACGGCTTGTCACACATTTATATACCACACAACACCTCGGTCTTGACGACACATTCTCGCGCTGTGCGCAGTTCCACCAGCATTTGAACAAAAGCCTCGAGTCTTTCTTTGAGATACGATCATAAATTTCCTTCCGATATTTGATTTTGAACTATTTTCATCCATTCTATCAATCATTCATCCACCAACAAAATGTCCTTCCTTGTCGTGCCCCTAGTCAAATTCGGTCTCTCCAAAGCCAAGAAGCACCACGCCGCCAAAAAGCAAGCCAAGCAAGCCGAACAATTCCAACAGCCGGGCTACAACCCCAACTACGGCCCCGAGGCACCAATCCAAATGTCCAACTACCCTCCTAACGTCGTTCCCGGCGCAGACATCCAGTACCCAAGCAACCCCGCTGAACCCGTCAGCAAGGGCACCAAGCTCATGGGCATGTTCGTCTCCGGCGTGCGCTTCCTGCAATTCGTCTTCGGATTGACCGTCATCGGCCTATACGGCAAAGACGTCCGTCACGACCATGATGATGAACACACCTGGCACGCGAAATGGGTGTTTGCCATGATAACGGCCTTTTTGGCCACCAGCACGGCGGCGGTGCACATGATTCTCCCCTTTTTGATGCGCCGTGTCACCTATCGGCCGAATCAGAAATTGAAGCTGCCCCAATTTGTCTGGGAGTTCATTCTGTGTATCCTGTGGTTGGCGCTGTTTGGTATCTTCGGGAAGATGTATATCGGCGTTTATGCTTCAGGGTCGAAGGATACTGGGAAGCGGGATACCGATACCACTACGAGCTCTAGCTCAACTTCGAGCTCGGACTCGGGGCTGGGTGATGCGTCGAAGATTAATCGGATGCGTCATGCTGTCTGGATTGATCTGATTAATCTTGTTATGTGGGTTGTTACCGCGTCTTGGGTGTTGCTGCGGTGGTTGAAGAGTCGACGTGCGGCGGATCGTGATGCGATGGTGGATGGTGAGAAGGCAGAGCAGATTTGAGTAGCTTTGCATAGTACGGAGATATCTGGATGAGCTTACGGAGTTTACGGATGCTCTACTGGGAGAGATTGGAAGAAGGAGATGTTCGTATCATTGGGCATCGATAGCCATGTCAACGGAGTTCGGGCGCATGGAATTGTTGCTGGCTTTTTTATGTATCAGCATGGGCAGTTAATTTTTTTTTACTATTCTCATTTTGTTATTGAAACATAGATTACTTTGTTGAATAAACGCTTTGAAATCCCATTATGTTCATAGTGTATCTAGTAGAGGAAACTGAATGATGTAAACACGAAAGGGGGACTAACTTAAGGACAAGAAGAGCGAAAGCAAATAACACGAAGAACCATGTGCCAGGCAGGCCACCCGTTTCGAAGTATTTGATGCTGTACATAGCATGGAATGGAAACTGCGTCATGTCCCGGGGTGCATCATGATAGAAGTCAACGATCTAGAACACAAAGGGTTCTCAAAAATCAACCCAAGCTATCACTAGCCCCAAGGATCCAAGGCTTTTATGGACCACTAGATTGGGTGGATCCCTCAAAAGACATGAATTCCTCCTCATCACTTTCAGGAGTCTGCGGACGGGTGGTCAAAGCCTGAGAGGGACTGACGAATTGATCTGGAGAAGGACTGCGAGAAGCGCTGGGAGCAGAGCTAGAAGAAGCGTCCGAGGGAGAACCGGAGGGAGGGATGGAAGACGGATTGAGAGAAAGATTAGGGGAAAGGCTGGGAGGAGGAGACGGACTCGAAGAACCTCTAGAGGAGCGAATAGAGGAAAGATTAGGAGAGAGAATGAAAGAGGCACTGGGAGACAGACTCGGAGGAGAGGGACGAGGAGAGGAAACGTGAGAAGAAACGAGAGAAGGACTCGAAGAAGACTCGCGGTCAGCGTCAGCGGCAGTCTGCTTCTTCTTCCCATTCTTTTCAGCCATTATCTCGATAAAGCGGGCATAGGTGCTGGAGATGATTGACTGCACGGTCGAATGCTGCAACGGCGAAATCGGGTTCTGAGCGCGAAGCATATTCTGAGGCAATATTCCAGAGAACATGGCCAAAGCAGCATCCACGGCAGCGACCATAGTCCTAACCGGCTTCTTCTCCTCATTCTTTGTTTCAGCCAGTGACTTGATAAAGCGAGCATAGGCCTCGTTGCCATCGGACTCAGTACCCTCGGAAGAGTCCAGGCCGCTCTGGTCGGCGAAGGTCCCTTCGTCCCAGAATCCGCTCTCCATGTCCCAGCCCGCTGTCACATCAGACTCGAAGACTCGTTCCTCGAAGATGGTCTAACCAATGACCTTTCGTCAGTACAATCATCGCGTAGAAGGTTGCAGTCATGCACATGTGAACATACGTAATGCGAGAAATGAAACAGGATCAAAGGCTCAGAGAGGTATAGAGGCAAAATGACGGGGTATAGATAGGGATATCACCAATAATACTTACTGGCTGCCATCCTGTCAGCTCGGGGACCTGGGTGATGCCCGCAGGACTGTCGATGCACCAGACCACGCGCATCAAAATCTCCATGTTGACGAGGTTCTGGAGAGTCGGATTGCTCCAGATTCTCCAGAAGAGATTCTCGAGCCGCCGGTTGGTCTCCGTGGCGGGCAAAGCATGGTGGTATACTACAAAGTCATCAGTCAACCTCCAGGAGGGTGTTAACCTGGCAGGACATACCTTTCCAAAGGCCAGGGATAATTTCCATGTCGGAGTTCTCCAACATTTCGATCATTTCCTCAATGGAAAGCTTGGATAGCTCCTCCCGGAGCCTTGAATCCATGCCGGGGGGTGAGAAACGTGTAGGCATGATTGTGTTGAGGTTTCTTTTGTCGGGACAGGCGTAAGAGAGGTGTGTGTGTGAAGAAGAAAACTTTGAAGGCCCGAGTCTCATAATCAGAGGACGTTGGATTGAGGAAGGGAAACGTTTGTATCGCCGACTAAGCAACGCCTAATTGGGTCGCCGGCGAGGTTTTGTGCATCTTCAGCCTAGCTCCGACGGACCAAATACTGTAAGCTTTGCACCGGATTGACCTCCATGCCTATTGGGCATGTGGTATGTATTTCAATGACCATAGGAACCGGAAAATCATCATTGCGAATACAGATCCCCCCGACAACAACTAAACTGTTTACTTCAATCAGTTGGTTGAGCATATAAAGAGAGGGTATGAGATTGGTGAGAGACGATACGAATCCCACAAGATCCAATTTAGACAGAGACTAGCCTTAATTAATTTGGCTGGCTCCAATCGCCTATAGAGTAGAAGAAGCGCGGCTGTGGAAATGGTCGGTAGAACAAGGTAATACTTTGGGAGATGGATTCAACCTCGCCGTGGCTTGCAAGGTGATCGAATATAGAATGGGTAGATGGCTAGGTAGGATAAGAATTGTCACTTCAGACGACGGATGGCAAGCGAGAATGCTTATCATATACGTGTAGCAGTGGAAGGACAGGGCAGTGGTGGCTGAAAACAAGCCCATGCCTGCATTGAAATGGCAAAGCTCCGGTACAATCAGTCATGAGCATAAGGTGGGTAAGGTTCCCGTCATCTTAATTCACTCAGGACGGCCCGAAACGGGGCGAAGCGTCTAACCAAGTACGTGGTCGTTTCATATCTTGAGATAGATCCGCTAGACCTAGGTGGAGCATTTTTTGAGTCACCAAAGGTAGTATGGATTTGAATTAGCGAAGCTGATTGACTCATAGCCGTGTGAAACTCCAGCGTGACAGTTGACTACGTGCAATCTGGAGATTTCTGACAAGCGTCTTGTTTTGGCAATGCTGAATGTTGTGGTTGCAGCCATCATGTCACTAACGGAGCTAATCATTCAACTACATCGTGGGAGAGTGAATTCCAAGCCAAGTAGCTGTAAGTCAGATTGATATCAAGGTAGAACACGGGAAAGCTGCTCGGCATCGCATTTAGCGGGGCCCGTATCGTTGGGGTTACCAACGACAAACGGCTAGCCACCAACAGCTACCCAATCCCGCCTTTACCTATAGTCCTACCGTCTGAGTTCACAAATTTTGTGGAGAAAGTGAGGTGGAAAGGTTTCAAATCAGGCTGATTGACTGTGGGTTTCCCGGACCATTTGAGAGACCAAACGTAGATCATCAGGAACCAACTCTACGCCCAGTGATCTAAAGATATTGGGTTCATTTCCCAAAGCTTTCGTAGGTAGCTTTGACATATGATGCCGTTCGAGGATCTCCCCTCGGCCCATGATTCTGAATGTGTGATGGGACATAACAGATGGTCACTCTGTTCTTCGGGTCTATGATTGCGAGAGAAACTCCTAATCCACCCTAATAGCAACTACCTTCGCGGAACCAAGCCATTCCACTCTCTACACGAAGCCCAAATCCCAATTCGAATCTGACATCCGTTTCCAGAACCAGATCCTTGCTTTTGATTAGCTCGGTAGTCGCTAATTTGACTGTTTTATGGCCCAGCAGCTTCTTCCCATCGACGATCCTAACCAACGATATGGCCGAAAGTATGCGAGCGATGCCATTTTCAGACGCCATTTCCGCATCTTGGGATGTCGTGGTCATGGCGAGCTCTGCCTGCATGAGAGACCTTGTGATTGCGTGCAATCCCGTCCATGTCAAAGTTGGGTGAGGGATCACTTGGTGCTGGCGCAACTATCTCTGCCACGCGGGACTGGTCCTTTTGAAGGACCCGACCTGGAAATCGGCATTGAGTGGGACGGCGATCTTTTTTGCAATAACCTCTCGCTCCCTCCTGTCCATTACACGTAGCACAAGCTCGCTAATAATTTGTCCCTGCGTTATGGGATGGTGCCCTGTCGCAGTACCTGGTACCAACCAGAGAGGATCTCTAGCAAGGTGTTCATCTGTATTGATCACAGTGTATACTTCTTTGATTGTGATTGGTCTTTGCCAAGATGGGAGGCCTCGAAGTGGGGTCAGAACGTGCCAGACCTTGACACCGTCCTTGTTATTGGTGAGGAACTCAGGCCAGTGTTGAGATACACAGGTGAGTGGGTCAAGAAGCCCTCGATCAATCAAAATGAGTGCTGCAAGATTGTTGATATACTTGGACATTGACCGGACAATGGAGATTATCTTTCCAGGGCATTGAACGCACCCGGCCGGCATAAATGCCCCATAGATTGACAGTGTCTTGGCCGTCAATGTTGACGCAGAGAGAAGCACCCAATTCGTCTTCTGAGAGAATGTTTTGTTCCAAGAGATCCCGCACTTGGCTTATTCTTGGAAGACTTCGTGTGTCATCGTTTTGCGGACCAAATGAACCCCATCGTGTCGGGACGGACGCATTTCTATCTTGAAATCGCCTGAGTTTCATCCCAGATCTCTTCCATAGCGTCTAAATGAATAGCATTCACCACTAGTCGAAGCACTGCTTATTGGTTTTTCCATACTCACGCACCAAGATTCGAGCATGTCATACTGGGTTTGAACTCTGTGAGGCATGATTTTTACCATCCCGCAAGCGTTGGATTTGAGCATATCATATGGTATAAGGCCAAACTTCCTACTTGTTAACTAATTTCGGGCAGGTTACTTCCAGCCTTGATCCTACTCGAAGGATATCGCGCAGATCTTGCTGGATATCGGCCTAGCGAGATAGAAAGCGGCCCTTTCTACCAGAATTTTCCACATTCGAGAATCTCTTTTCACAGAGGGTCCCGGTAGTTTCAAAGAATCTTCAAATACCCTCTGAGCCTCTTTTATCAAGTCCTCTACAACATGACAAAAGCCATCGGACTCGACAACTTCATGAATATCTCGTATCCATTTGATCAAAGAATAAAAAGCTTTCGAAATGCGGACTTTCTCTCCCGAAGACTTAGACTCGGACGGGCGATAGAGAGACAGTAGCAAGGAGTAAGATGAGGCTAGCTATATTTTATCAGACGTTCAATCTACGGACCATGCTAGATTGCTTTCACAGATTTTATATTTCCAGTTTTACTCGAAAGGAAGATTCGCAGACTAGCTGCACCTAGTGAAGTAGGCTTGACTAAGGCCTTGGCGGAAGGGTTTGAGGCACTTATAGTGTGAAGCATGGAGGCCAATTTTGAATCTAATTACTCAAAGACAGCTATCTATTAGCCTTAGCATCTGGTACCTTACCTACCTTACGCACGGAGTATATGACCTCCATAGAGTTTGTCTAGCAGTTCAAGGTTCCCCGCATCCCCAAAAGGCCAGCCAATAGGAAAGACCTATTTCCCCGCAGCTACAAGGACGATGATGTCACTGAATGTTTGTGATTTTCTCTGTTCAGCAGGTGTATGCAAACAGAACTTGATTTTAGGAAAGGTTAATGACTGTAGTATAGAGGGCCTGGGCGGCGAGTAGGGTTAACAGACAGAACATGTTTTGTGTCAATTTGGAGTAACAGAGGAGCCGTTTCGACAGACTAATAAAAAGAGAGATTTGAAAAAACTGAAAGGAAAATCGCTCGAAATTGCATCCATGATAAAGCAGAAACAATCCATTGACCATGCATTTAGAGGTAAAGATAGATATATGCACTCCAGCATTGAGGCGTGACACCTAAGTAAGGGTGTATCCGCCGTCGACACGAAGATCCGCGCCCGTGATATACTTGGAGGCATCGCTAAGCAAGAAGGTCACGGCACCCATCAGATCCTCGGGTGTCCCCATCTTACCAACGGGAATGAGGGAGGTCCACTTATCGCGCAGCTGGGGGTTCTCATCGAGGATCTTGCGGGTGCTGCAGTCAAGGAAGAATTGATAATCTTAGCAAAAAGACTCTCCAATTGCACCGGATGTCTCTCAAGGAACACTCACAGAGCAGTCAACATGTAACCAGGGCTGATGCAGTTAACCCGAATATCATGGCCGGCCCATTCAACAGCCAGCGACGCTGCCAGATGACGCACCGCTGCCTTGGCCGCGTTATACGGTGCCTGGGGCTGGGGCACATTGACGATCGAGCCAGACATGGATCCAATCATGACGATACTACCGGGAGCATTACGCTCCATCAGGTGCTTAGCCACCCCCGTAGCGAACAGGTATGTACCGTCGACATTGACGCCCCAGAGTTTCTTCATGCGGTCGAATGGGTAGCTGATCGCGTCGAAGTTCTCGGTGAAACCGGCGGATGTGACGAGGTTGTCGATGCGTTGATGTTTGGCAAGGACTTCGGCGAGGGCTTCGTTGACGGAGTCTGGATTTGAGACATCTGCGTAGTGTGCTGTGACATTGGGCATACTGTGGGATGAGCGGAGTTAGCTACCCGTAGCGACTTTTACTAGCGAGTATATTGTTGAATGGCGAGGGGCGTGACAAGAACGGAGGGAACATGACACACTTACTCCTCTAGACCCGGGTTCTCTTTGCGGAACTGCTCGACAAGCTTCTGAGCCTGCTCTTCGGCCTCGGCCTCTGCGCCCATCAATTAGCATCTCACCAGAAAGCTGAGCTCGTAATTTCGAGCCAACGGAGCTAGAAGCTTTGAATAGCAGAAACATACTGTTCAAATCCACAATAGCCAAATCCGAGCCGGACGCCACTAAACCCTGACCCATAACTAGACCCAAACCGCGCGCACCGCCGGTCACCATGCTGACCTTATTCTCGAGCGAGAATTGAGCCAGGGTGCGCTTGAAATGCATGCCACCGCGGCCCTGAACGACGGGTTGGGCAGGCATCTCGCTGTCGGGTGGATACTCGATCTGCACACTTTCATCGGTACGGGCGAATTGGCCCTCATGTTCGCCGGAAGCACCTTCGGGAGCTTTGTTGGTGGCAGCCAGAATGGGGTCGTCCTTGGGATCATTTTTCTTGTTGGCTCGCGCCGTGGTGTAGGAGAGTGGGCGGATGAATGTCGAGCTTGTTGCCGGGCGGGCTGTTGTGTTTAGTGCCTTGATGGCCGAACGAGCGACCGTACGGTTGATCATGACTGTCGTTAGTTTCGGGTTTCCGGAGCTGAAGCTGCTGGAAACCGAGAAGGAATTGGGCGGGAAAGAGGGTGAGAGGCCAAATGATGGTATGCGCGAGTAGAAAAACAAGGTCGTCGTCAGCTTCCAAGGAGTAAGTATGCACGCGCAGAAATAGGGATGGTGAGGAAGTCGATAGGGAGAACAGATCAGATACAAGAAGAGCTGCTAGAAAGAGGGCATGGGAGAAGTAGATGTATAACTGGCGGAGAGGGTCTACTTTTTGAGTTTTAGCGAGTTCTTTTCATCGAATGCTAGGTGAGTTAGCAGTGGACAGGGATGGAAGCTCGAGCTTCTGGAAATGACCCCAAAGACCTGGGGAATGCAACACTTGCGGTGAAACATATTCGTTAATGATGATCATTCCTAATCAATATAATGATAAACAATTATAGTCTTATTATCTAATTCTTGTCATCATATTTCATTCCCATGATAGGCTCCAGGTCTCCGTGGCGTTCGCCTCCAATGGTTGATGGACGTGGGGTCAGCGAGTGGACGGGCAATTAAGTTGGCGGATTTGAGGATCTATCTAACTAGCTTTGGAGAATGTAGTAAATTATGAACGAAATCCAAGGCCAAAGCTACAGTAGTGAACTGACCAGCAGCCGATTCCTAAAGCAGTGATGTCAGCTGGACGCAGTTCTTACAGCTCCAAACGCCAAGGGCCCCGGTCGATCGATCGGATAAAGTACCTCCAGCAAGTACCCCGAACGTGTAACAGGAGCACTTGTACTCGGCGAAATACCAAGAACATGATATGATTATTGGCAGCTTCAAAGAGTAAACTATTTGCAGGTACTGGCAACTAGAACATAGTACCAACCCCGGTCTAAGGTTCTTAAATTCTGTCAATACCGGTGGTTCTATATCCTTACCATCGACCATTTTACGGCCCCAATTACACTTGGTCAATTCCTTTTTTGCTTTATTAGATTTTGAAACCTGGCTGTACAGAGTATAGATGGCGCATTTACCGCCACCCTATCTGCTGTCACACCGCTGTGCCCCTGACGCATTTCTTTCGCCACACCCCCAGCTGCCAGACCTGTCGAGTCCGGGACGCCAGGTACAACGTTCGCCTGCCGGGTACATGTACCACAATGCACCAATTATCCGTATCGCAACATGCAGGTATGCGGTGTAAAGCCTAGGGAAAGTGGCAAACTTACGAAGTACTAGAATGACGATGTAGACATACCAAGCTTGTACATTCACTTGTACGTATTGTGAACATGTTTCGATAGATATCTTTGCGCTTGGATACGGTCGAGCCCGTTAGCGCCCTGTTGTCGGCTCCACTTCCCTTGAGTCTCCATGACCCAGATCGTGAGGCCAACCAGTCATGGTGAAAGTCTAAACTCCGTGTCGCACGCTAAGAAAAAGAATAGAGAGTCGCGCCGGTCTTTGAGATCCCTATCATGGACAGGCTCTCCTACGATAGCTGAATTGGCTCTCTCAAAAAAGCCCTTAATCCATGGGTAATAGATGTAGTAGACGTTGCTGTGACAGCTTAGCCCGTACTTTTGTGGAATCGGGGTTCAATGCTGCGCTCCCGAAATGGCATCCCGGTCGCGAGCCTTAAACTAACCAACGGGAATATTTTCAGATATCACATTGATCTAATGTAATGCTATTCATAATTATTCAAGCTATATTCCATGATCGTAACTTCAATGCTCCCATAAACTCCAATTGTAACGCACCACTTTCTCGTCTACGCTGACTCGGGTTCCTCGGCGAATTCAACTAGGGGAGTTCCGCTCTTGCATTGATCCTGCATCGCACGTTAGTCAGATCTTCAAAAAGTCCATCGAAGCTTATCCAGCCTTGTGTTTTCCCGAATTGGGCCCGGGTGAGCATTAGGGGCAGCCGGGTCTTGCGCAGTGCAGAGGTGAACCCCCGCAGTTGGTCAATGAACAGATCACAGCAGAATCACGCGACCCGAGCACATGAGCTGCCCCTTGACTGCGCAGTGGCCACCGCTTGGTCGAGACCACAACAATCCAATTCTCAAGATGCGAGCCACGAAAAGAAGGAGGGGATTGGTGAAAAGAAGAAGGAACCATGTGACTTACACCTTGTTGATGAACCACGCGCGCAATCGTGCCCCGTTGTGGGCTCCGAATCACCGTCTCCATTTTCATACTCTCAATAACCACCAACGGCTGATCCTCTTCAACCACATCGCCTGCCTGCACTTCTACCCGGAGCACCTTGCATGGCATCGGGGCCAGAACGCTATTTGCCACGTCCTTCAAACCCAGCGCCTTCTCCATCCACTTGGCCCGTGGTACTCCCAGGCGGTATTGTAAGCCACGCTGGAACGCGATAATCGTGTCCGTCTCTGCGTCCTGGACAACGGTCGTGTCTAGCCGGGTGTGTCCAAAGAACGAGGTCACCACCCGCGAGACGGGATCCATTGTGCTGGTCACTTGCGAGAAGACGCGAGAGCCGACCTCGACGTCGAATGTTTGATCGGCTGTTTGCTGTACACGCACGCGGAAGGGGGTTCCGTCCGCGTTTGGCCCCGTGGATGAAGTAAACGACAGCTGCCGTTGCTGGTAGCTGGGCGCGAAGCCGACCGTGGTTCCTGCGAGGCCGGCAGAGGGCGCGACAGCGGCGGAATGAATATCACGGTGCAGGCATGCGAGAGCAACCTGGGCGAGAACTTCATCGTCGATAGTCTTGGGAGCAAAAAGCTCGTCGCGGTGCTTCTCGATGTAGCCCGTCTCAACCTCGCCAGCGATGAAATCAGGGCTCCTGCAGATGCTCTTGAGGAACTCAATGTTGGTGACTGGGCCGGCAACCTCATACTGTTCAAGCGCGGCACCAAGTTTCCGGATGGCTTCCTCGCGGGTCTCGCCTCGAACGATCAGCTTGGAAATCATCGGGTCGTAGTGGGCTGACACATCGTCACCCTCCACAAAGCCGGCATCAATACGGATGTCTTCTGAAGTGGCAGGCGTCCGGACATGAATCAGCCTTCCCGAGTCAGGGATAAATCCCTGATCGGGATTCTCGGCGTAGATGCGAGCTTCGATACCGTGCCCACTGCGTGCAATGCGCTCCTCCACTTCTTCTTGTGTCAGCGGCAATGGGGCACCCTCTGCCACCATAATTTGCCAGTGCACGAGATCTTGGCCGGTTACCATCTCCGTGACGGGGTGCTCGACCTGAAGCCGAGTGTTCATTTCCATAAAGTAGAATTCGCCGGAGTCATTGTCAAAGATAAACTCCACGGTGCCTGCTCCTTCGTATCCAACCGCAAGCGCAGCCGATCGAGCCTTGGCCCAGATGTCCTTGCGCGTAGCATCCGGGAGATGAGGAGCCGGGGACTCTTCCAAGATCTTCTGATGTCTGCGCTGAATACTGCAGTCTCGCTCTCCCAGAGCAACAGAATTGCCGTGCTTATCGGCAAAGACCTGAACCTCGATGTGACGGGGCGTAGTGATATATTTTTCAACCAAGACCTGATCGTCTCCAAATGAGTTCATGGCTTCCGACTTGGCCGACTCTAGCTGAGCCTGGAACTCGGCTTTTGAGCTGGCGATTCGCATGCCCTTTCCACCGCCACCTTTGATAGCCTTGATAAGAACTGGATATGTGATTTTGTCGGCTTCGGCTTCCAGGAAGGCAGGGTCTTGGTTGTGGCCGTGGTATCCTGGGACGCAGGGAACACCTGCAGCGAGCATAATTTCCTTGGATCGACTGCATATTTGTCAGTTATAGTCCAGATGTATCCATTTGGGGATGGTTCACACACCTCTTGTCACCCATATCTTCAATTGCCTTCCATGGCGGACCGATGAATACGATACCGGCCTCGGTACATTTTCGAGCAAAGGCGGAGTTCTCACTCAACTAGACAGGAGAGAAGTTGTCAGCTACAGCTATGGTTGCAATTTGCAGACCCTAGAGCCCAAATCTCCCAGAGTAGGGCAACTCACAAACCCATAGCCAGGGTGGATACCCCGACACCCTTCCTTCTTTGCAATCTCAATAATACGGTCACCATCCAAATAGGCCGAGACGGAGCCCAGGTTAAACGCAAATGGTGTACTCAAGGCATGCTGCGCTCGGCTGTCGGGATCAGTGTAAAGAGTAGTAACGCGAATTCCATGCTCCGCCGCGGTCCGTCCAACGCGACTAGATAGAAAATCAGCCTATGTTCCATACAATTCAAAACGCAATCTTCAAAATTCCGAGGTCATACGTACAGCGCAATCTCACCACGATTAGCAATCAAAATTGAGTCCAGGGTCTTGTTGCCCTGCGACGTACCCGCCACCGACGACGCAGCCCTTGTGCTCCTGCGGGCTGCGGTCGGCACAAGGCGGGGAGTAATGCGGAGAAGGGATGAAAGGGTCATGGCGGATGATGTGAGCAGCGAACTGTTGTGTATAGCTGCTGGATGAACCTCTGCCCACTAATTCTGGGACTCAGTTCGATTTCATGATCAAGATAGAAAAGTTGTGAAGAGGGAGCTGGGGAAGAAGGGCGGTCTTGATTCCGGGGGAGAAGCTCATAAGGACCTGCTTGAGCCGACGCAAAGCGAGATTGCGGGGAAAACCGAGGCTGACCTAAGCCCATACCGCTTGCCTGTTTGAGAAGTATAATGATGAGATACGGTGGGGAACTATTTCACGGAATGATTACTTTAACGATTTATGCTTTGAGGTTCGGAATAGAATTATCATATTCTATAAGACTGAGTAGGTAAGACTGAAATGCCATCGACCAGCAGAAAGCCATAATCTGACGGTAACAAGCACGGCTGTAAAGATATGCTAGGTGACATTTAGGCACCATGTGTTGACGTGACCGAAGCGTTTCATGAACAAGTCTCGATTTACACTCAGTGGTTTGTATTTTTAGGTATACTTCAGTTTTTCACTACGGCTTCACCGTTTCTCCAGACAGTTTTGATGTCACTAAGAGCCTCAATAGATTCTGTCGGATCCCCTGCCACGAGTATAACATCGGCGAGTCGACCTTCCTGGATCTTACCACGGTCCGAGAAACCGAACCGATCTGAAATCTTGGATGTTGCCGAAACAAGAGCCTCAAGGGGTGTGAAACGACACCGGTTGACATACATCCAAAGCTCTTGGTGCACTGAGAGACCGGCTCGAGTACCTGCGAGATCAGAAGAAGTATCGGTTCCACTATGATACGTGATTAGAACGAATCTCCAAGTCTATCTTGACAGTGGTATCTCACCAGAGGACGTCGATTCCCGCTTCCTTGAGAGTGTGGACCTGCTCATAGACATTCTTGATAGAGAACTTATCCGATGTGATGTGGAGACATCCCTGTAGATGCTCCTTCTCCGCGCCCTGAAGGCTACTTGCGAATTTATCCCGAGTTTCCTGCTCTTCACCACTGGAGGATGCATGAATCGCCAGTGTGGGAATGACGAAAGCGTTGTTTTTCTTGAAAGCTTGGACAATCTCCTCGTTGATTGGGTCGATAGATGCATGGGCTAGCCCATCGACACCCGCGCGTAGAACATGGAGAGTTGAATGGTTGGTGAGGGCATGGGCAACAGTCAGCATACCGTTCTCGTGTGATACATCGACAATAGTTTTCTGCAATTCCAGCGATGGAGTTGGGACAGGCCGCTCCGGGAAAGGCAAGACCATGGTATGACCATCCTCTTGCATCAATTTAGTGAAGCTAGGCACCACAAACAAGTTAGTCGATTCTTCAATCATATTTGTCAGATAAGAGAGACCTACGCAGCTCCAGCAGCTTTATTCTGAGCAATGAACTCCTCGACGGATTTCTTGTCTGTGAGACCGGGCCATTTGGAGATGCGATCCTCCAGCTGAAAAAGAAGTTAGAGAGATAGAATTCCCGCAGGCTCTTGGGAAATACGGACGTTTTCTTCCTGTGAGACAAGCCTCACGATAGCTGATGGCCAGCCATTCTTGATTGTTGCGCCATAGCAGCAGGACTTGACATCAGCTACATCGTTACGCTGTAAAGTGATCGCATTGATCTCTTTAAACCATTCTCGCTCATTGTGCATGTCAAGAACTGTCGTGACACCATACTGGATAGCAGTTTTGAGGAGCTCAACGTCGCGAAAGACGTGCACATGTGCATCAATCAACCCAGGTAGTAATGTACAGCCACTGGCATCAACAATAGCACAGTCTGCTGGCGGCGGAAGAGGCTTTCGAAGGGAGATTTGAGATATGCGACCGGACTCAATCAAGACATGGCCGCATTCTGATACGACCGAGACACCGTCAAAGATACGAGCATTCGAAATCAGTGTCGCCGACATTCTGACGAGGCTGGATCCACGTGAGATTGAGCTTGGAGGGTGAAGTGAAGAGGAAAGAGAAAAAAAGAGTCCTTGTCAAAGTGCAGATCATCTGTTTATAAATGCCCTTCCAAGTTGCAGCTTCCGCGCATGTCCCCCCCTACATATTGCAGGATCGTTGGCCAACTTCACCTATAAGCACTAATAATGCACAACAGTGGGGGAAATAGACTCCGGATTTCCAAATGCAGAGATTCTTGCGGCTCATGGCCCCCAACCTGACACGCTACCCACATCAACGACGAGATCGATGGATCCACTCTGCTGCCTAGCACTCTGCTGCCTAGTAAGTGACTGTATGTGGTTATCGCCTCTCGTATAGAGATTTACTCTGTTCGCGACCAGAATGCTTCAGGGATGTGAAAAGTTGACCAGCGACCAGGTGAAGGAACTATTCAACAATCGATTGTTCACCGACTTGACTGGTATGCCATTTCAGACCTTATATGAGGTTATTTAAGAATGGGAGAGGCAGATGGCCTACTTTACGGTAGTGACTATTCCTATACGCCCGGGCAAATTGTTGAGGATCTGAGCCAGGTTATGGACTTCCAACTTGAGATGTTTTCAGAGGCACAGCTTCAGAAAATATTTTCTGGAAATGCAGAGTCACTTGGTCCATAATAACCCTTGAAGACAAAGCGCGGCTTAAGAGTCCGGCGGTGATATACCTAGCTGGAATCTGCATATCTTCTGCTTCAAAAATCGAATGTCACCCGCCCGTATACACAGCATGAACTTCACGAATTATGCCAGTCCTATATATCAAGCACCTTATTGATGATGCAAGATTTCCCTCTTTGAATTAAGCCTTCTCGTTAGGAAGGTCCGTTGCCTCGACATGCCTGTTCACACTGTCAATTGCAACGTCGGATGCGATCTTAGACTCCTCTACACCCGAGTCTTCATCTCCAAGAAGGGCCAATAGACCGATCTCACGCTCGATACGGTGCTTTCGCTCTTCATCAGCAGCGGCCAGACCCGTAGAACCGAAAAGTTCGTCCATTTCCTCGAGAGTGCGGCCCTTGGTTTCGGGGACGAAGAAATAAACGTAGAAAGCGCCGATGAGGGTGATGACACCGAAGAAAATGAAAGCGCCAAATTGAGTCTTGGAGATAAATGGAGAAGTAGCCATTCCGACTGCAAAGTTGTTGAGCTGTAAATGGAGGTTAGCACATTGAGGTTATTGTCCATATTCCACGATGAGTGACTTACCCAATTACTACTTCCACCAAGAGCGACACCCTTGGCACGCATAGATAGTGGGAAAACCTCTGACACGACAATCCAAGCCACAGGACCCCAGGAGTAGCCGAAGTTGATACAGTAAATCCAAACGAAGACAACTCCAGCCCATGCAGCAGACTTGTGTGTGGCAAAGTCGTCCTTGAAAGCTCCGATGATACCAGCGACAATAAAGTGACAAGATGCCATGCCAATAGCACCTGCAATCAGAATACTCTTTCGTCCAAATTTGTCGACCCAAAGAACGGCAGGAATTGTGAAGACAAACTCCATAATACCTACAACACCAGTTGCGAGAAGGTCGATGGTGTTGCCAGTCAATCCAATACCCTTGAAAATGAATGGCCTATATTTTGATCAGCCCTTATTCACAAAGGTGCTAGTAATAAACTCACGCGTAGTAGTTGATCGCGTTGATACCGTTCCATTGTTGGAAGACCATGATGAGGCACTAAGGTTCGGCCAGAAGATTAGTTGTTGTCAAAACTCAGCTCGTTGGGGATACCTACCGCAACTGTCGAACGCTTGAAAAGGGACGGATTGGTGACCAGGGATTTGTAGTCGTTGATCAGCATCATGAATCTGCTCTTTCGAGAGCCATCTTGATATTGCGGATACTTGGCGGCCGAAGTTTCCTTCTCAAACATGTGCATAGCCTTCACCTCCAGGAACTCGATGCGCACCACCATGTCATCAGCCGATTTGTTGCGCAGCCAGGCCAATACCTTCAAGCATTCCTCCTCGCGACCGGTGTTCATCAAGTGCCGAGGAGATTGAGGCATGAAGATAGCCATTCCAATTCCAAGAATGATCGCCGGAGCCAGCTGGATGCAGACAGGAACCAGCCAGGCTGCCTTTGATTGTGTATCTCCAGTCCCGCCGATAAAGTTGCAGCCATAGCCAATCCAGAAACTGACCATAATGCCGAACGTGATAGCCAACTGCTGGACGGCGACCAGTGATCCACGAATCTCAGGGGGAGCCTAGAGAGTTGTTAGATTATACTTTGGACCTAAATATTTGATTCGGAGAGCGAAACGTACCAACTCAGCGTTATACAATGGCACAATCATACTCAAACTACCGACACCCAGACCAGTAACGAATCGACCGCCAAGGACATAGCTGACAGCTTTGGTGTTTGCCTGAACTATGACACCCACGCAGAAGACGCAGACTGCAAGGATGGTGGTCTGACGACGACCCATCGCGTCGGCGAGCCAGCCGTTCAGCAAAGTTCCGACCCATGCTCCGAGTTCAAGAATGGCAGTGGTGATGGCTTGCTTAGTGCCCGTCTCGGCGGCGTAACCTTCAATCTATGTGGCTTGGTTAGAAACGCCACGTGCGGAAGCAACCAATGTACAGAAGTTTACTTACCTCCTTCTGGAAGGAATTCATAGTCAAAATTGATGAGAACATTCCCTGATTATCTATTTTCAAGTCAGTATCGAAAACGTGTCTTCCATTCCGTAAACCTTCCCAATGGTTATAACTCACATCCATACACTAGACCTCCTAAGGATGCGAACAGTGCGATCGCAAACGTCCTCCCATTACTGACAAGACCTTTAAAGCCAGGCTCGCCGGCGAACTGCCGACGCTTGGCAGACAATTCATGGGTAACACCGCTAGGAGCCATGGCGCGAGAAAATTCTTCAGACTTGACTCAGCTCTCTGAAGGAAGACTTCACAACCGAATGCTACTTCTTGCAGATATATAAAGGGGCGCTACGGGCTTATTTGGGCGTCCGGGTTATCCCGCCATGTGCCGGGCTCATGGTGGATAACAACAGATGCTTGAATTGCTTGAGATCCTTGGTATTAACCGGACCACTCAGATCTTCCCATGTTTTGGATTGTCCCGGTGGGCAACATGCGACGGTGGTATCACGCTTGAGCTATATTGGTCGCCTTGGAGGACGATCACCGGGCGATTGGTCCCCCAAGGGTTGCGGCCCCGCTTCAGGCTTACGCGGGGAAGACTAGATGCCGGGGTCGCGATGCCTTTTTGCCTCAATTGCTTCCTTCAGGGTGATTTTCCGGGCTCTCACCGGACTCTGTACAATACATGTTTGGCTCCTGGGTGGCTAATGGGATATTTCCGATGAAAGGCAGGAACTTTGCTTCGTGGTGTTTCTAATTAGCGTACCGTATACGCGCATGGGGTTTCTAACAGCCCAAGACACTTTGTTGCCCGTAAGGAGGCACTAACAAAATGGGACTGGCTTTACCAATTTAGCCTATTCTTGACACTGTACCACATCATACAATTGGTCAGCAATAGAAGAGTCCGCATGATCTCCATTATCCCATGAACGGAGAAGAAGCAAGCTCTTTCTCCATGAGCTTATCCGGGCTCAAGGGAGAGCGGTTTACGACCAGCATCTAGACACTGTGCCAGTTTGACAGGCAGTATCCCGAGAGCAGAGAAAAACTCCAACAAGAATTGTTTTTGTTTCCTCTCTTTCGAAAACGGATTTGTAAATTCTTTGTGACGCGGCCACTACCCCTGGCCTATCGTAAGTGTTACTGAATACATGATGTCGAAGTTTTGTCAGGACTTTGACCTTCTGGAAATGAATCTCTCTGCATGTACTACTAGGTGCTCAGAATTACGGCCTTTCCGCGGGTATCACTCGACCGCCAACTGTACGACTACCAGAAGCACCGCCACGCCGTACCTGGTCCACCTCCCATGATTTCATAGTCTCGTTATCGGCTTCATAGCACTCATATCTTCGGAGATTATGCAGTGGCTTCCCACCCCACAGACCTATTCGGTTGATCGGAATGACCGCATCGTCCGTAATAGGACCCACATCCCTGATCACACCGGGGATCTCGTCAAGCTCTTTGACTCCCTTCATATCATACGCAAGAAGCATTGGGAAGACACCGTCGCCAAGTGCGGCACCGAAACGAAGCATAGCAAACGAGTCGAGTCGTTGAGTCCATCGTGGGGCCCAACTCCCGTAGCAACAGAGTGCAAGCAAGAGTAAGAGATACGGCCCCAGAAAAATGCTGACCACGATCAAACCGGCGAGACTGATATCTGGAATTTCCATTTCAACTCCGGGGTCTCGATAGATTGCGTAAATAGGCTGCAATGATTCGACCCACTGCTTGTTTGACAAAAAGGCCGCCGTCGTGAAAATATTTGGATGATTCCACGCAGAGTCGCATATGGTTAGGAGCCATTTTGCAATAATTCGGTGGGCATTTGAGTAGGTGTTGAGATAGATAGAAACACAAGTATCTTGTGCTACATATTGACCCTGAGTGGCGGAGAACAAACTCATCAGAGGCGCTAGCTCAAGACAACCGGTACTTTCATAGTCACTTTCGAGACTAGAGTCTTTGAAGCTACTTTGGAGAACGCTCGATGAGGCGAAAAAGGTTTCCAGGAATGAGCCCGGCCCAAAGAGAGCAAGTGCTGTTGTCAACAGTGGCCCCTTGTTATCGAAAAACCATGGTGACCATGGAACGTCTTGAGAGATATAATTGGTCGCATTTCCAATAATGTTCTCATCCCGGCGAGCGCGTTGGTAATACGAGTAGTGGTAGGTTTGCGTCTCACAGTTCGTTCCACAATTGGGCGTTGGATCGCTCTCAAGCAAAGGGCCTGGTGTCCCGTTGTTCATGAAGTTGGGTAGCTCAAAATACCCGGCAGTGGTCCGCAAATTGATCTCATACAAAGCGCCGCCAGCAGGCGTTCTTTCGATGCTTTGATCTTGGACAGAGACGTTGAGATAGAGCAATTCTGAGAAGTCTTGGCGATTTCGAGTTTCTACCCAAGGTGACTTTGACGTAACATTTGGCATACAGGCGATCACAGTCCAGGTTTCCTGGCTGGATCCGTCCATGTAGAGGGACGAGTAATTAGCAAAAAACCCCGAGAAGTCTTGGCTACACCCAGACGGGAATTCCTCGGCCTGAATGGACCTGGAAGTAGCGGACGAATTGATGCGCATGGCGAATTGCTGTAGGACTCCAGTGTGAAAGCCGTGCGGGATTTGAGCATAGAATGGATCAGTCATCGCAGAGAAATTCTTGAAGTTGGAGAGCGGTTGGTCTTGCATCCTTTGCCACAGCTGCGGCTGGAATGTATGTACGTCCGCATTGAGAAGGGCAGCACGAGTCCTCAAAACGTCAGTGCCACTACTACTATGGTAGTAATCGGACTGCTCGGCAAGATCGCCGACTGAGCCCATGTCATTGACGGAAATCGGAACGTGAATGGTCTTGGGATTGACCACAATAGACTGGATAGGGTAAATGATGGCCCCAAGAAAGTGAAGTATAATGGCCAGAATCAACAGTGAGCTTCCATTTTGCTTCCAAGTGCCACCGAATGCATCAGACAACCATGAGATATCCAGCCATCGGCGATCTGCAAGAGCCATGACTTGTCGCATAGTCAATCCCATGCTGTCTTTCTGATGTTGCATATATATAACCGCAGCATGGGCACATACAGCCGATGTCCATGGCAAAATGACAACAGCGAGAATGGACTGGATCACTCTAGCCGAGCGATAGAGCGAGGCATCATAGCTCCAACCTAGATTTTTGGATCGGGATTTAGAGCTCGTGTTTTCTTGCCACGAGCGAGCGCTGAAAGGGCGAACTGAGAGAATTGCGAGAATGACCCAAGAATAAACGGCTAGGGCTGCAAAGAGAACTGTGATGAACAAAATGAGGCCGGAGCGATGGAGTGTTGCGCTGTGACCGAGTCCCGGTGATTGATTGGCTGGAGGAGCCCGCGAGTATGCTGGAAGATCGTCGTGCTGACCATGCTCTGAAGCCAAATCATCGGGTAGGTGTCGAGCGGAGTGCCTCGGCGTTTCGTCTTGGATGCTAGGGTCCGGACCTGACCCTGTTGAAGGCTGACCTGTGGAAGGCCTTGAAAGCGCCCGCAAATGGATCGCACTGTCAGTATCCGCCATTAATAAAAGTGGGAATGGGTTGTTAGAAGCAAGATCACCTGAAATGGCGCGCCTACGTGTATTTAGAAGAGCCCCCACAACGAACCGGGCTAACGGCATTCTACAGTGGTGATAAGGGGTGAGCGCCCAGTTCTCAGTTAATGGAGTCTCAATCTGTGAGAAACTGGGCCTCATGGGGCTGAAAGAGAAATCCAACTAGCGACAGGGCACTGAGGAACTTAGCCAGTGAGAGCTGCCACATGGAGGGCAACTAAGACGCTAACTATGTAGGCCGCGACATCCGTCAAACTTGGCGAGGCCTGTGCCAATTGCCCACAGCCAAAAACGGAGGGCGAAGTCTGGGGTCGGAAATTGGGGCTCGTAATGGTTAAACGGTAACCTAGCGATGGAGCCATGGTGATCGATAAGCACTTTGTTGCTATACCTGACATGCAATCCTTGCGGAGGGCAATGTGAAAGGGGTGACGCACCTGGGTGCATACACCTAACAGAGGCAACTTGGAACAAGGCGATGTATTTCATTGAGCATAAATTGTATCAGTCAACTCAGTCAACGGGCTATAGGTATACCCCTAGCTGATCTGGATTGAAGTCAAGTTCCATCGACTCCCGCCTGAAATCGAGATGTCTTTTCCATAATCACACCGGGATTTTGGAAGTGGAGCCCCTCGGGATTTGAGCCTCTAGCCCACGCTCCGAAATTCAAGTATCGGTATTCTAGAAGGAAAGGGTATGCCCTATATTTGAATAATGATTACATCATTTAAATTGAATATGTATTATGTTCATTGCGTAGGCGAATCGAAGGCTTCGACCAGTATACAAGCCGGTACCTCCGCCCCTGAACAAATTTTAGTCAATAATGCTCTAAATAGACGTGGAGTCATACCGTGCCTACGCTAATATTCATCTCGTCTACGAGTTGAGCAATTTTCTTAGTGAGTGGCTCACCCCCGTAAGCTTTCAACCCATTCTTTTCATCCTCCTCAATGACCGAGGCTAGAGACCCCGCGGGCTGGTTTTGCACAGTTGTCGTTTCGGGAATCATTTCTATAATTTCCTTCCGAACGTCGTCGGCCGGCTTCGGTAATTTGCAAGGTTCCATCGACATCATCACACTGCTCAGCAGAGACTGATGCGCTTGAGTTAGCCAGGAGTAGACAAAAGAAGGTCGGAATGCTTACACGGGAAGGTCCCCTAGTTGGGCATCGAGTCACTTGTATTGGACAGGGGTCTGGGCCGGTAGTATCAATTACCGATCGATATTCAGCTAATGTCTTCCCTTTCTACCTGCATCAGCCCCAACCAGTCTGGCAGCTATAGTCTGATGGAAACTCGCAGACAAAAACTTCGTGGGCTGTCAAAACTGCAAGAGGTCGGGCTCGCGTTCAACAACATGAGTATGATTCAAGTCAAGTCAAGCAAGAGGGGGGGGAAAATGAACCAGTAACATGGGGCAAGCGAAAACGAGGTTCTGGTGAGTTTATCTCGGCCGCCTCTAGAAGCCTAAGTGCCTCTCCAAGTCGGACTATTGTCTGATTTACAACAAGGTGAGTATACCATTGGAAGCGATTGTATTAAATCCCTGTGGATGGGTCATATCCATTAGAAGACTCGTCTGAAGCCTGATTCAGCGAGAACAAACTATGAATTAAAGGACATCAGTATCAAATGAGGAGAAATTTTGTTGTGCCGTTGCAATCCTCATTCAATGCCAGCGATACCCAGCAATAACCCAATGCCCTGTAAAAGTCCTCGGACGTGGTGAAACCTTCTCTGCCCCAAAGCTTATCTTCCTTGTACTTGTGTAGGTCGGTTGAATCTGCGCAGACGTATTAGTTTGCGCAGGGTCCAAAACACAGAGAATCCAGACTACTTTCAATAGCACCGTTGAGAATGTAATTCTACCGGGAAAATTTCACGACTAGATGCCTCATCTGCATAGTCCATTCTGCGCTTGACGATGGACATGTTGGTTTGTATCATGAATCAAGAACGAAAGAGGGTGATATAGGCTGCAAGAGCAAGATAGCCCCATGTTATTCACTTTTAATAATGCGAACATTACCTTGAAGAGCATCATATAATGCCCGCGTCTTATAACTACTCCGAATTTAAATGAAATGTTGGTGTCACCCGACTGCCGATTAGACTGCGAGCCCTATCACGTCATTGACAATTGGTTGAGCTAACAGAAAGGGCCGAGAAATATAGTGTACAAAGAGGCAAGATTCGTATGCATTCAATTCAATTCAATTCTAGTGCTGGCTGGAAACGCGGCTTTCTTAGGGGCTTGAAACTTGACGAATCCGACCGTTGATACCTACAATTAAACCTTCACAGCTGGGATCTCGAGTCATTGTGATGCTCTGAATCAAAAACATTCGCAAACATAATCACGAAAGCATACATTGTGCACCCTAGTGCCCCGTCAGTCAAAAAAAAGGACACCTCAGAAAAAAAGTGGAGCCGTGATTGAAAAATGCCAAGGCTTACATTAGCAAGGCTCCTCTTTCAATGCAAAGATCAGCCGGATCTTCATCATGTTCGTGACAAACTTCACCTTTACGCCTTCTTTCGCATATTGCATAATTCCTGCGTGTCCTGCGTCTCGTACATACTCATGATACATCCAACTTCCATTTGATACATCTGGTCTCGTTATTTCTCTTTCTTCTCCATACCCCGACCTTTCATTATCCTGCCTTCGGAGAGCGATTGAAACATGTCCGACGACGAGGACTACTATGAGTGGGAGGAGGACTACCCCTTTGAGGACCTTGTGCCAGATCTGGTGGTAAGTGCATACCATCTATGCAGACGTTGCGGCCTGGTAGAAGCGGCGGCGCTAAGTGTATGGTTAATGTTTAGGACGAACTCGCCGCATCCTCCAACTACGAAGCGACAATGTACGAGGACCCGGATGCCGATCTTGCAGAGTACCTCAGCGACTGGGAATACTACTCGGATGACTATCACGACGATGACCCCACCGTGAAGCAATCAAAACGAATCGATGCCATCCCGAACACACGCCGAAAACAATCTGCCATGCAAGCGAACCGAGTCTCCGCGCCGCGGTCGTCCCTGGGGCCTGATATTACTTCGTTCCAAGGTGTCATCTGGCGTACACCGGGCATGGGCGATGACCTAGATCTTGCTGTGCAAATCTACGAGCCGGGAAATGGGGAAAAAGTGGCGCTCTTGGAGAACTGGCGGGATATATTCAAGTCTGTTCAGCCCGCTCTGGACAAGTCGCGGCTACGCAAGAGACGGGCAGTAGATACTCCGTCGGTCGAACCGGAATTTGCGGACGATGAGTTTCCCTGCGACGATGATGAGGAGGAAGAGGACAGCTCCATCGAAATGTCCGATATCCTGTCGACCGACAATATGGCCGACAAGGATGATGCCGGAGATGCCTCGAACACTACGCCGGAAGAGCTGGCACAGTCGCCGCAGGAGGTGCCGATGCCGGTTGATTCGGCGTCCGAGAAGAGAGGCCGCAAGCGAAAGGCCGAGGCTCCTCCAGAGGAGCCGAACAAGGACAACCCTGGCGGAGACAACGCAACACGGGTGCGGACGAAGCGGGTGGCTTCGGAGGCTTCGGCAAAGGGAGCTGAGAAGACGGCAAGATCGGCTACTTCGTCCGGCCCAGTACGGAGATCTGCGAGGCAGAAGAAGTAATCTAAAGGACCTTTGAACATGACCTGGCGTTTCTTAATTCATAGTGCAATCACTTCGGTCATGAGATTTAACGGAAAAAGTTAATGAAACGCAGTCACTCACGAGCACCTCGGTGATCTTTTATTCAAGTAAGGATATGTATACAAGAATCCACGTGCCTTGATGGTGGTAACCATGCACGCGTAAGTGAAGGGACTACAGTAAATGACTTGACTCTCTAAAATAAATATATATTCGTGTGCTATGTAATGAATGAAGCTCTGTGAGTTATATGACTTCTGCTCGGTCATCACCTAGCCGCCAAACCTTTCCATCGTTCCCCTGGCTGCTTCACATTATTGACGGACAAATACAGTATGGCTGGCTTTTGCTACATTCAAAATCAAGTAGAGACATACTCTCCACCGCCCGGTATGATGGTCTTCATTAAAGCATGAATGCCATCACGAAGAAAACGAAGCCCAGCCATCCTCCCGGGCTATACGATTTGCTCGCAGGATTGAACGTAGAAGTGGTAGCCGGACTGGAGACGGAGCTGGAGGATGTCGAAGAGGCAGTAACCGAGCTTGTGCTAGAAGAAACTGGAATTGGCATCACTGTTGAGGAAGAGTCTGCGGTCGAAGGAGTAGCCTCTGTAGATTGCACCGTCGTACTGGTTTCCACTGGCATAGCAGTGTTATCAGTTGAAGTTGATACCACCACCGTGCTGGTTTCTGCCGGCGTAGCAGTGTTATCAACCGAAGTTGCGCTAGGAATATTCTGTGGTTGGATGGTCGCAAAAGTCGTTGTCATCGTTACCAGGCCTCCAGTAAGTGGGGAGACCGCATAAGGGGGATCGAAGAGTCCAAATTGACCACATGCATTACAAGGCGAAGCCCAAGACTTGACGGGCTCGGGGGCCAACAGGATTGGGTCACACCGGCCATTTGGCTTCGCCGTTGCAATCACCGAGGGAGCTTCGGTTTGGGGGCAGTCTGTACCGAGATCGTTCAGGGTAAGCTGGCGAGTAGCTGAATTGGTGACATCGATGGTTGAGACTTGATCTAGGTCGAGGGGGAAAACTAAGCTCGTGCCGGATGGACCAGCGCGACCAGCGGTATTATATCCATAGAGAGTGTCGATGACCATGTACACCGACGGCGAGGTACTAGGGTAAAGACAATGTTAGCTAGAGTAAATGACCGGTGGTAGAAAGTGTTCTCACAAGGTGTAGTTCAGATGCGAGTTGACATAGGTGGACGGGTAGATGCGTTCTGGATGGTCTGTTGGCCAGTAAAACAAGTTTACAGTTCCGGCAGACCTTTTATATAGGGTTAGTAAGAGATATCAAAGTAGAACTACCTGTGCTTAGATCGGGGAACCTACATGCTGCAAGTGGTTGGACATGGATTCGGGGCTACCGTGATGGTTGTTGGCATCGTAATCGTTGTTGTTTGCGTGATAGTATCCGTGGTAGTGTCCGTAGTCCTCTCCGTAGTCGTGTCCGTGGTAGTTTCCGTAGTTGTGTCAGTGGTAGTCTCCGTAGTAGTGTTCGTGATCCAAGAAGTTTCGGTAAAAGTAGTACTCGACCTATAATTAATTATTTAGTAGAATATACTAGGATATTCAAGAAAAACTAGATTTATGAAGTAAGTACCAATCCGTCGAAATTACCGACACAATGACTGTCGTGGTCACCGTCTCATTGAAGCATTTAGTCGTCAGGGTTGTTGAGGAATTCATAGGATGCGGCGCTTGAACGGTAGAAGTGGTCTCGATAGTGGTATCACTGTAATAGACTGAAGAAGGATCGACCTGTCCAGATGTACAAGTTGTAGACCTGCTGGTGGCTGAATCATGGGCTGGGGAATGCGCATTGCGAATAGCTTCAATCTGTTAGTTGCACACTTGAGACCTAGTATTTGGAGAGGTTCCCTACCATGGTCTTGAGAGGCTTCAACAAAATTGATCAGCAGGCCAAGTGCTGCCAATAATTGCAAAGTTGTCAGCATAGTGGCAGAATTTCCGACAATTGCACAACTTTATCGTGGTGAAGTAGGTACGAATGCGCAATGTAACTAGCTGTGCAATTGAGCAATGTACAATGTTGGAGCAGGAAATATTGCCTTTGCAATCGACAAAACAGTAGAACTAGGGCCAGAGATGCGTAAACAATGAACATTTAAGAATTTTACTTGGAAACATGTTGATGAGCCACTTGCCTCTTGATGCGGTCATCGACATGATGGCCAACGGTGGCGGAGCTTTAACTCTGAAAGGCAGGAACATAAAGTCTACTAGCTAAAAGGGGAATTATGTTGAGAGGATGTGACGGTTGAGTTCTTAATCAAACTTAAGGGCAAGAGTATCAACGAGGATATTGTTGACGTTGGTTCCTGATCCAAAGGGTGGAGCAGGTTTTTGGTCGACCCAGCCGGTTTTGGGGCCCGTCCGTGCGACGTTTTTAACGTGTCAGGGTCGCCCGTTGTTCCAAAGCCCCCATGGAAGAGCGACGATCCCTATGAAGTAATTGGCACAGGGGAGAGTGAACTCGGCAATGAGCTGGCAGTTCGAACTCAGTGCCCTGGACCCTGTCAGTCTTGCAGGTTCCTGTTGCGCCACTCGCCGCACGGGCACTTTTACTCGTGTCGTTGCTATATTCTAGGTTACTGCAACCTTCTGTGATAGGATTTCCTCCAGATATTTACGAGTGAGTTGAGCCCAAATGCTGTTAATTTCAATTTTAACGAGTTGTTGGGTGTTGCGATGTTTTGCTACCGGCCTGGATAGACGGTCCCCATCTGCTCTTGTTATTTCTCCCAGCGAATACTTGTAACATTTCACCCAAATCCATTGGTTTGTTTTCCATGCAATTCGCTAATAGTATCTTTTAGTGAAGGCAATGATGGACCTTGGAGCAGCTTCTACCTCCGAGTTGGGACTCCTGAGCAATCCGTTCGCGTGCTTGTCTCGACTGCTTCCCCAGAATCAATGGTTGTTTTATCGGACTACGGCTGCTCGACATCAGTATTTTCCAATGCGCCATCCGACTGTGCAGTTTCTAGGGGCACACTGTTCAATGCGAGCCAATCTTCTAGTTGGCAGGACTTGGGGCTTTTCGGTATAAATCAGGATGGAGTCGGTCTCGAAGCCAACCTTGGATATTATCAAAGAGCAGACTTTGCTCTAGATACTCTGAGTATTGGCCTGACTGGTCCAATACTGAAGAATCAAACTATTGCTGGAATTGCTACTCCAGAACCTTTTTATCTGTATAGATGAACCTCAATACACTTCTTATGAGCCATGGCTTGCTGACCCAAGTGTTTAGTGGGATATTTGGCTTGAACCCCCAACCCGTCAATTTTACTTCCCTAGGAAACTTCTCTTCACCTTCATTTCTCACGACACTAAAAGATGAGGGTACCATCCCGAGTCTTAGCTGGAGCTATACGGCTGGTGCCAAATACCGTAAGTCCAATCAAGAAATGTATCTCAAGGTTCATAGTTGGAGCTAATACTAAAGAAAACTGAATGATTTGCAGGCTTGAAGCAGGTCTACGGGCAACTGATATTCTCCGGCTATGACAATTCTCGATTTGTTGAGAATTCGATGTCATTTACCATGGCTGGGGACATCACCCGTGATTTGGTTGTCTATCTTCAGTCAATCAGCTATAGCGGATCAACTTCGGCCACGTTACTATCTGAACCGATCGCTATATTTATTGACTCTACTGATCCCAACCTTTGGCTGCCAGGAAGTGTCTGCGACGAGTTCGAGAAAGCCTTCGGGCTCACTCTTGACGGGGACAGTGGTTTATACTTAGTAAATGACACCCATAACACGGAATTACTCGATTCGAATGCGCAAGTGGCATTTCGATTGTCTGATGTTGCTTCGGGTGGAGAAGCTGTGACAGTCACTCTTCCCTATAATGCCTTTGCCCTGACTGCGAAGGCTCCCCTTGTCAACCACAGCAGCTATTATTTTCCCTTGAAACGCGCCGCCAATTCAACCCAGTATACATTGGGCCGTGTGTTTTTGCAAGAAGCGTAAGTGCAAGGCATTCGATATCTCTTGACCCCAGCACTGACTTGCCTAGGTATCTCTCGGTTGATTACGAGAGAAGTACCTTCAACGTCTCAGCATGTGCATGGCATGAAAATGCCCAACAAGATATTGTCACGATTACTTCCAAAGATTCTGCAACTTCCTCTTGCTCCGGGGGTAATTGTCAGTCCAGCAACAACGACTCGGGCGGCTCGTCAATGCTTAGCCACGGTGCCGTAGCTGGAATCGCAATCGCAGCCCTAGTTGGCGTCGGCATCCTAGCGGCAGTGCTCTTCTTCTTTATCCGCCGTCAACGCCAAAAGACTGCATACAAGGCTACTCCGCCAGAGACAGACGTATCTGTACTTTCCGGCCCAGTACATAACGCCCCGCCTTCAGACCCGAGTGATAGCTCTGCTCCACAGCCACCGTTCTGGTCTCCGGATGCGATCTTCGGTGGTGTTAGCGAGAGTCAGAATGGGCAAAGTAGTGGGAGTACTCGGACTCATGACCAAAGCGTCGATGAGAGGGGCATGGAGTTGGATGGTCATGGTACACAGATCAAACCTGTTTATCATGAGTTACCGGGCAGCCAGGTTGAGAATACACGACCAGAGCCGGAACTACAACGATCGAACACGGTTTATGCGTAATGTTGATTGTCAGTGAGACGGACCTAGTCCGATAGTTATCCCTACTTTCGTGAATATTTTTTAAATATATCTTCCATATTTCTTGTTCCACTTTGTAAGTCGTAGCTTGCAGTGTATATGTACGGCTTCTACCAGTGTAGACAAGGCCCTGGGTCTTACGATAAGTTAGCGGGATACGATTTACGTAGAATAATCGTTAGCAAAAGACACAACATTGACGACACGACAAAGTTCGTGGCAGATCCAGGCTAGTCACAATTAGGAATGCACCCCTTCAATATAAGATACTAATTCGAGATTTACATCGTACCTGCCAAGTCCTGATATATGGATAATTCTATACATCGAAGCTTCTCGCTGACCCTGTGAGCGATAGTATACGACCTCTCTTTACTTATACTTACAATAAACTGAATCACCATTCCACCGCCTTCCTACTATCATCCTTTCCTAGGGACTTTACTACAGTCTTTTTTACAGTCTTTAATAGCTATCTACTTCACCTGGTTGTTTAGAGATCTTAAAGAAGATGGATAAATAAGGGTAATGTGATGCTGGCGTATATAGCCGCTGACGATACTGGCATGAAGTGTTTTTATACAGGATTATGTATACATAAGGATTTGGCAGCCCTGTGCTATGTAAATCTTGAATGTATCATTTTGTATTTAAGGGGGGCGTTCCGAATTGTGACTAGCTTGGTCGTGTCACGAACCTTTCTGTCGTGTCGTTGGTGTCACCCCTTTTATATGTGTATGCAAAACCAAGCCTAGCTATACCCCAAACTTAAGCAGCATACTCCTTATTAAAAGCACGCCCAATAACCATCCGGCGAATCTCACTGGTACCAGCCCCAATCTCATACAGCTTTGCATCTCGGAGCAATCGCCCAGCCGAAATTTCATTGATATACCCATTTCCACCCATCAGCTGGATCGCATCTAGTGAGCACTCAGTAGCGCGCTCAGCGGCATACAGAATCGCGCCAGCGCAGTCCTGAGTGCGGATGACCAGTGGGTTGGGAGATACTGCGCCATTATCGACTTCACGTGCAGTGGCGTAGGTGTATGCCCGTGAGGCTGCGAGCTTGGTGTACATATCGGCCAGCTTGCCTTGGACCAATTGGTTGTGGGCGATGGGAGTGCCGAATTGCTTTCTGATGTGGGTGTATGGAAGGACGAGATCAAGGCATGCTTGCATGATGCTGAAAGGGGATGTCAGCCATGATATGGGTTGGGATCGGACAGGGGAATAGCATACCCAAGGGGTCCGGCACTTAGTACGAGTCTTTCCAAATCCAGACCTTCCATTAGGACTTTAACACCCTTGTTGACCTCGCCCAGGAGGTTCTCCCGTGGGACGAAGACGTCCTCGAAAATAAGCTCGCCGGTATTAGAACCACGCATGCCAAGCTTATCCAACTTGCGAGCACATGAAAAGCCTTTGAAAGTCTTCTCAACGACAAAGGCAGTGATACCTTTAGAACCCTTCGCGGGTTCGGTCTTGGCATAGACAACGATGAAGTCTGCATCGGGGCCCTAGGGACGATGTCAGAGTTGAAATCCTGGATTTAGGGGCAATCGCGCCACTTCACTTACGTTGGTGATCCACATCTTGGTTCCGTTGAGCACCCAGCCACCATCAACCTCTTTCGCGGTGGTCTTCATGCTCACCACGTCGGAGCCAGCCGAATGCTCAGACATAGCAAGAGCACCAATCTTGTCACCAGAAAGTAGACCGGGCAAGAATCGTTCTTTTTGTTCGGCAGAGCCATTCAACGAGAGTTGATTGACACAGAGTTGAGAGTGAGCGGCGTAGGAGAGACCGATACTTCCTACACGGAAATACTAGATTAGTTTGAATCTCATGCGAGTTTACTCAAATCAGATAGTTCTTACCAGATGCACGGCTGAGCTCTTCCATCACAATGCAATGGGCTTGATAGCCCATTCCCAAACCACCATACTCCTCGTTGGCGGTTATTCCAAGGAAACTGTATCACAAATGCTAATTAGTAACCTAATAATGGGACCACAAAATAGCAATCACAAGAAAAATGGAGACAGCGTACCCAGCATTCCCCAACTTCTTCCACATGTCGGCAGGAAACTCGTTCAATTCATCCGTCCGTGCAGCAACCTCGGCCGAAATCTCTCTCCCTAGCCCGGGCGTTAGCACAAATCGCACGACGACAATAAAGATCCCATACGTGTAAATTCTTGAACTCGCTCACGCAGCTCTAGCAAATCATCTTCGGTTGGTGGTTCAAAGCCCGCTGGGTGCTTGGTGGATAGGTTGCGCGCAACACCCGGGGCGAATGCGGGGAGATTGGCACTCCGTCGCAGTGAGCGCGCGGATGTGCGGAGGAGGGAGGGGAAGGTGAGACAGGCCATTGCAGGGTGTGGCTACAACTGGCGAGAGTAGTGTTGATCAAACTGGAGAGGGCACGGAGTATCAGTAAGTAAACGAAAGGGGCGGCGTTGCAGAGTATTTAAGATATGCGGAGAAAGAGAGAGCGGCATCCCTCGGCGTGGAGTGAGACCGCCCAAACATGGCGGATAAGAGAGTGATCACCTTTTGACCTGCCTTGTGTATCGTTCAGCGAGCAATTCTTCCGTCCTTTTCATAATTATTATATAGAATATTCCATTCTAAAATTTTCCAGATAATCAATCTATTTTCTCTTCCCACACTTATTGTCTGCCATCTCTCGTCCCAGCATCGAAATCCCCGTATCTGCTAGGCGGTGATGAGCAGCCTCGGGTACACGCGGCAATCCGCGCACCTCCGCACAATCTGGGGAACCTCTGAATAACTTGGAGTTCCCTTCTCCCTTTCTTAGTTCCTAACCGCAACCCTCAATTCAAATACCATATCTTGACCCAGAATATGACTCTTGTCTGATCCATCCTGACCTCCGAGTCTATCAGCACACGACCCTATCACTCATCTTGACAACTGTCGACTCCACAACGGCTACACTCCTCACATCTTCCCCGCAATGCGTGCCCCGTCCCCGCTCGTCCTCCGGAGTTTGGGCTCGCGCGCTGGACAACGCACCTATCGCCCTACAAACCTCCAACTACCAAAGACTCTCCTCCGAATTTCCGCACGATCAGTTGCCAGTTACACCCATCCCCACCATGCCTCGGCACTCTCCGTCCTCCCCACGACGGTGGATACCTCCTCGCCCGAGTACCGGGAAAACAGCCAGCAAATGCAAGAACTACTCGACCGCATGAGCAGTCTGCATGCCAAAATTGCCCAAGGCGGATCACAAAAGGCTCGTGATAAGCATGTCGCTCGTGGTAAGATGTTGCCGCGCGATCGTGTCTCGGCGCTGATTGACCCGGGTACTTCCTTCCTGGAGCTATCTCCGCTTGCGGGACATGAAGTATATGAAGGGGAGGATGTCCCTGCCGGTGGTATCATTACGGGAATTGGAACTGTGGAGGGTGTGAATTGTATGATTGTGGCCAACGATAGTACCGTCAAGGGTGGGACGTATTACCCTATCACGGTGAAGAAGCATCTCCGTGCTCAGGCTATTGCCCAGGAGAACCGGTTGCCGTGTATCTATCTCGTTGATTCCGGTGGTGCCAACCTCCCCCATCAGGCTGATGTCTTCCCGGATCGCGACCATTTCGGTCGCATCTTCTTCAACCAGGCCCGGATGAGCTCTCTGGGCATTCCGCAGTTGTCGGTTGTCATGGGACCCTGCACTGCCGGTGGTGCCTACGTGCCGGCCATGAGCGACGAGACCATCATCGTCGAGAACCAGGGTACTATCTTCCTTGCAGGCCCACCATTGGTCAAAGCCGCTACGGGTGAAGTAGTCTCTGCCGAGGATCTGGGCGGTGGTCAATTGCACTCTACCATCTCCGGCGTGACCGACTACCTGGCCGTCGACGACGCGCATGCTCTCATCCTCGCTCGCCGTTCAGTAGCTAACTTGAACTACCCATCTACAAAAGTGCCACACGGGCTTGAGGATGCCGTTGTCAAGGAGCCACTCTACGACCCTGCCGAGTTGAACGGCATCGTTGGTACAAACCTGCGGCGGCAGATCCCCGCGCACGAAGTGATCGCGCGCATTGTGGATGGTAGCGAGTTCGCCGAGTTCAAGCGTGACTACGGAACCACCCTGGTCACTGGATTCGCAAAGATCCACGGCCACAGAGTTGGTATCGTGGCCAACAATGGCATTCTCTTCTCCGAGTCCTCGCTCAAGGGTGCGCATTTCATCGAGTTGTGCGCTCAGCGACGCATCCCTCTTGTCTTCTTGCAGAACATCTCGGGCTTCATGGTTGGTGCCGATGCTGAGAAGGGTGGTATTGCCAAGAATGGTGCCAAGTTGGTGACGGCCGTTGCTTGTGCCGATGTGCCCAAGTTCACCGTCGTGTTTGGCTCTAGTGCTGGTGCTGGTAACTACGGCATGTGGTGAGTTTTCAGTTCCTTTCGACCGTATTATCCATTGATGTAATACATGTCTAACAATGTCATCTCTAGTGGCCGTGCCTACTCGCCTCGGTTGATGTTCATGTGGCCCAACTCCAAGATTGGTGTCATGGGCTCTGAGCAACTCTCCTCCGTCATGGAAGCAGTGGGAAAGACTGCCGATCCCGCCCTCAAGGCTCGGATTGATCACGAGTCCGAAGCGATCTTCTCATCCGCTCGGCTTTGGGACGACGGTGTCATTCCGCCAGCGCAAACACGGAAGATGCTAGGACTGGGGTTGGCCGCCGCTCTTGGTGGGAAGGAGGAGCCCGATATACAAACCCGATTCGGAGTGTTCCGGATGTAGATGGGTGAGCAGGGAGGCAGAGAAGACATAATTATAGAAACGAAGCTAAGGAAATGTATTCAATCAAGCATGTTATTTGTCTGAGACCCATCAAGGGCTGTTAAGAAGATCATAGCTTGACGGAAGAAGTAAGTTGCAAAGAAGAGAAAGCAAAACTTTGTGTGTTCAAACATCAGAACTTTTATACGGTCAACATCGGCTTTTTTGGTAGTTCGGGTAGGAACCCAAACTCAAGTATGTGAGGAGTGAAAGGTAAGAAGCGGCAGCAAATTGATTGCTGCCCTCCGTGTATGAAGATCAGAGTAAAGAAGGGAGAATTGAAAGGGTAAAATAGATAATAAGAATTGAATGATTTCAGAAGAATGGAGAAGTGGTGGTATAATGTGTGATGGTGACATGCGGCGACGCGTCTTTCTATCAAGAGGTGTAGTGTAGATGCATGAGAAGCATAGAGAAGAGGATAATCATGAGACATGTCAAAGAAAGATTGCGTGGAGACGGAGACAGGCGTGACTTAGCATAACTTGAATCGAGGAATAGATGGAGTCTGGGGGTCGAGAAACCAAGAGGCGTGGCATTCAGTGTTCATCCTCTCAAAGGATGATGCATGGAGATCGCCGACGGCCCTGTGATCCTTTCTCTCTCTTCCGGTCATGCCTGCTCGGGCCCTCGCGCTTGCGAGCACTGTCGGCATTTCCGCTCGGCCCTTGCAGATCCTTGCGGATGATTTGGCGACACAGATCGACAAAGACTTCATTTACGTTCGCGCGGCGCCGGGCAGAGGTCTCGTAGTAAGGGGCGTTCCCCCAGTTTTGGGAGAGTCCGAAGGCGCGCGCGCGAGGCACGGCGCGGTCTTCTTCGAGGTCTGATTTGTTTCCGACGATCACGAGGGGGACTTTCTCGTCGTCTTTGATGCGGATGATTTGTTCGCGGAGTTCGGAGAGTTCGTTTAGGGAGGACATGCTTGTGATGGAGAAGACGAGGAGGAAGCCTTGACCTTGCTTCATGTAGAGTTCTCTGTGTGGTGGAAGGGGGCGGGTTAGAGCTGTGCGGATTGATTTTTGTTGCGCGGACCTGATTTACCTCATAGCCGCTGCGGAAACTTTGTTAGCCAAAGAAGCAAGCATGATGATCATCGAGACTTACTGAATTGTTCCGTTCCAGCGGTGTCAAGACTGCATGTCATATGGTCAGCCACCTCGTATCCCTGCGCCATTGTTCTCATTCGTTGCATTGAAACCTACATCTCGAGTATGCATTGTCGGCCCTGTTGACGTTTGGGGTTTAGCAATTGATCGATGATCCGCCAGATATCCCAGAGACTTACATCTACTTCGATCTGTTTCCGATAGGAGTCTTCAATTGTCGGGTCATAGCTTTCAATCCAGACATTCTGGACAAATTGGGCTGTGAAATGATCAGTAATTGACTTTGAAGATTGCAACGAAGCTTCTCCGCAACATCACGACGGCACAATAGAGAACAGGGTGAGCTTGCAGGGGCTATATACCGGTCAGGCAACTCTTCCCCACACCACCTGCTCCCAGCACAACAATATGATATTCCCGTCTGGATCGTATGATTAGAGGCCGATATTGACCAAGAGGTCCCGATCACAACTCACTGGGGCCGCATTGAGAAATATCCACAATCTGCCAAGTATATTCACGCTGATGGGAAGAGAAAGTGCGAAAAGGTATGATCGACGAGACACGAACGGGTGGTCAATGGTAGCGGAGCCAGATCGCAGCAAGCGTGGAGATATGGTGGAGAGCGGATGCGTGTCCGGACGCGGTTGACTGCCGAGCTTCACAATAGTTCGCTTTCCACAGGTCAATGAGCCCAGGATCTCGCGTTGTATATTCCGTCCGCACCGTGTACCGCGGGCGTTTGTTCCCCTCAATGCGCTGCAGGCTCGTCCAGCTCCCCGTTGAGGGATAAGAAGAGCAAAGGAGTTATAAGGGCGGGACCGGTTACATCGGTCGTCGGATGTGCCCCCTTCAACGCACGGACGTCGCGATCACAGCGTTTCGATTGTCGATTGTCGAAGGTCCACCGAGGTGTGAGAAAGTACCGATGGGAGGAAATGGACGTTGGTAGTCGTGGAGGATGTGATGGGAGAAGGAGGAGGAGGAGTTGAATTCAGGCCGAGGAGAAACTAAGAGAACGGGAGGGGGGAGGAGAGTTTGGATGTGGTGGGATTGGACTGGATTGTGTTGTGCGGGACCTTTTTCGAACTTTAGTTTAGGGCCCCTTTAGTTTTTGTTTGAAGCAAAGGATTGGGATAGGGAGAATTTAAGGTATTATCTGATTCTGGGTGATTCAGGAGTTTGAGATGTGGGGGCAAGTGCGTACGGAGTAGGATCGGGATGATAATAAAGAGGAGTCCGTGAGTCTGCTGGCATTCGAATCCAACTCATTTTGGGGCTGCCCCTGTTCCTGTCGCAAAATCACATCATTACTATCGTTCCTGGCGGTGAGTCGAGGCCTGGCGGCTTTTTTTTGGGGAACCTCTGGGACGTTTGGGACTTTCGGCTTTGGCGACTCCACAATGCCTTTTCCACTTGACCTATTGATCCCGTCTCCGCCTGGCCGTTTACCTAAAACATCCCCACTTGTGCTCTCACTGAAGAATCTACTCCGTAGTTTGGGACTTTACAGATTGTTGATAGAGCAACTTGACAGGATTGATATGCGGTGCTGTTTTAGTGAGAGCAATGCCACTTCCCTCGCGGGGTCCCGGATACAGTATGGAATCCTTCGCCGACAAGGGTCATTCTTAGCCTGTTCTTGGAAACCGGTAGAATGCGATAGCACCGACGACCATCGAGAACCACCAAAGAGGAGTAATATAGCCTGAAGGTCCAGACTCATAGGAGTGATGTCATGGCCAGCATCGAATTAATATCGGTCATGTCGGTAAAGGCCGTGGCTAGTCTACACTGCCATCGAGTAGCAACCACGTGATGGGGTACTTTGGCTAGGAGGGTACTCCGTAGAGTTTATTGTATGGGATGGAGGTGGGGATGTTTTTGCTTAAATATCGGAAATCATATCCTCCAACTAATCAGGTTGGTGTAGTCGATTGGCTATGTCTGAACATTGCAACCAATAGTACAGGACAGTGGTGTCTATCGATATGCTGTCAAATAATGACAGGCTCCGAAGGGCTGGACGGCACCAATAGTCAGCCAAACACTCACGCGACCAGGTGACTGAACGGCAAAGATGCAAGGCACGATCAAACTATGCGAGGATGACTTGACCGTGGCAGTAAAAGAATCGGCGGATATGTTCTGATCAATCTCGTGGCCTAGAACAGCCCTATACGTCATATATGACCGTGGTGCGGGACGTACCGGACAAGCTCAGATCTCCTGTCGTGGCCAAAACATGGGGACAGAGAGGAGTGTAGCAGTTATATCGTTAAGAATCGTCATCCATAAAGCTCACGAGTGCAGACGACCCTGTAAAGAGTGGGTAGCCGGAGATATGCATAGAAGAACCGCTGTTTGTTGCAGTCGAGAATGATCACAATCAATAGCATTATTTAGAGGCTGGGGTTACACTGCACTTTCTTGATGTGCATGGCGCTCTTCGAGGTACTCAGCACACACAGCACTGATAGCCCTCTCATTGCCCGCCGATAGCCCACTTAAGCCTAGGCACAATGTCCTATAAGCTTCCAAAGCGAGCACGAAATTCACATGGCCCTCGCAGATGATCCCAGACCGAGTACGTCATGACGTCACGTGACTCTGCACGGACACGGACAGTAACCGCCAGCTCGACCGGTTGCATTCTCGTCATCCCTTTTGATTGCTATCCTTACTACTCTCATCTCGACGATATCGTGAAAAGATTCAATCGCCTATTTACCAAAAATGGCCTCATTCCAGGATCGTGCTCAGCACGCCGTTGCCCAGCTCGACAAGGAGGTGCGTTTCGTTCCTGCTTGTGACTCTGTGTTTGTGTGGTGTTTCGGTTTCGCTGGTGCCTCTTAGCTCGACCCATTTGTGCGCTGCATTGCGTGCGAATCCACCCAGCATGAAGCTTACCGAGGGCACCAGCAACTGCCAGCAACCGTTCATCCCGGCATCAGAGCAGCCAACCTGTGCGATAAGGCTTTCTTTTGCTGACCGTCAATTTTCTACGATAGCTCTCCAAGTACCCTGTCCTCAACAACCTTGAGCGTCAGACCAATGTCCCCAAGGTCTACGTGATCCTCGGCCTGGTCGGAGTCTACTTCTTCCTTGTCTTCTTCAACATCGCTGGCGAGTTCCTCGTCAACTTTGCCGGTTTCCTCCTCCCCGGCTACTACTCCCTCCAGGCCCTCTTCACGTCCGGTACCGCGGATGACACCCAGGTAAGTCCCAATGCCCTCGGTCGCATGTCCGCCCTTCTCATGGGACACATTGCTAACCTTAGAATGATTACAGTGGCTCACTGTAAGCTCCCATGACCCGTATTCTCTGCCAGCATCATCTGGCGTTTGCGCACAAGACACCACGCGGAAGCGGGCTTATCAGCTTCCACGTGATAGCCTCATGCTCTTAACGTCCATTTGACTAACTGAATTCTTGATAGTACTGGGTGGTCTTTGCCTTCCTGACCGTTCTCGAGAGCGCCATCAGCGCCGCTTACTGGTTCCGTACGTGTTACCGAGGTTCCCTGTTCACCCAAGCTTATCTTCTAACTTGAGATCCCAGCCTTCTACTACATCTTCAAGTTCGTCCTGATCCTCTGGATGGCCCTGCCCCAGACCAGGTAAGATGATGCTTCAAGTGCTCGAATGCAAAGCAAATCACTGACCCAAACCAGCGGTGCCCAAGTCGTCTTCCACTCTTTCCTCCAGCCTGTGGTTGGCCGCTTCTTCAGCCAGAGTGGCACCTCCTCCAACCTCCGTGCCCAGGCCGAGGCTGCCGCCAACAAGGCGCACTCCACCTGAACGGCTTCCGCAGAATGAGCTGTACCAGAGAGTCGTCCCGATAAATTGCAGTGACCATCGTGGCCGTAGCCCTTGGAGAGGCAGGTCACCGGTTCCCACGATTCTCCATACTCGTGCGAGTACGGTTTTACGACGAGAAGAGCTTAAGCGTTTTGACGTTTTTGACGTGTTTGACGTTATGGGTGCTCATGATTGCCTTTTGGCTTCAAGATGATGATAGAGTTGAGTGGTGGTGATTGCGAGGGAGGACAGTGGGTCGAGTCCGGGGTTGAACAGATATTTGAAAGGGCAAGGTTACTTGGGTTGTGATGCGTCTTGTCTCATATTTGGAATCGTAGAGCTGTGGTTGGTCTGATTCCGTGTCGTGTTTTCATCGTCCACTTAGTGTGGACGACGGGACTCGCATTCGGCTTTCCGATTGTTTCATACCTATATAACCATGTTGCTACGTACCTGGCCCTATGAAATGATCCTTGCACCATAGGATGTTAGGATATGAGAAAAAGTAGACGGTGGTACACTGTTGTAATTTCTGTACTAGCCGAGTCTCAGTTCTCAGCTAGCAGCTATTCCGTCGCGGTTGACAGGATCACGATTTAGACCACCATTTAGACCACCGAAAAAGCGCTGGCACAAGAAATAATATAGCGCCAACCCAGATATCCTTTGCGAACATGTAGCAGAACGCCAAAACTCCCTTCACTAGTTCTAAAACCATAATAGATAAGAAATTCGTATATCCAACCACCGGAGCCGGATATGAGTCAAGTCCATAAATCCAGGGAGTGAGTCACTGCCAGTCTAATACAGTCCCATGCGATTGCCCCAGTTATCCGCACGGGGATTGACGACAATCCGATAGGGAAAGGGGTTCGAGTCGCTGGTTGTAATAGGCGGGATATGATCTTTGTCTCGGTTGACGACGGTGAGAATTTTCAAGGCCGCTTTTTGAAGCATATTGCCCATAGCCTTGCGAACCTTAGCCCGCTCTTTGAAAAGGGATGTCAGCAGTGAATAGCGTCAAAAGATGTCCTTTGACAGGCTTTGGAGCGCCGCTCGAGCGCGTCCCAACATGCCATATATCAATGCCAAGTACGTACCTGACTCGGTGCGAGGTGTGGCAATGGTCACATCCAACGTCCACATCTCCCAGCAAACCTCCTCTTCACCCTTCCCAGCCAATCCACCAAACCAAAGACCCGAGCGACGTCGCTTCTTCTCGTAGAATTCGACGGCGATCCGTCCACGGACTCCCCCGCCACCCCCACCGACTACCCCATCCTGGCCACCGGCCGCCGAGGAAAGGTGCTGCCGGACCAGCGCATTCACGCGCGACTCGATAAGAGTTTCTAGGTCTGCGTCGTTGATGGCGGGTAGTGTTAGGTCTAGGACGTCAAAGCTGACCGGCCGGATGGAGGGGAAGTAGCGGTGGAAGAAGATGAGGTTCAGGACGCCTGTGTGGTAGTATTATATTAGCAAATCGTCATAACTACAAAGCGCCAGTAACCCCGCGACTGCGCGAGGACCAAATTGAAAGGTGCACCTTTCAAAACATCGCGCACCGTGGTCGTATCGGCGAAGATCTCCAGGAAGTACTCTGGAGGGGTTTTGCGGGGCTCCATTCCCCGCCCGCGAAAGAACGGCTCAGCACGCGGCGGGCCGTTTGTTGCTGGAAAGACCCTTGGGCAAAAAAGGTTAAATTTCACAGGAGCAAAGCGCCTGGTGCGAGTGTGCGAGGCAGTGCTGACGAGGTCATGGAAGGGGTTGTTGGAGGGTAGTTGGGGAGGAAGAGATGATGGGATGATGCTGCGATGCTCGGAGCGGTTGCTATCGGCCAGCGGACTGGGCCGAATGACGCTTATCGGCTTCTCATTGGCCAGGAGACGCTGGGAATTTGGTCATGGGAATCGGCAAAGGAACAGATCGAGGCAAAGAAAAAAAGAACTATAATGTCGTGAATAGGACCTGGAGAAACTAAGTTTGAGAATGAATTAGAAGGTTGACTGAGTGTGTTAGAGCGACCGGGTTTATTCTGCGGGATGGCCAGTTGCGCCGAATCCGGGGGAGAATGGGTGAACGAAGTTAGCTTGTTAAGGAAAACAGTGTATAACAGGACAAGAAAGTAGGAGTATGAGTGTACAGTAGGGAAATTTATGTCGATAAATATGGAATCAAAGGGATATCCAATATTAACATATTCCTAGACTCGAGCCTACTTCAAGAGCACATCACGGTCGTATCGTCATATCCTCCATGGGACCAAAGCCCATGGCCCAGTTCAAACTAGCCGAGGCCGAGAGTCTGGGGGTCTCCCGCCCGAGGCCTTCTGCCATCTCCAACTTGCCTCCTCCCATCCAACTCCATCCACTTCACATATCATGATTACCGGAGTTTGACAACTGGATCGTCCCGAACAGAGTACCTCCAAATATTTTCATCATGATTGGTGCCGCGAGGCGCTGGTTCCGGCGCAATCGCAAAGGTCTTGCAATCGGGGCTGGTGTGCTGGGAGCTGGCTACCTGGCTGGGCAATATGTACTGTCCAAGATCTCCGAAGCTCGTGAGCGCATGAGCAGTGACCGAATTGCCCGTGAGAAGTATGTTTCCTCTACCCGCTTGGTGGTGACCCCTTCGATGCCCTGTCCGGCTTCGGTTGGCACGCGAGCTTGTGACAGGCTTGATGCAATGACTGCCCAAGATCCGATTAGCTAACAACGAGGTATTTAGTTTGCGGCGACGATTCGAACAGAACCAGACCGACTGTACTTATACCGTTCTTGCATTACTTCCCACTGCCACGGACAATATTATCGAAGCGCTCCCCGTCGAGGAGCTGACGAAGGAGCTTCAGAAGAAGCGGGCAGAGAGGCTCGCCCGGTTGAATGCCGGGGATACAGCGGGTTCGGACATGACTTCAGTGTCACCCAGCATGACCGAAGATGATCGGAAGAGTCTATCGAGCTTCCAGAGTGAAGGATATCTCCACACCAGCCAGCTGGGCGAGTCGGTGAACTCGGAAGCCCAGGTCCCGCCAAAGCGGAACAAGACGCAGTTGTGGAACGAAGTTAAGATCACTTGTATGCAAACTCGTCTCTGTCAGCTATAGGCGTATATGCTCGCCGTGGTGGCTTATCATGATCGCTAATATCTCCCAGCCATTACACGGTCGTTCACCCTCATCTACACTCTGTCGCTGCTCAATATCTTTACCCGCATCCAACTTAATCTCCTTGGCCGCCGCAATTATCTCTCCAGCGTCATTTCCCTGGCTACACCCCCAGCCGACTCAACGATCAGCCTTGAGGATCACGATGACGAGTTGACTCAGACCCTTGGTGATGATTTTGAGACAAACAGGCGATACCTGGCTTTCAGCTGGTGGCTATTGCACCGAGGCTGGAAGGAGGTGGTAGTACGCGTTCAGCCTGCTGTGGAGGAGGTCTTTGGTCCTCTCAACCCTCGTGAAGATATCAGTCTAGCCAAGTTGTCGGAGTTGACCCTTCAGGTCCGGAGAAAGGTGGAAGGAAACACCGAGGAAGAGCGACGGTATGATGATCTCCAAGCAATGCAACATAATCGAAACGCGAGATGGCTGACATACGTTTTCTATTAGTGCTAAGAAGTGGCTGTCTTGCCTGCTGCCCCCAACAGAGGAGGAGGAATATGTGCTCCGTGAATCGGGCGTCGAGGGAGTTGCCGACCCGTCGTCCTCGCAGACTGCCTTGAAGCTCCGCCATCTTCTTGATGAGACAGCCGATCTTATTGACTCACCTTCATTCTCCTTCGTCCTTACACTCCTCAACAATGAAGGATTCTCCACCCTTGTTGACGCGAAGTGTGCCAACGAGGCCTTCCAGGCACCCGACTCGGCTGCCACAACTGTGCCACAGTCATTCGACTCCATGGCCACTGTTGTTCCCGCCTCTACTGAACGCAAGACCAAGCTTGCCAATCTATTGGCTGTATTGGCTCGCCAGGCTCATGTGATTGGAAACGGTACCCACACTCCTAACGAGTATCTGGTTGCCATGGACCAGAATGTTCGGGAACTGGAGGCCTTTTCCGCTGTCATTTACAGCTCCAACTTTGAGCTTGAGCTCCTTGGTGCTAGCAAGACTGTTGCGGCTGAGGGTGGGGATTCGGCCGAGTTTGAACCAGTTTCTTCGTCATTTGCCAATGTGACGCTTGGAAAGGAGCCGGAGGCCCCCCTTGGCGATGACATGGCTCAAAGCGCCCCCATCCTCGTTGACAATGATGTGCAGGAGCTTGATTTTGTCGTTTCTTCTGAGAAGCCGGCCCTGGAGGCCACTGCAGACTCTGCGTTTGAGCAGGCGTGGGGCAAGGCTGTCGATGATGGAAAGAGCGCTTCGGAGACTGAGGAACAGGCCGCTGCCTAAAATCTCCCCTGACGATCTTTATTTCAATTCTTGCCAATACCCTTACTTTGCATCGATCTCGTTATCATCTATGGGTGCTGCTATGGTCTAATTGATAGACTAGGTGCTAATGATTATATGTCTATATCATGTCGCTAGATTCAATTCAATACTCCTGTCTGTATACTCAATTGCCAAATTATGTACAAATGTCCCTTTTGTTGCATCACAATTTCGCACTCTGTTGACCATTCAGGAATGCCTTCACCTCGTTTGCAGACTTCTGTCCACTCTCAAGTGCACCGTCAACAAAGCCTCTCCAACCATCCGCCCAGTCCGCACTGGCAAAGAACACCCTGCCATCTGCCTTTTGCAACTCTTGGACATGACGGCTGAATTTGTTAGGTCCCCAACAGCTCCAGACTCCCTTGGCGTAGGGATCGTTCATCCAATCATGCGTGAGATACGCCTGGACATCAGCGCCAGGGTGAAGGTTCTCTCGGAACTTCTCGATGATCTCTTTGCTATCCTTCTTGTCCCCCAGGTGCCCGTTATATCCAAATCCGATGCACCATGTGCCTTGTGGGCCGGACGGCTTGTGTCCGTTGTGATCAGAAAAGGCAAAGACATAAGGCGAACCACTGGAAGCAGTGCAGGTCGCAAACCATCCCGGCTCGGTCGCGGCAAGGTTAAAGTGGATCTTGGCGCCCTTGTTGATATGGCCGGAGGCGATAGCGTCGGTTTTGAGGGCAGACAGTGGTGGGTTGAAAGTGATATCGCCGAGGCAGTTTCTGTGCGATGTTAGTCCTATCCGCATTGATAATGATACAGACACGCTCACAGAGGAATAGTTGATATCACCGCCTTTGCCTCAATTCGTCTGCCATCCTTCGTTTGTAGGGAGACACCGTTGCGACCTTGATCGACTTTTTCCACAACAGTGTTGAAGACCAAGTCACCCTTGAAGTCTCGCAGGATAGCTCGTGCAAAAGTCGTCATGCCTCCGTTTCCGAGTTTGTAGATACCTGCTAGCTCAAACACGGTGGCCATATTATGACCACCAAGAGCGAACCAGCGAAGCGCCTCGGTGAAACCGATATCTTTTCCGGGAGCACTACCGAAAGTTGCCACGTTCGATTCGAAAATGTCCTTGTCAAACTGCGATAAATCGTCCAACTGGTCAAGGCGCTGCTTGACAGTAAGATGGTCATACTTTTTCCAAGGAGCCGGCTCCCGGAACGGATCGTGGGGGTAGGGCATCAGAGTGCGACTATCCAGCCCATCAATTGAGAAGAACCTCGGTGCAACTCGATCAAGCGCCGCAGAGGTTTCCTCCGGTGGGATCTCTTGAACCGGCTTCCCCGCAGTCTTGAAGTACAACTTCTCAAGCGCCATAGTCCCCGCCGAGGTCTTAAGATACCGATGAAGCCCATATCGGTGAATTTCATGATAGAGGTGAGGCTGGTTCCAGTGCACCCAAGTCCCACCCATCTCAAACTCTTCACCAAATGTCTTTGCAGTCCAGGTTCGACCGCCGATGCGATCCCGTGCCTCGACGAGCAGGACTCGGAGTGCGGAGTCTTGGGCTAGATTGCGGGCGGCGACAAGTCCGGCGAATCCAGTTCCGATGACGACCACATCGTAGGTAGACTGCATGGTTTTGGAGCTTGGTACGACGGCGTCGGTTTCGAGGCCCTCCGTGGTGTTTTGTGGTGTCCACAGGAAGCCTTCTTTTGATCTAGTCATGGTTACGGTTGAGATACAAAGTAGTGATGAATGTAGAATTCTTATATTTGAGGATATATCTTACCGACTAAATACATCGTAGAAATATGGCTTCGCACTATTTCTACACACGTGGTTGGTGCATGATACTGTACTCGCACTTTTTGGCTCAAACTGGACTAGCGCGGACTGTAATGCCTGGGGAGCGGAAGGAGCTTATCGGAGAAAGTGGAGATGCACATTTCAGTGGCAAGGTCTCTGTCACGGGGAAACCCAGATTGTCTACGTATGTATGTAGATGAGCGCGACACCTCGACTGTGAGACTGTACTCCGAATACTGGGAAGGCTCGATTCCGGTAGTCACAGTATTTATTCCGATTTCATACTAATCTACGCACCATTCGGCCCTGCATTAACAGAACTCCTCCCAGCTTGAGTGGTATACCTTGAGTTAAACCGGAGAGGTCTGGGCTTCCACGGATGCATCATAAAGATCCATTGCGCGTTTGGTCTACGGAACGTCCAAACCACGAGATAGAACGTCGTAGTATGCGATACCCCTGCATACCGCATTAGTCTCTCTATTTTGTTACCCGATATCCCATTTCTTGACACCGATAATCACCCATGGGCCATTGACCAAGATCGCTTCACGTCTGAGTTGTAGAACGAGGGATCGTAGGGTACACTCCCATTCAAGTTCAAGATTTGCATGGCTATGCCAGAGACCTTAATGTTGGAGCTCGCTTGTTCTCTTTTTCAAGCCTCCGCACTACTGGGACCGGCCCTTTGGCCTTGTCACCAGGGTTTTATCTCCACCTACCATTCAATAATGTAACATCATTGAATCAGGCATTGATAGCCGTGATAGTCACAAGGCAAAAATTAAGAAAACGCATCTCGCACGCGCTGGTCGTTCAATCTTTACTGTGATTTCCACATAGCTTTCGAGCACCCGCGAGGAAATATTCAACCGTGCAACCTCCAGACAAGGTAATCTGATTAGGATCGAGCACGAAAGTTGAGTCCCTCTGTTTTTGCTAGGTGATTAGCCGATAATTATGCTTGTTATGCTTTGAAATATATCATTGGAGGACCCAAGGCGCTGCGTCTCGGGATCTTACCATTGCGATCTCGCTTAAACTGAGACTGCTCCTCAATCTAGTCAGTTTCATACAGCTTTGGGCGTTGGCAGCACTTGCTATCAAAAACCCTATCATTCCTGGCTGGAACCCTGATTCCTCTATCGTCCGCGTCGGTGATGAACACTATTTTCTCGCGCCCTCGTCCTTCATGTACTTGCCCCAGAAGTGGGATTCTCCAAGGTAACTAACATACTATGAGGAGAATTTTCCCGACTATGATAAGTGGTAAACCTGGCAATGATTAGTAATTGAATCATGTGTCTTTATCTGGTATAATAGGGACATGCACCTTAAGGGATCCTTTAGATACTGTAGGGAATGGAAGAACTGCCGAGCAAACCCCGGCCCTGTTCGGCAAGGGATTCGGCCGAAGGAGAGGAGTCGTCATTGGCTGAGGCACCCACAGGAAAGCTCCTGTGGAGCAACTAGTCACATGTTGCACATCCTCGGTATGACGAGCCTCAAAGCTTGAACAACTGAGCTGTGTCACTTGAGACTTCTTGAATCGCCAACGCTCGAAGAATGGCAACAGCTGCAGTATTTGGCTCTACGGGAGCAGTGGGCTCGCAGATCCTCGCAACACTGCTCGCCTCGGACGCATTCTCCTTTGTCAAGACCGTGTCGAGACGAATCCCGAGCATCCAGAGTCCAAAGCTCGAGGCTCTGCAAGAAGGCGACACCTCGAAATGGGGTGACATGATTGGCTCCATGGCACCGAAACCGTCAGTGGTCTTCAACGCGGTTGGCACCACTCGAGCTGCAGCTGGGGGGATTCAAAATCAGTGGAAGATTGACCATGATTTATGTATTGAGAACGCCCGGGCCGCCAAGGCAGCGGGGGTGAAGACTTATGTCTTTATATCTAGTACTGGGACCCGGGGCTTCCTCTCCAAGCGTGTTCCTTATTCGAAGATGAAAGTCGGCGTGGAGGATGCCATCAAGGAACTGGGGTTCGACCATGCGATTATCTTGAGACCTGGAATGATTCTCGGGAGGGAAGTTGCCAAAGCTGCATTTTTCGAATCTATTGTGGGGAACCTCAACAAGCTCGGACAGGGTATACAGGATCGAATCGGTATGATACAGACCCGTCAGGGTAGATGTTAGATGTGGAGTACTGATTCAGTTTGTACAGGCCAAGACCAGACTGTAATTGGGAGAGCTGCTGTTGCAGCAGCGATACTGGCTGAAGAAGGCAAAGCGCCCTCGGAGTTCTGGGCATTAGAGCAGGCTGATATTGTCAGACTAGGTAGAGAGGAGTGGAAGGAGTGATGCTTGTCACTCTTTCTTACTCATCTTTAGTGTATAAAAGTCTCGATGGAAAGGTCAAAATTGGAGATACAGATTACGGACCTCGCCAAATTATCATTTATACCACCACACTTTTTTCGTTCAGGACTTCCCGGGCTTTCGTGTATTTCAGGCTTTAGAGGTCGTAGCTGGGAAACGCCCAGAACTGCCAGCCCTGCTTTCGAACGAAATATCCGTGAATTTATAGCTCCAAATACCACTCATACAACCGAAAAACATCATAGTTTTTGGACGACAAGCGAATAATGACTGAGTCATCTGATCTGGCTCCGACCCGACCAAGAATGTCAAGACTCACTACATGACGTACGAGCCCGTTTTCTACGAGACGGTGGACCAGCACTTGAGCTTGCCCACCTTCAGCTTTGCTCCTGATCGAGACGGGCCCAATGGATACTTTTCCGTTGGCGGTATTCCCCCTGTCAACACGACGGGTAAAACCGCCTCCGCATCTATCCTCACTGTAAGTTATCATTCTTCCAATGAGAAAGAAATTGTATCATTGGCTAACCACAAGATTGATGATCATTCCAGAGCAAGGGTACCCATTCAAAGCCTTCCATCAACCAATCCGACTACTACTACATCAACATCGATGGTGCTATCGTTGGAGGAACTAACTACTCCTCCTCATTCGCCCCCTTTGTCGGCTTCGTAGATAACGCTACCCCACTCACGATGCTTCCTAGCGGTAAGACCCCGTACTCAAATCACATAATGCTCATATCTAATCTTCTCTACTTCCAAAAGCCATTGTCACTTCCATTGCGCGCTCCTTCAACCCGCCTGCTTCCATCGCCGCGTCCACCCAACTCAGGGGTGATCATATCCTGGGTGCTACTTTCTTGAACAATGTTCTTTCTACCTTTGATTTGGGTACCTCGGAAGTGAGATTTACGGGTCTGTCTCAGAAGCTGTGATGGCAATGAGTAGACCTCAACGGGAGCCAGAAAATGGGCCGGCATGAGTGAGGTAACTTATCAATAGGTGGTTGTGTAAGTATGTGTGTATAATATAAGAAACAAATTGATAATCTTTCAGACCTCCATCTTAAACTTAGCGTCAATCGTATTATCCGTCTCGTTCCCGTCCTGTCTCTCTCCCATTCAAGCGACCGTCAGATATGGCAGAATCACAGGGGTGAGCAATGTTGTAGTTGATCCCCAAAAGCCTAATCCAAGACGAATCGGTGAAAGCATAAATCAGCCTCAGATTGTCCAAGTAGTTGATCTGTTCAAGCGGAGACACTCAAAATGTCTCTAACCAGGAAAGCTACCTGGGAAGTGCTTTTCGCACACTTTCTTCAAAGGGTCTGTCACCTTTGGCGAATTCGGCCACTCAACTAAGAATTTAGTACCTTTTGCAGTATACAGTTGGTCGAGTTAATAAGCTGGTATCACCGTTCGGACAGGTTGGTCGAATTAATAAGCTGGTATCACCGTTCGGACAGGTCCCCCGGAAAGATCATCCAATTCTGAGGATCTCGTTTGGCACCAATTCAGATAATCGGATAAGACATGAAGAATTGATAATGATGGTGAATTGAACATAAGATGATTACCTTGAATATCCGTTCAGTATAGTGTGTATATCAGTTTGAAGGGTGGTCATATCTGTCGAGCAATAGTCACAGAATATATCAGATGTTACCCTTTTGCAGGATGAAGCTTGTACAGTAGCACAGAAAAAGTATCCGCTCGTAAATCGTTCTTGATGCGCCATATCAAAACCCAAAAAGTATCTCCTCGCTCTTAGATTACCCAAGAAAGGCTGTCATCGAGCCTTCAACCCAAAAGACAACCGGGATGAGCATTTTCGGAGGGTCCTTTCGCATATGAAAAGCATGAGGGCTTATGGACTAAGGCTTTGCTGCATCCTCGTGACATCTGTGGATCGAGACTGTTTTGTGGCAAGGGTCTGGGTTTAAGCTTTTCTTTCATTTGTTATCATATGGTACATGCGCATTGAATTGTGTCTTGAGTTGCAATATAATACAGTCATATGTCCCTGTATGGAGTACCTGGACATGAAATACCTAGTGAGCTACCCAGCCAATCGTTGCCCGCCAGTATAGGGGCAGTTAATTGTTATAGCCAACATAGATTCGTCCACCATTCCTAGGCGGGGACATAAACAGACTCAGAGTCAGAAGGTACATTGGCTTGACAAGTTTTGTGTTTCAAAAGCCAAAGCGAAAGTACGGGTAGAGGGACAAAAGCGATAGCTGCGGTGAATATTAGACTTCTTGTTAAAGTGCCCTGGGTTGAGAAAGACCTTACCAAATACCAAGTTCATATAATAGTAGCCGACGGTTGCATGCAAAGCGCCCGAGATAATGGGTCCTGCCACCATCGCGACTGTTGTCAGAACATCACTTAGAGCGTAGGCGCGAGCAAAACCCCCATGAGGCCCAAAGACATTGGGATCTGCTGCTTGGCGCTCTTTAACGAACGCTGCGAAATTTAGTAAGACTCAGTATTTTATTTTGTTTGAAATGGGCAAAAAGCAAGTCCCACAACTGACTCACCGGTCAATTCTAGTATCCCAATACCACCAATAAATGGAGAGGTAGCTCCAATACCAGCAATCGCAGCAATGTAGATGGCGGGACCGCTAATATTCGTAAAGATCCCGCCAAATTGCTCAGAGCCAGCAACTCCTAGCAACCATATAAGCGGAACCACAATGATGAGGCTAATTGTGATGGGGTATTTGGGTCCAATGCGATCGAAAAGCCAGCCAGAGAGGGGACTTAGGACGAGTGACGAGGTCTGTAGACAGAAGAACATTAGGCCAGTGGTGGAGGTTCCCCAGCCAAAGACCTCCTGTACGTGAAGAGGAAGTGTGGTGTCGAAGCTTGCAGTAATAAACATTGAAAGAACGGAGATTGTCATAGATAAAACGACGCCCGCGCTGCTAAGAACTTCGCGATAGAAGCTAAATGATGTGGTGGAATTTGCCTCGGTCTGGGATGAGGGATCCTTGAAGGACTGGTAGGTGTCTTTGGCTCCAGAAAGAAGCGCGCGGTCTTCAGTATTATTTTCCCCTGTGTTTGGATTGATAGCGTTCTTTGGAGTGTCTGGAGTCGCTTCGTGTGGTGCTTCCACCATCAGGAGACGGGCGATGAAGTCTAGGATCAGCACAGCGAAAGGAACCGTCCACGTCGGCCAGTAGCCCAAAGTCTCAAATAGGAGTCCTGACACTGTCGGTCCAGCAATAGGACCAGCGGTAACAAATGACATGACAATCCCCATGACTTTTCCCACATGATCTTCACTCACTCGATCGGCTATAGTAGCCAGCCCAATCACCCAGATCGACGACCCTCCGACTGCTTGTAAAGCCCGCCCAAGGAAAAAGATCCACTGGGAATGAGCACAGGCAAGCATCACAGTCCCCAGAAAGCAGCCAACTAACGAAAGCAACAGGGGCATTTTTCGGTTTGGGATCTTGTCTGCATAATGGCCGACAATTGGACTTGCGACCATAGACACAAGACCGTAGACGGCTAAAGTTGCGGAGGTATATGCTTGCGTGTGGGCGAGATCAATATGAAGGCGGTCCTGGAGCATGTGGCTCAAGATGGGGACCATGAAGGCATAGAGAAAGGTATCTAGATACTGTCAGCTTGACATCGATATACGCGATTGGAGGAAAAAAATGAGTCTCAGAGCCTACCGGAGAATAAGGCGATGGTGATACAGCCGATCACCAACGCTTTGGAGGAACGCCATGAGTATCCCAGCGTCGTCTCGGAATCTGCCATCATGGATTGACGGATCGTGACTTTGAAGGACACGGATAGGAAGAGGAAAGTGCGAAGAATAGAACAGACTCGCCCTTTCTCCCCCTCCCTTCCCTCGTTCTTCAGACAAGGCACGCATTTCAAGATGGCACAGAAGTGGCGTTTTGTTAATGTGAGATGAGCCGAGCTGAGCACCCCGACCCACCGTCGTGCATGAACGAGATGCACCGACTGCATGAACCTGACGCACCGACTGCATGAACAGGAACCTGATCAGCACTGTACTGGTAATACGGATACAGTGTAAGTAAATCCGATCCAAAGATCAGAGCCTATCAAAGGACTTCTTGATGAGACAATGTCGATCTAGTTCGCAGCACTTCGTTCTCCACTTACTAGTTTGCCCTTGCTACATCCTACATCCTACATCGTATTTTGTATTTCTAATCATGAGTAGAGGAGTTCCTAATCATGTCCAGTCCACGAAGCCTAATGTGGCACATCCGAGCATGATAGTAAGGTTCCTCTGGGACAGGTGTTCCCTATATTCCCTATACAGGGCAATTCCCGCCTGATTCTCTATTTATTTTCTCTGAGATGATTGCAGAGTTGGCAATTCAAATTTGGGTTGACGGCGACTTTGAGGTGATATTTGGACCATAATTAGCGATTATATACAATTGAGAGCTATCAAAGAATAGTACTCGGGAGGCTATGGAATAAAATATCCATGTAGCAGAGAAAAGACGGCAAACTAGAAGCATTAAAAGACAGAATCCTCCGAGTGGCTCGAGAAATACCGCAATTGCTCACAATATACTTCCAGCACTTGTTCCGCCACCACTCTGTGTACATTCCAACTTGTAAACAAGGTAATCTCAAGCTGATCACCTTTGGATCTCACCAGGCAGGCGTTTTCATCCTGATTCTCACCCCGCCATTCCATCGAGGGCCCGCATTGTATTCCATCGAAGGACAAGCTGGACTCAATGTCATCTTTGACGTGATCAATGAGGGTTCCCGAAAAAGTACCGTTCCATCCTGCCACCTCCCAGAGTTCCGTGCCCGTGAGAAGTTCATGTGGGAGGCTCCGCATGTCCTGCTCTTGCAGGAAGCGGCATAAATCAACCAGCCGCCAGTCAGACTGTAATTGGGCCCGCACGGGGAACCATTGCATTAGGGGACCGGCAGCCTCCTCGGTCCGATTGCCGCCGAGGCGCCGCCCATTTGAGATATGATAGAACCCGACGTCCCTCTTTCCTGAAAGACTGGCCAGTGTGATAGCCCAAACGGCCTTGATGAAGGAGTCGAGAACGACTTCGGCCGGTGGAGAGATGCCGGTGAGGCACTGGGAAATCTTATGAGGGCCTCGCACAGACTCTGGGATCGAGTCTCCGGAGATGGCTGGTAGATCATACATTTCTAGGCCGTGGAGCATGTCACCCCAGTACTGTTTCGCTGCCGCATGAGAGTCAATCCGTCGGCGGGAACACAGAACATCCTGGTACTGCAGGCGGATCGGCACGATGCCCTGCTCATAGGCTGATTGCCAGTCGGACCAGTATAATGCAAAACATGATCCATCGAAAATGGTATGGTTCATCTTGAGGACGATAATGGCTTTCCCGTTGTTGGCAGACTCGAGCACAAATAATTTGCCAAGGAATGAACCGGGGTGAAGGCCGGATGTATGATCAGCATCGATAATTTGTTGAAGTTCAGAATCATCTCCGATCATTCGATAATCAACGTCGAAGACATCGCCGGTTCGAACCACGGCCCAGTATTGATTATTGCCAGCTGGAACAAGCACGGTGCGCAAAATGTCATGCTGGCGGACAACCTGCAACCAACTTTCGACGATGCGATCCCGATCCAATCGTTCATCAACTTCGAAGTGCGCGTACACCGTATGGTTGATGCTATACGCCACGATCTGATCATAAGTAGCCGGATATATATCTTTGATCTTCTCCCGGGGGATCGAGTGAGGCTCGCAAATGTTACGTTCGATGAATGTCTCTGTCTCCAGATCCTCCAGTAAAGTGAACGCAGGCCAATCCTTCTCCAGCGCATCATCCTTATTGTCTCTTTGAGAATTCCAGTGGAGAGCCATATCGCATAGTCGCGGACTGGCAAAAATTTGAGCGACATTGAGTGTCCGCCCTTCTCGACGCGCCATACTGACTAGCTTCATTGCTTCCACAGAGTCAGCACCAGCTTGGAAAAAGTCGGTCTCTCGTTTAATGGCGCCTGGGTTGATCTTCAACAAGCTTGCCCATATTTTCTGGAGGGCCAATTCGGCAGTGGTAGATGGCTCTGTCGTAGAGGATCGCTCTTCGCTGTAAGCCATGATATCAACCGGCGACAGGCTGCTGGCCGCATGTTTCAGTGTTTTTCGATCTATCTTGCCGGACGAGGTTGTCGGAATCCTCGCAAGGGGAAGGTATACCGAGGGAATCATGTATGAAGGCAGTACTTGGCCCAAGTCGGCGGACAGCTGTGCTGCTTGAACGATCCGCTGAGCAGGAGGGAGCAAGATAGATGAAGGTGACGTTGCTGTCATCGCATTTGTGAAACACTCCATTTGAGAAAGAGCCAGAAATGCTGTGACTCGCTCATTTTCACCATATTTGACCACATCGACGATGATCGTAGCACTTGGTAGTAGGCGCTGCATATTGAACTCCACTTCTCCCATCTCGATACGCTGGCCTCGTAGTTTCACCTGCATATCCCGCCTACCCATATACACCACCGAGCCATCTGAATTATACATCCCCAAGTCTCCAGATCGATAGAGCCTCCCGCGACCATTTTCCCGGAAGTGGCTTAACCATTTAGCGTCGTTTATGAAGCCGGCGGCCGTTTTCTCTGGGTCGTTCAGATAGCCACGGCCGACAACGGGACCCTCAATGAGGATTTCACCCACAGCTCCGATGGGTGCCAAAAGGTTGTAGTCCGTCGGGTCTGTGATCCAGAACACACAGCCTCCTGCATGTCCGACGGTTGCCAGAGACCATTTTTGGGTGTCGATCGGAGTAGTCGAGCAAAAAGTGCATTCGCCCGGGCCATATCCATTCATCACCAAGGAAGAGCGGCTCCAAGTTTCCACTACATCACGGGGAATAGCCTCACCGACCAATACGACGGTCTTTAGTAATGGCACTTCGTCGGGCCTCATTGACCGAATGGCGGTGGGCGAAATAATCGTAACTTCAGCCTCTGCTTCGCGGGCGAATTCGCCAGGGGTATTCATCCGCTGATAATCAGATGGAACGCAAAGGCATCCACCCATCGCTAATGTCATCAGAATTTCGTAGATGCTGACATCAAATGATGGAGAAGCATATTGAAGGACACGGGCGCCGCGCACAATATTCATGTTGGCTGCGTGAGCAAGAGTCGTCGAAGACAGATTGCGGTGCTCGAGGATGATGCCTTTAGGCTTGCCCGTGCTTCCAGAGGTAAAAATGAGAAACGCAGGGCTTTCTGGACTGGCGAGGGGGGTAAAGAATAGCTCGTCAAGTGAAGGGAGAGGCATCTTCTCTAATTCAGCATAACTGATGACGATTTGCGTCACCCCGTCGATTTCAAGCATCCCATTGTGCTTCTCCGATACGAGCATGTATTTTGCTCCAGTCTGTTGCACGATCTCAATGAGACGCTGATCTGGCTGCTTTCTGTCTAGAGTAACACATGCGTTGCCGCTGCTTAACACCGCAAGAATGCTGATGATGGTCAAGGAGGACTTGTCAAAGAAGAGAGGCAGATAATCTTCGGGGCCGATAGCAAGACTTTGCAGATAATTGGTCAGTCTCAGAGAGAAATGAGCAAGTGACTCTGCTGTCAGTGATTTATCCCATGCATATACTGCCTCGGCTGAGGGTTGGCTGGCCAACTGCTCCCAGATCAGATCGTGAATACACCGATCCTCGGACTGGGGAAGCGGGCTGTTCCACACCCGTAGCTGCTCCACCTCCAGCGGAATGATAATGTCAACATCTCGCAGTTCACGATCTGGATTACACAAGAACACTTTCAAGACGTGCTCCAGGTGCAACAACATTCGGTCAATATGTTCCGGGTCGACGATCTCATCATTGAAGGCCACGCGTACTCCCAGTCCAGTTCCTGGGCCTGGAAGGGTACATTCCACAACCAGCGGATAGTTGCTGAAAGTGAGCAAAAAGTCGTCCTCATCTTCCACTCGATTTTGAGGTGCCATAGGGTCTTGTGCGATTGGAGTAGGCTGAATGACTAGCAGGGCATGAAAGTCGCAAGCAGCCTCCACTACCTCACTCAGCTTGCGTATCCGCTGTAGACCAGTGTGCTCATAAGGAATCATCTCGACGGTTTGTTGGTGCATCGCCTTGAGAGATGCGCGTATAGTACTATTCTTTTCCAGATCCACCTTGAGCGGGACTGTAGCAATGGTAGGACCCACGATATCATTAATGCCCAGAACCGGGGCATTCCGGCCAGTGACGGTTGCACCGAAGACAACTGTATCAGAGGTGGTATATTTGGATGACAAGAAGGCCCATGCCAGACGAATATATGTCGGAAGCGTATATTCCGTGCCCCTTTCCGGGGACTCGAAGTCAACCTGGATCTCCCGATGTTGTGTTTGGTTGGCCCATCCGGCTGTTTTACCAGGGGGAATTGTGGGGAAATGGCTTGGAACCTCACCATTACTCAACGTCTTTTGCCAATACTCGGTCTCTTTGTCCTTGTCCACACGAGACAGGTAACGGACAAACGCGTTGAAGCCAGGAGGGGAAGAGTCGTATTGACCCTTGTATATTTCCTCGACCTGTTCACTCACTGCGCGAGCCTGCCAACCGTCACAGACAGCGTGATGGGCAAACAGAGCAATATACGAGCTCTCACTTTGACTGGATCTCTGAACAACCCGCAACCGAGTCAGAGGAGACCCAAGCCCAAATTCCACGTCGTCAGAACTGCAGGCCTCTACTGTATCACGGCTGGCAAAGTCTAGATCATGGCGAACAACAACCTGGACCAATCCTGCAGATGTTTGAACAATTCTTGTGCGCATGATCGCGTTCAAGTTGAATGCTGTTGCCCAGGCTGCGCAAAGCCGGATTAAGTCTGTTCGTGGATGGACTTTCAGAACTTCACGCGTTATGTACTGACCGGGCTGCCGTTCTGAGAGCGCCATGAGCCCCTCTTGTAGTGGTGTGCAGGGATAAATGTCTTCAACCCGAGCCTCGGAGATTTGACAAGCTTTGGCAGCTTCTTCGATAAGAGACGATCCGTCGTCTTTTGGGATCAAAGAGAATGGGGCCATGGGATCAATTTGATCGTCGGACTTCTTGTCCTCGCGCATCCTGGTGGCCATGGTGGACAGCTTCGGATAACCAAGAATATCCTTCACATCCAATAAGACGTTCCTCCGGCGGGCTGCGACGCTTAACTTGATGGCAGACACTGAGTCTCCTCCCAGTCGGAAGTAATGATCATGGAGGCGAATTTCCTGACTGTCGATGCCGAGATTTAGTGACCACAAATCCCGCATAATGACCTGCTCGGACCTCCACGAGGGTTGAGATGGGCTTTCCATGACGCGCCTCTGGAGTAAAACGTCCAAAAGTGCCCGCCCCGCTTCTCGCAGATATTTACGGTCCAGCTTTCCCGAGGGAGTCTCAGGAAATCTGGCGACTGGTAAACAGACAGAGGGGACCATATAAGAAGGAAGCCTTTTCGTGAGGGTGGAGAGCAATGACTCCTCGAGCTGTTGAAATTCGGCATTGACCGCGCCGAAAATAGGATCAAGGCCACCGGAAAGCTCATCTGTGATGCTCTCCCCGTTGATTTCCAGTCCTTGGTCTGGTACCTCAATGAAGGCCACCAACTGCGCTGCCTTGTTCTGACCTCCACGTTGAATGACCTCAGCAATGGTCTTTCCGCTAGAAAGAACATTTTGCATCTGGTGCTCAACTTCTTCTAGCTCAATCCGCTGGCCGTGAAGCTTGACCTGGTTGTCTTTACGGCCAATGAAAATCAGGTCGCCATCCTCCGTGTATCGAACCAGATCGCCGGTTTTGTACAATCGGGCACGGCGACCCTTGATGCCGGCAAGCGGGGCGCCTTCTGTCAACCACTTGGGATCTTCAATGAACGATGCCGCCGTCTTTTCTGGGTCTGCTAAATAACCCGAGCTCACGTTGGGACCTTCAATGAGAAGCTCACCAATTTCTCCAAGGGGTGTAAGACAATTGACATTATCTGGATCCGTCACCCATGTTATGCAACCATGACCTCGGCCGATGGGGACAGTCCCGGTCTCAAGACAGCGGTGGACATCAACTGCATACCCTGTGCTGAAGACAGCACATTCCGCAGGTCCATATGCATTGATGAGGCGGACATAAGGAGACCAGCGCTCAATCACTGCCCGGGACATGGACTCTCCCGCTAAAACCAAGGTCTGCAAAGTTGGCACCTGATCTGCTTCAATCAACTGGGAGCTGGTGGGAGTCATTTGTGCGATTGTGACCCGCATCTCGTTCATAGCTGCGGAGAGACGCTGCATGCGATCGATGTCTGATGGAATGCAAAGGCAGCCTCCTTGTATCAAAGTGAATAGGATTTCGTGTACAGATGCATCAAAGCTGTACGAGGCAAAATGGAGAAATCGAGAGTCCTGGCTAAGTTGATACAATTCATTCTGTTTCCGCAGTCCAGACACAAAATTGGAATGAGAAACCTCTATACCCTTGGGATTTCCCGTGCTTCCCGATGTAAAGACAACGTATAGTATGGAAGAAGGATCGGCGGGGCATAATGAAGAGATCGTCCCAGGAATTGCAATAGAGGAGGGCTTGCTTCCGGGTTTACAGATAGTCATTACAGTCGAGGACAGCCTCTGAGCCAACGCGGCCAAACTCTGAGATGTAACAGTGACCCGTGCATGTGTTCTTTCAGCTATCTGTCGCAGTCGAGATTCCGGTAATGTGGTGTCGAGAAGAACAAAGGTGGCGCCGGTTTGGATGATTGCCAGCACGGCCACAGGAATCAAAAGACCTCGTTCCAACGCAACAAGTACCTTTTCGCCCGGTACCACATGATATGAATCTAAAAGCTGCCGAGCAAAACGGGAGGCCTCAGAGGCTAATTCTTGGTATGACAAGATCCCGTCCCAGGCATCTATAGCGATAGCATCCGGGGTCAAGTCGACTCTGTTTTGAACCAGCTCATGAACACAGCGATTGAGAGTGGAAGGAACCGTCGCGTTCCATTTCCAAATGAGATCAATGCTATTTGTCTCATGTAGGGGTGATTTCGGGGTTGCAGGGGTCGAGGGAGAAAAGCTGCTGCGGGATGAGCTCAAGCTGCAGTCCGAAAGGTCATCGAAATCGGACTCGCGGGAACTCATGATAATATTGTTGAATTGTTGAACCCCGGCTGAGAAGTGAATGAGGATAAATATAAGGCAGTTTTTCAACTTTGGATTTGAAAGGAAGTAAAGAGAGTCAGGGAAGATGTTCACATGATTTTACAAAACTGCGATACAGGTCCCCCATCGTCGTTAGCATTTCCTTTTCGGTCTAGCAGTATGCTTTGGAGGCAAACTTAGTCTAATGGTATTGTAAGCGAATCCGTAAGAAATCTCATACGCAATACGCAATACAATTTCTATACTTGACCACACCACAGTTTCTGAAGGGCTTTTCCGGTGCCGATGTCTAATGACAAAGTTACAACTGGATGCCGGCCCGCACCTTCCGCACTCTGTACTTTGAACACGGGCGCAGGATGTCGGATCAATCTCTCAAAGTAGATCATTTCTTAAGATTCAAGAGGCTATTATGATTTTGCGCTATTTTTTGCCGGACAGCTCCGTCAATTTCTTCGTAGACCGGCCAATAGTATGAACCCCCATGGGCCGAATCCCTCGTTCTTCCATCTCCAAGATCCCCTGAATTGTAGATCCACCGGGCGTCGAGACGCCATTTCGAATCTCCGTCGTCGATCGGCCGGCCAGAATCAAACTCGCAGTGCCCTGAGCCATCAGCGCCGCCATCTCCACCGCCGATTTGCGATCTACCCCCAGTACGACAGCTCCGTCTGCTAGCGCTTCAATGAATGTGGCCATGAAAGCTGGCCCGGAGCTGCAGAGAGAGACACAGGCATTGAACTGGCTAGGTTCCACCCAGCGCAGAGTCCCCACCTGCGCGAAGATCCACTCCACGATCCCCATGAATGCATGCGTAGCGCCGAACATCTCCTCCTCCATCGTGGCCACAGTGATGGACTGTCGGGTCATAGCGCATAGATTGGCCATCACACGTACCACCTGGGTTTGCGAGATAGTGGTGGCTTGCGAATCCATCATCTCTACCGAGCTGAGGTGGTGGGTCCCAGCGAGCAGAGCCCGCAGATCTGAAATTGAGACTCCTGCAACTCCACTGACTAGCAATTTGCCCTGCAGCGCGTGCCGTACCCGGTCCGAACCTAGGCAGCTGAGGACATCGCGAGGTCGACAGGTCAACACGATGACATCGGCTGCCTCGAGAGCGGGACCGCTGTCGCCATGGACAATTGTGACGTGGCTGGAACTCGGTCCTAGCTCCTCTTGAATCCGAGCGGCACTTGCGGGGCTACGAACACAGGCGTAGAGCGATTGGATGCTGGATATTCCCAGCGGAATATCTTGTGTTGCTTTCTCCGCCTCGAGAGCACGGACCACTCCCTGAAGAATCGCAGTACCAAACACACCTGATTTCATTCAGTTTGTGCAAACAAAAGAAAAATTGTAAAGGCAAAGGGCCACTTACCACAACCAAGAAAAGTGATAGTAGTACGTTTAACACTGCCCATTATGAAGAGTATGAGAATGTCGATGCAATGGATTTTAAGAGATGCTACCAATAGCGTCTTAATATAGCAAAGTGCGACCGCTGGGGGAAATTGGAAAGCCAAGCTAGTAGTTTATACGGGCGAGGTATGGCCTTAAAAGCTACGGGTGGGTGCTGTCGTCCAGAGCCCGGATAATGGTCGCAGGTCACTAAGCCTTCTCATTCTAATTGCATGTTTCTTCAATTGAGCTGTCCACGTACAGAACTTTTTAACCTAGTAACTCATTACTGGTTGCTTGTTTCCATGTACTCCGTGCAGTGGGTACATTAGGTGCTCAATAAGTTGTCTGTGCGATACATCGAAATTGTCCTTTTTCAAGCTCCGGGAAAATACGAACTAGAGTTTGCATGGTCGGGAAAGGATTCTATGCTAATAAATCTAATCTTCCAAGTACTTTCCGAGGGGCTTGGCTGAGATATTTTGAATTCTCCAACCATCATCGGTGAGAACATGATCCGTCATATAGCTGCGTGATTTTGTTAGGACTCGATTTACGAAAAGAATACCCTTCCCCTATCCCCGAAGGAGCCCGGAGGGTTGTGGTCGGAGTTAGCAGATACATACAATCCGTATTCTACCTCGTTCGCTAGAGCTTTCTCGCCATCGTAGCCGTCAAAAATGGTCGCAATCAAAGGGGAGGTTGCATGAGCGACTGTCATTGATTCTTCAACCTCTACGTATGGAACTCCAATCGCATGCTGAAATGGATAGTCCGCGTAGATATATAAATTTCGCACAAATGTATCCAGCTTGGTCAGGTTTCGGAAGCCATCTTCGGGTAGATCGATGTGGACATCCGGAGAAGTGAACACCTTGCCCATCTCGTCGAAGCGATGCTCATCGACTAGCAAGCAAAACAAGCTGACCCCCTGGCCAGCCTCGGATCGAATTGCGGCCACCTCAAGCTGTCGGAGAGTGGAGAGGGACCCTGCCCGGAGAGGGTGTTGGTAGGGAGGGTAGGGAGAAGCCCATGCCAGTGCAGCATACACCAGGGGCCATTGGACTGGAATGAATTTCATGGTATATGGGTCGATACTGGAGTTTACAAACACAGCTGGCCTGGGAAATGCGTATTATATTTGACCCTGAAGTGGAGACGGATCGGGATCTATTGTGGAGCCTGGCTGTTAGTACGGACGGGAGTGCATGAGTTGTCATGAACTCTAATGACGTACTCAGCAAAAGTACTCAATCTATCGCAGTGGGTTGGTTCTCCACATATACACAGGTACATTTATGGTGTATCATAGTAAACTTCAAGAATACAGCAAAGGTGCGTCACCTCATACCCACGCTAGTCCCTGCAGGTATCCCGCGAGCACTGAAATCGCGCTCCACGTGTATGGGGCGATATACGATTGCCTGTAGATTTGCCATGCACTGTTGTATGATCGTGCAACACAATCTGTGGGGATCGATCGGCGTCGAACATTGCAGTTGCGACCTTACCTTAAGGAGACTTGTTCTCCGTCAAAAATACTGTTAGGGACCCAATGGTGCTGTGATTCCGTTCTACTGCAGAAGGCTCCGAACCCCCTAGCGCTCTTATGCAACGTGAACCAGTCAGCTCTCAAGATCGCGCTAGATTTGACCTGAGTGAGGATGATCCCGTCTTGCCTGATTATAGCTCATATTGCTTTTTCCAGGGAACCTCCGAGTGTCATCTACTTCTAGCATCCGATTTGTCGGGGTCATCATGCGAGGGTCAGAATACGTACAGCGGGCTTGTACGACTACAGGAGACTGAAGACTATGGCCTGGTGGAAAAGATCTGCGGAAGCGCAACTTTAACCTCGTTCGAAAATCCAACGGGGTCTCCAAATCCTACTTGGTGAATCTGAGACACATTGAGCCAAACATATTCGGACGACTGGCTGAGACTACTGATTTCCCTCCTTTCGGCCAGGAAATATTATCGAAACTCTAAGCTCCGAGAATAATTTCAATAGCTTTCGCTAAATGGAGATGCGAATTGCTTTTTCCCCATTTGTCGGACACGCTACAAACTCTCTTCGTGATGCTAGAAGAGTCCAATTCCGAAAATTCGATACATGACACACACGTTGTAATTACAATCCGTCACTGGATGATCTCCAATTCACTTGAATTTTCCCTACGCTTCCTATACTCATAAGATCGTCCATTTTTCGTCAAGTTCTGCAACGTGGTAGTCGTACATCGCGGTAAAGCACCTATCCTCCGGTGCTTTCCGACATAAACAGAATTGATTTAGGTTGATGCCCCGTGGTTCTTACGGTCTTAAACGACTGGTAGATAAAGATATTCTTTTTCAAGCAATGTGCTAACGGGTGATGTGGTGACCTCAGATTCTATCGATTCATATTCAACTCATAAGTCATCTCTCCAAATTTGATCATTTTCGTTGTTCTATGCACATGAGTGTCTAGAAACATCTTTTCAAGAATAATTATCCCAGAAAAAGACGTTATGAGCGGTTTCTATATTCTAGATTGCAAAATCTCAATTCAAACGCTAACTTTGACCTCCTCGCGATTGCCCTCGCTCATTGCAATAGCTTCTTGCTTTGCTGCCAAGTCCTCAACGTGGGGGTTCAACCAGTACTGCTGACGCACGGCCGGCGCAATGTTCTCGCTGCCCGTAATTGATCCCAGACACCTTTCTGTACCACAGATACAGCGGAAGGGCTGAACCATGTCCCACTCGGTGCTCGGATAGAAGAAGGTCAATTCGTCTCCCACTGCCAAGGGCCGGTCCCTGGCAACGCGAACTTCAAACTTCGACATGTCGAACTCCAAGCTAGGCGAGCAGGAGTGGTTGCAGTACACTAGATCCGAACACAATTCGATATTCATGCCGGGTCCACACTGGACAGAGGTGTAGGTCTTCTCGGGTGCAGCAATTGCAGTGGTGATCTTACTGAAGACAGCACCAGCGGGCAGCGCCACGAGGGAGCGGGCTGAGGCTTGAAAGGCAGCAGCGCCCTTGATCACTTGCAGCGAGTCAGGGTGACTTGGCTGTTTCCAAGAAGGAACGAACTCTGCAACCATTGTGAAGGATGTAGTTGGAAGAAATGATATCTGAAGATCGCAACAGGAAAAGTCAGTTTCATATTCTGTAGGATAAATGGGCAGGGTCACAAGCCTTTGACAGGAAGTGCAGCGGAAGAATTATCCAGTTAGATAAGATGAAAGATGATTGAACTACTGACGGGGGAGCTTTCGGGTTTGTGTCTAGCAATATTTATACTCGTGGCAGCAAGAAGCTCTACCTAGAATATGGTAACAATCGTGAGCTAAGTTCGTCAACGCCAGGTTCTGATCAGCCTTCGTATTTCCGGTTTGAAGAGTTGATACGTATCATGATCTAAACCACTCACTATTCCTGCTGTTTGATTCCGGTCTCGACTTAGTCAAGGCCGCGGGGTGGGGAAAAATTGAAATGTCTGGACTTTTAGAGTGTCTATAGTTAGATTTACTTTGTTCTTTGCTGCATATCCACACTACGAGTATCAATTCCTGGTGGCTGGCTGACGACTCGCCTACTACTACTAGCAGATGTCTCCTGCATCTTTAGCCCCTTCACATGAAAGACTCTGCACGCCTTGATGCGAAGTTGTGGAGAAAGCTGCTTACAGATCGGAGTACTTACGCATACATGTATTTGGTTTCTTGCCGATCGATACGTATCGCAATACGTGCATGGAGTCAGGAACGCCACAAATCAAGCTACGCTACCAGTTGAAATGTTGAAAAGTGGAATTGATCAGCCTTCAATTCCGCACCCGGCTGCAGCTGTAGCGGACACTTTGAAAAACTTTCTTTCTGTACACGTATGTATGCAGCTACGGCCAAAATTCCCTGCTGCATGTTTGAATTTTTACTGCCTGAAATTGAAAGTCTCTTAGAATGTACCTCAAAAGTACGGGCCCACCATTGATGGGGTAGGAGTTGGGCAAAGTACATAATTTGTATTCGTCATTAGGCCAACTCCCAATTCTTTCCGCCTATTGTACATGCTTTACTCCGTGCCTCGGTGTTTTTGAGATTGCTGAGAGCCTCAAGGTCGCGGAAACTTTCATCCTCTCTTGGCGCATTCGGTTTAGGATCACGAAAGCCAACCTCCTTTTCAATAAATTGTTCCATACCAGATCTTTCGCTTGTTTTTTTTTTTTAGTTGGGACTTTGATTGCAAAAGGATTGAGGAGGATAACAAAGACTGTCGACCACGATGCCATATTATGAGTCTGAAACCCCAAGGAGGGATTTGCCTCTCAAAGAGACTACTACTCTTTGGAACGGGGATGAGATATCACCAAGCAACAATGCCGTTCTGAAAGCAATGGAATGGAAACTCTCTCCACAGTCAAAGGGATCCAAGTCTGAGCCATTCTGCGTAATGGATCTTGGCTATGTTCACAACCAATATGAGCATTGGGAAAAGTCTCTTCCCTCTGTGACGCCATTTTATGGTATGTTTCTCCCATGATACCCGATGTCACTTCATTCTCATTGATTATTTTTGAGTTCAGCCGTCAAATGCAACCCCGATGTGCATATAATTGGGCTTTTGGGATCGCTGGGATGCGGGTTCGATTGTGCATCTCGAAGTGAAATAGAGCTCGTTTTGGGTCAGGGTATCCCGGCTGGGAGGATAATTTTCGCCAATCCGTGCAAAAAACCATCAGACATCAATTTTGCAAGAAAGATTGGCGTGAATCGAATGACATTCGATAATGAGGCTGAGCTTCACAAGATCAAGCAGTTGTTTCCAGAAAGCCAGCTGGTTTTGCGGTGTTTCGCTTCCGACCCATCGGCCACATACTGCCTCTCTTCTAAATTTGGAGCTCATCCAGAGGCATCCATGAGCCTCTTGGAGTGTGCAAAGTCCTTGGGATTGAATGTCATTGGCGTGAGCTTTCATGTTGGCTCTAGCTCAAAGGACCCAAAGGCTTTCGAAATTGCCATACAAAATAGTCGTCGGATCTTCGACGCAGGTTCACGGATGGGTCACAATATGCGCCTGTTGGATATTGGTGGGGGCTTCTCCGAGAGCACATTTGACGATATGGCCGAATCAATCCAACGATCTCTGGACTTTCACTTCGGTGATATTGATGCAGAACTCGTCGCCGAGCCGGGGCGGTACTTTGCAGCAGGCGCCCTGACAGTTGCCTGTGAGATCATCGCCCGTCGGGATGCCAAAGAAACCCCTCCATCTGCGGAGGAAGCGACCAACATGCTTTATTTGAATGATGGCATATATGGAACGTTTCTTTGTAATCTGTTTGAGCCAGGCCCTCTTCCTCGTGTCCTTTGCGCCTCGGGAATATTCTATCCACAAACCGCCGTGAGCGACCGCGCCACGTATATAATCTGGGGACCGACTTGCGATGGCACCGACTGCATTGCAAAGGGCGTGGAACTTCCAGAACGTTTGACTTTCGGCGATTGGCTTTACTTTCCAGATATGGGTGGTAAGTCCTTCGGATCCAATTTTCACCCATTTTCTCAACCTTATACTAATTTGAACTACGCTAGCCTATTCAACATGCCTCACAACTGGTTTCAACGGGTTTGAGAGTCACAGAGAAACCATATATGTGTCTAGCAATTCTTTAACCATTGAATTTTTGACAAAGGTCAACAAGACAATGTGCAAGGAGCAAACTCACTGATTCCAAACTTCGGCGTTCCAGAGAGAAACAGTGTTCGGAGGATTTTCAACTTAATCCAATAGCTACCCAGAGTGGAAGGTTCGTCAAAGCAGAAGCCAGTGGAGCTGTTGGGTTTCCGCTGCACATCTAAATTGTTCTATGACATTAGAAGATGGTCATAAATGTACATTCTCTCTGTCAATTTGTGATGTACTTGGACAGATTGCGCATTGGTCAGATCCATGTCGTTGATCGTGGGTACTCATGAGAATTTTATTCGAAACGTATCTAAATCAAAAGTGGGAATATTGCAATGGCATTGATAAGTAAATTCAACCTTTACTGCTGATGGAATGCGCGTCGATAGATTCTGAAAGATATTTTGGTGCCTTCCCAGGATATAGAAGCTTTTGTTCCAGGTGCAGAGTCAAACTGGGTTCAGCCGGTTCTCAGATGGAAAAGGTATCGTTGCTGGATCTGGGCCGGGTCATAGACCACATACTCGTTGTATGCCAGGCTTTGCGCTTGCCGATCCCCCCTTCCTTTAGAGACGTCTGGCATGCGAACACCATCTAGGCGACGATGGACGGTTTTTGCATTCATCCATCCATTGTGGGTTGAGCGGCCGTGAGCAACAACCCCAACTTTGCCCTGGTCTTTGAGAATTGCCGCTGCGTTACGCTCGCAATTCTCGACGTTCAGAGGATCTTTGCCAATCTCAACCTCGCAGAGAAGCATAAATACCTGGAGCAAGTGGCTAGTGCAATACCGAGCGGCTTTGCCAGACATGTCGGCAAAATATATTCCGGCACCAAACATTCCGCCTGAGCTCTTTTGGGCGAGACCAGCTCGCAATCCCTGACCCAAGATTCCGATGAACTTCTCGCAGTCCGCGCCGTGCCAAAGTAAACATCGCTGGCCGATCTTGTCGCTGTTCGCTTCTCTCCACTTGTGGTATCGCTCAGCTTCCCCGGGACGTTGGATCCGAAAAATGTTGATGATTTCCTGGTGTTTTGATGAGAAGATTGTCCAATTGCAACAATGCTCACCTCGTAGAGAGTGCTTACCTTGTATTCAACCGTGTGTTGTGACCCAACTGACAGTTTGAGATAGTCGACTAAAAAGTCATACTCTTGACTTTTCTTCCGAACTAGACGACATCATTAGCACCATTTGATTTAAGTATAGACGGACGCAACAGAACGTACCCCGTTTGATTTCAACCAGCCCTAGATTTCGCAGTGCCTGTTGCGACACCTCGGTAGGAATGCGGCGATAATAAGGACCGGCTATATTCCATGCGATTCGCAGCTTCAGCAGAAGATGAACATCTTGAAGCTCCTGCTTCAACCAGTCCATGTCTGTACATTGCGGATATGATGTTGAGCAGTGGGAAATGATACCCAGCAGACCGAAGTAGCATTCTTTCAGGAAGCCTGCCTGGCGAGTCTTATCAGTCGTTTCGGTGGTGGAGCTTCGGGTTCTCATTTTCTTCGAGGGCTCTGCCAACGTCATACTGAGCTGGTTGAGAATTGTAATTGCGGTTCGCAGGGTATTTTCATCCAATTGAGAAGCATCCGCAGCTTTGATCCGACTGGCAGCTACCTCGTTGAAGAGAGAACCGATCGCGATTCTGTTGGAAACGCTGAAAAGAAGCTTCAGCACACCCGGTACCCCACGGGGTATTTTCGTTGGGACCTCTACTTCTTCGACCCATGGTGGATGTGTCCTCTTTTCTTCCTCCGATGGAGGCTGAATGAAAATGCACCAGTTCTCCTTCTCCAGACCACCCGGAAGATCATGAGGGAGAGGGAGAAAGCGGCGCTTGGTCCAAGGAACGAGAGTCAAAGTTTGGAACAGCCTCTTGAACTCAGAGTATGCGGATTTCAGGGCACCGGAACCGTAGAGTTCTCCCTCTTCTGTCTTATCATCCACCAGTCGCAACCATGTGTAGTACTTGTCGGAACTGAAATGGTATAGAATTTGCAAACGATGCATGGCAACCTTGTGCTTTGGCACTATTGGATTTGTCTCCGACAGTGGGTTCTTCAATGGATTGTTGATCAGTATGGCATCCCAGCGCACATCCCGCTCGTCCATCCAAAGTGCTACTTCCGTCCCTGCTCCGACCCAATATCAGACCATCGCGATCCAGTGGCTGTATATGACCCTGTATATATCAAATAATGCTCACCTTTAGTATCGTATCGATCATCCACGAGGGCGATCAATCCTCTACGATGGACATCTAGATTGTTCCTTCGTACTTTCGATGGCTCCTCCGCGGGTTCCGGCTCTGCCTCAAACTTGCGCTTTTTGCTCTCTGGAAACCCTGGGGAGTTTGGTGTGAGCTGCGAACTCCCCGGGGTATTTTCCTCCACTGGTTTGAGCAGATATCCGTCGGTGCTGACTGGGCGTTTGTGAGAGTAAGAGTCGAGTAACCATTCCATGCCGACAATTTTGCAATTCTTGCCTTTCAGGGCCGCATCGACTGGAAGACAGTACAAGTCAGTACATACACAGCTCTCTCTATTGGCCTGTAGTCACCTTTGCTGTTTGCATTTTGCACATATTTCTGGGTGGTGATCATATGTGTGCAATCGTTGATATTGAGCTTTTCAAACCTCGCACCACATTTCTCGACCAGACGTTTGATGCCAGCTGAAAGCTATCAGTCTCTCTGGGGAAGCCTAGCAAATGTCAAATCACTCTCGAGACCCCCAACATAACGTACAATGTGTCTGACCCGGTATATTTCCGTTGGCCGTAACGACGACCTCGGCGAAGGGGTTTGGCGTCATTTCCAAAAGTCAGGGTAGCGCGGTATTCGAGGTGAGTGAGGTTGCGACTGGAGTTCAAGCTTGAGATACGACTGTCGTGAGGTGTTGGAGAGCGGAGAGGGTAAGGAAGGAAGACAAACCAGGGTCATGAAACAAAGGTGAGAGAGGGGAATTGCCTCGTCTCTGACCAATTGCTAGATGCCGTCTGTGATATCAGAAGGCAACTTCAATATGAAAGGATATAAATTCCGTCTTGCATGGCCATAAATGTAGCATCTGGCAGTGTCGAGTGATTTCAAACATTACAACGAAATCACTTTGGCAACAATAGATATGATTGCTACTTCGAGCAAACTGAAATTTCAAACAAACGCAACCATCTACGGATACGTGAGACATTATTAGGTAGCGAATAACAATATCATGGCAAAGCCAATCATGTCAGGGGATCCTACGCCAAGTTCGAAAATACGGTTCATCGTCAAGCAAAGAGAGCTGCGTTCAAGCAAATCTTGAATACTGTGATTCCCTTTGCAAATGACAATAAGGCACGTCACTGGAAGTCATAAGCCATCAGCCATAAGCCATCGGTCCTCCGAATCTTTGGATCCACATCCCCCTAGTTGCTGTTGAAGTAGTTGAAGGCCACAGCGGAGCCGAGGTTGACCTTCCTGGCCCAGGCATCGAAGTCGTAGCGCATGCGGTTCCAGTTGCTCAACTTCTGGCCATTAGGAGGAGCATGGGCCTTCGCATCAAAACCAGCTGGCTCTTCGTACAGGAAGAAGATGTAGCGGTGGGGCGAGCTACCCGGAGGTGGCGCAGGGCCGATGTAGTTGGCGACGAAGGGAGCAGTGGTGTCGAGGGTGCCGGACTCGGTGACCTTCACGCCAGGCTGGATCCAGTGCAGGATTGGTCCAAGCACATCGAATGACGGGAAAGGCGCGTCAATATCGAGGCTCACGACAAGGTAGGTCTTGCTCGAGTCGAGGCCAGTGAAGGAGAGCTCAGGAGGGGACTGGGCGTCTGCGATTCCGTGTTTAGCTGATGACTGCAATGTTTATTTCAAGGCATAAATACCTGCGCGAGGAACATATTGGCCTGGCTGGATGTTCTTGTGGTTGCCCACAGTCAGGCCGAGCACCTTGGACTCGTCGCCCTCGATGAGAGCCAGAGCTGCCTTAACATGCGCGTCGGAAGGCATTTTGAGTGGGGTGGTTGAAGGTGGGAGAAAGAGGGTTGGAGTTGGAAATGAAGGAGTAAACGTCACCGTCGCACCTTCTTGAATGATTACCAGTTTAAGCAATCACAAGCTTTCGGAGATAAGCGGGGTTTGTGTAACGCTCCTACAAAAAAGGGATCCACCCGTGGACGCCTGAAGAATTCAGAGAGCTTCCCGAAATAAGCTTCATTGGCTACCTAAACGAACTCACCAATGAGAATCTCTACTGGACACTCGGCGACCCCTGGCAATTCTCCACGCGCTAAGTGGGCTACGGCACTCACGTTGAACACCTGCAAGTAATCTCTACCAATCTCCAGTTTCACTCTTCGACAATTCCTTTCACCAGTACTCGGATGCAATAGTTTCCTTCGTCGGGGAAGGGAGTTCCAAAGTCACGCGCAAACTCGATGTTCTTCTTTGTAGTCTCGAACAGCTCGAGATCGAATCGTCGAATCAGAGTCGCCATTGCAAGATACAGTTCCGCATAAGCGAGGCTGCCAAGCCCATCTGTCAGTATAGCCCCATGATTCGGACATCTAGAGAATAGAAAAGTTGGGTCGCAGGCAAACATACTTCATTCCCAGACAGTTACGACTTCCTTTCGAGAAGTTTACCAGGTACCGATCTAGTCGTTCACCTTTGGCCGCAGCCCGGGTCCACCTTTCCGGGTCGAAGACGTGAGGGTCAGGGAATATATTTGGATCCATGAGCACAAAGTAGTTCGTTTGGCTAATCAGAGTCTGTGATTGAAGCATATGAGCGATTCCATCCAGTTAGAAATGGTCATCAACATCGCCAACTTACTCCAGGTGGAATTGTGTAGTCCTTGTATACCAACGCTTCCGTGGGTGCAACGCGTGGAGATCGACTGGCAATGCCCGTCGAGAGACGTAGCGTTTCTAACACAACCCCCATCTAAAGCGAAGTTTAGGAATATTTCGACTTGATGAAATATGGACTGGAAAACCTACCAAATATGGTAACTGCTCCAGCTCATTCCACGTAGGCTTGGACTCGGGTGTGGGCATTATTGATCGCAGTTCGTCACGGAGTTTAGTTTGTAGATGCGGCTCGATGAGAAGATGGAACATTCCGAGTGAAAGGGACCTTGCGGTTGTTTCCGTGCCTCCAATGACTAGCGCGAAGCCTTCATCTGTCAGTCGATCGGCGCCTCGGGAATGCTCTGGCACGTCAGGTCCAGAAAGCTTTTCAACCACCGATCCAGATTCGCTTTTCTGACCAGCAAGGATATTAACCGTCCGCTTCCGAATATCAGCTTTCTGGTCTTTCAATGCCAAAGCGTATGGATGGATCATCTTCACTACCGACGGTGGCAATGTGTTCAAGGCTGTTTGAATAATTGGAAAGAAAAATGCGATATGCCCCATTCGGAAGAGTCCGCTAATTCCATCTCTAAGGTTCTCATTGAAGTCTTCCTGGTCAAGATTGCCACTGTTGAATCCAAAAACGTATTGATGGATGATATCCGATGTCATCGCCGAAAAGCCCGCATCAAGTGTAATCGCCTTGTGTGATTGATAGGCATGCTCAAGGTGCTGAACAAGTTTGTCAAGATAAACTTGAATCGTGCCTTCGGTTTTCGTTATCGCGGCCTTGGAAAAGAACTTTTCCACTGGTGCTCGACGCTGCCGATGAGTCTCTGGACTTATGCTGGAGAAGGATGAGTAGGGAATATCAAATCGGCCAACTGCAGCTGGGTCTTTTTCGCGTCTCCGGCCACTGGATGCATAAATGTCATCGTAGTAGTCAGGGTCCTTGATATGGACCTCCCGCGGACTGACTCGAACAATAGGGCCTATACAAGAATGAAAACTAGACAGCAAAGTCGAAAAGGTCAGATTACATACCATAGATCTCATGTAATCTTTCCAAGTGCCATATAAACGTTCCCCGCTTGATCACATTGAAATAAAATTCGTAAAAGCTGGTGATGGCGGCCAATTTCGGCCCAGGAATGTTTTTCAGAGGGTGAAAGTACACTCGGTAGACGGCCTTCGATATAAGATAAAGCAGGAGTCCCACGATTCCCAAGACTGGCAAGCTAGCCATGGTGCAGTTTAATAGTTATTGCGAGAAAAATGATCACAAAACTGCCTGTTCGCGAATGGAGAACCGGGGAGCGAGCTTTATTTATATTGCATTGGCAGACCTCGAAAGCTGCAGCGTATCCGCGTGCCATGGACCAATATTATGCAGATTACATTTGGCGGCCCGTTTTATTGGCGGAAAATGAAGCATCTGCGAGTACGGGGTAGCAATAAAGACCTAATGATGCGGCTAAGTTTTAGTTGACACTTCGGCTAGCCAACATAACGCTAGTTTCGCCGCCAAGAGGTGGTCAGCATGTGGACGATTGGCTCTTGGAGAAAGCGGAGCCCAGGCTGTGTGCATGAATCAAACACTCGCTTAAAGCTCTCCCTTTTATCTAAGCCAAATGTACTCGGGTTAAAATTTGGTTTTTGCCAAAATGACGCATTGATCGCGTGTACTGCGTTTTCAACACAAAGCCAAGCAGGTCCAATGAGGGGCAAGCACCTACTATCTCGAGACTAGTGTGTCGGCTGAAAATAATCTTGCAGGCCAGCCGGCATCTAATTCAAGACAGACCACCATCATAGTCTCTTCCAACTATCAAGTATTTTATGTCACGGCGCAACTTGTTCTGTCAAGGCTTTTTTCTGTCAAGGGTGATATCTAGAAATTGGTTTCAAAGGACCACATATTCGCCGCTAAAACGATTCGACAGCTAAGGAGCTGCAAAAGGCATTGGTTCAAACTGTAAACTAGCAATCGTTGGCTGAACCATTCACTTGATTTTGATGGATTGCCTGATAGAGTACACACAATGCTGCTTAACCCTGAGGGTCACATGACAGAGACCTCGGCTGACCCTTCCCCACCGGCCCCTCTGTTAATCTTGGCCCACTATCGATGCGTGACATACATACAGTGACCGTTCTTTGGCATTTGGGGCGCAGTACTTCTGCCCACTGGCAGAAGGATAAGTGGCCCACATATGTTCCAAATATGTACTCATAAAGACTGGTTAAACTTGAAAAAAATAACAAAGGGCCCATTACTATTGAGCTATTTCCTCTTGCTAAACACAGATCATCCTATATTTATCTCTTTTATATTCCCGTTGAACCCAGTTCATCATCAACATACTGCCTGACTGGCCAATAGTGTATTAGTTTACTGTGATATTATCTCCTGCCAGTTCGGGGTCGTATGTTGAAAAGTGCGTCTATACCTTACCGAGACTAGCCCGTGTATATTACTCCACTTGATAAAGCTTGGCGCTTCGCTCCCGTGAAATTGGTATAGTTATTCGTTGTTCTTCCCTTTCCCTTCTGCGTCCTCCCACCAAAGTTGGACTAGTTGACTGAAAATACCCATTCTTTCCAGCTGCTCTACTCTACCTTCGTCCACATATCGCTAGAGGTACCTACCTACTCGCGAGAATCATGATGAAATTTCATTCCGGACCGAGTGACTTCGATGCCCGACTCCTCCGCCGCTTGGTAGGGACTAAGGTCATTACCTTTTGTGACCTCAACCCCTTACAACAGCCTTCTACCGAATTTTGCTTACCGTCTGCCATCCCTCTATCTGCGGGGCCCCCTCGGGGGATCTCTCCTCCAGCGGCCTCGCCTACCACGAACTCCCTCGCTCCGGCCTCGCTTACTACTGCCTCCTCCGTCACGACCCCTACCATTTCCTTCTCTTATTCGCTCCCGCTAAGGATCAAGCGCTCATGGAATATCACGGAAAAGCTCGGGGAGACGGCTCTCCATCTCTCACAGGACGAAGTCGACATGGGCATTGGGCCTCCTCAAACAGTTGGCAAATTTCTGTGCCACCTTGAGGACGATCCGACGCAAATAGCGTTAATGCGAATCTATTACCAGATTCCTATCACTGGCACAGAGGACGCTAATCTCGATACACTAGCCCAGCAAATCCAACCTAATCAGGTGTGTGGTGAACTAGAGGCGTTTAGGCAATTAATGAGTCAAGGCTGCAGCTCTGTTCCACGTCTCCTTGGTTACTGCAAGAGAACGCAAGGGGAACATGAGCTCGTTCCCGGTGGCTTTGCTAAATACCTCGTATGGGAAAAGGTGCCTGGAGAGCCTCTTACAGAGGAATCTTTCTGGAGCTTAGATACCCGTGTACGAGAGGATATCCGTGCTAAATTTCGGGTTGCATTTGAGTCAGTTCACAAATACCTAAGATCACAGAAAGACAAAATGCTAATAGGTTCAACAGAGAGATGCTCCGTTGTGGCGTAAAACCACAGCAACCTGGAATCTCGAAGATTATCTATGATCAGCCCACTGGCAACGTGTACGTTAACGATTCTATATATTAAGAATGTTTACTAATGATTTCAGTCGCATTTCGCGGCTTCGAAGGGGATGGCCAATCCGTGAAAAGCTTGAATGGCGAGACACCTTTTATGTCACGTACACGCTGGCTAAGCGACCTGACGAGAGGGACTGGCGATCTCACCCGGACAAATGGGAGTTATGAAAGGTCAGCAATGTTTAGATTGAGCCTAAATCTCTACTCCTCGTCGAAATCGTTGTGCAAGTCGAAGGCTTCATTCAAATTATGGGTGTTGCAGTAACTAACTAGAAATTGCGGGGGTTTCTACGAGACCTCTTGAAGTATGATTGTTGGCTCTGACCCCTCGCTCTTTAGCTGAATTTAAGCCTGGTTGGGACTGGGTGGAGAGCACGGAGATGATTCTGAATCATTTCCCAATAATGCATAGAGCCGGCTAATGTGACGATTTGTACGTAACACTAAACTGGTGGTAATATCAGAAACTTACAGACAACAATAGCGTTAAGTCGAGAGCAAACTTCTACCCATATTGACTCTTCCAGATTCTCCAACTCATTTCATTGTGATGTTTGTTTTACTTAGGATGGCAATACCGACACGAACGAGAAGATCCTAGAAAAGATGTTAGAAAAGACCGTAGAAAAGACCGTAAAGAAGGGTAATAGTAGGAGGGGGGGTAGAATAATAACTTAGTCTATTACAGGGAAAAATAGATAGAGGCTACGTATATAGTCGCTAAAGATATTAACGAGAAGTATCAATGTGAATTAGACATAATGACTCGGTAGGTATTTTGTGAATTTTGAATGTGGCCTTGTGTTTTGAAAGGAAGGGGGGTTTCCTCATTAAGAATAACCTCATCGTTCCATGAACCTTTCTATCGTGTTGTTAATGTCACCCTTTATTTAACCAGTGTACTTCGTTCGAATCGCGTCCCACGTTACACTCTTTCTACTTGGTCATAATATGTTCAAACTGCCTGACGGCAGATCCCGTGAAGAAAAAAGTTATAAATGCAATGCAATGTATCCACAGTTGAAACTTATACGTCAAGAAGAATGGATCGATACCAACCCAAAGAGGATCCAAATGAGACCTCGCATGCAGAAACGCTAGAAATGTACCAATGAAACGAACCAACCCAGTTTCAAAACGTCACCAATCCATGGTGGGCACTTTCCCATGTGAAAGTGCAGCCCCAAATGAACCAACCGAAAAAGAAACATGGTATCTCCAACTCCAAAGCTAACCAGAACATGTAGACGAGTTATCGTGAGAATTAGGTACAAAGTGAAAGGGGATGCAAATGCGACACAGTACAGACCCGAAGGTCCGAAGCTAGAAAAGAGGATCTCCTTCATGCTTGGGTCTTGGGACTGATGTCGGGAGTGTGGACTTTCTGGTCCGCAGGAGTTTCGATGGTATCGTCCGACTCCTCATGAACCTCCAGTGCACCGGCCCTTTCATCAAAGGAAAGCTTGCTGGTGTCCACTGCGTCGGTTTTTGACTCAACCTCAGGAGAGGGGAACCTCTCCTCAAGCTCGCTCAGCACATCCTCGGCGCCCTCGATTTCCTTCTTTTCTGACTTGATATCGGTCTCTGAAGTCTCGGCCTCGGCGACAGAATCGGTAAACTCTTTCTTAGGTTCCTCGGTCTGAAGAGCGGCCAGTCCTTCGGCGAGCGTGCGTTGCTCATCATCATCCTCGTTATCACTAGCAGCCGAAAGGAACTCTTCCTTGTCGGTAGGTAACTCAGCGTCTGACTGGTCGAGATCGACCTCATCAACAATAGCGGGGACGGCTGTTCTAGTCTGGAGGGTCTTGACATTCGAGGAAAGTCCGCTGGTCTCACTAGGTTGCTCGATGGACTCTTCAGTCGCTTCGGGGGCAGTTTCGGTCTGCTCGGTGCTTCGGCTAGTGTATGAGAGTGCAGTTGGAGAAGTTGATTCACGACTGGAGCCAGACCCCCAGGTGTGGCGAGGGTGACGAGGAGGTAAGGGTGGAGGATTCGCGCGCTTGTTGATGGTGACCAGCTTGGCCCTTGTGAATGTGGGTGACAGGCGTCGTGACTCGGAAGCATTGGCTTGCTCGTCCTTCGGGGTCTCAGGTCTCGTGAAAGTCGCACTGGAGACCTCGTGTACCTCAAAATCGTCGTCCTCGTCGACGGCATGGTTCTTATCACTTTCGGCGTTTCCATTCACCTCGTTCGTGTTCGCCTTTTCTTGAGTACCCTCCTCTTCCTCAATACCACCATGGATGGGCACCGTGTCCCAACCAGCTTTCTCATCCTCCTCCCACGGGTTCGCAGACGGTCCATTGGTGGATTCCTTTGCGCTGAGCGAGGACGCTCGGCTTACTGACGTTGGCGCAGTTAGCGAGGCGTCCTCTGTTTGTGTGCCACGATCAACACTCGTATAGCTTTGCACGCTAGCCCGCCAACTATTCCGCGGCGAGCTATCGAGGCTGCGCCGGGAGAATGTCGCATAGACTGGGCTGCTGGGATTGGGCCGGAATTCAAAAACTTCATGACTTGGCCTCACCTTCGAGCCGGCCTCCCGGATGAACATGCCCTCGGCCTCCAACGCCTTCACTCCGTAGGGGTCCGGATCGTCTATACGAGGCACACCAAAGGCGTGGTCATCCCCCTCGAGATCCAGGTCACCGGGTGTTTCGCCGGGGGGTGCAACAAGGCTTTCGTCGACATCCACGTCGCCCTGGGCTGCTTTGATGGTCTGAAGAAGACCCTTGATCGAGTCTGGTGGGCGGCGCGCTTTTCCTGCCAAGATGTCGGTCACAGAGATACGCTCACCATAGAATTTCTCGTTTTCGTCGGTTCGTTCAATGATGATGGTTCCGTCCACGGAGACACCAGCGTATAAACCCTTGCTCTTCATATACGTCCAGATCGGGGCCTGGCGTTTGTGAACTTCGGATTCGAGCACGCCACCCATCCCGACGGGGCCGGCGGTAGCGCTGACCTCTCCACCGAGTGTGCAGCGGACTTTCTTGAAGGCTTCGAGTGCCTCGTACGTGTTGATGATGACGACGCAGTCGTAAATGTCGACACCAGCCAAGAACCCAATGGCAGCAGTGTGAAGCATGATACCTGACGGCGGACTCCATTCCCCCGTCTCGGGGATACGGGCCACCAGTACACCACTACCTCCAGAGCCACTGATCCAGAGACCGGTCCTCATTGTGGTGAAAATGGCAATCCCTTTGGCGTTCTTGATGACCTTCGAGGGGATCTTCTTGATGACCCGTTGCTTTCCCTTGGGTCGATTAATCTTGCCATTCTCGTCGGTCGTTTCTTCGGATTCGGGGGCATAGAAGCCATCTTTGCAGAAACTGCGCAAGATCCGGGCGGCTTTGTCGCTTTCTTTATCGATTGACATGGGCCAAAAGGCCTCGGCACCAAGTTTGTTCGACAAGCGATTGACAGGGCCACCTAATTTGTCGACGGTGTCCCATGCCTTATCGAAGCCCTTCTTCGAGTAGCGCTTTGTCTTTTCCCACGCAGACATGGCTAGCGCTGAAGGGGAAGTGGTATCTCAATCAGATGGCGCACACTAGCGAAACAAACAAAAAAAAAAAAGCTTCACAATCTCGGCGCAATCTATAGGCGACACGCTGTCTGACACGCGAAAGTTGCGCTGCAAACAGCAGTCATGGAACCGGAGAATGCTTCTCAAAACGATCCGGAATGCCCAGCCAGCGATGAGGTAGGGATGTTTATGGCTGAAGGAGAATCCGGCGGGATCGGCAGAATTGCCACTAGAGAATGCGTGCGGGGAGGAATGCGACAGATCACTTTCAAGTCGTTACGGCGTTATGAGGGGAAATGAGCTAAGGATTCGAGTCAATATCCCTCAAATAACATGGCAGAACACGATCAAGGCTTTTGATGCCCAAACCACCAGGATAGCAAGTCTCCTTCACTATCAGGCGAGTGGTGGTGGCCCGTGGCGATCCAACGGCCGGAAGGGCTGGAATGCGACCAAAACGGCGGAAGAGAAAAGGGCTTACCACAAGTGGGTGACGGGTGCAGATCTGGGGATCTGAGAATCTGAATTCTGGCGGTATTATGTACAGGATATATTGGAGAGGTGTATAAGAACAGCCTGCGACGGTGGAAAGAGAAGAGAAGAAAAAAAACAAAAAACGTTCCAACCAGACAGGACCAGGCACCAGGGCCCAACTTAAGAGAGGAAATTCATGACCTCCGGCCGATGACCTATGACACAGGGTTTAGCAAGATCGGGTCAGACGGAAGGCGGGAGTGTGCCAATTCGAGTGGCATAAGAGGCCGAGTGGCGCCGTGGCTAACGACAGGCCCTGCGCAGACCAGCGCAGACCGACGCAGAACCCTGGACGCCCATGGAACGCGCGGAGGGACGTCATCATCGACTCGTCGGTTGATCGGCACTTTTGTACGACTGCCTCTCGGTAGCCTCCCGAATCGGACCAAATTATCTGACTTCCGACTCGATAGCGGCAATGTAAATGTCCGACGATCCCAAATCTGGACTCTTGTGTTCTCATCAACGTATCAGGTTTCGCATCACTGCATCTGCTCCGACTCTGGCTTCAATAGTTCCGACCGGGTCGTGATCAGCTGAGCTCAAGAATAGCGTTGTTCGGTGGTTGTCAGCGACGGCGATAGATCACAATGCCCCACTTGGATTTGGTAATCACGTCTATGTATCCATCCATCCACATCAATCCGATACTCCAGGCTAGGTCGTGGTCCGATCCGGTCGGCCTGCAAATGCCATGGCAGGAAATGAACAGAGATCAAGGGAATTGTCAAGGAGAGCAGGTCATTTCCAATCCCGACTCCCGACAGCTCGACCTGATGGGCCCATGGGACTTTCAATCCGAGCGAAACCTGGCATATGTCATTCGACATTCATGCAGGGCTTCGCGCGGACATACTAGACCCACTCCTGCTAACTAGCCGATGTTTTTCCCTGATTATGAAGCAGATTCAAATTGGATATGCCGGATTTGGTCTAAACCATTCGATAATGCATGCCGCGGCGCCCTACAGGCCCCCAGACTAACCCCGCAGTGTGGCTGACGCAAATTGAATACTCGCCACACCAATATACGATAAAAAGAGGAAGATATAGCGAGAAAATTATTCTCGCTCTGCGGAGCAGTCCGATGTAATCATACAGAGACATGGCTTTCTCGTGCTTTTCGAGCACAAATGTAGCCATTCATCTCCTGTACAATGTTAGAAGCTGGGAGCGGTAATGACTGGTGGGCATTTCGATCAATTCGGGGCAATTTAATAAGATATCTCCCAGCTACCTTCCACACATCCCATCAATCAATGATATGCAAGTGTTCTTGGTATATATAACTCGATGCCGTTTTTAGGAGACGGGGGGTCTTTGGAGCTAATAAGTATGCCAATTGAGATGAAAAAGAATTACAATTAGCGAACATGCGGAAAGATGGTGACCTATCTTGCTACCGAATGTAGTTCCTTAAAGCTCTTTTGAATTTATTTGATAGAATAGCCCAAATGCAGAGCTATGTCACGCCAGCCAATATGATCATGAGAAGGCATCAGAATGTTGAAATAAACAAGGTCCAAATCTAGCTGGATCGTTCGTTGGTATAGAAACACATGGGACAAAAATATAACAAGGCAACCGCGTCATCCATCCCGCTTACAAGGCTCCAAGCTCCTTCAGCTTCGACACGAGGCCATCCACATCCTCGACCTTGCCGCCACCAGTGCGAGCTGGGGGCTCTGTGAGGAAAAAAAGATTCGTTAGCGAAAATAAATCTGAGATGGGATATGTCTGAGCTCGGCTTACCGGTGACCTTGATGGTCTTCAATCGCCGGGTATCATCAACGCCAAAGTCAGCGAGGGTCTTCTTCTCCAAAGGCTTCTTCTTCGCCTTCATGATGTTGGGCAAGGTAGCGTAGCGGGGCTCGTTCAACCGCAGATCGGTTGTAATGACCAAGGGCAGCTTGGCGCGGAGAGTCTCGACACCTCCGTCAACCTCGTGGGTAATCTCGACGGTACCAGCCTCGTCCTTTACCTCGACCTTGCTGGCCTGGGTGGCCTGGGGCCAGCCCAACAGACCAGCCAGCATCTGGCCGGTCTGACCCTGGTCACCATCGATAGCCTGCTTGCCCAGGAGGACAAGGTTGATGTTTTCTTTCTCAACAACACCCTTCAGCAACTTGGCGATGGTCAGCGGCTCGGGGCCACCCGCTGCTGAATCGGGGACATCAATGTGGAAAGCACGGTCGGCGCCCATGGCCATGGCGGTACGCAGGACATCGGGGGTCTTGGGGCCACCGGCGGACAGGGCCAGGATGTTCTCAACCTTGAGAGGGCCCTTGCGCTCGCGCAATCGCACGGCCTCCTCGATGGAGAGCTCGTCGAATGGGTTCAGGGAATGCTTGACGCCGGCGGTCTCGACACCGGTTTGCGCCTTGTTGATGCGGGGCTTGGTCTGCGGTAATCGATGAATTTGAAATCAGCCTTGAACAGCATAGATTGACGCATCACTGAAACCAAGAATATCCATTTCAAGGTCCCTCGTGCAAGTTTCTGATCCCTGGTTGCGTGCAGCCTGGAGGGGGAGATACTACTAACCGCATAATCGATCACCCGCTTAACGGGGACCAAAATCCGCAAGCTGCTAGCCATGATGGACTTTCTTGGGAACGTGGAACAGAACAAGAAAGTTCAATTCCGGAGTATGTTGGAAGGAGGAGCCCCGTGGTGGAAGTTGGAGAAGTTCGGAGGAGGAAAGAGTTGACTGCGGTGACGGAGTGCCAAGACCTCGAAATCGCCGACGCGGCCCGAGTGTAGCCCTCCTGGTACCACCGCCCCAGCCGAGGTTAAGCACATACAGCCTACGGTCTCTGGGCATAGTGGGGGATTATGGAGGGTCGAGCAGATATTTGTGACTGTAGGTAATCAACCTATATGTTTGAATTTGTGGATTTACGATGACATATCAGGAGTATACCCCGTTGTTTGGACCCTGGGATTGAAACACAAACTGTTGACTGCCGAGAGCACGAGAGCACGAGAGCACATGCAAATGCTCCCATGTGCTAACCTACTTGGAGCATACTTTCATGAAGTGGACTTCTATAGACGCGAACAGAGTCCTAATTGAAAGCTCTACGTATTCCAACTCTACCACGTCTCTTGCTTATACCGCCCATTCTTCTCCATGCCAATCAAATACTCCTCTGCCTGTGCTCGGGTATATGGCTGGCCAGTTATCGGCGCTCCTCCCTGCGCGAATGCCTCAATAAGCCCCTCCCGCACAGCCTGTGGCATACGCCCGGATGAACCACAGATGTAAACCGAGCCCTTCATGTCATGTAGAAGACGGAAGAACAATGTGAAGTTTTGTCGAATCGTATCCTGCACATAGATCTTTTGTTGCTGGTCGCGGGAGAATGCAGTAAGCACCTGTAAAGGTATGAGTTTACTGAGGTGTTCCCACTCTTCCTCGAAAAAGAAGTCCGCAGTGCGATTTCGACCACCATAAAGTAGAACGGTGGGGCCGATAGGTGGCTCGACACCGGGATTTTGTTCGCGAAATGCTTGGACCAGCGCTGCTTTTTCCCATAACATGGAGCGGAGAGGTGCGATTCCAGTGCCTGGTCCAATGAGAACGTTCGATGCAGTCAATTGCTGAACCGACGAATTAAGTCCACCTGGCTGTAGCTGCACCCGAAGTGTACTCCCGGGTCGAAGTGTAGAGAGGTATTTCGTGCAAACTCCTTCACGAATCCTTTTGATAACGGTTTGGTACTTGACGATGGCGATGAGAAGCTCGAACTGTGTCTTTCCATCGGACGTCCGCTTGCGCTCTCCGCCGCTGGCAATGCTGAATTGTCGCGCACGAATAACAGGAAGTACTGAAGCTGCATGCTGCCAAGGAATCTTGACTGAGTCGAACTCGTGCAGTACTTCAAGAATGCTGCGTCGTGGCCGAGACGTATAGTCCCACAGTTCATCGAGATATTCGGGATTTGTGAACTCCAGCAGTCGCTCTTTGTGCATGCTATCTTGCGTATAATGAGCGATATTGGAAAAGAAAGATCGACGAGGAATCGCCTTCACGTCAAGATAGTCGATAAGGAGGGATCGCAAGGTCAGGTTGTGGTAGTCTTCCAGGCCAGGGATGGGTGATGGTGCAACGGTATCCCCCGTTGGAACGAGAGCAATTGGTTTATCTGCTTGTTCATTCCACCCCATAACATCTATGAATGCTTGGACATCCTTCGGCGAGGTTTTGGGGGTAATGGCGATCATATCTCCGGGGACATATGGAACGGATTCCGGTACAGTGAAGGAGATCCGGCGGACATCCTGCCAATGCTTCTGGGGGGTTACTCGTCGGTTTTCGGTCAGAGTTGCGGTCAACGTGTCGGGAAGAGGACGAAGGTCATAGTCCAGATGTGTCAAGCCGGGATATTCGTCCGTTTGGGCGGCATCGGTTTCAGGGGCTTGTAGTTCGGGAGCTGGAACAGGGTCGGCATCGCCCTTCGATTGCAGGATCCATTTCGGTGGTAGCTGGACGTCATCAGGAATAGGATGTTGGCCAGGAGGAAGTGGGTGCCTGTCCATCAGGTGCTTTCGGAAGTCGGTCATCCATGGTATAAAGGTACCTTCGAGCCTAGAATGCCACAATATGTGAGACCAACCATTATAAGTAAATGGGGGAGGGGGGGGGAAGTAGTGTGAGTGCGAACCCTTCAGGATGCTGTTGATCTGCCTCGCCGGTGGGATATATGTCATTTGCTCCTAATTGGAGCAATCGCTTGTAGAGCTTCCGAGCTGCCCAATTGAACCTAAACAATATTAGCATCTATTTCCGTTCACACCAGTTCGTCTACATGACAGAACATACTTAGGGTATGAGCTATCTCCCAAACCAAAGGTCGCAAAATTGACACCATTCAAGAACGTCGGCGGAAGTTTCTTTAGTAAAAGTGATTTCCAGAACGTCCGTGCATTGGCTGGCAAATCACCTTGTCCGGTTGTCGAGACCACAAAGATAGTCAGCGTATATGAGAGAAGCGCTTCCTAACGATCCAAGAGTATAGAAGATTAGCCACCTGGTCTATGGAATGGTACGAGTGGCCGCCGAGCTCGGGCTATTATACTCACAGGCTTGGCCTGGTTCAACTCGGAAACGTGCGTCGCGAACCGAAGCCGCTCTGTCAAAGCGCCCAATTCCTCGGCCACTTCCTGTGCATTGCCAGTTTCTGTACCATAGAGAATGAGTGCCGACCGTGAGGGGCGGGACTCCTGCGTACTCATGCTGGTGTGAGGTGTTGGTAGACACTCTGGTTGCCCGCATCTTAAAATTCCCCCAATTGGGCCGCGGGGTGAAGTTGGCCGATCTCGCTGGCTGACGTCACCCGACTAAATGTCCCACTTCGTCGAATACATCGTTTATACCGATTAGACGCTAGACGGCTGTTGATGGGAGGACACGGTAAAACCTTTCTTTCGATAGAGTATTCTTTGTCTCCTTTAGAGGAATATCCTGGTTAGAAAGAGAGATCCCCAATTGTTCTTGGCACCTTCAAACAGAGCTTCAAATCGGGACAGTCCGAAGGCTATGAATGATTAACACGCTACCATACTTTGATCCTTTCGCATTTGAGAACTGAGAAGCATTGGTCTGGTAATCATTGAGTGGTTAGGTTGAAACTGACAACCGTATTAGATGAACAGAAAACGCCCGAACAGCCTGAAGGGCCGCATAATGCAGATCAAACGAGATTGACAGGTCAACCCAGAAGACCGTAACGCTGAATTTTGGCATCAAAAAATAGACACAAGAATGTATGGAACAAAGAATGTTAAGGAAAAGGGTATCTTCAGTTCGCGCCTCAATAGGTATCCTCATCACCGCCGCCTCCACCATCGCCAAAGCCATCATCGCCGAATTCGTCGTCACCGCCGTCGAAGTATTGTTCTGCGTTGTAATCACCACCCATGTCATCCTCATCATCTTCAAAGTCGTCATCCACAATCTCCTCTTCGGCTTCTTCATCGCCTTCTAGCAATTCGCCCTCATCAACGTCTCCCTCTCCGTCATCTTCATCTGCCCCGGTGGCGCGTCGCTTGGCGGCCTCATCTTCCTCATCCTCATCATCCTCGAACCCACGCTTGATTCCAATCGCAGCTGCCTGGACGTGATAACCGTCGATGGATGCGTTAGGGCGGAAGTTGGGCATAATGGTCTGCCAGAGCTCGCGAGGGAAGTATCGTGTTTCTAAAGAAAGAGGCAATCAGTCATTGAACATGATAAGCAAACAAAAAATGTGGCAGGCTATAATCACTGACCATACTCGCGACCAATATTTGCAACCTTGGGAAGTGTCCTTCTTTTCTTCTGGTATCGTCCGGAATAAGAGGGCATGCCGTGGAAGGGATCGAAGTTGGCGCGCGCAGCACTACCCTTCTTGGCTGAGGAGGAAGAGGTGTCGAGGACAGAGTAGTAGGGTCCCTCGTGGAATCTTTCGCGGAGGTGTCGGTAGTAGTCCACCTCACTTTGTTCTTTTTCGGAGAGCTTGCGCGCAAACGGGACAACATATGCCTGCATGATGAATCTGCTGTTAAAAAAGGTCGTGACAACGAGAAGAGCCGCAGAGATTGGTGGAAAAGATGTGAATTAAAAACAAAAAGCTCAGGGGGGAAGTTATACGTACTGGATATAATGGAGTAGGAGCAGTGTCCGGCACACCCCCCGGGTCCATATCCCAGGTGAATTCAGCGCCAGGCGCGCGATTGCCCTTTTTGGCTCCAAAGCGCGACATGGCCGGCGAAATGATATGAGCGGAAAATCAAGTGCTAGCTATTGTCTGTTGTCTGAGCGTCACAGCGCCATGATAAGGTGAATGCTGGAGAGACGCAAGCTATGAGTCGGGACCAGAAAAATACCGTTCTTGGGCTCACCGCCTGCCCGCCCGATCGGGGAATTAGGGCATTATCCAACCCTATCGAGGCTACGACTGATTGCCTTCCCCGCGCTTAGATAAGATGTGCCGATCAACGGGTTCTTGCAGTACCTACGCCTCGGCTTAATCCTCTTGAGAGCTGCCTACAGGAAGACCATTCTAACTGTGAGGTCTAAGTTACGTGACCATGTAAGAGCAAGAGGACTGTAATCTATTACATATTGTAAAAGCTGTGTTCAACCGAGACAACAAGATGGGAGAAAATCATACGCTTCATTTCCATTTTGATGCTTCAATTTCATAGGATTCATCACAAATTGACAGCCGCCACCTGGGCAGTAGTAGACTGGATGGGACCCACTGGACCCTGACTAACTCGTTGTCCTAGGGTTCGCAAAATGTCCTCAAACCCTTCCATTTGGCCACCGCTTTCGCGCAGGCGATTATGCAACGCAACGAGAACCTCATGTTTCGCCGTAGCTACTTTCCAAACGGCATGTTGAGAGTCGCCAGCACCGCCTCCCACAAACTCGGCATACGATCGTGGTGGTTTGAAAAGATAGGGCAGGAGTGTTGTCAAAGCAGGTGGGGTGAGCACGGCCCATGGGCCGGACAAAGGAAGTAGACCGCTTGAAGCAGGTGAGAGCTGTCCCAAGTCTTCTTCAGACGGTAGCTGAAAGCGAGATGATACGTTGGCCACGTGCGACGCCGGAGGTAGGGGTTGCCAGTGGGCCAGGACGATAGCATTCATGAAAGCAATGGCAGACAAAGCAACATCCTTCATTGCTAGGATGTCGGCTGCGGCAACAATGTCCGTCCAAAATCCAGGATTATGGTTGAGATACATGAAGTATAGTATGCGGGCAGCAGCGGCTTCATGGTGCCAGTCAGTTGGGGTCTGGCCTGAAGTGTTCAGATCCATCGCATCGGGCATCTCGGTCCGGGAGGGACCATGGAAGATCTTTCCAAGAACGTCCAATGCCTGACCATTAGGGGGGCTGGTAGGGATATTCAACATGGGATTGGAACCATGCCTTCCAGCTTCGACGAGCAGGACCCGAGGCAGAGAGGCCAGGACGGCCAGATGTCCCGTGGGAACTTCACCATGCGCCCATTGCGTGGAGGGAATCGCAAGAGCCCGATTAATGCGCGCGATGATACCGTCGAGAAGCGTTGAAGGATTTGTAAGAAAATGGTTGGGGTATGACTCGGCATACTTTGACAAGTAAGCCATGACAGGTCCGGCGAGATAGATGAGATCCACCGGATCAAGCCTCGATTCGTCGAGATAGTACTCCAACACTTTTGAATGCAACTTTTCCACAATGAGGAAGTCGAGAGCAGGAGAAGAGAAAGTTGATACAGACTGAACGGAGCCCCGAGCCACTAGACCTGGAGCATCAATATCGAGCAAGTCCCTATAGAAGCCCAGGAGGGTCATGTGCATCAGCACGTCGCCCGGGTCAACCATCCGACTAGCCGCAAAATCGAGGAGACTGGAGCTTTGATATTTGGCCTCCACATCTGCGACTTGAGACTTGGAGATGATGTCCCAGCGTAGGTGACCTGCCTTCACTAGAAATCCCATTAATCTTCCTTGTGCGACAGTCCGCTCACGCTTGGACAAATCTCCTGGCGCATCATTTCTCAGACTGCATAGCCCAAATAGCAGGCCATAAACATCCTTGTCTGTAAAGACTCTCCTCCACATGAGACCCTGGCCTGTCCGTCCGTCATCGATAGTATGGTCGTATTCGCCTTGTTCAAGAGGACTGGCTGTGTCCACCTCCAGCAGAGCCCACAGCGCATCGAGTGCAGCTTGCGCAACTGCCGTTGATGCAGTTGAAAGCCACAGCTCGACCAGAGCGGCGACCAGTTCCGCGTCTTCGGCGACTATCGCGGCATCACTAGATGCCTGTCCAGCTTTGGCCAGTAGTGAAAGAGCAAGAAGGTTGATGGGTTCCGACGGAGCCTTGAAGCCATCGATCAAATTGATTGTCGGCTCGACGGAGCGAATATCCGTGAAACTTAAAGAGGCACAGGCGGCGGTAGCAAGTGCAGTAAGGGGTGTAGGGTCCTCTTGGAGGACAGGTAGAAGTACTGCGATCTGCGATAAGAGCGTGGCGGGGACAACGGGATCTGTCCTATCGATGAGCTGGAGCTTCAACCGGGCGATGAGTGAGGTGTCGAGGGGCGTAGAGGGGTCCTCCTGAACCTTAGCAAGATGCGTTTTCACTGCATCGAAGGTTGAAGGGATAGCCATGGCGGCGGGTGGTATTGTTAGTAACTTGAAATAGATTAAGGCCAAATGAAAGTCAGCAGGTGGGGAGAGAAAGCGGCGAAGCTAAAGCTATCGGCGCCGCCTTAGGCAGCCCGGCCCAAACACCCCAAACATGACCGCATCACCTCCCAAGGTCAACTCCGCACACCTTCACCAACCTACGAGAGGCAATACAATAATGGATCCCTCACAGTCTCTTGTCTCCATAAAGTCTTCGGACTCGGGGCTCCACATTCAGCTTCATCCGCTGGTGCTTCTCACCATATCTGACCACATTACCCGCCATGCGGCACGACAACAGCAGGGTCCAATTATTGGGGCTCTGCTTGGCCAGCAGAACGGCCGAGAGATAACCCTGGAGCATGTTTTTGAATGCCCCGTGGCTTTGGGGGAGAATGGAGAATTTTTACTGACCTCACCATGGTTCGAAGAGCGACTGAAGCAGTGTACGTACCACAAGGCGTTTCAGCCAACGATAACCAGCGAGGGAGCTCGACATACTGATACGATACACAGTCAAAGACGTTCACAAAGATCCCGCACTCGACCTTGTTGGATGGTGGTCAACTGCACCTCCCTCCGGCCCCCATGCCTCACACCTCCATCTTCACAAACAAATCCTCCAAGATTACAACGAGTCAGCCGTCTTCCTCGCATTTCACCCCTCACAGGTCCAATCACGGGCACACGGCGCCAAGCTGCCATTGACAATCTACGAGACTGTGCTTGAAGGCGAAAATGCAGCCGATGCGACAAAGGACATGCAAATTGATGGCGAGGAGCCAACACTCAACCTCCGCTTCCGCGAGCTACCATATTCCGTGGAGACAGAAGAGGCCGAAATGATCGGCGTTGATACCATCGCTCAAACTGCGGGAACTGCGTCACGAAGCGAAATCCCAAATCAGAGTACTAGCACGGCTGTGGGCCAGAAATCAGCAGACAAGGAACAAAAGAGCTCACAGGCTGAGCTAACGCAAGAGGAGGAAGAGCGTATGTACCCCCACCCTCACCCTGATGATGGTCTGTCTAATTTCAAACCCAAGTGGTCGCAAATCTTAATACCCGCCTCAACGCCGTCCGCACTCTCGAATCCCGTATCTCCCTCATCAAATCCTACGTCTCCAGCGTCTCTGCATCAGAATCGTCAGAAGCAACAAAAGACGTTACAAGCGGCCCCCAACTGTCGCACCCTATTATCCGCAACATCAATTCCCTTATCTCACATCTCTCCATCCTCTCTCCTCACGAACAAAGCTCCTTCTCGACCGAAGTACTGTCCCAAAACAATGATGTTTTGCTGGTCTCCCTGCTCGGCCAGCTGGGTGAAAACGTCAAGGCTATGCGCGAACTGGGTCGCAAGTCAGCTATTGTGCAGTCTGCACGCCATGCGGCAAATCCCCGCAAGCAGCCCGGTCTCGCGGCCAGAACCTTTGAGGATGAGCTCTTCGCCCACACGCTTCCGACTAGTGGAGAAACGGGAGGGATGTATTCTTGAAGCGGCAATGGAGGTCTCAGCTGTATTTCGTTATGCAGGTCACGAGATCAATGCATTATGATACGTCTCCAGAAGCCGAGGCCTAGAACTTTGACTGCTTGCTTTTTATGGCTTTTCTTTCAGCGACACTTCTAGACGAGATAACGAATCTATCAAACTTTATCCGGAATTATCTGAACGATTAATCCGCTTTCCAGTTTCCATCATGCGTACTTGAGTAATCTTCAATGTGGAATAGATTCATGAGAAACAAAAGTGTAAATATACAATAAGCATCGCTTGGATATGCCTCAATAGATGCAAAGCATCAGAATGAAAAAAAAGGACATGATATCAGATATCAGAATGGAAAGAAAAAAAAATACATGTCAATGAGAAAGAAATGGGTATTCGCATCCATCAAAAGGGACTGAAGCGAAGAAGGGGAACCGCAAGAAAGAGAAGAAGAAAAACAATCAAGGTCGGAGTGCTCGACCAGCTGCTGTTCATGAGTACCATTCATTAGGGAAGAGGAGACCAGCCATCCCGATCATAACACGCTGCTGCGGACGCAGAAAAAAAACGACCCAAAGACCATACGAAACAACGTCATAAGTGAGCTATCAATGTAAGATCATGGATGGTGGTGGCTCTCAGGGTAGGGTGGCGGAGGGTGATAAGGATCGGGCATTGGCATTGGAATCTGTTCTCTAAGGGGGCCATTAGCTGGGTAAGGCTGGGACCCTTGGTTTTGAGGATGATGGGCGGTATTTTGATGCTCGATGTCATCGTATGGCGAAGAGTTCTGGTGTCCATAGAAGCGACCAGACTGCCCTTGCCCCTGAAGATAGTCGTCACTATCATCTTCCCATGGCGAAGCGTCAACATGCGAGGTCGACGGGTTCGATTGGGCATGAGCAAGCAAGACCTCGCCCTCTTCGTCTCCCGCATACCGGCCTGTCCGACCACCGGACATGGCGGCGCCTGCACCACCATAAGCCGTGCTATCATTGGTGATTCCAGACTCGGATGGCTCCAAGCCAATGGTCTGGGTGTGAGGCTGGTAGCTGGAGTCCTGCATGCGGGTCTTACGGCCGACAGCCAACCATCGGAAACTCCGGCCAATAGCTTTGAGGAGATCCAGCGGGTTCATCGCATCGCCCAGGGCAGCGAAGCCCCAACGCCCACCTTCGTATGATGCTTTTCCGTTACCGTAGAAGTCGGTCACTTCAGCACCCTCGTTATTGAGGGCGTAACGTTTCCAGGAGAAGGCCCAGAGGTGCAGAACGGAGAAAATGAACATTTCGATGTTGATCAACAGCTCCGGGAGACCGTACTTTAGGTCGGCCATGGCCATCTTCTTTGTCTCACCCACAGCGCCCAGAGAGACCAGGAGACTGATAAAGGTTGATTGCCAGAATGAAAGGAAAATGACCAACTTGATAGACAGAATCTTCAAGAAAGGTTGGTGTTCTTCGATGTCTTTGCGGATTTGAATGTAGAACTGGATCAAGCAGTACATAGCTATTGAGACACTAATTGACTCAATAATGATGGTCTAGACATCAAGAAACGAGAGATTAGCAGCTGATATCGTTCGTTTAGAGCAGTCTGAGATGGAACATACCCAAACATGCGCAAAGGCGGGGCTCATCGACTCTTCGCAATATCTCCCGGTGGCTTGCGTAACAACCGCAACGATGGTCATCAACACTCGAATGACGCAGTATTGAAAGACACCTGCCCAGACCACCTAAAAAGTTATGGACGATCAGTTTCCAGCTCCTTGAAATAGAGCGCAACTCCGTGTAATTCTTACATTGAACCAAGTTAGACCGCTGCGCGGGTTGCGCCACGCCCCGCGATGTCCAAAACAGCATTTCCACTTCTGGAACCAGCTCAGCGGCCAGACCCAAGCCTTGGGCTGAATCCCACGGAAATAATCCTTCTGGCTGTGTAGATCGGGCGCAATGTAGTGGCACATGAGGGAGAAGAAAGCCGCAATACAGAACGCTTCGTAGCAGTTGCCGATGACTTCGAAGTATACGGAATCGTTGTAAAATAGTATGCTGAGCCAAGCGACGATGGAGTAAACGGGGACCATGAACAGGATGCGAATTATGCTGTGCGAGTAAAATCAGAGTTGTTAGTCCATGTCTGCCTCATCGTCCGCTGCTTCCGTCCTGGGGGGGGGGGTGGCAGCTCGTCCACTCTCTGACTCCATGTGGGAGGTTCGACTCACTGTCGCTGTTCAATCGGTTTGCTGTAGTGCGTCGCATGACTCATAATCAAGAATGCCGAGATAGCGCAAGCCAGTAACGCGCAAACTCCGGCGACAATCAAGCAGAGTTGGTGAAATGTGATACCGCCATCCCAAAGATCGTCCTCCACGACTGTGCGAAGCGCGCGAGTTAGTTCCACTTGTACGGGCACGAGAAACACAAAAAGAATGGGAGAGGGAGCGCGTACTCTTCTGATGCTCCGCGGTAGTATTACACACAGTCCAGCCCATTCTAGTTGGCGTGGGAGAGTGTATTGAACGTGGAGGGTTTGAAAGGGGAAAAGTGTGGAGGCGGATGTCTTTTGGCCCCGATTATCTTATCCGTGGATCTCCTAGCGTAGCCTCCGTCAACAATGCGACCGGCGGGGGGAGGCAGAAATATGAAGAAGCACAAATATGGTCCGTGGTTGTGGTGGCTGCATAAAGCGCTCCAGTATAGAAGATTGTAAGCCACGTCGATCGTTTTTTTTTTTTTTTTCTGAGGGGGTGCCTGAAAGTCCGAGTCAGTCCCAAAAAAAAGAAGATCGGCGAAGGCTTGGAGGAAGGCTTGTCTATTTTTGTTGGCTTGGCCCCCTGGCGCTTTGCGGTTCGATCCAAACTTTCAGTCTTCTTGGTTGCCTAAATGTTCGATTGAACCATACTGCAGTAGTTGGATAAGCTAAGGAGTTTTCGTTATGTACTCTGGGCGGTGACACTAGTGATATCATCTTTGTATTTTGTGTGTAGTGTTTTATGGTACATCGTGGTTATGATACAAACTCGACATAATTCGATCGAGGAGGTTTTGGTGTCTCTAGACACACTTCATTTCTGTCCATTGAGACTCCACGGCATTGCGGGCATTGGGATAGGAGCATCATCCATCACATTCATCGGCGACGACCGTCCCCGCCGCGTCCACCGCCTCCACCTCGTCCATTGCCTCTTCCTCGGCGTCCCTGGCGAGCTCCTAGGCCATACTCCGGACCACCATCCACGAAGCGATCCTCGTCTTCGAAAGTGATCCGACGCATATCGTCTCCGCCACGGCGCGGGAACTGGCCCTTGCGAATCAGCTCGTCAAATTGATCCAACCGCTTGTCAGCCACCTCCCTAGGTACACGAAGGAAGTAGAGCTTGGGCTTTGTGGTGGTGGATTCAAAGAGGTCGTCAAGAGGTTTAAACCCTTGGCCGGGTCGCGACGGAGGTGCAGGTGGGGCATTGGAAGCCCGGCGATCGGGCTGAGCAACGCTGCCACGCGGACCTGAGGGCGGAGTTCGGTTGAAGCCAGGCTCGAGTTTTGTGGACGGGCCAGAGCGCGATGTCGATCCAGCCTCTGCTAGGATAGCGGTGGTTTCATCATCCTTCGATTCGTACTGGACTTCCCAGCGGACAGGAGGCCCGGGTCTATCGCGTGCTGCTTCTTCAGTATGAATCCATTCTTTGACTCGATCGTCAGGAATAAAGTCTGCCCACAGACTCTTGCGGTTCCGCTCGTTTGGCCATACCGTTCCGTGGATTGCAGAGCGGACCCGTGAAGCGGATGCAATGTCGTCAAATTGGACAAAGCAGTGCGTCTTGATAGGGTCAAGCCAAAATTCCTTCACTACCTTGGCAGCAACGGGTGCACCGGGTGTAGATGCCAGAGTGATCAGGTGCTTTCGAAGTCCATTGGGTTGTAGAGGACGCATGAGCCCGTCGATGTAAAGAGAACGGGTTGCAGGGTGGATAGCAGATTCCACAGAAGCATCCTCCATGGCAACATCCCGCATTGGAGAAGTTGAGCGGGCAGGTGCAGGTGCAGGCGCCACAGCAAACAAACCTCGGAATCGTGCATCCTGTTTGGCTGGTGCGGCAGGCTCATCTTTTGGAGTCTCAGCTGCCGGCCGTTCCTCTCGCGCAAAGTCTTTAGGGTCTGTTCCAGCAGGAACGTCCTCGTTCAGTATGACATGGGGACTTTCTTCCTGCGCTCGGGCTTTCTTTTGTGCGATGCCCTCGGGGGTGGGGACAGGGCTCTGGCTGCGGCGCTTCCGTTTGCGCTTGTCCTCCAAAACTTCTTCGACAGGAAGAGGAGTGGATAGTCCTGTGTTTGCTCCAGAAGTATGAGTGACTGAGGGGGCTACTTCGGTAGTCGTAGTTGGCTCCAATAATAGAGGCTCGTCTGTAATTGTGGGAGCTTGCTCTTCGGGCTCTTCGGGCTCTGCGGGCTCTGCTGTCGGTGCGGTCACCTCGGAGGGGGCGACCTCTTTGGGCCCTTGTTCCTCAGCTGGCGCCTGTGTGGTGACAACTTCTGGTACATCCCGCGACACATCCTCTGTAGAATTTCCTTCACTCTGCGCTTCGGCTGCGCCATTCTCGGGCCCGGGGGGTTGTTGCTCTGGTGCAGGAGGGGCTTCCGGTACTTCTGGCTGTCTGTTCTCGGGTTCTGGTTGTTCTGGTTGTTCTGGTTGTTCTGGTTGGTCAGTGAATTCTGGCGCAGCTTCCTCCTGGGCTTCGGGCTCCGGAGCTTCCTCGGCTGGAGCCGCAGCTGAATCCTCAGGTTGCCCTTTGGCGTCTTCCTCCTCGAGCTTGTCGATGAATTGTTGCTTGAGACGGAGTCCAGTTTGGGGGATTCCCCGCTTCTTGAGCTCCGCTTTCAGATCAGTGACCTTCCATGAGGAGTATTCCGCCATCGCGTTGGCGCATTGGTTGCTGAGAGGTGAGAGAGTGCGAATGCGAGGGAGGGAAATCGAGCGAGGAATGAATCTGGGGACGCGCTGGAATGCGCGGCGATGATGTAGGGCGTTAGCCGGATTCGGTCTAGCGTTGTCTACATTATTTTAGCGGCCAGCGGCCTCGGTCCTTCTTAATTCCACTTCAGGGTTTAGTTCAAGAGGAAACTGAAATGCAAAGGGTTAAGGGCTGTTGGCACTACCCGGGGTCTGAGTTACCGTGTTTTTGCCTGATTTCTGCTAAGCCTGTTCTAGCTGAAAATTCCGAATTCCACCACTCCATAGTTAGATGCGGTATCTTTTGTAAGACCCCCGAGGGCCTGTCCCTCTTGGGAAAGACCAATCAATAAACCGAAATATATCCTCTTGATTTTTTGAACTACAAGTTCAGACCAGCCAATATGCCCTGGCGTGCTTGGTTTTATATCTTTGCAACTTCGCACCTTTCAACCTGATGACATACCTCCAATGGCTTCACCCGTCCCCTCATCTGAGATGGCAAAACAAAGACCGTGAATTCTACATTTCCCCCCCCCCCTCCCCCCCCCGAAATAATCTCATCCATTGTGTCCTTTCTGCCAAACAAAGATTTCAAGTCCTTGCTCTTGACGTGCAACGCCCTTGGCGAGATTTCACCATTTTCCTCCTCGCGTATGTTTCTTTCGGCCAACTCGTTAAACATCCAGGTTTTTCGGGCTGTAGCCGACCATCCAAAGTTTCGCCCCGAAATCAGGGAGATCATCTGGGACGACGCACGATTCGTATTGGCATCATTGCCATGGGAAAGCCTCCACCCAAGCATCGACCCCGAACTCATGGAAATCGACTCTAAGGAGGGATGTCCCGTCCGGTTCACGGAGGAATGCAAAGAGAACCGCTGTAGGATGAAGCATCGGAAATACTGCGACGTGGACCGACCTGACCATATTGCACGTTAGCACCAGATGGATGTGCAAATGCCATTGAAAGCCTGCTGGAAGTATTATCAGAAACTATGGGATAATCAGACGTTTGTGATCGGATCCGAAGACGACGAAGAGGCCTTTCTTTACGGCCTAGAGCGATTCCCGCGGCTTCGAATAGTAACCGTGACGCCTGCGGCTCACGGCTGGCTATTTGCTCCGTTGTACGAAACACCTATGATCCGGGTATTTCCATACGGATTCAACTATCCGATTCCGCGAGGATGGCACTGTGATCCCGATGATAGTCAGGTTGTCGAGCCGTTACCGTGGTCAGAGGCAACCGAGGACTATAAGGAGCTATGGAGAGGAGCTCGAATTGTTCTTCGCCTTTTATCTCAGGCTGAGAAGCATAATGTTTCCGAGTTAAGCTTCGACTCTAAGCAGCTCTTCACCGGATTAAACTTTTCGATTCTCGACCGGTCGTGTGAGGAATACAATCAATTTACGGCTATCATGAAACGCCCAGGCTTTCGGCGTCTTCATCTATCTTTACTTACTGGTAGTAGTGGTTACTGGACAGGATTACAAAGCGGATTATTCAATGAAGCTATAAGCCTGGCTAAGGAATTGACCCATATTCATCTACCAACTACATTTGATAATGGATCTGGTTCTTTAATAAGGGATCTCCCTATCCCTCTGAAGGAGGTTCTGCCTAGTAAGGAGTGGCCGAATCTGTCTCACTTGACATTCTCCCGTTTCAGTGTTGATACGTCGGAGTTGTTGGACATACTCAAATTAGCACCATCCTCATTACAACCTCTGGACTTGAAATGTATCGAGTTCCCCTTTGATGAAATGCGTTGGACTGGTCTACTAGAGAGGATGCGAGAGGAACTGGACTGGGCCAAGAGAGACCAATCACTGAAACCGACCGTCACAACAGCGATGGAAGGCCATCGTAGATGGCCGAGGAGGTTCATCGAGCTTTCAGACGAGGTGGCAAGCTTTCTCTATGGCTGTGGAGAAAATCCCCTGAATGGAGCAGATACACGCAGCCCGAAAGAAGGATACTGGACGAATCTCGACCTTTTTGAGGCGGAGTACACTCGGCCCAACGTCAATTTCCAATATCTTAAGAAACTAGGAATCATTTGTTAGGAATGTTACCCAGCTGGTCCCATGCCGAAGTGCCGATGAAATCATCTCCTCACACGCATGCGAATGAGATTGGGCTGTGCATCCTTCAAAGGTACAGCACACCGCTGAACAAAGGTTGCAAGAATATCTTGTCGCTCTTCGAACATCCATCTCAATATATCGCACGTCTGAGCTGCCCCGAAAATTGCTTGAAAGCAGGGTTGCCTGTGGAGATCCTCTGCTGGAGGGTAGGACTGCTCTGTTCCTTCAACTTTTGTGGTCATAGATCCCACATGGTGTCCAATAAATTTCTCATACTTTTTGAGGTCTGGAGCCAGGAAGGAAAACTTTGTGGTCCATTCCGAGATCGTTTGTTCGATTTCGGAAGTAAGCTGGGCAAATGTTGCTTCGCCCATGCCGTAGTCGAGAAACCCAATAAAGTCCATGGTAAAAAGATCCTTATATTCAGGTTGCTTTGAAGGATAAGAGGATTCAAATGCTGCTAGTATAGCGGGGTGCATGAAGGGCATCGTCTCAGGGAGCCCTGCTTTTGTAGCCAATAGTGAGAGAATACCGTTGAAAGCGAACCAGAACTTGCAGGAATTTTCCTTGCTTCGCGGTGGGATTTCCTGAGTGACTCTTGTGATTTGGAGAACCTCGTCCAAGACAGATATATGGTCGTCTACCATCCTGTTCAACCGCTCTGGGCTGAGCTTCGTCACTCCATGAGCAGGCTGCTGCCCACTCTTGTGACCGTATCTAATTCCCTGCCTCGTCCAAACTTCTTCTCTTTGCTTGGCACATACTTCCAGTTCCTTTCGAGCTTTTTCAAATCGCGCTCTACTGTTGAAGACAACGATTGAGCGAGCATGGCTGAGTGAGTAGGACGTGATGACTCGATGGTGCTGTTGTGAAAGTTTGCCGATACTGACTCTCCAGTCTACCGTTGCGGGCCAATGTTTACTTCTTTTCCTCATGGCTGGTACCTGGCCAGTGACAACATCCTTGTGTGGTGCTTTTGCCAGCAAGCTATTTTGCGGGTAGGTCTTGTCGTGACGAATTATAGCATCGGCGAATGGCGACTCCCAGCATCTTGATTCGTCACAGAACACGACAGCAAGAGTCGGGCTGATAGGAAGAATGACGTGTATCATGTCATCTGTGGTCATCCATATGAGCTGAGGCCCGTGTTCGGTTATTTCTACTCCAAGAAACGATTGGGTATCGCCCTCAAAGTCACAGAGACTCTCGTTGAGAAAGAACTCGTAGCCATCCGCCGCATGCCAGATTTGAAGGGCGTAATTCTCGACAAAGTGCTTGTAGGTCCGCGCACTAGCTTTAGAAGTGCTATCGCCAGGATGCTCTGCATCTGCAAGAAGGTCCTCGTGGCTCGCTTGCAAAAGATAGAGTATTTGCTCAAGCCAGACTTCTCCTGGATCGCTGGATCGACCCTCCTTTCGCGAAGCCTCGCAGAGGCGCTGGAACATAAAGTCATTCTCACGGTATGGATTTTGCATTTCGTCTCGGAACTGCTTGGAGCGTCGGAAGGAGAGAATCATAAACTTGAATAAAACGTGAATATGCTTCTCGAGGATATTGACATGGTCGAGCTTTTCCTTTGCGGCATTTCTGATCTTAGTAAATATCTGGCTCGTCCGTCCCTCTATGCCGCTGAAAAGACCCTCAATTCTCATATGTTCCGGATCATTCTCCATGTAATACAAGTTGTACATCCCGCATGACCTTCTGACCTCTTCGGTGATGAACTGTCCGGTTTGTAGGTCATACAGGTTCAAAAGGCCATCTCCGTTTGCGGAACTAGAGTGAGTTTTGTCAGCAGGTAGAACTTACAAGCTTCAGGAATGACATGAGGTCAAACCTTTTGGTTGGCGACTCGGTATATGCAAATTGTTTGAGGATAAATTGGGGGATATAGTGATGGTACTGCTTTGTGAGGACTGGCATATTGAAATCTAGAAAACGTTGTGTGATCAAGTAGAATGGCTACTTGACTAAGTAGAATGGCTACTTGACTGAGTAGAAATTTTCAGGAATTGGATAGCCGATCAAAGGGGAAACACTTTGGAGCCCAATTCTAGTCCGTGGAGACTTGATAGAGCAGGATCTTCATGTGCAGCTAAGTTGTGACTTCGATTTTTCTGATGTTCAAGGCAGGATCACAGCGAGGTGTCAGATATAAGGGGTGCGTGAAAATCACTTCGCAGTAGAAGAATTAACCTAGAAGCGGGGTAAGCGCATATACAATGAAAGGGCTCTATATTCGTGACATTTTTCAGCAGATCAACAAGCTCTGTCTCTGGGGGATGTTTACGTGGGCGAATCCAAAGGTGACATGTAGCCAGGCGGCTAATCTGCTGCAAGTCAAAATGTAGAGTGGCGCAGTCTATTCTTGTCATGAAGTCTGGGACCAGTCATCTTATTAGCGCCCAAACTAATATACAGCACTTCTAGATAATGAGGCAGCTAGTTTTGGGGCCAGAACCAACTCGAGTCGTACGTAGACACTGTCCGAAAATGGATCTGGCATTGTCTCGACTTGCCAGATACAACGGCGGCTGGCTGCGATCTGCATCTTTGGTCTTCTGTTACTGCAGCCAATGGAAGTTGGGCTCCTCATCCTTATAATCATTTTTTGTGACCGGTACTATCATGGTTGTTTCGGCCTTCATGAACTTCAGTGGTTGAGATCATCAGAATCGTGGCTCGCAAGCGTCCCATCCCACATCTCATTGCCTTATTCCTCTTCAAATCCTTTGATCTTATCAGCTGGTGACAAACCGCCATGAGAGCCAATATCTCAAATAATAACCTTATAATATTGATCATTCCCCTTGAATATATGCTCGAATTTGATTGGACAACATTGGTCGTGATAGCTTAATGCCACCATAAAGGGATTCTACAAATCCGGCATTACGACTTCGGAGATCTTGGACGTTCATACAAATTTGAGTTGAACTAATGAGATGGTAGAATGGTCTGAATTGCCTAAACAGCCCCTAGCTAGCAAATTGGAAGGCTCAAATACAAAATCAATCTTGATGCGAGATATTAGTTATATATCCATATCCTGCTTCAGAGCATCTACACAAACCCCGGATTCAACTCAACACACGACCTATAGACCTCCTCTTGGTAGGATCATTTCCACCTAATGTTCCACACCATGCCGAGTACTTTTTGGATTTGAAGAACGAGGCTCGCCAAAGCACGCCTCCACAACGTTGTGCAACTTTTCCTAATCACCGTTTCATCTCAAAGTAGTCCCGATGGTGATCATGCTTTCACTACGAACCCGTAGATATTGTTCGACGCGTTGATCTCCCCCTGGCCAGTCACTGTACGATACACGCTTCTGCAGCTTCCCTTGACATTGAAGAACTGGACGGTATTGGCTCCACGGGATCCAATCCAGTCGATCGTCGCACCTCTCGGGATGTCCACGGGGTGACAGCCCTGTGGATTCGTTCCGGCCAACGATTGAGTATTGCCGTTACGCTCCGTAACAAAGAGCTGCCAGGCGGAAGCGACATCTAGACTAATCAAATAGAGTGCCCAGGTCGACAACTTCATGATCACGGTGGGTAGACTAGAAGTGAAAGTGTTCGCATGAGTACCATGATTCATAGATGGTAGAGACGGCTTACAAGGGTCTGTGCAGTTGATGATATTATCGTAGATAGTAGACTGGATACTTGGACGGTGTAAAATGACTCGAGTTCCCCGCAAAATCCATTCACAACCAATTGTCTTATACCTGGAAGCCGAAAATAGTCTCGAGGTTTATTGATGTCACCATCTGGAGGCGTTCCCGGGCCCCCCGGTCGCAGCTGCTCTTGCAGGTCGGCTGACGCAGGGCTATCCGAAATCAAACCACACACTATATTGTACGATGTCAAAGACTGGTCGGAGAAATAGCGCGGTTCCAGACCGATCGCTGAACCGTGGACATCAAAAGCTAAGGACCGACTTTCACCAATACTAGCGGAGGCAAACCAAACAAACTTGAGAAACTCAATGGGACTCCATGTTGGATCCCATGTGGGGTTCGTCGGATATAATGTTCGAATATAATATAATTTTAGAAAACAGGATATCCATGCAGGTCTGCCTACGAGTCAAGAGCGGCCGTTCTATATATATCGAGTCAAGTAACCCAAACCCTCAATCCACCAACCCCTCCGGCAAGAATGAGACATAGTCCAGAGGAGCTGGCTCAACGCCATCGGGCCTGCCCACAATCTTCAGTGTGTCGCCTTCCTTGACTTTGACACCACGGAACTTGACACGAATAGCAGAGTGGCCATCTAGATAGATAGAAGGGGTGTGGCTATAGACATACTCACTATTGCCCACCCATTCACCAACTTGCTTGTCATTCAAGTAAATCTGCCATTGAGACTCCCCTCCGTATATATCATAGTAGTTCACTGCCAGATCGTATGTTCCAGAGGCGAAGTTGATCGTGGTGGTAGCCGTGCCCACAGTCTCGTTCGAGGCAGTCACAATAGCAACGGAACCAGAAGCGGTCTCGAAAGGGCTCACCGTATACGGCTTGTATCCGTCCAACTTCATGCTCTCTGCTTCGATACGCCATGGGTGATGGTTCGCCCGGTTGGCTGCGTCAGGAATACCAGAGAGGTTGTAGTAGAAGTTGTTGATCGCATCTCTCCAGATGATCGAATGCCCAGACTGGTAGTCAAGTCGACGGAGGACGTGGTTGTATCGTTCATCATCAATCTTTCCCTTCAGTGACTCCCACTGTTTGGAGAATGTCTGCGCTGTCGCCGCCCCGGTGTAGTGTGCATCGTAGAAGTGCTGAATGACTGTCTTGCCAGATTGCAAGGTATGTGTGTAATTGACATGATGAAACCACAGCAGCAAATCATCCGGCGTAGTGTCGATGTTTTCGTACATAGCAGCAATCTCGTCGGGATACTGCCCTGAGAAGCCCGTGCCATTGCTCACAGTGCGATCCATTCCAATGCCATTGTGGTCTGCGCGGGTCCACTGACCCCATCCATTGTTATCCTGGGAGGCAGGATTGGGTCCGTAGTGAGTGTACAGGATATCGGTCAGTGTTTGGATTCCCAGGTTTCCGCTGTATCCCTCATAGGCAGGCCATGACTCCATCGAAATATTCGTAATAGTACTGAGCACTGTTTGATCCAGCCCAAATGTTAAACGGATCCAGTCTTGCAGTATGGTCATGGCATCATCTGCCGGATTCCATGCAAGTCGGCCGTATGCGTACAGGTTTGACATAGCCAAATGACTTCCCAACCAAGTCGTGTTGGTACCAACATTGACCACAGCAGCTGAGCCACCTAATTTCCTATTGAAGCGCTTGCCAGTATAAAGATCGTGTACGAGAGAAGGCTTGCCATCCACCCGCATATCGAAATCTAAGATAGTCTTCCACAGAGGAGGTAGATAGACGAGATGCGACTGTTGGCCCAGATACTCCTGGGTGACCTCGAGCTCAATAGCAGTGCTCGTGTTGAAGAGATTAGCGAATAAGGGAGATGCTGGCTCGCGAACCTGGAAATCGATAGGTCCGTATTTAATTTGCACCACAACATTCTCATCAAATTGGCCATCTAGGTCTTTGAAAAAGTCTACAGCGGCATTGGCACGATCTGCTGACCAGTTCGACTCGTTCAGTTGGTTGTAGACAAACGCACGGAACATGACAATACCGCCGTACGGCTGCACTGCCTTGGCGAAGAGGTTCGCACCCTCGGACAGTGTGCGATTGTATGTCTGAGGACCCGGCTGTCCTTCCGAATCAGCCTTGACCAAGTAGCCTGCCATATCGGGGACATGATGGTACACCTGCTCGGTGATGTTACTCCACCAAGTGATGACCGACGCATCGAGCGGATCGAAAGTGTCTAGCCCACCCAGGTCTTCGGGGGATGCAAAATTGAGCGAAATGCCGACCCGAATACCGTATGGCCTGAAAACATCCGCGATTCGACCAAGTCCCTTAAGGTTGTCCGGGGCAAGTAAAGTAGCGTTGGCGTTGACGTTGTTGACCACCACGGCGTTGATTCGAATCGAGGCGAGCAGCCGGGCATATTGCTTGACTCGAGTCAGGTCGTCGACGATGGCGCCATTATTGAAGAATATCGAAGGGCCCCCGTAGCCTCGCTCAATTCTACCGTCCATATTGTCCCATTGGTTCACCCAGCGAATTGGTGCAGATGGGCTGGTGGCGTAGGAGACCTTGGAGAAGTTGCCCTGTGCCAGCATCGACAGATACTCAAAGGCACCGTAGAGTGCACCACGCTCAGTGGATCCGAGAATACGGATCTTCTGCCCTTCGGTGCTGAGCCAGAACCCATCCTCTTCGAGGTCTGGAATTTCGCCCCCGGATCCACAAGCCTTGCGATACTGTTCCACGGTGCCGACGACAATGGCAGAGGAAGATTCTTTGCATTGGTCCTTACTGATTGTAGCACGAGTACCATAGATACTCTTCAATCCGTCCTGTATTTCTGAGCCTGCAACATATACGGGGCTCGTCTCGGTCGCGTTGAGCACCACAATGCTAGCAGGAAGCTTGGATTGACATGGGTGGGAGCACGGTAGTGGAGCGTAACGAAGCCAGCCATCTAAGCCGTTTTCAGCGGCCACGAGGCCTAAAGATGCGAGAAAAAAGAGAATCCTCATGATGACATTCTAAAAGACGAGCAGATGCCTTGAGAATCGAGAGAATCCCCCAAGACCAGGCCATCGACCCCCTTTATACCGACTCGTGCAGGAACGGTAGAAGATCGGCCGATTCGTGTATAGTCCATGGCCCGTGAACAAGAGCTTCAGGCTAAAGTATATTCGGCTTGGCCAAAGAATATTAGGCTATTTTGTAGATTCGTTGCGAGCGAGTCGTGGAGAAGCAATTGGTTGCACAACAAGGTGGATACACTACTCTGGTGACCCCGCAAGCATAGCGTTGGGGGGGGGGGGGGTTTGGAGTTGGCCCGTCTAGGCATTCCGAAGAATATCCGGAACGTTTAAGCGGCGGAAAGATACAAGGACGCGGGCCAAGAGAGATCTGCACGGCTTGCAGTGATTACATAGGTGGAACAATACAAGACAGGCCAATATCGAGATGGAAGCAGTTGCTTTTTTTGGAGAAAATTTTTGTTTTGATTCAAGACTATTCCTGGGGGTCGCCATTAAACCCTCATCCTTATTTTTCACCCTTTAGAACACCGAGTCCGATGCGGGCTTGAAGAACAGGGCCAGTCGGCCCGACGTCATAAGTCGTGACTTTTCAGTGTGCAACGGAAAAGTGTTGCATTTAGGCCTCACGGCTGAGGATGTCGGAGTCACCGGCATCGAGGACAGCCATGGTAGAGCAGCGGAAGAGCTTACCGCAGGCAGTGCCGAGCTCAATCTGTACGGAGGAAAAAAATAAAAGTTAGTGCTACGGTTCGGCTCTCCGGGATCCCTCTTGGAGAGAATCCCATCGCTGAGCAACTTCACTCTCCGAAGTGGACTATGCCAACTTCTTCTCTGAGTAGTGGAGCTGGCTGGCAGCTGCGACGGCTCTGACGAGCGTCGACTTGGCAAGGGGGAAAACGTACGTTGTTGCCGTTGAAGTGGTGGACGGGGACCTTGGCGAGCATGGCGTAGTACTCGAGCTCGGACTTGCGCAGAGGAGGGCAGTTACCGGCAATGAGGACCAGCTTGGCCTTGCCAGAGCGGAGGGTCTTCATGGTGGACTTGGAACCCATGGTAACTGGAGGTATGTTAATACATCAACCATGCACACAGCTTGAGGGTTGGGGTTTGGAGGAAAAACTGACCCTTGCCGGACTTCATGACGAGAGCCAGGCGGGAGGCGAGGGTGTCACCGGACTTCTTGGTCTTGGCCATTGTGATGGATGAGGGGATTTTTTTTGGGTGTTGGGTGAGGTTGGCGATAGTACGAGAATGAGGAGAGGAATTCAATTTCGCATAACGAAAAAGGATTTGTGGGCTCGGGAATTCGGTCGCACGTGAGCTACCGCCCTGGGTGCGCTTCTTTTCTGCCAGTTTTCATCACAAATGCTGATTGGGTGAAGAGGCCCCGCGGGGTCCCTGACTCATTTGGTGGGACGGAAGGGTTTATTTCTATCGCCCTCCCCTCCTTTCCCACTCTCCATCTTTTCCGCAATTCTTCGACAATCCTATCTCACAATGGTTGCCGAAACTAGCAGTGCTACCACTGCAAAACTCCGTCAGTCTCCCACTTCCCTTTCTCCTATATGTTACGACCTGAACGGCTACTAAATCCCGTAGAGAGAGTCGATTCCCAGCCTGAGAACCCATATGCGGCCCTGATCGAGGAACAGTCCATTGCGATCATTCCCTCGTTCACCCTCGAGTCCGGTGTCACATTGTACAATGTACCAGTTGCCTATACTACCCGTGGTGTTCTATCGCCGAATGGCGACAATGTCTTGGTAATCTGCCACGCCCTGAGTGGGAGTGCCGATGTCGCCGATTGGTGGGGCCCCCTCCTCGGAGGACCGGGTCAGGCCTTTGACGTCTCCCGGTTCTTCGTCGTCTGCTTAAACAGCCTGGGTAGCCCGTACGGTAGTGCGAGCGCGGTCACCTACAAGGATGGCAAGCCTGAGAATGGCTACTATGGACCTGAATTCCCGCTCACTACCGTGCGGGATGACGTGAACATCCACAAGCTCGTCCTGGACGACCTGGGTGTCAAGCAGATTGCTGCTGTCGTTGGTGGGTCCATGGGTGGTATGCTGACCCTGGAGTACTCGTTCTTTGGCAAGGATTATGTCCGTGCCATTGTTCCCATTGCGACCTCTGCTCGCCACTCCGCGTGGTGCATCAGCTGGGGCGAGGCCCAGAGACAGAGCATCTACAGTGATCCCAAATATGACGACGGATATTACCCGTTCGATGATCCGCCAGCAACCGGTCTTGGAGCAGCCCGGATGTCGGCATTGCTCACCTACCGCAGCCGCAACTCATTCGAGTCACGATTCGGACGCAACGTGCCGGACCCTTCCAAGCGCCAAAACATCAACGGCACTGAGAAGCTGCCCACTCCTCCCAATGAGCACTGGGCTATTCATAATGATGGACACCGTGGCGGTCCGACCTCGCGGTCGGAGAGCCGTCAACAGTCTCCCGTCCCTCAAACGGATGTCCAGTACATGGATCCCCAGTTCTCCGGCACCAAGATTCTCTCTGCGCCGACTCCAACCAAACCCGACGGCCGCCCACGTCCACCAACCTACTTTTCTGCCCAGTCATATCTTCGTTACCAGGGCGACAAGTTTGTCAAGCGCTTTGATGCCAACTGCTACATTGCTATGACCCGCAAGCTGGACACCCACGACGTTTCTCGTCACCGTGCCAGCCCGGATGCGGAGAACCCTGTTCTGGATGCCCTTTCCAAGATTCAGCAGCCAGCTCTCGTCCTGGGTATCGAGTCCGATGGCCTGTTCACCTTTGCCGAGCAGCAGGAAATTGCCGCTGGCATTCCCGACTCGCGGTTGGAGCGCATCGATAGCCCTGAGGGCCATGATGCCTTCCTCCTGCAGTTTGAGCAGGTCAACCGCCACATTGTGGCCTTCTTCCACGAAGTCCTGCCCGATATCATGTCCCAGTCCAACGTCGACGGTGCGGCGGCCGTGGCCAGCGTCACTAAGCTGACGAAGAGCAGCACGTTCGGTGAAGCCGAAGTGGAGGATATCACTGCGTGGTAAATCCTCATTATGAAATCAGATAACATTGGCGCAGTCACTTGCAGCCACCCCCATGCTCCTGTCCCAGACACGCGGACTCCCGCCCGGGAGCCGCCCGTTTCGTGGTCTCCACCACGAACGCTGCGCTCTTCCGAGTGTCAAGTCCCGCGCCTGGGCAGGTACCATGGCGTTATCCCGGGGAAGTAGAGGTTGCCGATCTTTTATCCGTTTCGCTAGTCAGGGAGATGAGCATCCAACTGCCTCTCTCGAATCTTACCTGGTCCATTGCAACTGCGTTTTGCAAGGCCTTGTCGAGAAGACTGCCAAAGAAGCATCCAACTGCTCTCCATCTGACCCACCCTCTGGGTCGCTTTTCCAAGCGCAAATTCGCCTGGGGGTTGATGGGTCTATTTTGAACAATCCGATGACCAGACTGTGCTTTTTGCACTGGTCATCCGTGCGGCGAGCGCGTCGCTCCTTTTTCATTAATACCAAAAATATACAATCAATAACATTTGGGACTGCCCCTCAGATAGTCTCATATGCAATCCGTCTCCCGAGTCATTTCTGTAGCCATCCTTGACGTATATTCGCGACAAGGATAAAATACATGCCCCTCGTTCCATATTTGATCTAAGGCCTTGGTCCTTGGACTACTTTGACCTATTGCAAGAATTCTTGTCAATATGTCCTCCGTCACTCTACATAGAACAGATAGCCCAATATCCATCCACAGCTCCCCTAATCGATACCACCGCCGGCTTCATCTACCTAACTACATAGCGCCCATCGAAACCAAGCTATCTATTCCCCACCCTTCACTCTGGGCATATATATATATATATATATCCGTGACACGTCCACGGCTATGGAATCTCAAGAGTACTCTTGAAGCCACCTCCTCTCCGTACTCTCATACATAGACTGAGATATCGGCCATCCCGGCGCACGGTCTCACTTATGGAAGATCTCCGCCTCCCGGAGCAAGATTCAGCTCTGATCGCCGGGCGCCACGCTAGTAAGTCACAAGGGCGGCTCCGTTTATCGCCTCGGTCGTCGACATCAGGGGTCTGGCTCGTCTGTGTCACCACTTTTTTGCTACTAAGCGAGGCTTAGCATCCCAGCGGGGGCATTGCACACGTTAGCCGGTGGTTGGCGCATGAGGTAAAATTATCTGAATGAGTCAGTGATTGGGGGCTAGCTAATTAATTAGTCTGCACGCAAAGGGGTAGGATTGTGCCGAGGGCGCAGGTGGGTGATTAGGGCCAAAGAAGTCCCGGGGCTGCATGTGGCGGAAACGTGAAGATGTCGAGTTTGGGGGCCATGAACTACGCCTAGTCTTTAGCTAGAGGCTGGAGAGGCGTTACTCCGGGGATAGTTGTTGAACTGTGGAGGTTCGGTGGAAAATATGGTCTCGACCAAGCTGGTTGTCTGGTTGGCGAGCATGACTAGCCGAGGATTTGTGGCGTCCTGGAGAAGCAGGTGTTTTGGAGCGAGGGCCCAGAAAAGTCAAGCCCAGCGAACAAAGTACTGTACTGTCGCGAGGCTGCCTTGACAGCTTTGCAACGGGTGGTTTTGCCGAGGCGACGATGGTCGTGTACTGTACTCTTTTTCAATCTTTGCTTTGTATCCCCGCCCTTGCATCAACCCAACGGTCCCATCAATAATTGCATCGATCATGATATCACCCGTGTTGCCCTGCAACACATCTCATTCGCTCCCGGGTCTTGCCCTCTTCGTCTTCCTTGTCAATCAATCTAAGGATGTTTCAATTTTGATTGCTCCACCTCCAGGCGCCCGACCGGGTCCAGGGTGATGTCGCACCAGCCCTACAGGATATTACAGAACTAGAGTAATAAAGATCGGTGCTTCGTACTCCTCGCGCCGGTCGGGGTCTGGAGTACGGAGTACTGCATGAAGAAATATTATATTGCAAGGAGGGTGCGCAATCCACCCTATCGAACCCACCCTCTCCACACTTCAGCCAGGGCGGGCAGCCGTACTCGGGCTTCAAGGTGTGCTGTATATCTACCGATGTCAGTGGCTGGAGAGCCGGAGTCGTGGGTCCTGGGGTCGGGGCTTCTTTCGGTGGTCGCCTGAGACAGTTTCCAAGAGTGTAATCAACTGCCAAACGGGCTTGGGTTGTCTCAAAATTGCGGAAAAACTTATTCGACCCAATAGAGTCGGGGGGTTTTTTTGGTATGGACGGGGATCAATCAACACGGTGGCTAATAGTCACCAAAAAAACCTAGTCCTTTTCCTGTCTTTATCTTGTGACTCGTTCGTGGCCAAAGGGTAACTTAACAGGGGGCTAAAAGGGCCGGATAACGAGTCGAGTCGAGATACTGGACGGAGTCCTCCCTCGAACTAGCGTTTAGTTTCTCCGTTCTAGACTCTTGTTGCAAATGATCTTCCCACTTTGTCTAATCCTGTTATCACCCTGGTCCATACCATCGTCTGCTGAATAGTGGAACCTCTGGTCCTTCGTCAGCGGTTAAATCACGTAGCGTACAAGACCTGCTACGCCTATCATCTCGATGATTTGAGGGATAATTCGAGACGTGCACATCAACAATCACAGCCCTAACCGACTGGCCCCGTTTGCCTCCACGCGAGCGCCAGCACCTCCCCCGATTATTTTGGTTGACTTTGGTTTTCCGAGGTTCCTACTGGCCCGCTTGGAGCCGTTATCAATGGGCCTAGACGGCCCAGAAGTGGCTTCGGACTCGTTCGTGCTGTTTATCGCGGATCATCGCCGCACCTTAGTAGTTAGTCGATGATACGATCAGTCCTTTTGGCGTGTCCGTGCTCTGTGAATCGTCAGGCCTTCCTCCACCATGAAGCCTCTGGCGCCCGCTAACGGAGAACTGAAAAAAGACCCCAAATAGACCCTTGGACCCCCGTCTCCGTGGTGGACAAAGCTTGACACTTATCGAATCCCCGTCTTCTCGGGTCTTTCGACTACTACGGAGTACTTCTACCCTGGTCGTTTCCTCAATTCTTTCCCTGTTTTCCTCTTTCTCCGTCTTTTTCTACCTCCCTTCCTCCTACTTCCTTCGATCGGCGTTCCACTACTTCCATTATCCCTCGTTTGACCGGGTTATACTTCTTTACTTCTCTCCCCCCCCCCCCGGCATACCAGTGCCCGTCGTACGGCCAACAACAACGAGCCCACCTCGACAACAGTTTTTGCGATTTGAAACATTACGTCCTAGATTGAATCTGGCAGGGCAACGACCAAATCCCGCTCCAGTTTGACCCTGACAAAGAAAATTCACAAGAAGAGCCACTGAGAGTCCACATATTTGACCCCTCCTGGCCTGCTTGTGGCTCCGGAGTTGAAACTCCCCGTCGCCACCAGCATTACTATTTCCGCGCATAGTCGGCGTTGCCATAGTCTGCATCCAAGCAAAAGCCGACTCCTGCGCCGCAGGCCCTTTCTTGAATTTATTTCTTGGGCGCCGTTCTTCATTTACGCCAAACTCGACCCTGTCCGTCATCACAAGACCCCATCCAACCTATTTCATAACGTATACTTCCCACACTCGCTCTGATATCAACCAACCCAACCCTCTTCCCGGCGCAAAAACTATGGAGCGCAAACTCTCCCAGAAAGCGCTTCGCATGCGCCAACGCTTCAACTTCAGTCGGGGCCGAGACCGTGCAGCTACGATGCCCCCATCCGGTGCCACCGGTGCCCCCAGCAGCCGCCCGCGCTCCGCCACAACGCCCATCTCGTCCCGCACGACCTCCAACTCCAGCACGGACCGGACCCGCTATTTCCACTTTGAAGACGAACCGGGTTACTTTCGTCCTGCGTCACCGTTAATTCACCGACAGTCCGTGTCGGAGGATCTAGAAGACGACGTTAAACATGCCTGCGCTTTGCTGGTTCAAAGTGTGGATCGCGGTTTCCCAATATGGCCTTCTGGCCAGGGAGAACATCGTCCGAATACCACCACCGCTCCGAAAGAATCCAAATCCAGCCAGACTACCTCGAGATTCTACTACCAGGGCGCGAGCATGTCCCCCTCCGCCGTGGACAATCAGATCAAATTACCCAGCGATCAAATGCATGATTCGGGAGTAGCCTTCCAACATAGCGCCGCGTCCGCGGGAGCGGGTCGTTTCTACGGGTCTCAAATCTCGACATCGCGACATGAGGAGACTGATCTGGACATCCGTGGCCGCTCACGTTCTCGCGGTCAGAGCTTTAATACGGACGCCACGCCCGCCTCTCGATCACGATCGCGATCACGCTCTCGCTCTTTCAGCCCGGACATGTTCCCCTACAGTCCGCCGCAGGTCGACACGCTCTGGCCACACGTCAAAGACATCTACTTCGAATCATCCGACGCATTATTCTGCGAGACGGAAACCGAGACGGAAACTGAAACCGAAAAGGAGATTGATGTCAACGCCCACCCTAGGACCGGCACCCTCGGCGCGGAGCGACTGACCTGGCGCCGCACGAGTCTTGACATCCCCTGCCTCAAAACGCCCGCAAGGATAAACGTCAACGTCACTGCCATGCCAACAGCAGCTCCTCGCCGCTTCTACAGCACCCGACAGCCCCGCGCAAAGGGAGACGCTTATCCCACCGCCATCGCGGGGTGGGATCTACCGCACAGTCGAACGCCCAGTGTAGACGACGCTTCGCTGCGCAGATTCTCGAGTGCCGAGGATGGCCATGATGATGGAGTTGGGGTTCGAGTTCCCCATCGGGCCTTCGACCAGGTCCGTCGGTCCGTTTCGTCGTGTGGACTCCAGGGGGTTGATCAGCGGAGATTGGATCCTGGGTATGCGATTGAGTCGGGGGGACAATCGCGGAGGAGGAAGGCTTCGCATTTGCTGAAGAAGTTGACTGGATTGAGGAGAAGGAAGGATGGGGAGGGCGGGTTTGAGGGCCGACGTGTGGCGATTACTGCTTGAGGATGGGATGGAGATGGATATGGGCGCAATTGGCTCGCCTCTTCAGGTTGACCGTGGCTTGCTCGGTTTGTTATGATTTTGATGATATCTCTCGCTTAGCCTGTTTTCTTTCTGTGCGTTTTTTGATAGATTTTCTTTTGGTTTGGACTGTAGATATACCCTCTTCTGTTATATATGTTATACTTGTGGACAAAAGTTCACTTTGTGAATCGAGTCTGGGTCTTCGCTTTCCCCCGTACGTCCTATACTAGGTGGGACGTTTCATACTCGCCTGAAATGCCAGTGTCATAGATGGCCGCAGGCTCAGGACCCACCTCGGCCTTGAATAATCCTTCGTGTACTTCGGCAGATGAAGATCAACACAGCATTGAATTCGCTTGTTTCTTCGCAATGCTATAAACTACGTTTAAACCCACAACGGACCTGGCCCTATCGGATATCTCTCTAAAAAGTACATACGAGGAAGACATAAGTATGACTGTCCACATTAAGCAAGACGAAAGAAGAAATGTTAAGTACAGACAGAGTAGAGGTACCCAAAACACCGGTCACGATGCAACGTGCAATCAGTAAGACATTAGGAGAAGAAAGGAGAAACGAGAAGACACCGAATCCGGGAGAAAAAGTGAGATGAAAGGGAAGTAGGGACTCTTCATAAGAAGAGAAGAGAAAGTAGATTGTAGAGGCATAACTGAATCAATCACTGCCCGCGGCGAGGACGCTTGTTATCACCGCCCGTTCTTTGCCCGCGGCCGTTCGTATCCCCTCCAGTGCTGTCCTCGGGGTTGTTGGGTCGTCCACGTTTGCGATGTGTGGAGCCACCGCCGCTATCACGATGATGGCCATCCCGATCGCGCCCGCGGTCCCGGCGGTCACGGTCACGGTCCCTGTTCTCGGGACGGTTGCCACGGTCTCCGCCTCCTTGGCCCCAGCGACGTGGGTTGTTCTCGTCACTTGGCAAGGGTGGTGGTGGTGGTGGAGGCGGGGGTGGAGGAGGTGCACCCATCGAAGATGGTGGGCGGAGGCGGCCTTCATTCTCGTTGGCATTACCACTGTTGGGAGCAGCACCGCTGGTTTCTGGAGGCCCGTCATCGCGATCACGTCGATCCCGGCGGCGCAATTCCTCTCGAGAACCAGGGTTTCGCCGTTCGGATTGGCGTTCACGGTCTCGGTCCTTCTCCTCGCGGCCAGAACCACCGGGGCCAACGTCGCTTCGGCGGCTGCGCTCACGATCCGAGTCGCGAGGGCGATCACGGCGTTCTTCACGTCGATTTCCAGTACTGCTGGTCTCATCCTCGACACTGCCTCCGCCGCCTCCACCGCGGCGCCCACGGTCACGATTCTTATCACGATCGCTGCCTCGACCGGACCGGCGGTTATCGGGTGTAGTAGCGTCGTCCATCAAGTCACCACGGCCGTCAGGTCGGTTGCGAGCCTGACCATCGTCTTCGGCAGCGCCGGCAGCAGCAGCAGGCCCAGTGGGTGGGCGTGGAGACCCAGCATTGGAGGCATTCGACTGTCGATTTGCACCCCGTCCGCGAACCGGTGGAGTAACATTGCCACGTTCAGCAGGGCCGTTAGTCTGCTGAAGCATGTTGTTGATGCCAGCAAATCGTTTATCGCCGCGTCCACGCTCTCCGCCGGGACCACGAGGTCCTTGCTGCTGACCTGGTCCACCACGAGGACCCGACTGGGGTGTTGAAATCGGCGCAGGTGCTTGTGGAGTAGAATCAACGATGTTGTTTAGTCGATCGGGATGAATGCCGGAGACGTCCAGACGCTCTCCAGAGGGAGCTGGTGTAGCAGGAGATTGATCGGGTCCCCCACGCCCGCCATGACGGCCAGGGCCCGTAGGTAGTTGTCGTTCGGGTGTGGGTACCTTACCATTGCTTGGACCTGGAGCGGTTTGCTGCGAAGACACATTGCGTCCGCGGTTCCTTTGCCGCGGGCCAGATGGAATGTCCGCTGGCTGGTCGGGTTGTCGCAACCGACCATGGCTCATATCCGGGCCCATTGAGTCATGCCCGGCACGGGGTCCTCTCGGGATCTCACCGGGCTGGGGGAAGCTAGCAGATCGGCGGTCGTCAGGGAACCGCTCTGGGCGATTAGGCAGATCGGCTCTTGGAGGCGTAGGTCCACGTTGAGGGAATGAACGGCGGTCATCCTTTTCAGCTCGAAGCGGTGGTTCTCCACGACGATGGGGACCGTCGGGTGCCCGTTCAGGGAAATCAGGGATGATATCGCCACGAGGAGGACCTTCGCGACCATGGAAGGAGTCATGCCGGGGGCGCCCTGGGCGATCACCAGGCCAGTCGGCATCTCGTGGAAGGCGACCGCCCTCACGATAAGGCGGACCGCGCATCGGGTCATCGAGAGGAGGCCTCATTGGGAAGTCCCGTTCTCGTTCGCCCAGGCGCCCATGGCCTCGACTGTCGACACCAGGGCTATCGAACCGTATGTGTTCAGGACCAGCATGGCGCGTACGTGGGTTGAAGTCTGAATGCCTGTCCCGTCGATCATCCATCAACTCAGGACGAGGGGGCAGCCGATTGTCCGCGGCAGTGTGACGGGGAAGACGAGCCTGTTGGCGGGGGTTAATGGCAGGAGGACGCTCGACGTCCGGCCTCTTCGGGATATCAAGTTGACGACCGGATTCGGGGCCCCGGGGGCCCAGTCGTGTCCGCGATGATTCTCTCTGTCCACGTTGGTCTGCACCAGAAGGTTGCAGTCGATCGCCATCCGCACCGGTATCCATCGCAGTAGAGGTGGTATCGGTCGACATCGGCATATTCCGCGCTGGGGTTGCAGACTTTGCATCCTCAACTCCCCTGACAAGTCCAGCATCAGTCATCTTGGCGTCTTCAATCTCACCGTCCTCAACTTCGGCTTTGCCGAATGCTTCCTGCTTCGAAACATCCGCATTACTGATAGATAGGAGAAATTAGTCATTGAGTCATACTTCGTTGCTCGTGCTCAAACTCACTCTTGGGTTCCGGGTTGGAATTCCGGCGCGGAAGCATTCAAAGACGTAGGAGTCGAAGATTTAGGTCGTAAAAGATCGGCCCTGGTAGATCGCTCACCCGGGGGTTGCGAACCAGCCTTGTCATGTCCAGCATCGGGGACATTGCTGTTGTTGAGGTAGAACTGTTGCGGAAGCATCCACTTCTTCGATCGTCGGTTGAAATCACCAATGAGAGAGGCAGCGGGAATCTTGACGTCGTCTCGCTCGTCGGTTTGGCTGAGATGGTTGACAGTCTCTAGCAGCTGTGTACCCATCCAGTTGACAGCAGGGAAGTATGGAACGATCGCTTTGAGCACACTGATAGCATTGCGGATGTGCATGTACTCGCCCCCTTTCAGACATGTTTGAAGGGCATTGTTAACCAGTCGGTGCCACTTGTAAAGAAGACGCCGGAAGTCTTCATAATCAAGGAAGATAATTGGGACTCCTTCAGGGTCAAGCTTTTTGGCAAACCCGGGCAAGTCTCGTTTGGTGCCAAAGGCCTCCTTCTCGTAGACGGCTTGATCAGCATGCCATTCACTCAAATCACCCATAACCTTGCCAAGGAACTGTCCCAGGTTGTCAGCTTCCTTCGAGGTACAAAGGAAGATAAGGGAAACGAGTCGGTGTTCACGGAACAGTTGATCCAGCAATCCCATGGTTCGGAAATTGGGAGTTCCCGAGTTGTGAAGGAACTTGAGCATCTTGAAGGAGAAGAAAGCATCAAGTGGCGAGAGGAGGAGGCGAGGAATGAAACATTGCTCTAACAGAGCAACATTCAACGGATCGTACTTCAATCGCATGTGAGCGAACCATCGCTCTTTCTCCTTCTGCAGTCTCCCGCGAGTTTGGGCATATGCTTGAGTATGGGCCTTCAGCTCCGAGAGAAGCTGATCCTGAATTTGGTTGAGACTCCTTCTCGTTTGGTCCTTTCGTTGCATACCGACCATGCTAAGATCGGATCGGTCGTTGTTCAGGGCCGTGACACGTCTTTGGAGTCGGCGTCTCTCTTCATCGTAGTACTTCTCGGGAACGTGAACATCATAAAGAGACAGTTGCCAGAAGGTCGCATAGAAATGCGCGCCCACATTCTCCCAGGTCTCCGCAGGCAGCGAGGACTTGACGGTTGCGATCAAATCTTGCATGACTGGGTTCGCGGCCAAGGGGCTAGGGGTAGCGGCAGTTGGAGACGCAGTAGTGGACTGCTCTGTTTTGTCGACATCCATTGCAGTCTCGTCTGCGATACCATCTGTCTCAGCTGTCACTTCACCTTCGTCAACGTCCATCTTGTTGTCGTCGTTGGACTGGGCTGCAGGGGCACCGTTACCAGTTCCCACCTTCGCAGACGAAGCTTCCAGCTTTGGCTTAGACAGCTCATTATCGGCAATCTTCCGTGAAACGCTGGGACGCCTGATCCAGAATGCGATCTCGGGCTGAATACCAAAGTCTTGGATCAAGGAAGCAAAATCAGGCACGAAGGAATCAAACTCTTCGACCGAGAGGTTGCTGCGGAGAAAATCGAGATATTGAGTCAGGATGCGGTGAATCTCATCAAAGATATTGCCCAGAAGTTTAAGCTCAGAAGATGACTCGTTGAAGACGCAAGTCATTCGTTCTTGGGCAATCGCAACCAGCAACTGACCCGCAAGTCGCGTATGGGTCAATGATTTCAACAATCGCTTTGATGTGGTCTTTGACTCGTGGCGCCTGTCTAAGAGTTGAAGGATGATCTGCGACTGGAGTACCTCGCCACCGGCCATAGCCTGGATTTGGGCATCATTGAAGTTGGTGTCGGTAATGATACCGGCCATGGAGCTGATCATTTGCTCTAGCACGATGAGATCGGTGGAATTATTACGATGCAGCTGCTCCACGACGTACTGTAACAAAGGTGCTGGATCCATGACGGAGTAGCGTTTGTATGTTCGGCCAGCAAAGGTCGACAGGGCATTCAGCCATCGGCTGGTGAGAAGACCGCCTTCTTGAACGCGGCTTCTTCCTTTCTGCCCCAGCGAATTGATGAGTGACCAGGTGAGGATGTCATAGCCCAGGTTCGTGAAATAGCGAGCACATTCCACAACGACTTCAATGAGGTTCTCATATGATTCGATCTGACCGATAGCGACATTGATCACGATACCAGGGTTGGCGTAGGCAATCTTGGCCAAAGCACGAGCCATGGGTCGGATGTTGGTCTTGCTGAGACGCTTGAGGACGTCCTTGGTCTCTGCCGTCGCCTGTTTGAAAGCAGATTGGATGTCGGGCAGTCTGGAGGTCTGTCCAGTGTACCACTCTGCGTACATGTTGTAACGAACCTCACGGGGGAACGAGCTGATCAGGTTGAAAACCTCGTTGACCACACCGGGGTTTTCCTTGGTCAAACTGACTGCGGGCAAGAGAAGGCGTTTGCAGAGGTCTCGCCAGCGAGTCTTATTCACCTCGGAATCGTCCTTTGCAAGACTATCTGCACCGATGCGCGCAAGCTTTGCGAGAAGGCCCGCGTCTTGTCCAATCTTGTGACCCGAAAGGTTGAGGAATGAAGAGCAAAGGGCGAACACATCATCCACCGACTGACAGACTGGGATGTTATCTGCCCAGTCATCCCAGTAAAAGCGGTAAGCGATGCCCTCGTTCGTGTCTTCCGTATCTAGCTGGGCCCAACGAAGAATTCGTCTCGGCGGGGCGTCTGCTAAACGAAGCTGACCTTTGGCGACTCCTGATTGATCAGGACTCAAGATATGCTGGTGGCCAGGCAGGTCTTCCACAGAGGCCAAAGGCTGAAGCGGCGTGTACACCTTGCTCAAAGAGTAGTGGAGAATGCGATGAATGAAATCGGGGAGTTCGGGGTAGGCATCCATCAACCAAGGGAATCTGCTCATCACGAACAAAGATTCGGGGATCGCGCCAATGGCGAGAAGACTCTTCAGAAGCAACACCTTCTGATCCGAGGGGTCTGGTAGAGCATCCTCGGTTTTAGCAGTGGGTTGCTTGTCGGTATCCTGGTCCCGAGCTGGAGTAGCCACCCGCGAGTCGGGCTCGCGAAGACGTGGATGTGGTGGAAGGGTATCGTCAGACAATGCACCAGCTAGCATCAGGGCATTGACACCACCACCGGGCCGTGCAGCTTTCTCTCGTTCTGCCTTCTCGGCCATCTTTTCCTCCTTGAGAACGTCCATGGTATCGTCGGGTCTCCAGAGGTGGGCATAGAGGTCGCGTAGAGAAATGAAACCAACCTTGATGAGCAAGGCAGCCAGGTAAATGAGGTTGTCGGGTAAATTGTCGGATTTAGATCGAGCCGAAGAAGAGTAGAATCGTAGCTTAAAGCCAAGAAGCTGAGCTGCAACCCGGTTGCCTTTCGGTGGCATAGTTCCAGTCTCCTCGATCCATGTTCGGGTAGCTTCCTGTTCTTCAGATAGATGGTTGGTTTCTGGTAGGGCCTTCTTCTTTTCCTCTGCGGAGAGTGGCCTGCGGCCAATTTCGAAGAAAGCCCTAATGCCGATCTGTCGCACTCGGTCCCAAAATTCTCGATCGCGTTGCTCATTTGACTGTAAGATGCTAGCTCGCTCATCCTCGGTGGTATTCCAACCAGTTGACCCGGGTAGTGCCCACTTTGGCAGTCCCGAGGCCCGCGCAATGCCGTCGATATTGTGAAAGAGCTCCTCTTTGGGCCACCAGGAGCTGGCTCTTAGCAGTTTCACAAAGAAGCGATACTGCTTGACAAGAACTGCAGCAAAAACATCTAGCGTCACGTCCAGCACTCGCCCAACATCCATGTCAAATGCGCCAATCATGGCCTTGACCTTCTCGAAAGTATCCTCGACTACCTCACTTGATGGAGGTTCGTTGCTGCTCGTGGTGAACAGCTCCGTGACAAGCTTAGAGTATCCTTCGGACTCTTCTCTGAGAAGGTTGTAGTTGGACTGTCGGTACAGCAAATTGGTTTGCTTTCGAATGCCCATGCGCGCGAAAGTTTCACGGACTAGGCCCAAAGACTGCAACAGGGGGGTATCAAGCTGGAGACGCATGAGTTCTGCGGAGATGGCGGTAGCAAAGACGAGTGGTTTGAGAGCAGGATTCGAGGTATCGGCGTCGGTGATGATTGAAAGGGTGTCGAGGAACAATGAGGACGAGTCAAAGTCCAAGGTTGAATGATTTTGGGCTTCGCCTTCTGCTGCCGAGCCCCGAGAGGCAGCCTCATCGGCGATGATCTCTTTCACAGCATTTCCAGCCTCCGAAGGCGGTAGTCGACCGTAAAGTGCAGACCGGATGAGCTCTTGGTAGACAGAGGCCAAACGCGCGAGATCTTGGTCCAGGCGAGCCGCAGTTCCTTCGTTTACGACTTTTTGCTTTCCGCCCGTTGCCCATTCTTCCACAGAGCGGTCCGTGACAAATTCGTAGTCGTACGGGTGAGGAGGGGCAGAAGGGCGAGGGGGGTTTGCCTCGGCGCCTGCCCGAGGTACAGATTGTAGCTGCCGTTGTGGAGCAGGGGTGCTGGGAGCAGATGCTTGTGTTGCTTGGTGGGCTGTGTAGTCGCCGCTGGGTTGAGGAGCTTCTAGTCCATCTCTGGACGGGGCTCGGGGAGTAGGAGACATTGCGCTTGATTCTCTGTGCTGTGAACTCGAAAAATTTTGGCCTTCAAATGAGCCGCGGCGAGAACCGCCGCGTCCGCCGCCTTGGTGGCCCGACTGTCGACGATATCTGTCGCGCGCCTCATTCTGGTCTCGTTGAGGGCTGGCGTGATGCCCCGGGTGGGAGGAATGCTGTGCCATGTTGAGCGTACCGGGGCGATGAGGAGAGGGTCGCAGAGCTTCGTTGCCGGCCGAATCGCCAGACCACGAGCGTTCACCGCGCTTCCTCTTGCCACCCTGCCCGGGGGCCATGGCAAAAATTGGAGTGGTCTAGATGCGATTGGCAGACGAGGTTGTTTCAGTTAGGGAGAAGTTGTTGCTCATGAGCTAGTTTGAGTCTGAATAAACGGCGGAGCGACTGTCAGCAATTGAGATCGGCGGAAGAGAAGATTTGCCAAGAGCAAAAGACGATCTGATGCATCATACCGACTGAGAGGCTTCCAGGAGAAGAGTGTCGAGGGCCTCGAAGGTTGGGGATGGAAGATGGAAGTGAAAGGTGAAAGACGATGATGGCTGGAAGCTTGTTCGGAGGGAAGATGGGGACTCGTGTTGCCTGAGGTGTCGAGGGCGGCCCGCGCATTATCTTGGCTTATCTTCGCCGATTGCCCGATTTGGGGGTTTTTACTGCGGCTGCCTTGCGAGTACGAGTGTTGACTTGCAGAATTCCCGCTTCATTGGCTGTTCAAGTCTCTTCCTACAGGACTAGTTTCATTTAATATTGCTTTGTATTACCCGAACCCTAGCATCGCCGGATCTTTCCTACTTTTGTGAATCCTGAGGCTGCCAAGTCACATGTACAGGCCTAACGGTAGTTTCCCTGGTAATTTCCCAGACGCCCTAGTGACCAAGATCAGGTAGCTTGGATTCTTCAAGTAGTCTTTATCGAGCGTTCCGGTTCAACTTTTCAACCACTTTGGTCTTCCAACGACGCTTTGGCAAATAACTCGGCCAGCAGTGACATATATTGAAACAGAGCTCCGCTTCTACTCGGCCACTGCCACTGAATGACAAAGATCTGGGAAACTTATGATCATTCAACCTGGTACTATCTTTTATGTTTTTCTCTCTCTTCCCGGGATCCCTTTAAGGAAAAAAAAAAAAAAAAAATTAAAGACGATACCTATGTCCCCCAGATGACGAAAGTTCTCCTAATGCAGGCCCAGATCCTTTGCCTCTAACGCAACAATTTCAGGAATCAGATCGATCATCCTCGGCTTCTGAGGGCTCCATGCCAAAAGCTTGCGAGCACGAATTGCATGTCCACGAGAATTAGTACCCCAGAGATAGTGGCCAAATGGATGAACCTTTTTGACCTCGTCGATATTCAGCTCGTTCACGTTGGGCGAGTCGATGAAATTCTGGAGATGAGCCTGCTTTGCAACCTCACGCTGAATATCACCCCAGACAAACGATCCGTTCTCGGCCAAATAGTAACCCTCATCATTCCATGTGGCATTGCCACCTCCAGCCGCGGCGGCATCACCCAAGGCGAGATAGACGCTGCTCAGATCCTGCACGTGAACCTCATGCCAGACGTTTTCACCCTTGCCGACCAGGAATCCTGCGCCACGGGAAAGAACGGTGGCACTCAACTGGTAGACTTGGAGGCTCTTGGTATTTACAGGGCCTCGACCGGGACCGTAGATGGTAGGTGGGCACACAATGGCCGTGCGGACACCAGATGGGTTCTGCTTGCCAGCGTTGATGATAATTTCATCGACATTTCGATGAAAAGCGTCTGCTGGGAGGTTGACAAGCTCGGTCACCCCTTCCCAGTCATTGTATTCCTTGGGGCGCTCGATGCCGATTGTATTGGCACGCTGATCTTCCACGGTCAGGATACCAGTGCCGGAGGTGTGAATCAGCCACAGAGGACGCTCTGCGGTGTGCTGCTGGCCGCCTTTAGCGATAGCTTGAGCAGCTGCGACATGGTCACAATCGGCAAAGTCTGTTACATAGAGGTTAGCTCCGTAGCGATAGATGAATCGATGGTCGGTTCTCGAGATACTGACTGAAAACAATGTCGGCATTTTTGACTTCCTCGGCAATGATATCAACCGAGTCTAGATCTCCGGAGACAATGCGAATCTCTGGATACTTGCTGGTAACTTGGGCGGCTTTCTCCTTGCTCCGGACCAGGGCTGACAGTTGCCAGTCTGGGTGGGCAGTGGCGATGGTGTATAAACCTTCACCGCCAATATAGCCAGTAACGCCAGTCCTACAAGGTTGTCAGATCAAGGCTCATATGTGAGTGTGGCTGCTACTTACAGAAAGACCTTGGGAGGAGCCATTATGTGTGGTGAGAGGGACAGTCGAAACTGAAGAGGATAATTGAGGGGATTTGAAAGAAAGGGTTGAATTGGTTACGGACAAGCGGGTCGGGGGTACTTTCCTGATGTACATTTGCTTTGAAATCACCTCAATAAAGGAACTTGGACCAAGATGGGCCCTCGAAGTGGGGTTTGTGAGAATCAATTCCCGAAAAGCCGACTTGTTAGTTAAAGCCCGATGAGGTGATGAAATTGGCATTCTATTCTCTACCGTATCTGTATATACAATTTATCGAGAACATTCTGTCCATAAGTATATAGTCTGTGATCTCTTGAGTGTGTACGTTGATGGTCGTACAAATAAGCGCCGCATGATGATGTCACAGTCCCGGCACGCGAATAGCATACATAATCCCAGTTGTTCATGCCAGCGGGAGAGAAAACGCAATTCATCAATGATCAACCAATGATTTAGTAGACATAATCAGATTTGCTGCCATTGAGTATTGAGTTGTGCATTTCAATCTCAAGATTGGTATCTAAGCATCGATCTACATATCTCACTAACAACGCCACTAAGCTTTGTAGAGAGTGGCTATTGAGGTTAAGAGAAAGAATAATCTCCTTTAGCCTAAAAGTAGGGTCGACCATCGCCACGAACGGCTTTAACATGATATACCCTTCTTGATCACATTCCCTGTCTAAGACCCTCTCTGATTTACACTCTCCTCTAGATCCCCGAATGGAACCTGTAAAATCGGGATGCGACCAACGTTCAGGTCATTATGGGTGATGGAGATAGCCTTCTAGAAGAGCCTCAAAGCTAGATCCTTCTGGTTGAATAATTATGATAAAGAATAACTAGCTATGACGGTCATGGCAACTCCACTGTGATTAGACACAAGATGCAAGACTGCACATTGGCAATTTTTCATTACTCAATGAGCTTTCCGGTGACTCCATCAGGCGCCCAGGACCTGCTTCAACTGAGCTGAATCCTCCATTGTGGGTGGATTGTCGAGAATAGGTCTACTAACTAGGTTGACCATATGATCACAGTATTTGATTCAAATTTCCAAGGTATCTTGGGCAAAACCACTGAACACTTCGGTCTTTTTGTAGCTCGATTAGATGAAGCTTTAATGGGGCTCAAACCAATCATTGTCCCATTCCAAGAGATGGTTTAGGCGCTCGAATAGGCTTTCTGCCATTTTCTGTCATCGATTTACTTCGGCCAGATAATATAAATAGTTCCTGCGATTCGCGGGTCTCGGAACGACGTTCCGCGGTGTCAACTGTACTTCAACCGACCCCACACTTCTGCCTCGTCTCCGAACCACCTCCGGTGGCAGCACCCGAACTCCATGAAATTACCCCCCATCACAAATAATATCAATTTCTAACATCCGGCAACCCCTGATGAACCTTCATCTCTAAGTCTCTTTCACCTAATACCTTCAAACCCAAGAAACCTGCCTATCATTACTGCCCTGACCCGTCTGATCCTCTTCACCATGGACCTCTCCCATAACTTCGACAATGGCAGCCTCGGAGAGGCTATAAAGTGTATTGACATGCATACTACGGGTGAACCGACACGTATCATCTACTCTGGGTTCCCGCCTCTCCAAGGCACTCTTTTGGAACAGCGCGAGCAAGCAATGAATCAATATGACCACATTCGGAAACGCATCATGTTGGAGCCGCGGGGACACTACGACATGTATGGTGCTATCCTTACACCCGAGACCGAGCTGGTCCAACAAGGACTGGCGCATATCGGCACCCTTTTTACTCACAATGGCGGCTTTTCTACCATGTGTGGTCACGCGACGATTGCATTGGGCAGGTTCTTGGTGGACACGCATGACTTTAAAGTGTTTCCTAAACGCAATGAAATTAAGTTCAACGCAGAAACTTGTGAAGTGGCGGTCAATATCCATGCTCCATGTGGGCTGGTCCGCGTGACGGTACCCACCAGTGCAGATGGTCAAAAGTCTGATCCATCTCGCCCTGTATCGTTCCTCTCGACGCCAGCATTCGCCGCGGCAATTAACCTTGAAATCACGATTCCCAAGGAGATTAGGTGGCCTGAATTTGGTGACCGCGAATCTGTTACGCTGGACATATCCTACGGGGGAGCATATTATGCCCTCGTAGACACTCGCGAGCTCGGGTTTGCCGGCCTCAAGAAGATTGATCTGGGTGCTATATCAAACGCCGCTACTAAGCTCAAGGCCTATCTGATGACTCACCCGCTGGTCACATCGGCGCTGCAGCATCCAGAAGATGCTCGATTATCCTTCCTGTATTCTGTCATGGTCATTGACCGGGATGTGGGATCGAGGCCGGAGGGAGTCGAAGGTGTGGAGACGGGTCTTTGTTTCTTCGCAGACGATGAGATTGATCGATCCCCAACTGGATCCTGCGTGGCGGCGCGTATGGCACTCGCTCAAGCGAAGGATCTGAGGTCTATTGGGCAGAAATGGGCCTACAATTCTGTCGTCTCAAATCACTTTGCAGTCGGAGCCTTTGTTGCTTCAATTGTGGATGACAATATTCGCGTGGGTGACAGTAAAGAGGCAGTCATAGTTCGTGTCGAAGGTAAGGCATACTATACTGGAACATCGAACTTCATTCTCGAGGAAGGTGATCTCATTGGTGAAAGTGGATTTACTCTGAAACAATGTGTGCAATAGGGTGGTGGGGACGACGACTTGAATGAAAGAGGTAGATAAATCCTTTCGTTGATCCTAATCCAAATGATCTTGGAACTCTACTCAAGAACTTCCAGCTATATCGACAAGCCTCCTAGGCTGATATTATCCTGAATAATAAGGTGTGAACTAGGTCCAAGGAGAAACACATCATTACATTTGAGCAAAATCCAGATTGGGACTACTCAAATCAGTAATTCTAATACTTTTGATTTTGGATTTACGATTGGCTACTTCTTGATGATCTGAGTTGGAAAATGCTACTTGTTGAGCGGCAGAGGCTAAACCTTCGTGATGTTTGAGACACGATCATCGCGAAGACTATCTCTAGAGGAAGATCCGCGTATGCAATCAACAAAACGCTTTCGATCTAGCCAAATAACCAAGGAAAAGCATAAGGAGGGTACATGGCCAGCTTTGTCCATCAACCGCCGCGTCAAACTTGAAGGTGGATCGTCATCCTGCAATGACGTCAGAGTAGTCAATTCCTGGGACCGGCTCTGCAATTTCCTCTATATCCTTGCTATCCGGTTGGTCAGACCCAGGATCCTTTCGCATGGATTCTTTGTCCCTGGATTTGAGTCAATTTCCCCATAATCGTATCGAAATGTTGTACAATCTTGAATCGATTGCCCCTGTGCCTATGACGCCACCACCCTTTCCTACTTTTAAAATCGCCCAAACAAGGTCTACATCAATTATTGTATACTAAATGAATTCCGCGCCATTACATTGCTACTGTTTTTTTCGTTTTCATTATACCTGCTCATTGACGAGTATACTCACAAATTGGTCACAACCCTCATGACGCCTGGAGCAAAAGATGGAGACGGCGATGGCGGTCCACGCAGATTTGCCTACAACATAGACGCCGCCCGAGAGCAGGAGATGCACTTGTAAGAAAAGTCTACTCGAAATCTTGATTCCAGAATGCTTCTAACCACATGAATTTAGATATCTTCCGTATTGGGGGTTTTCAGATTCCGAAAAGTTTGCACAGCAATCCGTCGGCCACAGTCCAAACGTCTCTCGCGACACCGTTCTGACAGTTTTCGCTCAGCTCGCAAGTTTGCGACTCGATGCCAGTAGAGCTATCATATCGCTCTTTGATCGGAATACTCAATATGTCGTCGCGGAGGCAACTCCCCATCTTGGTCTGCGAAGCCCTAAGAGCGGACAACGATCAGACTGTCTTTGGCGTGGGGTGCAGCGACTACCGCGAGAAAACATCCCCATGTGCGACAACGCAATGCAAATGTTTACAAAGGAGAAGGCAGACATGTTCTTGGTGCCAGATTTAAAGGCTGATCCTCGATTTCAATCACATGAATCTGTAACCGGGCCTCCGTATCACCGGTTTTATGTCTCGGTGCCCATCGAGTCCCCAGATTCATATATTATCGGAAGTATTGCGGTCTTAGACGACAAGCCTCATGAATCCTTGACAAATGAGCAAAGTCATTTTTTGAAGGAGCTCAGTCTCACTGTCATGGACCATTTACTTTCTCAACGAGCCATGCGCGAGGAGCACCGTGAGGAGAAGATGGTTCGCGCTCTAGGGCTTTTTGTCCAGGGCAAATCAGATCTATCTGAAGGCATTGATAGCCGATGTGGAGTAAAAAATAAGATGGACCACGTGAATGAGAAATTGGAGCAGCTTAAGCTGTCCAGCGGGAAAGGAAGTCAACAGGGTGAAGGAAGAGGAAGGTCATCTGAGATCTCAGAGGACATCACAGTCGACAAAGAAGTCGAAGACGCGGATCAGACACGAAGCCGTTCACCAGTCCACAAATTCAAGCGCGACGAGAGTGTATCAGCCCAATCACAAGATGAAAAGGTGGGGAATGACCAGCGGCCTGCACTATCTCCAACTACAAGTCATCTGCAAAAGTCACTGGCTCCATCCAATGTTCAATCGGTTCTCAACCGCGCATCATGCCTCATGGATCAAGCATTGGATGTGGAAGGAGCAATGTTCATTGATGCGACTGTGTATGCTCGACGCCAAATGATTGGATCAGACGGCGGTAATCAGGAGGAGCCAGACGAGTCTACCCTCGAGCAAGAAGGGCTGAAGTATGATGATGACGATGTCAATGGTCCCAAAAGTTTGGTCCTCGGATATTCAACATCTTTGACCTCAAGCCGAGATGATAATGAACAAGCGAGCCATTATGTTTCACTCCCCGGATCCTTTGTCACCAGTCTTATCGACCGATACCCGCGAGGGAAAATCTTCCACATCGAAAAGGATGGCTCGGTTGCTTTGAGCTATGAGGGTCTGGCAGATGAAGTGAGCCAGATGTATGTCGGCGGGTCAAAGACGATCAGAGAAGGATCACCAAAGGGAAATTATCTCCGACAGGAGACCTTGGAGATCAAGCAACTTCACAAGATCTTACCGGAAGCACGCTGCATCGCGATCTACCCAGTGTGGGACTTTCAGCGCAGTCGTTGGTTTACGGTGAATCTCGTATGGTCCAACGATCCAGGTCGTGTATTATCGGAGCCAAAAGACTTGACCTACATGGCTGCATTCAGCAACAGTGTCATGGCCGAAGTCTCGCGGATGGATCTAGAGGCTGCCGACAGAGCCAAGAGCGACTTTATCTCTTCAATCTCTCATGAACTTCGCTCTCCTCTTCACGGTGTTTTGGGCACCGTGGAGCTGCTCCAAGAGACCGCTACCACCTTCACTCAACGGGGCTTAGTCGAAACAGTGTATAGTTGTGGTAGAACACTGCTAGACACCCTCAATCACTTGCTAGACTATGCAAAAATCAATACGCTGACTACTGGAAAATCTCCAGACCAAGAGGATCAACAAGTTGCAAGCTCAAAGCCAAATGTGGCTGTTCCTGGCCAGGTTCAAGACGAAGATTTGAGCGCATTGGTGCAGGAGGTCGTCGAAGGATTGCTTGCAGGTGCTGAATTTTACAATCGGGAAACTGATTCTACGCGAGAGCGAACCGAAAATGACACTCGCAGGGCCTCTACCTCTGCCCCAATGGGAAGCGAAGAACGCCGCCTCATGACCATTGTGGATGTTGAATGGCACGATGACTGGCGTTACCCAGTGTACGCGGGAGCCTGGCGTCGTGTGGTCATGAACCTGTTTGGGAATGCCATGAAATACACCCAATCAGGGTATATCAGGCTTTTTATGAAGAAGGATACGATGAAATCGAGTGACAATAAGTCCGTGCCTGCTGTCTGTATCACTATCAGCGATTCCGGCCGTGGTATGTCTCAGGATTTCCTCCTGCATCACCTCTATATTCCTTTCCTCCAGGAGGATACACAGGCCCCAGGGCTGGGGGTTGGTCTTCACTTGGTTCATCAGATTGTAAAATCTCTAAACGGGAGGATCGATTTCAGAAGTGAAGTTGGCAAAGGAACTAGTGTCGACGTGATCCTGCCTATTCCAGAACCAAAGCCCGCTCCGCCTCTCCATTCTCCGTACGTTGATTTACATGAACGGCTGAAAGGGAAGACGGTTTCTTTCTTTACTCAAAGTATTACTCGGGACAATCTTGGAATTCGGGCAGAGGTCTTTGACGAAATCCGGTCAACTCTGAGCCGAATGGTCAGTGAATGGTTCGGGCTGCGTGTTCTGAGCCAGGATGAGCTACAAGAGCAGGAAGCAGACTTTTTAATTGTGACTGAACACGAGTATCGGTCACTAGTTCATCAATCAACAGAGTCTGACGTGCGGAGTTTAGTCAAGTCTAAAACGTCTTACCCTCTGATTGTTCTAAGTTCCCAAGCAAGCAGCTGGAAGGTGGTCAAGGAGAGTGACCAAGACCGAGCCCTCTTTTTACCCCAGCCGTAAGTCATGCACCTTGATATTATTGGAGAATTACTGACAATCCCCCACAGAGTGAGCCCCAAGACACTCGCAACAGTACTTGAACATTGTCTTGACCAACAAGGCACGCAAAACAACTCGACATCCCGAGTTGATGACCCTTCTTCCGAGTCATCTCTTGAAGACAGCCACCAGACAGTGGATAGAGAAAGCGAAGCGGTTGAAGATAAAGCAGCAGAGACCCAAGCTTCCGAAGAAAATGGAAAGCCAACCAAGAAGGTACTCTTGGTGGAAGATAACCACGTCAATTTGAAGGTACAAAAATTGTGATTTCCTTCAAAACTTTGTCATTAACTTATCATGATTCTAGATTATTGAGACGTGCGTCAAAAATGCCGGCTTGACCTATCAATCCGCCACAAATGGCCTGCAAGCTCTTGAGAAGTTCAAAGGCGAACGATTTGATGCTGTCGTCATGGGTACGTTCCCGCGGGCCTATATCTTTCTCGATCTTATTTGCTAATGCATCCCAGATATCTCAATGCCAGTCATGGACGGCCTAACGGCTACTAGAGAAATGCGGCACTTTGAAAAGAGCGCTGGCCTACCTCGCACTGCCATCATCATCCTGACAGCTGTCTTATCTGCAGACATGCAACAGGAGGCCCAAGTAAGCGGGGTCGACAAGTTCCTAACGAAGCCCACGCCGCTCAAGAAGCTGAGGGAGTTGCTACTAGACTTGCCGCAACAATGACTTTTGTAAAACTACCAACATATGTGATTAGCATGAATATACGATAAGGAATGGGTGTACAATATGATGATCTCTATGAAGTGTATTATAGAACAAGCGATGCTCACAAATAAAGGCACGACGGATATTACCGCTGCAAAAGTACGTTTCCGGTGTCCACCCAAGCTTGCCTACTACTGTAGGCCTCTAGATCACTGTATCTCATACCACATGGAATCTACCTGATGTTCGATATTATCTAGGCTACGGTAACCGGAGTGAGCACATGAAATCCATCGACAGTGTGGTCACGGATGATTTATAATGAATACGAGTCCGAGCGCGCCTATAAAACCGGTAGTTACGCAAGCCCAACTCCTACGACTGAATTGACATCATCAAAGATACCCGCTACAATCACCTCCCAAGCTGTTCAACAAACGTTCTTCAGGTGTCTTAAGCACACATCTTACTACCTCACAATGGCTTCTGGAAGCTGTGCATGCCGTTACATCCGATACACGACAACTTCCCCGCCAGCGGGTCCTGTATACTGCCACTGCATCGAGTGCCGCAAACAGTCCGGTGCTCCCTATCAGACATGGCTGGACTTCCCAAAGGACACTGTCAAATGGAGTGTCGAGCCAACTGTCTGGAGATCTAGTGATACCGCATCGCGCAGCTTTTGTCCTCGCTGTGGTTCAACTATGACGATGACGCTGGACAAGGAGCCATCCAACACGGAGATCCCGGCGGGAACGCTGGACGTTGAGTCGGAACATTTAGTGTCCAGGCCGGGAAAGCATATCTTCTACAAGGAGAAGGCCGCTTGGTATGACGCACCGGATGATGGGTCGATGGTATTTAACGAGTGGAGCGAGTGAATCAGGGATTGAGGATGTAGTCAAATGGAGATGGCTGTCTTTACAAGGAGAATCAATTGCGATAGTAATTTATCATATTTGCTATTTTGGTTAACTATTTCCAAACAAAACATAAAATTGGCTCAAAGACTTCGGGGTCATAACGATCACCCGCAGACACGGACTATAAAGGCAACAAAGGGGAATCACGATGTCGTGTCCAGGCTACATATACAAAATCAATGAAATCCGAGCGACCTAGTCAGATTAAAATGTGCTGGCAGCCAGTCGGCTGGCAGCATTGCGCGCATCCAGTCGGTCATCATCTTCCTCGGCAATCGACCCAACCTGGCTGGTGGCACGCGCCCGTCCCTGGCCCGACTCTGCCTGGCTTTCCTCATCGCCCTCATCCTCGTTGAGGCCCGGTGCAGTGAAGCTACCGCTCATGCTGCGACCCAAATTGTCCGAACGACGGGGAATACCACTCCAGGCATCGCCCTTGGGGCCTTGGCTCGAGGCCATGTTCGACCGTCGGACCGTAGGGTGGGCTTCGCGACCCAATCGGCTGAGGCCACCCGAAGCGTCGATGCTACGAATGTCGGGTCGAACACTCTCCAGGGTTGCCAAGGTTCGTCGCTCGGCTTCAATTTGACGCAAGGTATACTCGCGCAGGCTGAAAAGCAGCTCGTTCGTTGTTCGGTCGAACCACTTGCGCTTCTCCTGGAGCAGATTTGTCGTTACGCGCTGAGTGCGTTTTGTCAGGTAGTCCTCGTGATGCTCTGCTTCTGCCAGAGCATTGATCGCCTCGTCTACCTTGTCCGGACGGACCGAGGAGCTAACTTTCAATCGCTCCGCTGCAGCCTGCTTGCTTCGAGCGCTCTGCTGAGCCTGGATAAGTTCTCGCAGCAAGATGTGTCGGTTGGTTAGGGTTTCCTTGACGATAAACGCATCGGATGAATGATAGCTCAGTGGTTCGCCCAGAGTCGTGGCCTCTGCGGTGGCCTGAATCGCATGGTAATCACCCACGGTCTGAATAACTTTGCCAAGCTTTCGATAAGCCATGCCCAACCCAGGATGAGTTTCTTGCACAGCCATCTGACCAAGCTTCACACCGAAGTCAGACTCGGCCAATCCCACACCTAGTACTGTCAGCTTTTGATCCAATGGGGTAGACAGACCGGCTTCGTCTTCATATCTTACCTCTGCGGGACTTAACAACTCGATCAACTTTGTGGCTCGAATCCATTGCTGCCAAGTAGAACATCTTCACAGTCGGGCGAGCCGCCTGCAGTTCCGGAGTGTCATCAGGCGGCGGCGCAAACTGCTTCAACATCTTGCGTCGCACCCCCGTAGCAGGTTGCTTCATGCGAAGCACCGGGCTGTAGCCGAAATCACTTTCCACAAAGAGCATGACCTCGTCATCTTGGATAAGGACTTCGTTGCTCAAAACAGTATTGAGCCAGCGTTGCATCGAAGCCTTGACGCGAATTTCATCTTCATCGGTTCCAGCACCGGCGGGCGTAACAGGCGGTGGAACTGCGGGGACGAAAGCTTCCGGGTTGGCTGAGATCAAGTGGTCGGCGAGCTTAACAAACTCGGAGTGAGTACGGCGAACGTCGCGATATTGGGTGGTACGGAATTTGGGGATGTTAGTCTGTCATCAAATATCGGTGTAAAGTTAGCCACTGCTGCAGCGCACCGCATCTCATCAGCGTCATTAAAGAGTAGACTTACGTGAACGTCAAAGCGAAGGATAGGATCCTTCTTTCCAGTCCTCTCGAGACTAGTGATTTTGGCTTGAATCTTGTAAACAGGCGCAGGTCGCTGAGAGGTCTGTCTTATGCCAGTCTGGAAGCGCGCAGGTAGTTGCTGTCGCTGCTGGTCGGCCGTCGGAGCGTGATGCGCAGTCAACGGAGAAGGCACCTCGCCATAGTCCGGGTCACCTAATTGAGCACTCTGCAGCTGTGCCGACAAATCGGCTGCCTGAGCTACCGCATCATTGTCTTTGTCCGCCGCCTCCGATGAGTGGTCCTGGCCGGGTAACGGGGATGACGGGATGTCACCATTGCCCGAGGTGGGGAACGTGGTTCGGTCGGCGCGCGGAGAGCCCCAGGGTGAGGCACCCGTGGGGTTTTCTGGATCGTTGGAGAGGGTAGAATAGTCCATCTTGGTTGGAATTGAAAGTAAGGAGCGCCTTCACGAGGAGAGTCCAAGGGGGAGGAGCTGCTAGTGACGGAAGGCGTCAGTATTAATGGCTGGGGATCAACACCCCCACAGTAACGGCCAGGTAGCTCCAAGTCAGCGTGAAACCTACCTGGGCAGCTTATGTGTAAGAAGAAGAGCGCTCCCAGAGGCGCATATCAAATGGAACAGCAAAGGTGTACAGAAGAGCAATCAAGCTGAGTAGTCCGAGATTGAAGCAGGAGGGTTGGACGAGGAGTTCGTAACGTGTGGACCGGACCAGCAGGTGGGAATGGGGAATGCGTGCGCCAAGACCGCCAGCTCCGCGATTCGCTTTTTCCATGATCACTACAACCACCTCCAAGTCTGACTTTTTGGCCTTGAGAGAAAACCCCCATCCCTATGATCACATGCATCTAAGCCTTTGGTAATTTATCCACCGTGGATGGAAGCTTCTATTAGCAATGGTTGTGGCTCCGTTGTTGCGCCTCCCCCAGCCGGGGCTCCGATGTATGGGTTCGACGCTCTATAAGAACCAGGCCAGCCCCGTGAAGAGCCGCATCTACTCGCAAATTTCTCGACTCGCAAGTCAAACGGCCCCATGCTTCTCAACTTCGGTTTCCAGGTGGCAGACCGAGACTTTGGACCGAACACGCAACATTGGGATCATCGCCCATATCGATGCTGGCAAGACCACCACGACGGAGCGCATGCTCTTCTATAGCGGCTTCACCCGGCGCATTGGAGACGTGGACGAAGGCTCTACGGTGACGGATTTCTTGCCCGCAGAACGTGCGCGTGGCATCACAATTCAGTCGGCCGCTATCACTTTCCATTGGCCTCCTGGCGACGGGGCAGAAAGTCAACCCCTTGAACGGGATCCTTCGATGCCAAAGTCGGCTGTGTCCCATACGATCAATTTAATTGACACACCGGGCCATGCTGACTTTACATTCGAGGTCTTGCGGTCCTTGCGCATTCTTGATGGCGCTGTCTGTATCTTGGATGGTGTGGCTGGTGTCGAGGCGCAGACGGAGCAGGTCTGGAACCAAGCTAGCACGTATAAGATCCCGCGGGTGATTTACGTGAACAAGCTAGACCGTGACGGTGCCGCCTTTGGACGAACAGTCCGAGAAGTCAGCTCTCGACTGGCGGTGTATCCAGCAGTGTGCCAAATCCCGTGGTTTGAAGGCGGCAATGGTGCTTTCGTGGGAGTAGCAGATGCCATCAATCTCCAGGGTCTACGGTGGAAGGAAGGTGAAGACGGTCGGACCGTTAAGATGATGAACATTGAGCAATTAGATGCCGAAGAGGGTTCCCTGGCACAAGAACTCCGCCGTGCGCGAATTGCGTTGGTCGAGTTGCTGAGCGAGCAAGATGAGGCCATTGTGGAGAAATTCTTCGAGTGTGATGAAGACCATCTGGCCGTGCCGCCTATGGATATCATCGACAGTCTTCGGCGATGTGTTCTCGATCAATCAAGCCGAATTGTGCCCGTCTTCGCGGGTGCTAGCTTCCGGAACATGGGTGTTCAGCCGTTGCTGGATGCAGTGGTAAACCTTCTTCCTAGTCCGCCCGAGGCTCCCGACCCAGAAGTGAGTATTGGTGGTGCCAAGGGAGGATTGAGACGGTTGCTCTCTGGTGACCTCATCGTGGAGCAGAATGAGAAGGCATCTGCTCCAGCAAAGGGCAAGAAAAAGAAGAAGGCTCTGCTCCACGCGGACCCGAAAGACGCCATCTCCAAGCTCCAAAGCTGTGCGCTTGCCTTCAAGGTGGTCAATGATCCCAAGCGTGGTGTTTTGGTCTATGTTCGAGTATACTCTGGCTCCCTGGATCGCAACAGCCTCCTCTTCAACACCAACCTACACCTCTCAGAGCGAGCACCGCGATTGTTGAAGATGTACGCCAATGACGCCGTCGAAGTTGACTCTATTCCAGCTGGTCACATTGGTGTTGTTGTCGGGCTCAAGCACGCTCGTACTGGTGATACACTCCTATCTTATGCCGGAAACAAGCCCACGCCCCCGGAACCGTTGACCAGCCTTCAGCTTCGCCCAATCGACGTGCCTCCCCCCGTGTTCTTCACCAGCGTCGAGCCGCACAGTCTCAGCGAGGAGAAGCGGATGCAGGAGTCCCTCGGACTACTTCTACGAGAGGACCCCAGCCTACACGTCAGTGTGGATGAAGAATCCGGACAGACACTTCTCAGCGGCATGGGCGAACTACACCTCGAGATTGCCCGCGATCGACTTATCAACGACCACAAGGCCAAGGCATCCATGGGCCGTATCGAAATCGGATATCGCGAATCAGGCCTCGGCTCCTCCAACGCCATCACAAAGATCTTCGACAAGGAAGTCGCCGGCCGCCGCGGTAAAGCAGGCTGCACGGCAATCGTAGAACCCATGGACGAACAAGACGTCTCTGAACTCGCAGACGAGGAAACCCTTCTCGCCGAGACAATCGAGGGCAATCAAATCATCATTCGCGCCCCAGGTCTCCAAATCGACCGCTCTTCCAGACACGACGAAGAGACAAGCTCCATCCTCCCCCCAGGTCTAGACCCATCTTCTGTCCGTGCAGCCCTGCAAAACGGCGCACTGGCATCGCTCGCCCGTGGGCCTCAATTCACCTTCCCAATGCACAATACCCGTGTCACACTCACCCTCAACCCCGAAGAACACCTCTTCGGCAACGATACAACCACCTCGGCCCTATCTGCCGCCGCGCGCCAAGCTACATCTGCCGCATTATGGGACCTCCTCACTGGACCCGGGACGGTAATGATGGAACCAGTCATGAACGTGATTATCAGCGTCGACGAAGCATCCCTCGGGTCTGTAGTGCACGACATCTCCTCTTCGCGAGGTGGCCATATCGTCTCGCTAGACGAGGAAGTGCCATCATCCGCAACAGATGCCTCCGGATCCCCCGCAGAAGATAATCTACCCCCCATCGACCCTAAGCGCGTTTATGCACCGCCCGATCCCTTCGAGACTCCTTCCGTCGGTGCCGAAGTGCCAGTATCCGCGTCTCGTCCTCGCACTATTACTGCTAAGGTCCCGTTGAAGGAGATGGTTGGGTATCTGAAGCACCTGCGCAGTTTGACCGCTGGTCGTGGCACGTTCGTGATGGGCGTGGATCGGTTTGAGAATATGTCTGCGCAGAGACAGAAGGCTGTGCTTGCTGAGTTGAGGGGTGGATTCTAAGTGGTACTATCACCGTCTCCGTTGTACACTATCGTGTATATTCGTCATTTTGGAGTAGGTATAGGGCAATCTCTACAATGTACTAATTTCATCACATGTCGCTACTGTACAAGACGAGAGTAATGACGGATACATGAGAAGCCATGGCACGACAATTGAAAACAGCAGTAACCGCGCCATCATGAACAAAAACAGATTTCAGTAGAAACAATGCAAAATGTATGTATATACGAGGTAATCTACCAATTATCATCCCACTCATCCTTGCCCTTCGTCGTTGCCGTCGAAGCTCCAGCCGCCCCATGATCTTTCCCGGCAGACGCAGTAGTCTCACTAGAAATAGGAGTCGTAGAATTCGACAACGGCGTCGCCGCAGGGCCCTTGCGCATAGCCGCAGTCCCGATCACATCAGACCGCGAGCCACTCCGCTGATGACCATTTTGCTCTTGCGAGCCCAGAGATGAAAAGTCGTCCCAAAAGTCCCGACGTTCGGGTTCCACGCGTGAGCGACCTGCACCAGCGCGGCCGTCCTCGGGTCCCTCGACAAAACGGTTGAATTGGTCTGCAGCGCCGCGGACGCCGGTTTGGAGGTTTTGGCCCCAGGTTGCGGCTTGGACGCGGGCTTGGGCTGCGAAGTCGGATTCGGCCAGCTGTTGGGTTCGTTAGCTTCTTCGTCCTTGGAATCCCTGGACTTGGAATCAAGCCGGGGTGAAGAATAACGGGGCTTGCTTACCTGCTTGGCCGTAGGTTGTAGGTATGATTCATTCACTTGCTTCGCACTCTTACCCACCGTCGACGCAAACCACCCAAGACCCTTGGTCAAAGTACCCAAAGGATCTTTCTGCAGGTCATCCAAAGCCGGTCCACTTCCCGCACCACCACCACCCCAACCTCCAAACCCGCCAAAAGGTGATGACCGTCGTTCCGCAGCCGTAGACGGGGGCAGCCCACCACCAAAGCCAGTAAACTTCCCACCCTGCGAAGGCGGCAACGCATCCGACCTCGTCGCATTATCATTCCCCAATTTCGCAAAATAAGCCTCATTCTGCTCCTTCTTGGTCGGCGCCCCGCTGCGCTGGCTATCATGCGAGCGAATCGACGACGCTGCAGGCGATCCTGTCCGCGCACCACCGGTCACACCAGCGCCAGCACCGCTCAGACTCATAGGTGTACTCGACCGCGAGGCGGGCGCGGTATTCTTCTTCTCCTGGCCGGGCACGTATTCGCGACCCTCAACCTTGCAGGATAGTCTCTCCTTCCATTCCTCACCGGCGTCGCCCTCGTAGCGCTCTTTGATTGTGGAGTCTTCGAACGTGCGGCCTTCGGAGATGGTCACGGCGTGGGCGTCGTAGAAGGACTTCCAAGGCTCGTTGCCGCCTAATTCCATGCGCTGGATCTCAGCGTGCTTGAAGGCGTCCATGGTGATTGAGCGGACGAAGGAGATGTGTACACCGAGACCGCGATGCGTGCCAGCACAGTTCAGGCAAATGAAAGTCCCAAATTTGGGCGAGGCCTGTGAAAGAGACGCAGCCCGCGTTAGCTAGGTCCTTTCTCGAGGGTCGTGTGCGAGGGGTCCATTGGAGCAGCGCTCCAATAAGTGTAGACTCGGGAGATTATGATATCTACATACCCATTGGGGTGAGGGCGCGCCGCAGTCACAGCACCTATCGTTTCCGTTGGTCTTGGATATCTGGAGGAGCTATAATAATGGGAAATAAGTGTTAGTTCAGAGACCCGATCAGGCGCAAGTGGCTGTCCTGGTTCGGCCAGACCACCAGATGTCGGAGAAGCGTACCTTTGTCTTCGTCTCCGGGTCGACCTCCCACATGCGAGATGACATGTCGGGCAGTGGTTATACAAGTAGGAGGGAAAGAATTGAAAAGAACCACGTCTCGCGCGCTCGCCGTGTTTTGAAGGGTTGTGTGTGGCTGTGACAGTGTGCACGGAGTCGGCGCCGCGCCTGGTATCGAGGGAGAGAAGTGGGGGGGGTCTCTGTCTGATGAGGTGGGTGAACCCCTTTTTTGCACGCAATCTCAATGACTCCACCGGTATCTGGTAGAGATGTTTGATCGAATGTAGTCGGGATTGACGGTGAGAATGGAGAAATGGAGAGTTGAGCGTGGAGGGGGGGGACTGTATGTTTTGTCCGCTGATCGGCAAGGGTCGCCCCAGAACTTGAGCGTCATCGCTCAGGGTCGCTCGCACTCACTCTACATTCATTTCTTCCACATTTATTACGCTCTTGGTCTCTGTCGAGTCGACAGCTCTAAGTTGTCTACATTTCCATATGCTCTCATGCGCTTCCTACAAATAGACCCCTCAGCAGATCATCATCATTTAGTTAAATGGGTGCTAAGATACAGTACAGAAGACAAAGGTCGTTAGGGACGGAGGCATCAGCAAGGATGTATAACTCCAGCATGGACGTATGTTCCATGACATCCGATGATAAGAAAAATAAGGAAACAAGTCATGACACCCATCGTGCCCACAGATCAGCCTCGATGACCACCTGTCGAGTAGCTAAGATATTTCCAGTTGACCAGCAGATCATGTATGGTAATATCCCATATTTCATACGACCGGCCCCATCAAGGTTCCTTTTCAATAACTCCGAGTTCATTAGCAAGGGATCTGTGGTCGAATAGAAATTGGCAATAAGTTTAAGAAGTCTCGGCAGGAGCAGCAGCATCAGCAGCCTCAGCAGCAGCAGGGTCGGTGTTTTCCTGGGCGGGAGCGTTGGCCTCCTCGTACTGATCAGCGGCGGCGTTGACATCGTCCTCCTTGCCGGGGCTGTCGATGGCAACCTTGACAGCAATGGTGCGACCGTCAATCTCCTTGCCGTTCATCTCGTTGACAGCCTTGGCCTGGAGTTCCTCCGAGGCGAGGTTGACAAATCCGAAACCACGGGTCTTGCGGCGCTCGTTGCGGGCCTGCAGCTTCTTGATCATGAAGCGGGGAATGGGACGAAGAGCGACCTTGGCGGAGACGGGGGAGTAGTCGGCGAAGATGTCCTTGAGCTATACGGGAGAAATGATGCGATTAGTACAGTGCCAAAGCTTAAGACAAGAGTGAGGGCTTCTCTAAGCCTGGCCGTGGCGTCAAAACATGGAACGTACCTTATCCTCGGTCAGGTCGTAGGGGAGGTTAGCGACCATGACCTTGGTCTTGGAGGGAATACCATCCTCGGGGGGACCACGCTGCTTCTGGGGACGAGGAGCGCGGGGCTTGCCCTGCTTGGCACCCTCGGTAGCCGCAGGCTCATTGTCGTTGGTGGTCTCGGTCAGGGGAGCGGCCTCGGTGGCGTTGGCCTCGGTGGGCTCCTGGCCATCCTGGGCCTGCAGAAAGGACCAGCTGGTCAGCGATGATGTTCCATATGACAGCCTTGAGCGTAGCAAGGATGGAATGGGGAGTTGGGGTTTACATACACGTCCACGGGCAGCACGGCCACCACGGCCGCGGGCGCGACCACGGCCACGACCCCGGCCACCGGTGCGCTTGCGACCCTCATTGCCGCTGGCGCCCTCACCGCCACTGGCAGCACCCTCCTTAGCCTCCGCGGGCTCTGGCTTGCGGGCCAGCTGGACCGAAACCTTGCGCGCCAGAATCTCCTTGCCAGAGAGGCTCTCAATGGCCGCAGTGGCCTCGGCAGCAGTAGCGAGATCCACGAAAGCGTAGCCAACGGGGCGGTTGGTGCGGGGGTTCACCGGGATCGAGGTGCTCTCGCTGGAGACTCGCGTTAGTTTTGGTGTTGATGGATTGTCGGACTCCCAAATGAGGGGTCCATTCGGATCCGTGCTGGTGCGCTCCTCCCACGAGATAGCTCACAACCAGCTCCATGTCGATGCAGGGGCGGGAATTCACTTACATGGTGTAGCCCTTGAAGAAGTCCTTGAGCTCCTCCTCGGTGGTCGCGTAGGCAAGGTTGCCGATGTACAGGCGACGACCCTCATCAGCACTGGCGGCAGCAGCGTCAGTAGGCTGCGAGGCCGCGGGAGTGCCGTTGGCGTTGGGGGTGTCGTTTATGGTGGTCGCAGCCATGGTGTTGGTGACAGCTTCAACGGCAGACATCTTGAAGGCGGGTTGAGACACGGGGAAGGTTCGAAGGTGGATAGCTAAAGCTCGAACGATGATGTGTCAAACAAACGGAGGGGAGTGTTTGTTGATGTGCCTTGTGAAAGAACTTAGGCGGTGGGGGGATATTGCCGAGGGGGAGGGATTGAGGGGGAAGGAGCAGGGTAGCTTGGTGCCCTAGATACCGATTGAAAGAAAAGGAAGAGATGGGAAAAGAGGAATTCAGAAGCAGTAGTTGACTCTTGGAAGAGGGAAGGAAGTGAGAGAGGGAGGAGGAAAGGAAAGGAGGAGGAGGCGGTGAGCCACCAGACCGTGTTTGGGGGGGAGCTGTGTGAGCCTGCGAGCGCCCGTGGGTCAAGTTGGGCAGTCTTCTTTGGGGGGAGGGGGGGTTTCCGGCGACGTCCAGGCGGCCGTTAGGCTGTGGACTCGGGAGCAAGACCCTTCCAAGGGGCCCCTAGGAGCTCGGCTTCTCTGGGGGGGGCTGAACACCAAGTTTGGCGGTGAGTCACCCCTCTCTCAACTCAGCAACCACGGAACCTCCCGTCGTATGAGGCTTCCACTTTTGATGTCATTCTGGAGACCAACCCCAGTTCGGTCAGCTACCATGAGGTTCGATTGAAATTTACACCAGTTACCACCACACGCTGCTCGGGATATATTGAATTTCAACTACATAGACATATTAGGGTATGTCAGAATTACATCTTCCACCAAGAGTATGTAAATTTAAGCGTCGTAAATACCGTAGACCTGCATATTCCCAAGACAATTATCTGCACGCGCCGAGTTGCCCACAGTAACGCGGGTGACGACGATTGATCTTCCACCTCAGCCGGGCTCCACTTTTCCCACTTTCGATTCTCCACGTTCCAGACCCGGGAGCTGTGATTCTCTGGAAGATCGCCAGAGCTTAGGCCACGATATATTTTCCGTTATTTGACCGTCTTGAATTATGAACGAGAAAGTATCGACAACGATCAAAGTCTTGGAGACCTAACTGTGCGATTGCATCTTTGTCTTTGGACATCTGCAACATCTCAATGTCCTAGAGAGCCTCCATTCCAGGGTACAAAATATACTGGAACTTATTCCTTCAAATAACCTGACAGAGGCTCGTTTCATTCGCACATCCGACGTCGTCTCTTTCACCAACCACGCCTCGATCCAGGCTTCGCACAAGCAACCTGATCTCCCTCCTCTTTCTTCATAAACTCCCGAAACCATCCTCTCTGCATCAGCTTCTCAAACTCCTCGTCCGTCATTGCATCCACCTGACCTTGACCGTTATCCTTGGGGATATGATATCCCTCAATCCAGTCCGCAACTGGAATAAGTACCCCGGTGTAGTCCCGACGGACTTCTACTCGCTTGCTCGTCAGCGTTTCTCTGCGCTTTCCCTCCTTCTTGTTGCTCTTCTTCGGACGTGTCGGGCTCCTCCTCACAATGGACTTGGCCTGGGGGGAGCGGGACAGCTCGATGGCGGCCGGTGGAGGAGAGGGTGTGTGATCCGAGGGTCCCTTGCCAGCAGGCTCCGAAGAAGAATTGCAGATACCTGGACTGCTTGGAGGTGAGGCCGTCTGCTTTATCGGAAAAGTGAACACCGGCGGTGGGTAGGTAGCAGAAAGTGGTTCAGATTCGGGGGATTGAGGGGTCGGTGAAGAAGAGACTGGGTGTAGCTCGGGGGAGCTGTCCGAGATCGTGATGAGGTCGTTGGGGACTTTTGCGATATCTTCTCGCCAGTCGGCGATCAAGATCTGGGCATGGTCGGAGACCGAGAGCCCATTTGATAGAGTGCAAAGAGGCTTCAAGACCACGGCACTCAGAGCGTCGAGGACGTCTTTGGTGCTGCAGTGGTATGTCTCTGCAAAATTGCCGATGGGGAACGTATCCCGAATGACCACTGCCATGTCGACGAAGAAAACGTCCATGAATGGAAATTTGGCCAGAGCGGGAGTTGCTGGGGCCCAGAATTGGGAGATAGAGTCGGTCTTTTGCTTCTTGGGCTTTGGCTCATCGCAAGAAGCAGTTTCGATAGATCTGGCTTGCTTGTTGCTCCCGAAAGAGGAGATCCCTGGGGTAGGGACGGTCACTGGATTCGTTGTAGTGTCAGCGTTTCCAGTCTCTTCCAAGTGTGAGAGATACACGAACATGGACGAAGACCAGCGACGCGCCTTTATGGAAATTATTGCCAGGATGAAAGTTGGTAACTCACTCTTCGACGAATCTCCCATTTCTTCTAGCTATAGAGTCATTAAAGGACCAAGTCAGTCTTGATCTGCATTTGGGTGTTTGAGTAGGTATGGGTATGCATATACATATCTAGCAGCTATGAGCCACGGATGAAGAGCAATGGGAAGTGGTTTTGAGCTCTTGACTTATAGCTTATCAGAATCTATACTTTGAAGTAAATCTTTGCAGTTATTAAGAGGATGAAAGAAGCCATCCAGACGTGTGTCCTGAATATATTTCCCTCCCGAGCTGCGAGGTTGACAAACGTGATGGAGATTTCCATTGAAGAGATGAGATGTCGTGAACAGGCAAATAGAGACGTCTTCTGCGGGCTGTCTTTTCTTTCAAGAGTAAAACAGAGGATAATTTTTATCCTCAAAAGGGGCTACGCAGTAGATAGGGGATGCAGAGCTATATCATACTCCAATGATTCTTGGTATCCCAGGTAATAATGGTCACCATATACGAGATGCCCCTGGCGATGGTTCAGGGAATGGTATGAAATCGGTTGGAATCCATTTATGAAAATTATAGTCTAATTGTCATTTAGACAGCCATATCTTCCTGGCCGTGATACGTAGGGTATATGTCTATACCCGGTTTATCTATATGAGTCCAAGCTCCCCCACTCGGAGTGGGCCAGGGGCGTCATAGGGTCATGGTCTAATTGCACGCTCCAACTCCACTAGAATTGCTTCTGGTGCACTAGCGGCTTTATTTTCTCCCATTATTGGATTCGATAATCACTGGCTTGAGTTTGCCACTATTTTGCCACGGGGATTTCAATTGCGGAGTGGTAGCTACCATGGTCTCTTGTGGAATATACGTAGGAGGTGCATAACGGTACATGATACTTATCTGCCAGCCACCGGCACCCTCAGGGATCTACTGATGGACACGCTGATAAGACGGAGATCTACCCTGCACTGACGCCTCTAGGCTGGGCTTCGGTCATCTCCACCTCTTTGGGATCGCCGGCGCAAAACAAGATTGGACCTCGCTGAGTCATCTGCGTGATTACCTTACTGTCAGATTCCCTAAGGTTTACGAAACCCAAACTCCAGGATCTTCTATTTTCAGTCTCGGGGTACTTACTCGATTTTTCTCAATGGCCTAGGCGCTCATTCTCGACCTCGTGGACTGTTCACTTACGGGCTTGCTGCTTCGACCCTCGTTCCATCTCAGTTCCCCACCTTCCCCAGCCTCTCTCGGATCTTGCCATTGCGATCACCCTCCATGGATCCCATCGAGCCCGTGGAGGGCTCAACGGAGGAGCGGCCACCGTCTGCCGAAGTATCCTCCTCGCGACCAACGCCGGCGCCGTCACGCCCACGAGCCCCTTCAAACCGTGCGCGCCGGCCTAGTATCCGTCTGTCGCGCCTTCCTTCTCTCTCGTCATTGGACACGGTCACCACCCACGAGCAACAGCCGGTGCTTTCAGACAGCCAACCAGGTCCTTCCCTTACTCGCCAGGTTTCCGTTAGATCACCCGTACAAGAGGAGGATGAATCATGGCAGTCTGGTCGGCGGCGCAGCAATTCCGAGCCGCGACCAGGACGATGGTCCTCTGCCCAGCAGCCCGTTCTTGCGCGAGTGGCAACACCCATGGGATGTCTGACCGAAGAGTCGTCTCACCAAAGCCCAATGCCCCTATCTCCGGAAGAGGAGCTCTCTACGCAGCGAACAGGGGAGGACCAACTCCAACCACCGCCACCAGCACTCGCTCGCCCGGCATCGCGAAACGTGCTGCGTCGAACAAGTCAAGCCGCTTTGAACCGATTCTCTCGCAATCGCGCATCGACAGTGAGCGGAGGGCCGCCAAAATTCGAGGCGAGTAAAGCGCAGCCAGTCAACGAGTACGGATCTCACGTGGTCGACGTGCTGGACGTGATCGGTAAGTGATCGGATAGATTGGGAGATGGGGTGGCGAATACCGCAATCACAGCTAACACCATGGCAATGTTGATTAGACCCGGAGGTCTCGGCCCTATCGACCCTTACCAATGTGCAGAACTCACTGTTCATCCCCAATCTGGGCGGTTTCGTCAATCGCATGCCCACGTATCAATTGTCGAGGACACCCCCGTCCGACGAAGAGCAGGCAACGTCCGCGGACGAGGCAGAGTCCTTGGAGGAGAGGCAAAGGGAAGACCGGCCGGCCTTGGAGCACCTGCGTCCTTTCTCAAGCATGTCATCCGTGCTTCAGGGCCCGCGGTATGTCGTTCTACCCGAAGGCCATGAGCTAGAGGGATGGACGAAGGATGACTTTGCCGAATTGAATGATCACGTGCGGCATATGCTACACTCTCGTCGGTCCAAATTCAAGCGATCGATGAGGGGATTCGGTCAATACGTACGAAGGCGTAAGTCTCCTATCCAGAACTTTGGGTGAGTGGATCTGCGTGACTAACGACAGCTTCCAGCACTGGGATTCCTTGTTACCCTTTATGCAACCCTTATTACCCTGTTTGGTCTTGCTTGGGTGCTCTTCTTGATTGGTATGTTGCCCTTCGGTTGCTTGTCAACAACGAGATGGGAAATTGGAACACTAATATTCGTATCTTTCAGGTTGGATCAATGTCGGCGGAAGACAGTTATATGTCATTAATGTCATTGACAATGTCCTCGTAGCCCTATTCGCCATTATGGGTGATGGACTGGCTCCCTTCCGAGCCGTGGACACTTATCATATGATTTTCATTGCGCATTATACCATGTTGACTTGGAAGACTCGTGAGAAGCGGAAGCTCCCTGAACTTAAAGACAAGAACGATCTCCCCACCCAGCACGAAAAGGATGCGGGGGTTGATTTTGCCGATACCCCCAAGGAAGAAGAACCCGAGTACTCTGTACTAGATGCCCGCCAGCAGGAGCGCCTGTTGCACCACCAGGGCAAGTTTGCCAAGTCACATACTTTTTACAAGCCGCATGAGACGGTCACTCATCACGCTTTCCCTCTACGCATTCTCATCGCCATCGTCGTTCTCCTCGACTGCCACTCTTTGCTCCAGATCGCACTGGGTGCCTGTACCTGGAGCATGGAGACTCCGGGGGAGCGACCGTTCGCCCTGACTACGGTCATCCTGTGCTGCTCCATCACATGCAATATTTCTGGTGGTGTATTGATCATGATTGGTGATCGGCGCACACGCAAGAAGGATGTTGTGGAGCGCCTGTTCCGTCAAGAGTTGACCGAGGAAGCTATGAAGAAGATGGAGAAGCGAAAAATCAAGGAAGAACGCAAAAGTATGCAACTCGAGCGCGAAGAGCGTAAGAGTATGCAAATCGACCGCGAAGGGCGCAAGAGCACCCAAATCGACCGCGAAGGGCGCAAGAGCGCGCAACTTGAGCGTGCTAGTATGAAGGCCGACCGCCCAGTGGTCGAGCCCGAGAGTCCACAACACGAACGCCCTGATCCGTTTAACAGCACCTAATACGCCGACATATAAACATACCATTGTCAGCTCACGACCGCCACGAATCCTCTTGAAGATGTTTCTCGAGTTACCAAAGATTCATGTCTTCTACCCGATTGTACAGTCTTCTTGCTGGCCTGCTCTTCTTCCTGCCTTGGTCAGCTACGTTTTATACTCCGAGCTATGGCGTTGTTCAGTTTCGATTTTGTTTTGGGAGAGACCGTCTTTTTCTCGGGTCTCTATATCTTATGAATATGGCCTTGTAATAGCTGCTCTTGTCATTCCTGTCTGTGTTGCTACCTTACGAATTTCTTTGCCGGTCCAGCCCTTCCTGTCTCTGTTACTTGTGCTGGACCGGCAAATCAGCATTGCTTTTACCTGTTTGGATCTGGACTCATAGCCTTTTTGTTATCGTTGCTTCTGTCTAGTATTTGCTTGCATCGAAATATAGAGCATCATTGGATTAACTTGAACTAAATTGAACTGATTCATAAAAACTCCATCATCACTCCATCCTTCCCCGCTCTGAATACAACAGACACCGGAACTCCTTGACCAGACCAAAGGAGATATCCAACCTAGTCCCTTTAGAAGACTCCAACTCCATTACTGAAATCACTACTCAGTAAGGATCACGCCCTCGCCCGCCCACTGATCCCCACCCCCCTTGACAACCTCCCGATAGATCCACTCCCCAATCAAAGCCCTTCGAACGGTATAACCAATCTCGGGCTTCTTCTCCGTTCCAACCCTCAACTTCCCATATCCCGAATCCGCACCGGGCTCAGCAATCTTATGATCCCCTCCAAGAAGACTCGGCCGAACAATCACCAACCCCCCACGCAACAAACTCTCCCTCCTCTCCACCTCCGCCTCCAACAATCTCTCCATCTTCACCTTATCCCGATGCGGCACATCCAACGCCGCATACAACGGCTTCAAAAGCAGCGGCACATCTTTAACTCCCTTCTTAATCCCAGCACCAGAAATAATAGTCACCCGTGGCGCGACGGCCCCGTACTGCGCGAAAGACGTGAATCGCTCATCTGCAATACGTCGCAGCGCCCCGAGCAGTGCGGTCGTGCTTTCCTCTGTGATATGCGGGTTCGGAATCCCAATGTGCGGGATTGTAGGGACTCGCATCGGGATCTGGGCGCAGGGGGATGGCTTGGTCATGATTAGTTCGCCGGTACCACCTATGCCGGAGACGACTTGGGAGACGAGGGTGGTGGTGTGTTCGGTTGAGGAGACGATGAGGGTTTTCATGACGGTTTCGATGTCCCGGGCATCGCCTTGGACGATGCGGAGGTGCGTGTCCAGGGTTTGCTGGGTTAGGCCCGGTTGCGTGAGGAGTTGAGTGGTGAGCTTTTCGGGGGTGCGAGCGAGAGCGATGGCGTTGTAGCCGCTGCGAAGGGAGTAGGCTAGACAGGCATTTGCACAGCCGCCGGTAGCCCCGAGGAAGGCGATCGTTGTAGACATTTTTTTTCTGTGGATAGGGTGGTGAAATTGAGGTGGTGTGCTGTAGTTGAAGTGTAGCACGTATAAATGTAGATTGCCCGAATGGAATATTGTAGGATAGAAGGGAAATGGATAGGTATCTGTAATGAAGAAATAAAACCGATCGCGGTCAAGACATCGAACCTTTTATATCTCCCCTGCCTTCCATTCAACATCGTCCTGCTTCATAGCTGTGTCGGCCAAATAATGGCTCCTATCACCATCAAAATTCATCCATCCCCGAGGCCAATCCGAACAATCGAATCCTGAGACTCGGTGTTGGGGCCCCACTTGGGAGGCACATCTTGGTAAGGCTGATATACGCTTTGGGAAGATTCTGCGCCGCCTGCATGGCCCCCATATCGCGTCTATGTATAAAGTGTCTCCGATTCGTGGCTGTGACATGCGCGTCTAGGTGGGAGTAGTACGAATCGGGTCAGGGTCGGGGGAATTGGGAGCCGGTGCGGAGCAACTTGAAATCGGACTCGGGCTTTAAAACGTCGGGGCACAAGAATAGGTAGCAATCAGTCAATCCATTATTTTGATTTGACTCGTAAGTAAGCTCAATTCTAAAATCGCTACTTGTTAACAAATTTTTTCTACTGGTGAAACAGTAGTCCTGAGGTGGTAGCTTTGGTTGGCTGTCGGACTTGGAACTTTCTACGTGAAATATATATCCAGTCATTTCCAGCTTTAGTAACGGCGACAGTAGGTTTCAGCATCCCTATAGTACCGCTACTGAGAGACTGGGCACCGACAAAGATACTTAATTTGAAAATATAGCTTGCACATTTGAGAATCCAATTGTCTAGTCACCTACATGCTCTAGAAAGCCGCAACATTGCAGCGCAACCTTCTAGTTGATTAAGCTAGCCGCAGACCCCTCCAAACAAGTTCCAAATCTAGTACAGTAAACTCCCGTTTTCGGCACGGGCCTCCGTGCAACAGAATTCCGATGTGCCTAATGAAAGTGTGCCACTAATATCGCGCTAGCCCTAATATAGTAAGAACTAGTCTGTTTTTGGTCTAAAGTAGTCATCCACCCTCCTCTGCTTCCTCCCATTGATCTCGAATCGAGAAAAAAGATGAGCGATCCTCTCTATATCACGTAGATCTCTCTCAGTAATTCCCTCTTGGTGCTGGGCAAATTGAAGAGCTTTATGCATATATTCAATAGCTTCAACACGCGAGAGGATATCCAGCGGTGGTCCGAATATATATTCGTCCTGGTCGTCCTCGCTATCCTGAACCCCATTATCCCCACCTGTATTTTCTTCTGAAAAATGAACGATAATATCAGATAAATCAGGCTCTTCCACGTCGATGTTTTCTCCTGGAGGGTCTAGAAATTCATCTAATGCCATAACCTCTGTACCAGGAAGCCGGTCGGTCACCTCTGCGTATAAATCACCTAGTTGAAGGTCCTCAGACGGAGACGTATTCATCTCATTAGTGCTAGGACTAATAAGCGTGCTCTTGATAAAGCACTTCTGAATAGTCTCATCTAGAACGTCACGTCTCCAAGCCTGGGTGATCCAATGTAGTGTGTAATAGAGGCTCATTCTCTGCGTAGGATCGACGCCGCGGTCTATCATATTAACCATCCATGTCAACCATTTCTTCCGATAATGGTGCTTAAGGTTTCTGATGATACCCTGGTCTAATGGCTGGTAAACCGAGGTCGCGTTTGGTGGCAAAAAAACGACTTTAATATTAGACGGCGGTGGCGCATGTTCAAGCGCAGAGAGATGCGCGCTAAAGTTATCGAGCAATAGCACGACTCGTCTTTGTGTGCCAATATGCCTATAAAACGAGCGGAACCATTCTTGCATAACATTACCGCGCATCCATGCGTTCTTGTTCCATCGCCAGACACATCCAAGTGCTGGGATATTGAGTTTTCGTAGAGCACGAGGCATCTTCGCAGTGCCTATTAACCATAGAGGCATTCGATCTAAACCAGTAGCATTGGTCGTTACTGCGAGAGTAATCCTGGTCTTGTCTTTTTTATAACCAGGACTACCCTTACTCGATAGACCCCCATTTGGCATTCGACGCCAGAATAGACCTGTTTCATCCATATTATAGACATCGTTTGGCTGATATTGGTCGCAGATAGCCCGAATAGCTTCCATGTCGGAATACATCGAAGCTGGAACCGATGCAGATTCGCCATAGGAGGTATGATATCGGATCGAATGGCGCTGTTTGAACCGTGATAGCCACCCTTCAGAGAAAAGTGGCGGGTCGAGATCTTTATACTGGGGTATTTTCTTCCAATATTCGACGGCTTTGCTCTGAATCAATGGGCCTGTTATAGGAAAGCCGGCATTCTCGTGACGCTGCTGCCAGATATATAGGGCCTCATCTAATAGAGGCCACCGAGATGCTAACGGGCGTTTGTTCTGACCAGCTAAACCAGTATCAAGGTACTCGTATTTAGATGAAAGAATCTTGGAGACGGTCGCACGGTTGATATGACGATTGAATTGAGATGAAAACCACTCAGCGCATTCTCTCTGAGTAGGCTTAGGGCGCGTCTCCGATGCATAGATACGTAGTGCTTTTTTCTGAGCATCGGATATGCCTTTGTTGGGTTGTTTTGGTATAGCCAGTTTAGCTGAAAGGGCGACCGAAGAAGGGGTGGAAGGGTTGGAAGGGGTAAAATCCTGCATTCTGATTGGTCGGTTGATATGACTAAGCAAAAATTGAAGAGAATTTTGTGTGCCAGACAAAAAGGTGTGCCGGTTGGCCTCTTATATATGGGAAAACTCTAAGAAGTGGGTCCATCCAACAAATTTTGGTGCCTAATAAAAATGTGTGCCTAACCTGGGAGTGCCGAAAACGGGAGTTTACTGTAATGGATTTATGCGCGATTACTTGTCTATACCGACTCTTTAAATTGAAAATAGTTCATGCTGCAGGCTTTCCCTCCATTGTGCACTATTTAATGAACAGACAGCAAGGCTACTGCTTCTGCAGCCAATCATCAATGGACTTGAGGTCCGCACCCCGGACCCGCTGCACTTCCTGGCCGTCCTTCAACATCACAAAGGTAGGCATGGCAGTGATCTGGAACTGCTGAGCAACCCCCCTCATCTTATCCACATCGACCTGGAGGAACCGGACATTCTGATACTTCTCACTGAACTCTCCGACCTTCGGGGCAACGGCCTTACAGGGGCCGCACCAGGTTGCGTAGAAGTCGACGAGGACGGGGCCGGAAGAAGTGAGGGCCTTGAAGATCACGTCGCTGTTTGCGCAGAGCCATGTTAGCGAATGGTGGCTCGTGAAGCTGCTGGGTCGTCATTAGAGGCGTGATACTCACTTGTCAATGTCGGACACCTTTCCGTGAGACATGATGGGCGTTGAGGTGGCGCTGCGGGACTGGTAGATGCGGAAAGCTAAGTGACATGTCAGCCGGGTCTTCGGTCAGTGTTGCTTTGTAAGAGAGGGAATAGTGTCGCTGGAGCCATGCAACATGAGTCCAGGTGAGATACTAGCGGAGACGCTTACCGATGAAGAGCGCAGTGATGATCAGCAGAGTAGAGAGCTCCATTGTGGGTTGCTCCGTGGTTGAAGTGCGGGCGCCGGTGGAGTCCGATTAGGATCCAGGCACGTGACTATGCATGAAGTATACATGCTGATTTACAGTACTTTCGAGACCGTTGCATATGCATACATGGAGATTATATGAAGAGTCGCTAATATAAAGCGCCTGAATCCAGATGAAAAACGCATCCATGAAGCTGGTAACAGATTCTGGACAGTCGGTCCCCGGCAGATCCCGATTTACTGAGACCCCCTTGCTAGCCAGGAGCCAGCCAATACATCGATAGCTGTCTCGATGACCTTCCATGTCAAGCTTGGCAGGAGCAGACACCATGAAAAGCACAATTGTAATTGTAGCTTTGTCATAGATGGCCTCCAGTGTCAACATTTTCCACTTACCATTGACCATCTCCAGCCGCCAAATACATCAAGCATACAAGGCGCATTCATATTCATTCTCATCATTGCATAACCGAGAATCGATAATCCTAGTAGATTCCGTAAGAGCTTTGTCGTGGTTGCCATTGAAATAGGATAGCATTAACGACACGACAGAAAAGTTCATGGCACGACAAGGGTAGTCCTAATGAGGAACCCCCCCCTTTCAATACAAAATACTATATTCGAAATACACATAAGTTACCTACCGAGTCCTTCTGTATAATTCACATTAATACTTCTCGCTAATAATGTTAGCGACTATATATACGACCTGTATGTATTTATCCCTATAATAGACTAAGTTAATATTCTACTCCCCCTCTATCTCGCCCTCTTTACGGTCTTTTCTACAGTCTTTGCTACAGTCTTTGCTACAGTCTTTGCTACAGTCTTTGCTACAGTCTTTGCTACAGTCTTTGCTACAGTCTTGCTACAGTCTTGCTACAGTCTTGCTACAGTCTTTGCTACAGTCTTTTCTACAGTCTTTTCTACAGTCTTTTCTACAGTCTTTTCTACAGTCTTTTCTAAGATAAGGCTATACATCCATATAGACTCTAGTGGTATTTTGTAAGTCCCGAATGTAGCATTCTGTATCGAAGGGTGGCGCTCCTCATTAGCACCAGCCTCGTTGTGCCATGAACTTTTATGTCGTGTCGTTAATGTCATCCTTGAAATGGAGCCTGAACGGGACAGATCGTGTGCGACAAGCTTGCTCCACATTGGGCCGTCTTTTCAGATCCAGAAGCGAAACCATCCACATCATCTTCGTACCTATGACCATGGACTGATCAGAAAAAGGTCCACAGTCTTGTTAGGCTGATAAACATACCAAGTGATCTTAATACACGTTCTCAACGCATCTGGATGGTAAAAATTCCGCATGTTTTGCCATTGAGCCGTATCTCTGTAGTATCTTTCTCGGGTGAACAGCGATTGGATTCGCTGCTCATCCAATAGTCGTGCAGAAGTATTGTCCATTTGGCCGGGTTGAAGACGATTCAATGTAGTGTATCAATCAATTTATGACTGAGTGACAAACTCGGACTTCAGAATCTTGATATCCATGGCCCACATCAAGCGAGATGCAGGACCTGAACATTCGGGACCAAAAATATGGATAGGACCCTGCCGAGAAAGAGATCTTGCACACCCGGCGTAACCCCGGCATTCAGCAAAAACCAATTATTGGCTACATGCTATATGAGATTTGAAGTCCAAAATGGTGCACAAGCGTGGGACCGCAACGAAGGAATAGAATGAGCGTATATCGCCCGAGAGAGACGTCATTACTCTTAAGACATACCAAGACAGGTAGCTGCAAACACTAATAGGATGAAGTCGCTAGCCAAACTGTGCATGGGTTCGTGTAACCACATGCCATCGGTGCCTCAAATGCCTTGTACAAGAGCACCATCTATAGCCTGAAGCTTGGGACCATCGAGACCGAGTCTCAATGACTACAGAGGTTTATCATGGGAGCCCCGTGTTTCATCGATAAACCAATACTGAGGACACTGGATACCAGTCCGTTGGCAGACTAGCTAGGGGCATGTCCGCTGACCCTCAAGGACAACAAGGTTTCTACTCCGAGGGGCTTTTAAGAAATGGCAATGGAAAGACATACTTCATTACCTACAAATTCAATCCCGAAAAGGTTAAAACCTGCCCATTTGACAGCCCTATACCTTCGCTCATCCCTCTGCTCCTCTCTGCTGACCCCAACTAAGCAGGAATTTGTCCGATGTCAAGAATAAAGAAGTGGGGCAAACAGGAAAACTTAGAGACTCAATGCAAGGTCATCAGTCATATGTAGTGAGATTTTAATCCGATTGGGCTGCTTGAAAGGGCTAGCATTCTTGATGATGAACTGGATATGTGTGGCGCGTTGCTGGTATGTAGACCCGCGCTTAAACTCGGAGAGGAGCATATATACTGCCCGGAGTATTCTTTGGAGATGAGGAAAAGAAACAGCAAATCTATTCAACAGTTAAACGCCAGCCATCGACAATACCTCCAGAATGCGGTCCAGCGACGACGGATCGGAGAAGAATCTCGTTACCAATTCGCCGACCCTGAATGATGCCCGTCCAATGGTAGAGGCAAAATCAAATTCGACAGCGGCTATGCTTCGCCTTTCTCTATGGGTTTCATTCGCAGCATGGATCGCCAACTTCGACAACGGTTATACAGGCACCATCTTGATAATGCCAGCCTACCGAAAAGCATTTGGAACATGTCACGAACTCATGAATCCAACAACCGGCCAAATGGTCGAACAATGTTCAATAACACCCCTCCAACAATCCCTTATCAGTCTGAATTACATGTTCATTGGAATCGGGGGAGGCCTGTCCGCACTGACGGGTAGATATACTGGCCGCCGTGGCGCGATCCAAATCGGATGCGGACTTGCTATCATCGGAGCAGCTGGAATGTTGGGTACTGGCAACGGTTCGGCCAATACTTTCTTGCACTATATGGTGTGCAAATGCATTAGTGCCATTGGCATTGGGCAGCTTATTTCTGCTTCTTTGGCTTATGGCTCCGAGTGCATCGTCGCTAGCAAGCGCGGCCTCGCGCTGGGGCTATACAACGTCGGCCTGGCACTCGGTAATCTTGCGTCGGCGGCCGTGTGTGCTGGATCTGCGCGTCTCGAGCCAGGAAATAACTGGCAGTGGAAGACACCCATATTAGCACAGATTCCAATGGGAATCATCCTCGGCGCGGGCATTCTGATGTTCCCCGAGTCTCCTCGATGGATCCTGAACGACAACGAAAACAGAGAAGAAGAAGCCCGCAGAGCATTCAGTATCTTGTATCGCATTCCCGCCGATTCCTGGGAGATTACTGCTCAGATTGAAGATGTAAAAGCGCACATCAAATCTGATCGCGTTAATGCTGCTGCCTCATCTTGGTACGAGATTTACACCAAATCCCATTTCCGGCGGACGTGGACCTCGGCGTTGATTATGATCGGGCTGTCGATTACTGGCATTCAATTTGTCCAGCCTTATGCAACGACGTTTCTCAAGGGCGTTGGTATCAGTGATCCATATCTCATCAACGTGATCATTGGTCTCTGCATTCTCGGTGGCTCGGGCCTCGGTCCCTTCATTGTGGAATATGGAGGGCGTCGATTTGCTATTCTCTCTGGGTACAGTGCCATGGCTATTTGCATGTTGGTTCTTTCCTCGGTCAGCACCGCACTCGGCGCAGATGACGTCTCGAAAATTGTCGTCGTCGTGTTGCTATGCTTGTGGTCTTTTGTCTTTGGTGGAACTATTGCGCCGAGTGCAGGTCTTGCCTCCGTGGAGATGCACAGTGTTAGGCTTCGGACGTATGGACAGGCACACACAACTGTTCTTTACGGTATCTTTTCTTTCGGTGCCACGTTCTGGACACCGTATATGCTGGATGCGGACCATGGTAATATGGGTCCTAATGTGGGTTATTTCTACGCGGCTGTGACGGTGGTTATTGGAGTGTTGGTCTGGTTGTTGGTGCCCGAGACTGCTAGTTTGACTCTGGAGCAGATTGATGATACCTTCAACTCGGGCATCCGACCCTGGAAGACTTCTACGGCAGCAAATAGAGCCATGGCCCGAGCCAAGGCTCAACAATTAGCGGCAGAGTAGAGATGGCCGAAAGAGGGGAGGAACAAGGAACCGAACAGTGTTAGAGTGGCGAAGTTCTGCTGTACATACTGCTTCTCATTCAGTGAGAATCCACAACAGATAGTCGAGGAATAAAACACACGATCTGGACAGGGAATGTATTTTTATATGCTATTTGACGCTGGCTTGACATATGAACACCCGGATCAAGCCGACAAGATAGAAGGAGGGCAGATTCGCACGCAGAACGCTCAGATGCTGCCCAGCGAAAGATGTCGAGAAACACGCAACGGCTTGTTTTCAGAGTAGACTGTACAGTAAATCCCACACGGCGGGCAGAGAATCAGAGGAGACCGCTAAAAAATAACACAAAGAAAATTTTGGAAAGCCTCGGCATGTGCCAGCCGAGATAGACAAAGTAGTTGGCGCTCATGTACAAGAAGAAAAGTTGCTGACCCCTTGAATGGTATCAAGTGCGGGGTGGGAAAGAGTGGATGTCGTTCAGTATGGAGGTGAATGAGAGTGATGAGAGTCATCAACGGCTAGCATGGCTAGACCGTATCGCGACTGCTCTAAAGAAAACCAAGAGGGTGGACGAAATGAGAGAGGAGATGTGGGTACACAAGTGCAGGCTGCGGTGGGGATGATTTCAGGATGCAGATTGAGTAATGACGGGGTTCGATATCGGAAAGACACGGTGCAAGCAGCTTAAAGCTCACTTCGAACGGGCTCTCCAGCAGGCATTCGCTCTGCCTTACGATTGCTCATCATCTGCTCGAGAATATCAAGCCGCTGACGTGTAGTCCGGATAGCGTGATCCATCTCCCGATCAGAGACCTGCTCTTCGCGAAGACGGGCAATGAGATCACGCTCATCTGCTGGGCTGACGCGGGAGCTTCGGCGGCTTGCCTGAGCCTCGGCTGTACGATGATGAAGCACCGGGAATGCCATTCCATCCATACCCACTCGATCTTCGAGCCAGTTCCATAGTTCGCTTTCCTCACGTCGCCACATTTCTTCATACGCAGCGAGCCGTTGAGGAAGGCCGAGTCCAGTGAAACCAATATCGTGACCGAGCCGGGATGAAGAGGATGTCGATCGGAAGAACGCCATGTAAAGCAAGATCCCTACAATTAGGATAGCAATATTCCCGCTCCACAGAGGCTTGAGCATGCTGGTCACCGGCTCAAGAAGAGGGCGAATTGGTTCAAGTAGGCCCCAAGACTCCGCCTGGCCCGAGGTGGTATCTGCAGCTGCTTTCGGAGAGGCACCCGCGGCATCATCGTTGGATTCGGCACCGCCCTTCTTACGGCGACCCTTGCCCTTGCCGGCACCATTGGTGCGACCGCGGGGGACGACACCGGCCTTCAGAGCTTTCACAAGCTCAGTGCCGAACGTAGTTTGACCGTCGATCGCACCTTTTTCAATAGGGCCCTTCAGCCAGCTCTTGCCGGTCCACTCGATGTTACAGGTCATCAGGAAGCGTGTCTGATTACCAGGAGCCCAGGTGAAAAGGTATTTGGTTTTCGTGGCGAAAACATTGCCGCTAGGCACGTCGGGCGTTTGAGTACTCAGGGTGACTAGAACAGCCTTGTCCAAATCCAAAAAGTCCAAATTTTCAGTGCTGATGCACTTGGTTTGCTTGGGACCAATGAAGCCGGAGAGGGGCTTGATGTAAGAGTACTTCCTGACCCGGCTTTCATTGGTAAGGCCCTTTGCGGTGCCTTCAAACTGCAACTCGCCCGACTTTTGGTTTTCCACAAGGAATTTGGTCATGAAATCTCCAGATGCTGGACCGAAGACAAGAGAATAAACCTTTCCGAGCGGCGCGGGAATGATCTCGTCCTTGATGACCTTCTCGTATTGCCCATCACCCTCGATGTACTCGGTGGGAGCGTGCGTTGCTGGACCCGGGAAGTCAGCCTCCTTAGGGGAACCCGCCTTGTCGCCGTTCTTCGCCTCGCCATTGCCATTCGCTCCAGCGGCTGGCGCCGTCGCGTTGGCCAATAAACCTGAGGTCTGACGGCTCAAACCAGCCCGCCCTGGCAGTGACCTCTCACTTGCATTGGCGCTGGGTCCAGCTTCAAAGAAGCTATCAGCATGGTCACCCTCTTCGTCTTCGTCGTAGATCTCATCCTCGTCAGATTCCTCACTCTCCGTGTCGCATTCTCCCACCTTCTCAGTCTTGTCGCCAGTGCCATTGGTCACCCGAGTGCCATTGACAGAGCTCTTGAGAGACGGATGATTGATCTTCCAGATGTTGACCATAAGATCATAGGTCGATTCACGACTAAGCAAACTTCGGAAGGTGTGGCGAGCATGCAGAGTCTGGATAGCAATTGCGTTGGGGAAGACCATGGCTGTGTTCTCCTTCTCGATAGCTACAACCTCGTCGAAGCTGATAACCAGAGTTGTGACCCATCCGAGGATGTTGCTAGAGAAGCAGATATGACCTTCAGAAATGTAGATGCGACCCGCGAGGATGATCTCACGCTGCAACGCACAGCTGTAGTCCTCAATCAGATAGTCGTCCTCAGGAACGCTCCGGAACAGCTGATGGAAGTCTCTGTTACGCTTCTTGCTGGCAACGGCAAAGCCTGTTAGTCGCGGAACACTGGAATTCAGACCAGACACGCCGAGCGCCAGGGCGCTAGCACCAATTGCACCAATTGTCGAAGCTGTCGCGCCGGAAGAGCCTCGATGGCGGCGCGCAAGTCGACTACGCACACTACCACTCCGCTTGATACCGCCGCTTCCAATGTCTCCATCGAGAATGCTGCCACTAGGAGGAGTTTGGTCACCAGTCATTGTGCCCTCCTTGGGCAAGGACGCTATAGATTGATGATCCAGGATGTCGTCGCTAGGAGCACCAATCCCGGTAGATTCGGGCTTCTCGTAGGCCATGTTAACAGCGCGTGCCGCCCTTTGATCTTCAAGCTTCGCAGCTGCTTCATCTCGTTGATACACGGCCGTGTTTTTGCGCTTCCCTACCGGCGTCGCTGGGTTTGTGACAGCAACACCGCCGGCAGAGGATGTCGCTTCACCTGGAGTGGCTTCGATACCCAAATGGCTGAAGTTCAAGTCACCAGTGCCAAGTGTCTCCACCGTAGATGGTTTTGGTTCGTCGCCTTTCTCGGCGGCGTCCGAAGCCTGATCAGTCTCCTCTGATGGTGGGGAATCAACACCAGGGGCCGGATTCTGGGAGGTCGTACGGTTCTTTTGCTGTGAATTGAGGGTGTTGCTCAGCGAGTTCGCCGCATTCTGGGCCACAGAAAACACGGATGAGAAAAAGCCGCTTTGCTGATTCGATCCACCCTTTGGCGTCTTACTTTCCTCCAAGGGACTCAGCGCAGTGATGGATGCTGAGAGCTTACTGGGACCGTGAGCAGCGGAGGCAGATCGTACCCTCCGGTGTGATATCATGTTACCCGAGGGACTCACTGTGATGCCAGCTTCAGGTCCTGACAAGGAATTGCGGGACTGGATAGATTCTGGTGAATCCGTTACAGTTCCTGACATGATTGGAGGATTGAGAGATCGATGCTCTGTAGGAGTTGGAGGAGTGACCGTGGTTGCAGGTGCCGGGATCGCGGTATGCGGAGGGGTGTTCGGTAATGGACTCGCCTCCAATGATCTTTTAGGAGGTTTATCCTCTGTCAGATCGGTGCGAATAGGAACAGGTAGAGGCGGGGGCGCCTCCGGTGTTGCTTGTGCCCGTTTCGAAGACAAGCTGCTCCGTCGACTACTAAACAAGCTTCGACCGCTTCGGCTGGCGGTCGATTTGGAAGAAGCATCATCATTCCCATTCGCATTCTTCTTCTCCGACGAGCCAAAAGCATCCTTGAGCCGTCGTCCGGGAGAGGAACTGCGGCGTTTGCTGCTGGTATCTGTCGGAACCTCTAGCGTCATGCTCGACCGGGTCTCCGGTCTGGAGAGGGTATCAACAGGCTCACTTGGAGCAAACTCGGATCCAGTCGCACTTGGGCCGCTGGCCGCGGATTCGAGATCTGCTTCTGTTGCTTCCGCGTTTCCAACATCAACCGATGTCGTTTTGATGAGCGGGGAGGAGGTGGTGTAGAACCCCGTATGGGAGTTGTGAGAGGTGAGCGGTGGAGTTCTATACCGAGAAGATGGGATTAGTCTCCATTTCACAAGAATCTAAGGATGAGACCTTGAATGACATACCGCTCAGGTTCAGAGTCGTCAGTCAAGAGGTTGAAGGCCTCGCCTTCCGGCGCGATCGAGCTGGTATTGGAAGACGGGACGACGGAAGTGCTATTGCGGGATTCATTGGACCGGCTTTGCTGGAGATCCTGTTCCGTGACAAGTCCAGGTACCGGCGGTACATCCGTCGCTGAGTCGCCATTGTTATTCTTCTTCTTCCGTCGTCGACGCGAGCTGATGAGCTTAGAGAAACCGCTGGAGCCAGCCTTTGCGGAGCTTTCACCTCCTTGTGTTTTTGGTCGTTCATTGGAATCAATCGAAGAGCGACCATTGCTTCGACCGGAGCTATCCATTGCTTCGGACTCTGTTGATACCGTCCAGGCTCGGCGTGACCTGCTGCCGCTGCCTTTCAGGCTAGATGATTCGGAGTCGGCCATGTTGTCCAAGGCGCGGAGTATCAGGCCCGGGCGGGCAGAGGTAAGAGAATGGGGAGTCGCGGGTCAGACCACGGCATGGGGTTGAGGTGAACAGGCAGCGAATGCCCTGAGCGGGATGATGTCTAGTAGCGAGAGAGAAGCATAAGGCGCATAAGGAGCAGGAAAGAAGTGAAGGAGCGACAGGATTATTTCCCCTGGTTGGGGTTCCACCTTGGCAACGAGAGGATGAGCAGCGGGCTGTCTGGACTCCGGCAGCCACTTAGTCAGGTGTCGTCAGTCACTTGTCAGGTGGGAGAAATACCGAGGTATTACGACCGTACGGACGTTTCCCAAAGTCTGCGTCAGCCTGTTTTCAAATATTTGAGGAAAATAGAAGAAACTTGAATTCGAGGCCATTTACAGTACATTTATCTCCCCAATAAGAGTTCAAATCTACTTCATAGATAGCTAATTAGCAAAATGGTCCCATGTGTTTGACGTATGGCTTCTGGACTCCACTGCCCAGAATGCGGATGTGACGCCTGTGGTCGGCCGATGCTGCGTTCAGCAGCCAACAAGGCCGTTGTGGTAGATGGATACGACCTTAGATCTAGATGAAGAAGTCTATCTGATCAAACGTTACTTTCAAATGGGAATATGTATGACGGGTGCCAGGCAAGTTGCCTAGGTGTACTGTACATTACATCTACTTCGTATCCACCAATACCGTGTTACTGTACTCCCGGAGTCTTCGTACTTCGCATTCCATCCTTCTCCGCATCAGCTCTCCCCAGTTCCTCCATGGCGTCACTCTTTCCTGCTTCACCCCGCCTCTCCATTCCCCGGTCCTAATCAATCCTAATCAAGGAAAACCCTGATGCCTCCGTGACCTATGCACACTCTGACTCTCCAACCATGGAGGTTGCTCCGCTAACTTTGGTAAGATCGGGTTTCCCCCACTCTCCCACCTCCTACGAGGCTGTGGGCTGTGGGCATCGGCCTAACGAGATCTAGGCCCACACTCACGCACGCAACGCCGTCCTCGAAACCCGCAAGTCCAACCCCGTCGCCGCTAGCGAGGAGCATGATCTGGCTGCCGGTGAGTTTGCGACCGCAGCCCAGAGCACTTCTGATCAAGAGGTATGTCGAGGACGAGGACCCCCTGCCCTCGCAACCCGATCGAGTACTGACCTTCGATCGGCCCAAGGCCCTTCGTACATTGCGGCTCCTCGAACACCACCATAAGACGCTAGCCGAAATCTTGAGGTTCCAACATGAGCATCCCGCCAGTGCAGCTGCTGAACAAACGTCCGCAGCTTCTCCGATCAACCCAGCTGCGCAGTCTTCCGCAATAGATGCGCGGGCCGCAAAGACCGCAAGCCAGGATGCCCAAAATCAACCTCCGAGGCTGCCGGGGAATCCTCGCATATTGAACCGCGAATCTTCCTCCATCGCCAGTAATCTTGCATCTGCGAGAGGCATACCAGCCCAACCTCGTCGTGGTTCCCCAGTATCACCGACTCTTTCCACGCAGCAAGCTGGGGCGAAGATGACCGAGAGCCCATCAAGAATTCGAACAGGAAATAGACCGCGAGACGCCTCGACGAAGAATCAAAATAGCCGCACACCCAGACAGCCCTGGTCTCCGCCATTGCCCAGCCCCACAGAGATCACGTCCCAGCAAGTCGTACCTTCGGACGGTGTCGACCCAACGCCGTCAAAAGATCGATCATCAACGACGGAGGACTCATTCCAGCGCTTTTACTCTACCTTTGAAGGTTTGATCTCGAAAATCTCCGCACCTCTAGCCTTTGCAGGTCTTCCCTTGGGAACGGAAGATCCTGCAAAGACCGCATCAGCCAGTCGCAAATCCCCTGCAGAGACCAAGCTTGACCGTCATCATGCAACTTCGGACCGCAAGTCTACTTTCAAGGAGCCAGACGTGAACCGGCTATTCTCCAGAGCAGCTCTGCGCTCAATCCATGACATGCCCGGCACCAGCCCGGGCAACCCGGCAGAGTCCTTCTATGTTGTTCCTACCACAGGAGGCACGATGTCATATGCGGGTATCCTATCTCGGGCCGAGCAAGAGGCACGTCGAAACAGCTTTGAGGAAGGCGAGGACGACTTCGTCGATGCGCGAGAAACTCCATCATCTCCTGAGCTGCGACAGAGTATCGGCAATGCGTCGCGGGTATCACGTCGTGGCGCCTCGGACAAACTCACGACTTTACAGAATTCCAAGACGTTGGAAGAACTGCAGATGGAGAACCAGGCTCTAAAGCAACTATCAGATACTCTTTCCAAACGTTTACACATGTGGGAGGTCAATGCCCAGTCCTCATCTATGGCGCTACAGCAGTCTCTGCGAGCGATGCATCACCATACCTCCGGGGCTTCCGAGTACTATACACAGGGCTCCCCGGCGGCCATATCCCCTACAGCAACTCTCACCTCGGCACCTGCCCCTCCCGATGCCGATATGCGAGTGAAAGAGCTAGAGGAACTGCTCCGTCGTGGTGAGCAGGAGCTGGATCGGGTTGGGCGTGAAAACGACAAGCTCAACAAAGTCCTTGGGCGGTATCGGGATCGCTGGGAGAAGTTGAAAGAGGGTGCGAAGACGAGACGTGCAGAAGGTCGCACGGCAGACGGACAGAGCAATCCAACCACTCCCATCGTAGGGAGTAAAACTGCCGAGTTCCCCCCCTCGCCGCAACCGGGAAATGGACTACCAGGCAAGGCGCCCGCTAGGAGGGCCTCTGGGTCGGAGCCTGAAGGCCTGGAAAATGCGGGTGCTTGATTCGGGACATTAGCATCATTCCCTATGTTTCGACTCATCGGTGTTAATTCAGAACTTTCATCACCTTCTATCCCATGAAAAACTCGATGTAGTAGCTTCCATTGTACATGTGCACAAGTACTCAATGCCATTTGGTCAACAGTAGATTTCAAATTTAGTTTGGAATACTCAACCAAGCAAAACAACTGGGGTAATTGCTCTCCACAAGAATATACTTTCCTACGATTGTACGATTCTTGCCACGCAATCCAAAGCATTTCGCCCATCCATTCTACTGACGACATTACGCTCGTCAGCAGAGGGGTTAATTGCAAATGTTGCAAGAAATAAGGACGAAGACGTCGGCTCTCAGAATCCATCGTCAGAATAGAGAACCAGATTTTCCATCCCTCTGGGGTAGCTTATTCCCCTGAAGAATTTCTCGTCAAAATCAAGAATAATATTTAGAATTCATTGAATTCACAACTACTGCACAACTACTGCACAACAACAACAAAGGTTCCATAGAAGCTCGCGTGGAAGAAAACAAAACAACTCCACCGTGTATAGCTAACCCCGTAGGATCTGGGAAACAGCTTGCGCAAACAACTTTGCTTGGCACTTCAGGTGGCTTTTAGCTTATCTCTGTAATTTCTAGCTCGGGTGACGAGCTCTATTTTTACGTACCCCAAGGTAAATTTTTGAGCAGATCACTTTAGCCCTGAATCTTCGAGCATTGACGAGATAACAATCGATCGCCAAGTTCGATGCAATCATAGCAAAATAGAGGCGTATCGGCAACCTTCCGTGCCAATTCCACTATATGTACCGAGTAAGAGGGACAAGGTCAAATAGACCTCAAGGTTGGGCTCGAACAATATTCGTCGAGCGCATCCGGCCCTTCTTACCGGAGGCTGCCGGAAGGCTGAAAGGCCCCACAAAGGTCGAAGCGAAGCTTGTGCCTAATGTCGTGATGATCGCCCTAGTTTGCGCATTTTCTTTTGCGATCAATAGAGTGTGGGCATTTCGGCAGCTCTCCCGTAAAATACGGTGAACGCGGCTAATATGGATTGCGCGTCAACCCCCTAGTCGCCGAGCATTGTTCACTATAATGCACTAGAGGCTAGTAAGTGTGTGCGTGTGTGTGTCGCTTACTATGCTTATGCGCGACTGGACTTGACAATGACTGCCATACTGAGTTGTGATATAATAGTTTCCACTTTCAGGGCTGTTGAAGCTTGCCCAGTACACAGCACCATACTTGGTCAGTGGTCACTGATGAGACCCACGGTGCGGAGTTAGTGTACGTCATGGGCAAGCCACATCCTCCTATCTATTGTTTATTTTGTACACTACCGTTGTTAGCACAATTTTGCTCTATAGTACTGTACAGAAACTCAACTCGTTATGCTGTCGATCGAGATGGTATTTTTTTATTAGATAGAGTTCATGTCGATCTTGTATATGTACGGAGTATAGTACTCTATGTATACTTTTTCCGCCCCTTAAGTTCAGCCTAAAAAAAGCCGACCCGCTCTTACAATTTACGGCACGATATAGCCGCTCCGTGCCTGGAACTTTATTTTAGTGCCATGTGGCTTGTGGCTTAGATGGCTTGAGATCTTTCGCGATTGATACTAAATGTGGTTGTAAGATTCGAGTTAGCTTTGGGGCCGGATTTGATATCCAAAAAACATCCCCGTGTGAAAATATTACCATGTTCAATCTCAAATTGCGAGATCATATTTTCATTACTGAATTCCGGGTCGAATCCGAGTCTGCTTTCTCGGGTTTTCGTGTGGGTCTCGGATACTTCCAAGTTGGACCGATTCGGCGCAACTTCTCTCCACTACCATTACGACGCATCCGATGGTACACGGCCGGAGACTCAACCCACATCATAGGCCGGTCAAAATCTTCGATTGGAAATAGAACAAGGAAACAAGAGTGACGATCTCCAGGACTAGACAGCTCGAAATCGTTTTTCACTGGTCAGTGTAGCTGAGTGGGGGTTCTTAAGGCTGCGGTCTAAACCAAAATCTCTTCTAACCGATCTCCCGATCTTGATTCTTGACGAAATTTTTTTTGGATAGACCAAGACAACACAAAGACCCTGTACCAAAAAGAAACTCACTTTTTTGCCACCTGGTTGGGGTCACTATTCGCAACGCCCTGCAATTCTCAAAATTATATTGCCATTGCGTATGGTTGTGGTTGTTAATTGGTTCCCCGGCACTAGGCGACCTAATGGCTTGGAAGCCAAGAATGAGAGCGATGGGAACGCCGTTAATCCACCACTACTAATACAGTAAAGTAGAAAAAAAAAGGCTATTAATGGCTACGCCATACAGCAGGAACTGGGCTGTCAGCGATCAAGCGTGTTTCATCTGTGCACCATGCCCCCACTAGTCTCCGTTCGGGAAGGTAGAAAAGTCCTACCACTACTCAACCCATAACCACGAGGTTCATGGTACTGAGTAGCCTGCATGAACAGGATCTTGATGCATAGAATACCCATCTTCCTATCCTGGAAGGGCCGAAGTACATGGCGGGGTACCATGTTTTTGTGGGCTTTAGGTGATTCAATTCGTCGGACCGGAGACGAGAGCTCCAATCTTAATGACCCTTTCAAGGCATATCCGCGAATTCCAGATCCAGATCCAGGACTAGAATAATGGGGCACAAACACCGTGTTGAGATCCACCTCGGTAGACCAAAGTGTAGACGATACAGGTTTTTATAGAATAGTCAGGAATCCCCTCTTTGGCCCCGACCCCAATTTCACGCTCTCTTTCTCTGGTGACAGCCGTCACCGTCCTTTCTTTTAAAACTGGTTTCGACTGGTATTGCTCATCCTCTCTTTCAATTCACTAAAGTCCTTCGTTTTTACATACTATACTCTCTAAATGTCCATCAAAAGTAATGCCCGGCATTCCATTGTGGAGGACGTGCCTATCCCGAGGCCACTCCTAGCAACGGCAAAGTTCAATTCGCCTTGGGAACAGACTAGATGGGAGAAATCTCTCCCTAGAAATGACCGAGTTCCCTATGACCTGGCTGCAGCGGCAAGCCAGAAGCAACAGGGAGGTCTGAGTCGATCTTTCAGTCTCTCAACTCGAAGAGTTGCAAGGCCTGCTCCCGTATCACGGCCTCATTCTAATCCTCCCGATTTACAAGGTACATATCCCCGTTCATCATCAATAAGAAAGATCTAACATGGTGTCTTCAGTATGGGAGGAAGTCAGAACCCCAACCTCTTTAACGCCACCTTTGCAATCGCCAACCATACTCTCGGAAAAAGAACCAATTACACCGATCAAAAATGCAGCCCTTAGCCCGACACATCTCAGCAGGGTTAGCTCTCGCACCCAGCATAGTCGCAACAGTAGTATGCACGAAGCCTACGAGAAAGCCAGAGCGAGAGGAGTTGCTCTGCATCGCAAATATTGGGTGCGAGTCTTGTTTGAATATACCAGTTACCTCCTCCTCATTCTCTTCGTCTACTTTGTCTTGATTGGTATGCCGCTTTGGAAAGGTGCCGTTTGGTGGTTATATTGGGTCGTTGCACATAAGTTTGTTATTCAGGGAGGATACGCGATTACAATTGGCCTTGCTGCCCTGTAAGTCTACCGACATGATGTTCCATGCACAGCCAGAAAAGCTAACCGTCGAGATAGTTACGCTTTCCTTCCTCTCTTGATCTTGTTTGAAAAGGATCCGCCGCGGAAAGATGAGATGTCGGAAGTAGATCTCGAGAAAAATGCCGAGAATGCCAAAACGACTGCTCTCCTGATTCCATGCTACAAATCCGCCAATATCATCGGTCCAACTCTCAAGGCCGCGCTGGAGGTTTTCCCACCCGAGAACATCTTTGTCATCGCCAATGGCAATTCTGAAACGCCACTCGACAACACTGAGGAAGTCTGCCGACCTTACGGCGTCAATCATCTTTGGGTGCCCATCGGTTCGAAGATCGTTGCTCAATTTGCCGGTTGCTACGCTGCTAAGGGCTTCGAAAATGTCCTTTTGATCGACGACGACTGTGCCTTGCCTCCCAATTTCCCTATCGTCAGTGACCGTCTCAAAGGCAAAGTCAAGTGCGTTGGGTACACTATCAAGAGTGTCGGCCCGAACTCCTCGAAAGGTACCTTCTGTCAACAGGCACAAGATTTGGAGTACAAGATGTCTGGTCTTCAGCGAGAGTTCTTTGGCAGACTAGGAAGTGCAACCTTTCCTCACGGTGCTATTTCTATTTGGAACACGGATTTCTTGAAGCAGACCTTCCACGAGCATCCTGGTTTCTCGGTTTCCGAAGATTGGTTCTTTGGAGATAGCTGCCGCCGCCTTGGAGGACGTATCACCATGTGTTCGTCGGTGTTTGTCGAGACTGAAACACCGTGTTCGGTTTTCTTTAGCGGCAGCGGCAGTCGTGGAGGTTTCGGTGAGATGACTATCTTTTCCCAGCGATTCAAGCGTTGGAATTTCTTCTTTGTCGTCGGCATGTACTATGACATGAAGTATATCCTGTCAAGCTGGAAGTTGGGGTGGTGGGAATTCGGGGCCAAGCTTTGCGTGTTCCAAGAGGTGAGATTCTAACCAACAAATTAACGCACCAAGAAAGCGAAGGGCTAACGGTACTGGTACTGAATAGGTCTACGAAACTCTCATTTATCTTCTCGCGCCGTTCATGCTGCCCATCTCTTTCGTTGTCCGCCCCTCATTCTGCGGCATGCTTCTTGGTGTCACCATTGCCATGTATATCATCAACGTCATCCTCTTCAACGAGATTCACCTACGCCTCAAGAAAGAGCGCATCGACTGGGTTGTCCTGATCTTCTACTATACCTTCTACAAGATCGCTCTGACATTCATCAACGTGTTCAGCTGCTACTGGTCGCTGTACAAATACGCTCGTTACTTCGCCAAGCGCCACCCCAAGGTCATCGAGGACCAGCAGGCAATCGAGGTCGTTCTGAGCTTGGAGCAAGAAACGGACTCCGACTTTGAAGAAGTTACATTGCCCGTGTCCGCTCCCGGTGTCGACTCGACGCGTCTTTCTAAGCGGCTGACTTTGACAAGAGTTGAGCCTGACCATAAACAACCTCGGTGGCCATTGACTGATGAGACAACTAATTCATCTCCACCCAACTCGTGGGACAAACGCATGTCCTGGTTATAAAAGTTCTTTTGGATATATTGCATATTTACGGCGTTTCGAAGGTTCATATAGACAGCGTTGAAAAAGAATTCTGGCTTTCAATAATAACGTTTAATTCAATGCTTTCAATGAAGAAATTTCACCTATACTGAGTGCTTGCGGAACTACCGCACAGTGAACGTAGCGTTTCCTCTAATGTCCTCCGAGCTGCTACCAACAAGAACGGTGAAGTTACCGGGCTCGACAACGTACTTCATACGGGTGTTCCACAGACCGATATCCTTGATCAGAATGGGGATCTTGACAGTCTTGGTCGTGCCCGCCGGAATAACAACCTTGTCAAAGCCCTTCAGTGCGCGGTTGGGAACGACAACGGAAGCAATATCATCGGAGACGTATACTTGCACAACCTCCGTACCATCCCGACTCTTGTCGGTGTTTTTAACATCAACGCTCACGGTAACACTGGTATCGGACGCAGAGACGGTAGTGCGGTCGACGCTGACCGACCCATACTCGAAAGTGGAGTAACTCTTGCCGTAGCCGAATGGATACCAGGGAAGTGGGTTGCCGAGGACGTACTGGTGCCCAAAAACGAGGGTCCCGTTACTGTCCTCATGGCCCGAATCGCCAATAGAGCGGCCCGAGTTCAGGTAATCATAGAAGATCGGAAGGTCGCCGACATAGCGGGGGAAACTGACGGAGAGTTTGCCTGAAGGGTTGTAATCGCCGAACAAGACATCGGCAAGGGCATTGCCACCTTCTTCAGATGGGTAGAATTGTTGGACAAGGGCAGCTGTCGAGTTGGAGATCCATGTGTCGGTGATAGGCTTGCCACTAGAGAGAACGACAACGGTCGGGACGCCAGTCTCAGCAATGGCCTTGATGAGCGGGCCTTGGGCGCCGACCAGGGAAAGGTCATCTTCGTCGACATGTTCACCGGTTCTGATGTGGAGTCAGGGTCTTATTAATGCCTTTCCAGGGGTGGAGTGTTGTGGCTGGCCAAGAGACCGTTTCACTCACGTTGCATTCAAGCCCTGCCACAGCTGATTTTGATCTCTCGACCAAGTCCCGACGACAACGACGGCAACATCAGATTTCTTGGCTGCTTCAACGGCTTCGGCGAATCCCGACTCGTCATTGCTCCATCGCTCGCATCCTTGAGCGTAGTTAATTTCGGCGTTGGATCCGACCGCCGCCTTGATGCCATCAAGTGGAGTGACCCCCCGGTATTGGCTCTGGGAAACGACGTAGTCTCCGTACTAAAACAAGGCATGAGGTTAGACATAATTTACCAAAAAATTCATCGAGGTCTAGACTTACGTTCATAAATCCATGGGCCATGGGCCCAATGACGGCAATGCTGCCGGACTTCTTCAAAGGAAGAGTCGCATCGTGGTTCTCCAAAAGCACAATGGACTCCTTGTCCAGGTCCCTAGCAACCTTCTTGGCTGCGGCATTGTTAATCAGGCTGCTCCACTTGCCTTCTGGTGCCGCAGGGTACGGGTTCTCAAAGAGGCCCATCTCAAACTTGACGCGCAGGAGTCTGGAAACGGCAGTGTTGACAGTGGCAATATCGAGCTTACCCGACTTGACCAGCTCGGGGATCTTTTGGAAGTTGCTGTTGAAGTGTTAGCATACCAGATCGCAAATCACAAAAGTGGACTGGATGTCTTACAATGAACCACCTCCCATCTCAACGTCGATTCCGGCAGTCAAGAGCTGCGTGGTGACGGCAGCCATATCGAGGGGGTTGCTCTCGCAGAGCTTGAAGTAACTGCAAAGTCGATCGCTGCCACCAGCATCTGTCATCACGAAGTAGTCATAGCCCCATTCCTCTCGCAGGATCTCGGTAAGGGTGTGGTAGTCTGACACCGCTGGGATGCCATCGTATCTAGCATCAACCGATTAGTTTTAATATGATGTATTGGGTTCAAGCCATGGTCTCACGAGTGATAGGCTGCCATAATGGACCAGGCACCGGCATCGATAATGGCTCGCTTGAAGGAGGGCATCCAGCTAATCTGAAATTAGTACCATAAGCCATGACCATAGTTTCATTGGACTACTCACGTAGTACGCAATTCTCTCTCGCCGCCGTGAACGGGACCAGTGTTCAATCCCTGCTCGGGACTGCTAAAACCGACAAAGTGCTTGACCATGGCGGAGACGTTCTTGCTCTGCAGGCCCTTGACGTAGCTATAACCGATTTCGCCCGCAAGGTACGGATCTTCCGAAAAGGTTTCCTCGACCTATAGACTCAATCATCAGTATGCCTATAATGGTCTTGAGGGCGGTCATAATCGGGACCTACACGTCCATATCGAAGCTCACGAGCTAAGTCAACAACGGGTGCGAACAGTTGGTTGACACCCAGAGTTTGGGCTTCCTGCGCGATGACCTGTGCCATTTGTTCAACGAGCTGGGGTATATCCGTCAGCATTGGCAGTAAGGTCCTAGAGGAGCTTTGTCTACTCACATCTTTATTCCAGGAGCTTCCGTATGCGATTGGGGAATTGAAGATGGTTGCATTGCGGACCAAGAATCCGTGGATTCCTTGACAGTGGAATCAGTTGGGGTTTCTCAATCTGTGGAGCTTGACTGACTTTATACATACCCTCTGTTTGGACAAGAGCCGGGATTCCCAAGGTGGTGTTCTGCAGCAGATAATCCTGAGCTCTCTTGATATTATCGGCAATCCAATCCCAGGCAACCGGGTATCCGACTATTATCTTCTTAGTTCTGATTCCCAATGGAAGCTATCTTCTTCTTGGGAACTCATACCATAGAAAGAACCTGCTTTCATCTCCATGTTCGTCACAAGGCCAGTGTAGTTGAACGCGCCCGACGTCTGGTTCAGCCAGTTAGTGATATCGCCTGCAGCGGAAACACGTTAGCACTTTCCAAGCAATTGGTTACAAGGAGTCCGCCAAGTTCCAAAGGATTACCTTGCATCAATTGAGCCATCTTATCCTCAATTGTCATCCTACCCAATAAATCCTTGACGCGCTTATCGACCGATGCACTGGCATCCTTGTACACTGGTGTGCTCTTCCCTGCGACAGAAGCAATGAGCGGCGCAAGCAGCAAGCAGCCAGCAAGTCCCTTGACCATCATCTTGGACGATCTGGAGAGGGCTTTTCAAAGACCAAAGAAAAGCTATACTGTAGCTTTAATCAATTGCCTAGCACAATTGAAACCCCGAGTCTACAAGAAAAAAAAATATTTCCCCCGACGGTCAGACGAGCTAACCCAGTCATAATAAAGACCTGCAGCTTGGAATTGATTTCTCGAGCCTGCGGGGAAAATGCATTTGCGGTTTATCACATCGGGCCATACCCCTCGCGCTATTGGAGTAAAGCGGATATTAGAATAATTAGATCGACTCTTAGCTCGCTATACAGGGATGCGTCGGAGATGAAGCGATCACGGGTTTGAATGGTAGCTGCAGCAGTGAAATTGTACTAAGACTATAAAGAAACGGAGGACAAGCCCGCCACTCTCGGCTGGGGCCCATCCCGTTTGTCCCAGAGGTCCTGGTGGAGATCGCTTTTCAGGGATGGAAGACGCGAGCTCCGCCTCTCTTAATAAACTCGGACTGGAGAGGCGGGGAAGCTGGATTCAGCGGCTAAATCTAGGGAATCGCCGAGGAATGGCCTGACGTTTTATCCGGAGGTTATGTGTGAATGGTGATTGTTCTTCAATGGGTACTTCTGTTTCACCCTAGTCTTGGGCCTTTTTCCACCTATGAGCATCGTGGAATTTCGCCGGTGGGCAAGTATGCCATGCAAGAATTGCAATTTTCCGAACTTCGCTAATAAAGTTCATCGGAGATTAAGATGACTCTGGAGTAGGTCCAATGAACTGGTCATAGTTGGAGAGTATAATGGACTTTATATGGATGCGAGGTGGAAACACTGCTAGAGTGGATACGACAGAAACTCGCGATATAAACCTGCCCCAACGATAGACCTCCCGAAAAGAAAAAAGATCACAATGAGAAGGATATTAAATGCCTAAGAGGATGTACCCCGCAGAATGCCATGCCAATTACAACCAAAGTTTGTCGACAGAATATAAGAAAAACCAGCCGCCAAATGAAAAGGTGGAACGGGAAAAGAGAAAAGGTGAAGTGTATGTATGGTTTGAGTGACCCAGCCACTCTTCATGTACGGCTCTGAACACGGAGGCTTTGGTTCCCTCTATGCTCCTTGCTGCAGTTATGACCGAGATTCAGCCTCGGTGTTTCCAGCATGATTGTGGCTATGGCTACCTTCGCCATTCGCGTGATCACCTTCCGGGGTCGCGGTTCCTTGCGAGACCGCACCACTATCCACAGGTAGATCATGGTGATTCATTCTCAGAGCGCCGCCCAGCCATGCAAGCCCACCACTCCACGAGTCACTGAAGCTGCGTAGGCGAGTGACTTCCTCATCTGTTTTCTGAGGTGAAGTGGCAGAGATCTGCGTAGCCAAAGCGGGAGTAGACCGTCCACCCTCCACGGGCGGTACAGCCAGACCGGTGGCAGATTGTAGCCGGGTGGTGGCAAGGTTTAGAGGATGATCGAGACCATCAACGCCGAGGTCACCATCTTGATAGCGAGCTGGCTCGTGGTCAAACGCACCGTCGAGTTGGCGGCGGCGTCCTCCCTTTCGTCGGGCACGATCTTTCAATGGGCTACCCTCGCCACGACGTAGAGATTCCGCAACGACGGCGCTGAATCCGCCAGAAAGAGTAGGTAGGAGTGGACCAGGGGAAAAGCGGTTGGAAATAGAGTTGCGCATTGCTCGTCGCGAAGGAGTCTCCAGAATTGTGTGGCTTCTATCAGTGTTGTGAGCCTGGTCTGTCCCAGTAGGAGTAGAGGCTCGCCGAGGAACAGGTGACCTGTTTGCTGGCTCCTCTTCGATACCAGGTGCAGGGGGGAAACGCAAAAGTATGGTTGACTCCTGACCACTATCAACGTGTTGTGTAGGAGGGGTAGTTTGACAGTAAGTTTCGAGGTCCGATTTGGGGGTTTCGAGGGTTGCATCGATAGAGTCTGCCCAAGGGTTGGACATACGGGAAGGCGGTCGTAGTGGCGATAGGTGATTCAGCGATGGCCCCGAAGGAGGGAGCTCGGCGGTCAATGAGCCAGCTGGAGAAGAAGGGGCCCCGGAAAGGGCACCTCGGGGTGTTAGCTGGTCATCATCGATGCCGTCAATACCGCGGCTCGTGAGTGAACCCGTCGGGGACAGAACAACGTCCTCTTCCTCGCGATCAATAGGAAGTGTTTTTGGTACTCGAAATTGTTGCGCGGGTGGAGACAAATCAATCCTGTCGCGATATCGCTCTCCATCCAGCAAGCCGATAGCTTCCTCCTCATCGTCCGTGGAAAAGGTGGACTCGTCATCGGAACGTACTCGACCACTGGTAATGAAGTAGACACCCAGGAAGGTCAAGGCGCATCCTCCCATAAATTTTCCTGCTCGAGCAGCCGACATGGACTCGAAATCACGGTAGAGAACGGCGCTACCGACAATCACGGAGAGCGTGAATAGGACGAATTGGGTTGGAATCACTTGGGTGGAGTCAAAGCGTTGAAGAGCTCGGTTGATGTAGCGAATTTGCATCAAGGCACTGAAGACAAGAACGAAAACGAGCAGATAGGTAATGGGGTATGTGATGACATGCCATAGTGTGAAGGACAATAACGAGGAGACGCCCTTGGTAGACAACGCTGTATATCCACCTGATAGAACGAGTCACTATAATCCTGAAAATTGTATTATCCAGGGGGGAACTCACCAAATAATGCTACAAGCCCGACGTCGATCAAAATCGAGCGCGAGCCGTATGAGAAGCTGGCCCACATGAGGCCAATAATCAGCCCTATCGTCAAGCCCAGGTAAAGCTCAAACTCCCAACGAGTAATCATCGTCCAAATTTCACCGGGGCCGATCTTCTCCTCTGAAGATTTGGCGCTAAGCACAACCACCACAGCTCCGGCTATAGCTACCAGGACGCCCCAGAAATCCCGCTGTCGGAACTTTTCCTTGAGTAGACAGGGTGCGATAACGCAGTTGGAGATCAAGGCAACGACGCCCAGCGGAGACACAATTGAGGCTGGCGCAAAACCATAGGCAAGGAAGTTTCCAGTCTCACCCAGAACCATGAGGATGATACCGGCCCACCAGTACGGCGACCGTAAGTAAGATTTCCGAGCATCAGAGTCCTCTGAACGCGCGGCACTACCGGATGCAAAAGAATCCCGGGCGCTGTCCGCAGAGCCTCGAGTGCCAGGTCTTCCCCTGGGAGGCGCATCTTCGTCATCGTAGTAACCCTCAAATTCCCCTTGTCCATTATGCCGATCCTGTTCCCTCGATCGAGCCCGGCCATCACCACCGACGGTCCCGTACGGATTCGCAACGGATGCGCCAGACCGTGTCCGTCTTCGTTCAGCTTCCTTTTTGATCTTATTCTGTTCCCATTCTCGCGCGATCCGGATGTGCGCATATCGCTGGATATTGAGCGCCATCGAGATCAACACGTTGCCGATCAGAGCAGTGATGATACCGATAAGCGATGACCACCTTTCCATGTTCCCTCCATTGCCGCCATCACGATCAGAAGGGGCTAGCGAGGTCCAGTTCGAGGACGCGGAATGAGTGTGTTGTGAATAGGAGGTTAAATACGGGGTTGCGGCGGAAGGCGCGATAGTCGCAGAGGTGAGTGAAGTGAGCAAGGCCGCTACCAGCGGATGCTGTGACGAGTCCATCTAGGCGGAAGAGTATAGACCACACCGAAATTATGCGAACGCGGTGATAAAACGGGGGTGTCCCGCCCGAAGTCGTCCTGAAAGCCGCCCGAAGCCGAACTCTTGAATCCCCGATAGTTCGTCTCGAATCAGGTCGGGAGTAGGTGAAAGCACGGAAGCTCTTCACAGCGCGATAGACAACATCTTGGAGCAGACAGAAGGAAAGAATCCGGTCAACTGTCGTTTCCGAAAGTGCCTCACAGTCGCGTGTAGAAAGTTGGAGGTTGACGGCAGCGCGCGGAGATACGAAGCCCGACGAGCGGAGAGATGCTGTGTCAGCACCAAACGGCCTCAAGTTACCGAGATCTAGTTAACTCCCGTATTTAGTTAGGTCTTTCCACTCCTTGCGCTAAAAGCATCAGCAAATCACTTTGCGAAGGCCCCGCTAGTCGCTAGACTTACGCAAATACATTCGTGCTCAAGCCAAAATACGCGCGAGGTCAAAGCCCATGCGGTTGGTGTCGGTGGTTGTCATTGGTAGTTTGGGTCTCAAAAGTGCAGTTGCAGATCGCTTCTTGGGGGACGTCATTTCGCCAGCGCAAGAAAGAGGGGAACATTCCACAGCAGCCTACGCAAGGAGGTATGCCATGCGCAGCTTGTTTCATCGGTCAGGTCTGTGCTATGGAATTCTCGATCTCCCACTAATTGCTCCAGAGTCTATATCTCTACCTCGACTATTAGGGTAGCTATAGTGCAGGCTATGTATAATATCAAACTAGACCAAATCTTACTGGGTTCTAGGAGCCTAGGCAGCCTTTTCAGTTCGTGGCTGCAAGTCTAGTACTAACCCTTGGAAGCAGCCTTCCCGTATCCGGGATAAATCGCGAGAGTCATCAAAGAATCCACAGAGTGTTGACATATCAATAGGGGGTCCGGGTCGGCATACTTTTTTGGTGCAGCCAAGAGCCGATTATCATATAAATGACGAAATCGAGTCCTTCTGTGGCCCGGGAGAAAGGTATAGTCTACATTACAAGGCTAGGATCGTCCATACAAGCAACCGTGACACATATCTTGATTCGCTTCATTAAAGTCCAGGACAAGCGTACTTATGGAAATCATGGTGTTATAATACATGGATCTAAACCAGATCCCTCTTTATCGGCGTGTCTTTTTCTTTTCCGGCCCTGGTTCCTCTTCATCGCTCAATTCCGCATAGATGGCGTTCGGCTGCGTCTCTTTGTACGCGCGGGTAAAGATAGGGTCTTTCTCTGCCTTCTCAGCATATTTCAATAGAGCCTCTCGTGGGTCCTCATCACGCATGGAGCTTAGAGGAATATTATCACGAATATGCTTTTCATCAGGCTGAGACTTGGCAAAGGGCGTCACCTGAGGCATGTGTGGGCGACGCGGGTCTCTGGACCGACCAGACGCCGTCAATCCGATCGTTGGGTGACGAGCCGCAAAGGTTGCAGAGCTGTAATGTGGGACGCCGTTCGAGCCAACGACCACCGAGTCACCAGAAAGTCCGGATGACAGGTCTGTCGTGAGGGTCGGGTTGTCATCCATATGGCGACGCTTGGGTGCCTTGGACATAACCAGCGCGGCGCCCTTGGTAGACATTGTTGGGTTATAGAGGACATGTGTCTCGGCATTAGCGGAACCAGTCAAGATCTGGTTGAGTTTCTCATGCCACAAGACGGTGATCAATGGCGATCCTGGCGTGACGGGCGTGACTAGCTCTGGCTTCAATGTAGCGGGGTTGAGAATGTGCAAGTGACCCGTTTCAGAGCCGACAATGACATTCGCCGAGCTCGGCGAAAATCGAATGTTTGAGGTAGGATACCGGAAGGATGTTGATGGGTGCACTGCAGTTGTGACTGGTGACTTGAACTTTCGTGTATCCCACAACTTGATAGTGTCGTCTCCACCTCGGCTGATAATAAGTCGTCCGTCGGCGCTGATATCCAAGCCACTCGTCCAAGTATCTCGGGTGTGCGCCTCCCGGACTTCACCACTAGGTCGGGTGAATGGCCCATTACCACCCCACATCACCAGGCTCCCATCGAGAGCCGCAGCGACCAGGATATTAGATCCTCCCTGTTTCGGCGATCCCCAAGCCAAGGCGGTCATCTTGGTCCGACCTGCAGACCCTGCAGACCTCGACTTGTGCACAATCACCTCTTTCTGAGAGCGGCCAACGTTGACATCCCAAATACGCACAGTACTGTCCGATCCAGCCGTAGCACAGAGGTTCTCGTCTGTGGGACACCAAACGCCACTGGATACCTCCGAGGTATGCCCCTTTGTGTGGTGCGAATCCCGAAGGTACATGTCGCCCTTTGCAAATTCAGTCAGGGTGTCGCCATCTCGACTCAGGATGCGCGGCTGGGCTGTCGCTGGGACGACTAGGACATGGCTGGGTGCAAGCGGGTTGAAAGCGACATAGTTGACGGCGTGGGTGTCTTGCGCCGCCGATTGTTTCTTCACGGAGGGATCGACAGACTTGAATGCGCGAATGGTCGAGGGCGTCATAGAAGCAAAGTCGTGGAGCTTCAATGTACAATCAGTGGAACCTGTGATTAGTCGCGCCCCCGAGGGGTCTACTGTCATGGTTGTAACAGCGCGCTCGTGGGTCTTCAAGACCAGCTCGTGCGACACGGGAAATTCATCTTCGTCATCTTCATTGTCAGAATCATCATCGTCGTCAGAGTCATCATCACTGTCTTTGGGTTCTTGTGGCCTTTTCTCCGTTACAGCAGGTCCAGCTGTGGCGGAGGCGGAATCAGCGAGCGGCTCGGACAGCGCGCTTTCTGTCCGTTTGGACCGATTTATCTGCGATTCGACATCGACTGATTTCTCCTGCTTGCCGAAGCCAGAGGGAAAGAACTTCTTGAAAGCTTCCTCGTCGAATCCGTCCATATTCAAGGTGCAGGTTGTCACGCTGGAGAAGAACTTGCGGCGCAAATCGCAGATAAGCTGGGCTCGGACCCACTATCAAGCTTGTTTGTATCGTTTGCACTGTGGTGACTCAAGGCTCGACACGTTGGCCAAAGAGTTAGTTTGACCGAGGACACACGACTCTGATAGCCAATTGATAGATGATGATTAAATGATTAGATGAAGCATATCACGAGAAAAAGTTACTATGACAAGAGAAACTACGACTTCGCGGGAGGTGTTCAGTAGTGTCAATGCATGCCCACCCCATAGATCATGGGTTCCATTAAGATACACACATAAAGCCCAGAAAGGGTTCCGACGTAGATCAATATCATCTTTCGCCAAATACTATCTATCGCTTACAAGTACAAGCCCTCAACAGGGCCACCGTCTTGCTTCGTCTTCATGATGCGCTCCCGAGCTGCACGGAAGTCGTCCATCTGTACCCGCATGCGACGCTCGCGAAGAGCCATGAGACCAGCTTCGGTACAAATTGCCCGAATATCCGCACCAGAGAGATCGTCCTTCTGGTTGATAAACTCGTCGAGGTCAACGTCGTCGCCGAGGGACATCTTTGATGTGTGCAAGGTAAAGATCTTCTTCTTGGTGTTTTCTATAGAGAAAAAAGTTAGTCGCTGTAAAAAGACAATGACTGGGGAGTAGGTTAACTTACGGTCGGGGTTCTCGAAGAGAATCTTTCGATCAATACGACCGGGACGAATCAAAGCAGGATCCAGAGTCTCAATCTTGTTGGTGGCCATAATGACCTTCACATCACCACGATCATCGAAACCATCAAGCTGGTTAAGCAGCTCCAGCATGGTACGCTGGATCTCACGCTCACCGCCCGACGTAGAATCGTAACGCTTGGTGCCGATGGCATCGATCTCGTCGATGAACACGATGGATGGGGCGTGCTCCGCAGCAACGGTAAAGATCTGGCGGACCAATCGCGGGCCGTCTCCGAGATACTTCTGAATTAACTCGGAGCCGACGATGCGCAGGAAAGTAGCGCTCGTCTGGTTGGCGACAGCCTTCGCCAAAAGCGTCTTTCCTGTTCCGGGTGCACCGTAAAGGATGACACCCTTGGGAGGCTTGATACCCATCTCCTCGTACAACTCGGGATGTAGGAGTGGCAGCTCGACGGCTTCTCGGACTTCCTGGATCTGAGACTCCAAACCACCAATATCGGCATATGACTCGGTAGGAGCCTTATCCAGTTTCATCACAGACACAAGCGGATCAGACTCTTCCGTCAACACACCAACGACCGACACAGATTTGTGATGTAGCAGAATGCTGGCACCGGGTTCGAGGAGATCCTTATCGACAAAGGACATGATTGATACGTAGTACTCGGGACCAGTAGCGCTGGAGACGATGGCATGGTCGTCATCAATCAACTCCTCCAGGTTACCAACGCCCATCGGGCTACCTCGCATATCATCAACCCGACTCCGCTCGTCTGCATTCCGGTCTGACACCTCCGGATCTTCAGTTCGAGCGGGTCCCTGGGCAGCCTGAGCCTTGGCCTTGCGAAGCCGCTCCATGTTCTCGACGTATTCCTCCTCTAACAGCAGGTGGTCGTGCACTCGTTGCATCCGGAGGTAGCGCAGTTTACATCTCGACGTAGGGTAGATGTCTGGGAGCTTGGAGGCGGTACTGGGTCCGGCGGCCTTGCGCTTTTTGCGTCCAATGCGAGTAGTAGGAGGTGGTGGTGGTTCGTACTTGGGCTTGTCCTTCTGCAGGGCGCGGTGTCAGAGCTGCAAATCGCCGAGAATACCTGAAGGGAAATAGATTGTACCTTCTTATCCTTGTCATCGCGTCCATCTCCTCCAGGGCCACCGCCCATGTTAGACTGTTGGTTACCCTATATAATAACGCCTGTCAGTCAACTCATTCCGGATGGCGGAGCAGGCGTTTGGACTCACCATGTTTGTAAGCCAGCGACAGGAGCTCTGTCAGCGACTAGGGGGTAGGTTAAAATGTAATGACGAGTTCTGGATAGATTCGAGCTTGATGTGGCTGAGCGGGGATGGAAAAAGACTGTTAGAAGGGATGGGCTGGCAATGCAGTTGGAGAGGTCGTTGCTGCTCGGGGGTGAAGCAAGCTGGAAGCTGTTGCCATCACATCACGTGATTTTTGCCGCCTCAGGCCGAAATATGCGGTCATGGATGCCTTTGTGCCTTATCCCGCATCCGCGGTCCCTCCACTTTTCCAGGCAGCTTCGGCAATGAGCAAGACAATTGAAAACTAGACCGACAACCAATAAGCCTGATAGGATCGGTCTGGTTTTCAAGGCCTGCCGAGTCTTTGTGTCGATAGAATCTCGATACCAAAGCTTATTGCGGTTCTCCGGAGCTAATTCTTGAGCCAAGCGTCGACTCATACTTCCCCGCCATAGTGAGATTGCAAAGCTTTGACTTATTGTCATACCGTTTGCCTTTGCTCTGTCTAGTATGCATTGTCCCCACATATTTACTTGACCGCCGTGATTATCAGATTAGATTTCTAAGCTGTCTTCCACACAGTCTATAAGTCAGATCTTCAACCAACCTTTTCCCGCGGCGGACGAACACACGATCACCTCCCGTATTAGCGCACCAAACACGTACGAACTGCACACCGTTTCATTGATTGTGGGAACCGAAGGTTGTATCCAAATTTACAATATACTATGGCTGGCAATCGGACTCGACGTATTGCTAAGGAATTGGCCGATATTCATGCCGACACCCATTCGCAAATCACGGCGGAGCCCATCGGTGGACAGGATGATGTGACACACCTAAGAGGAATCTTCCCAGGGCCTCCAGATACTCCCTATGAGGGCGGTACTTACAAGGTTGATATCAAGATCCCGACCGACTATCCTTTCCGGCCTCCACTTATGAAGTTTGAAACCAAAGTCTGGCATCCGAATGTCAGCAGTCAAACAGTAAGTGACTTTCCAGAAAGCAAATTCGGAATAGAGAGGAATGGCTACTCATCGATGTGACCATAGGGTGCTATCTGCCTCGATACTTTGTCCAGTGCTTGGTCTCCGGTTCTCACAATTAAATCTGCCCTGATCTCATTGCAGTCCTTGCTAAGCACCCCAGAGCCCAAGGATCCGCAAGACGCTGAGGTTGCCAACATGATGCTTCAACGACCGCAGGAATTCCAGCGTGTGGCACGCGAATGGGCCGTGATTTATGCGGGTGCCCCTGCAGATGATTCCAGCCAAGCAGGAACTGCGGAAACGCCCTTCACGGTTGAGGATGATTCTCTAGCTCAGTAAGGAAAGTTTACTTACTTCCAAAGGTTTTGCTAACGTAAGTGCTAGGTATAATGGCTATGACAAAGCGCTGGTTGACAACTTTGGTGCAATGGGGTTCCAAGTACCAGACATTGTGAGAATCTTCGGGGAGCTTGGAATTAGCCAGCGCAGTCACCAGCTAGATGAGGGTCAAGTCGATGATGTTTGTGCGCGCCTGCTAGCAGGGCTATGATAAAAGGGGATATATTGCATTGATCTGCGTGTGTAGGATTGACATATAATAGCCTGAAATCTCAAATCAAAAAACCTTAGAGCTGTTCCCTGTCTGAATTTGAAGAAAACCGATGTCTTTAGGATCCGTACGACTTTAAGCGTTTACTCTGTTTGCTGCTCTTATCGATAAGCCCACTCAAAGCCGGCCTTGCTGAAACCTCCGCATTGTAAACGACCTCCATCAGTGCTTTCTCCTAAGCAAAACAACCGTTGCCGACTTCCTGCTTAGCGACCACCCTCCTCGTCTATTACATCCAGTGGAACCGAATCCTCGCGGAGAGGGTTTCCCCTAAGCACCCGTGCAATCACTTACCCCGCGGCGGAAAGCAGCGCTTTCTTTGAACCGCAAACATGATTGAAGACGATATCTACCGCAAATCCTCCCAATTCCGACTATGGTCCTATACAGAGAGCTCTCTAAGGTCTCTCCGCACCACGACCAACCATATTGCAAGTGAGCGAGTCCGTGCCGCTCTGCGTCGAGCTCGCGAACGCCATGTGTCCGCGACAGGAACACCACAGCCGGGAAGTGACGCCGAAGACAAAGATATCGAATGCTTGACACCCGAGGAAGAGCTTGTCCTGGTTCGATACTACTGTGAGAAGACGGTTGAGCTTGGCGACACATACAGGCCACCACTCCCCACAAATGTCCGAGTAAGTCACCCCTACTACCGTCAAACCTCCTACTTTGCGAGGAGAGCAGATTGCTCACATATATCACCGACCAGGCCACTGCAATCCAATTTCTCCGCCGTTTCTACCTCACAAATTCCCCAATGACCTACCACCCCAAATCCATCATGGCCTGTGCCCTCTTCGTCGCCACAAAGACAGACAACTACTACATGTCCCTCCGGCAATTCGCCGAAGGTATCCCCGGCGACACGACAGCCGACGATGTCATCGCCCCGGAATTCTTGCTCATGCAAGGCCTGCGCTTCACACTCGACGTCCGCCACCCCTTCCGCGGCCTCGAAGGCGGCGTCATGGAACTCTCAGCCATTGCCCAAGGCCAGGGTAAACCGGCACCCCATCTACCACACCATACCCCGGAAAGCCTCAAACAAGGACTTCTCTCGCTAGCACCGCCACCGGTGGCCAGCACATCCATCACAGACCGAATTGGCCGCGCACACGGTGCTACGCGTGAACTCCTCAAATCCGCCGCGCAAATGACGGACGCGTACTTCCTCTACACACCCTCACAAATCTGGCTAGCAGCCTTCCTCCTCGCAGACAAACCCCTCGCCGAATTCTATCTCGAAACCAAACTCGGCGGCCCCCTCGACGCAACCACGGCAAATCCGTCAGACCTCCAGAACCCGCTCTACGAGCTCCGCACAAAGTTATTCAAAGTGCTCACGGACTGTGGCGCCCTTTTGCAATCGTACACGCCTCTCTCGTCGGACCCGGATCAGATGAAGAGTCTCAAGCGGATTGCGAAGAAGTTGTATCATTGCCAGAATCCGGAGAAGGTTAATTTAAAGCGTGATTCTGCGGTGCCGAGGTCGACGCCCGCGGGTGATGCGGGGACGGTTACCTCGGAGAGTGAGACTGAGAGGTTGGCGAAGAAGAGGAAGTTGGAGATGGAGCAGAAGCAACGGGGACCGCCGGACTTGTTTGGGCCGGAGTTGGTGGCGGACCGGACGAAGCATTGATGATGGGTCCTTCAGAGTTGCTTCATAGATGGATGCAAGTCTAAAGGTCGAATGAGCATCAGTTTGGCGAAATCTTGCCAAAAAAGATAATATCAATTTATATCAAACCACCTACTCTTGTCTTCGCGCTTACTGTAGCCATAGGCTTTACGGACGAGGTTTACAAGCTAGAGAAGGCGAGGCAAGCTAGACAATAATTGGGCGCGGACAAGAACTAGTCATTTGACAGATCTATAAGACCTGGGCCTCAATCAGAAGCAACTAGACTAGACTCTCTATCGAACAAGATGCATTCCGCGAAGCGGGCGGAAGTAACAAAAAAGATACAAGGAAAAGATTCGACAATCCAGCGGGGGGTATCCGCTATGGTGTCGAGGGGGAATGAGTTTCATGACAGCAAGCAGTGGGAACAACAACGAAGATAAGAAAAAGAAAAAATGGAGGATGAACAAGAAACCATGATCCTGTATCCACCTGCCCCATGGGAGAGGGGGGGGGGGCTAGGAGCAGGAGCAGGAACGGGAAAGCGGGCAACGGCCCGGTCTAAAAATCAATCCAACTTTTTATAGCGCGGGCAATTGCAATTCCCTCAATTCACGTCTAGCATTTCATCGTCATCAGAGATAGGAAAGGGGGTTGGAGTGGAACAGAAGATTGAAGCGAAGCGCTTAGACAGCACCGGCAGAGATCATCTTGTCACGCAGGTACTTCTTGTACTGGCCAATGCTGCCGTCCCAGCGACGGACGGTCTTGTTCTCGCAGACCAAGATGTCCTTGGCAATCTTGTCCAACAGACGGAAGTCGTGGGAGACGACGACGACACCACCGTTGTAGGCGTTGATGGCATCAGCCAGGGAGTCGATGGTGGGAATATCAAGACCGTTGGTAGGCTCGTCAAGCAGGATCATGTTGGGGGACTCGATAGCGAGCAGGGCGAAGACGATACGGCTCTTCTGGCCCTCGGAGAGGGTGCCCATGATGGCGGTCTGAGACTCACCAGACAGACCGTAGCGGCCGAGCTGCTGGCGCCAGTACTGGTAGTCCTGAGACTTCTCGGGGAACTTGTCACGGACGAACTCGAGAGAAGACTTGGTCAGGTCGAGCTGCTCAGCAGAGTGCTGGGAGTAGACACCAAGCTTCAAGTGAGTGTGACGGCTGACGGTACCACCGATGGGGCTCAGCTTGCCGGTCATCAGACGCAGCAGGGTGGACTTGCCAACACCGTTGGGGCCGACCAGGGCGGTACGGGAGTCCATGTCGACACCAAGGTCGAGGTGCTCATAGAGGGTGTCATCCCAGTTGCCAGAGTAGGAGAAGCTGACATCGTCGAAAGACAGGACGGGAGGGGGGAGCTTCTCAACATCGGCGAAACGGAAAGTGAAGACACGATCGGGGACGACGGGCTGGATGAAACCATCGGCCTCCATCTTGTCGAGAATCTTCTGGCGGGACTTGGCCTGACGGACCAAGTTGGCATAGGTACCGGCGGAGGCAATGAACTTCTTAATGTGAGAAATTTCTTCCTGCTGCTTGGTGTAGGCCTTCATCTGGTTGACCTCCTGCTCGGAACGAGTCTTGTGATAAGAATCGTAGTTACCACCGTAGTAGAGGAGTTGCTTCATGCGCATGTCGATCATGTTGGTGCAGACACCGTTCAGGAAATCCATGGAGTGAGAGACCAGGATGAAAGTTCGGTCCCACTTCTTGAGGTACTCCTCCAGCCACACACAGGCCTCGAGATCCAAGTGAGCAGTGGGGTCATCGAGCAGCAGCAGCGAGGGCTTGACGAAGAGGGCCTTAGCGAGGGCCACACGCATACGCCAACCACCGGACATATCCTTGGTCTTCTTGTGAATGGTAACCTTGTTGAAACCGAGACCAGTCAGGATCAGAGAGGCACGAGTGTGGAAGGTGGAGGGGTCCATCTTGTCCATACGCTGAGTTCATAATTTTGGTTAGCAGACTATTCATGAATCGGAAATAGACGGTTCAAAAAGACTGAGCCTAAGACGAATGTTGGATACTCACGTCGTAAAGATCCTCGAGGATAGGGCTGTCGGGACCGTCCTGCTCAAGAATCTCCTCGGCCTTCTTCTCCATCGCGTCAAGCTGAGCCTGAGCCTCATCAACAACCCACTCAAGGGCACCCTTATCAGAGGGAGGAGCACCCTCGTTCAAAAGGTACAGATCGATGTGCTCGGGGAAGGGGAACTCGCGGGTGGCAATAGCCTTGAGGAGAGTAGACTTTCCGCAACCGTTCTCACCGAGCAGACCGTAACGACGACCGAAGTTCAGCTCGAGGGTGGAATCAGTGAAGAGGACCTTGCCGTGGAACACCAGGGAGGCGGAAGTGATCTTGACGTCGCGGGAGGCGGGCAGAGACGAAAGCACACCGGTAGTGACACGATCGGAAAGACCGTGCTTGTCCATCTGTGCGGTGAGGTTCGCAATGTCCTTCATCTTAGCTTCGGTGGTGGCGGGCTGCTCGTCACCGTTGGCATCGACCTCGACGGTGGCATCATCCTCCTTCTTGGAGGACTTCTTAGCCTTCTTGTCGCCAGTTTCGGCGCGCTTGGCCATACGGGCGGCCTTGGAGGCAGAAACCATATCGGCGGTTTTGAATGTGAAGAGAGAAAGAGGGCGAGGCGAGAGGAGGAGGAGCGAGGGGATGGAGGGGGGAGAGAGATGAGAGGATCGAGTGATGAAAGGACGACCCGTAACAAACTTGGTCGAAGAGATTGAAGGCAAAGAAATGCAAAAAGAGACTGAAGTGGAGCGCCTGGCGGGGCGGAGAGTAGAGGGGCGAAACGACTCGAGTGGAAGTGGGGGTTTTGGACGAGCCCTTATCGATTAGGGGAAAAAAGTTGCCTTCGGATTCTAAATCCTGAACGTCACGGACAAGGCTCCTGCAAAGATGGGAGATAAGCAGAAGAAGGGCAAAGCCGAATAATTCTTCTTTTTGAAATCCTCGACGGTGAATCGTAAATGCGAGAACAGCAAAATTTCAACCTGGTGGGCCATCAGGGCCTGCACGAAGAGCGCTGATTTGCTGTAGGCCGACGGAGGGCTGCTTGGGACGTCACCGCACGGTCGGGCAGAAGTCAAAATGGCCTGGGAGCCTGGGAGCCTGGGAGCCTGAAAAAGCCCAAGAAGGCAGGATTAAGGTGTCGAGGTGTCGACCTTTTGCCACTCAATTGCGACGAGTCTGGTTGGCGGGAGATAGGCACCACTCCGGCTTAACCCAGTCGAGTTTAGTACAATATCTACAAAAGCAATGTGCGAGAAGATAGGACGCATGGTAGATCGTGGTTGGTCGGTTGACCTAATCGTGGTCAACAAACCATGTATATTCAAGATATCTCCCCCAGTCTTTCTTCCTTTTAGATTCTCTCACAGATCTTCTCGAGCACCTCCCTTTCTTCCGCCGACAGGAACACCCCGTCAGACACGAAAATCTCTCCTCGCTCAAGCACGATCAGACGAGGAATATCAGTCAGACTCTCCTCGTAATGACTGGGAACATCTGATCCGACCTGGTGGTGAATCTTGTTTTTCTCTTCACCTTGCATCTGTTTGCGAGACAGAGGGTGGGACGTCCACCAGTACAATGGATACTGTCGTTGGATATTATTAACAATCAATGCCACCACTTGCATCAAGACGACTCCCAGCATCATGACCGGGAACAAGAACCAGCCCAGTCCCGCCATTTGCTCATTAGTCACAGCCAGAAGGGCCGTAGCACCAGCCGGCGGGTGAACGGTACCAGTCAACAGCATAGCGGCAGTGGTGAGCCCACAAGCTAGAGCCCCGCCAAGCTCAGTGTACTGTTCGGCATGGGAGCTCAGAGCAAAAAGCTTCGAGATACCGATTCCCATCAGACAGGCCCACATTTGACTGAAGAAGGCATTGCGCGGTTGTGCAAAGGGCGACTCGATCGCGCAGAACTCGATAACGGCAGCAGCACCCTATGATAGGTTTCACTGTTAGTCGGACAGTCGGATGGAAACCTCAAAAGCTTTCCATCAGACACTAGAACTTACAAAACTTCCAACGACGGCTGGTGCGTCTCGAACTTCGAATGCTCGGATGCGTTTCGATACTTCGGCGATCAGGGCTACGCCGCAGAACGCACCGACCAGCGACCAGAAGGCGAGTACTACATTGCCCAACGGTCGAGGTGCCTTGTCCCGATACCCCAGGAAATGAGAAATCGGCCGGGGCAGTAGGTGCAATCTTGGCGCAGGAACCCAAGGGTTAATGAAGCGATCAACGTCGACATGCCATGTCCTCACATCGGACAGTCTCATAGACCCGTGTACAGTCTGCGACATGATGCCCCCCAAAAAGCCGGGTGTCGTGTGTGGGAGTTGTGGCACAACGAGGTCGCCCCAGCGATGGTCAAGATATAAGGAAGTATGTATTCACCCAGGTACCCGTCGCGGCACCACTCAACCACAAGAAACCCTCACAAAAAGGTAAGAAGGTCGCGAGAGAAAGTTCAAATCTCCTAGAGGAACTTGGAATGGAGACATCTTTCTCGCCCCGTGTAAGTCGCCCTTCACGATTTCTCCTCAGTGTGCCGGACTAGCCGAATCGACAATTGCCTCTGTTTCTCCGCGGACATCGGGGTTCGAACAGCTTTCCTTCAATGTCGCGAGCGGTTGGCCATGGGCTTTGTGCTGCTAGTCGGAGCCTGTACGGGGACCTACCAGTCATTGCGTTTGCATTTGGTAACAGAAATTCCTTATTAGGTGTTAGTGGCTTGGCATCTGATGATGTCACTTTAAGATGCCGAACCCATCGTAGGATCCACGTCGGTAAGATATAAAGGATTGCGAAGGAAATAGTGCATAGACCCAGTAAATTCGGAGAAAATCAAATGAAAGATCGTATCGATGAATCAACGTGGGAAATGGAATGTGGACCAGGCAAGGAATGTACTCGGTGGATCGAGTCTAACGTGTCGGGCGAATCTCGGGTGGCAGGGCTGACGTACATGCATCCGCACGGAATATTACTTGGCCACATGGAATACTTGAAGATGATCTTACTCCTGCGGTGAGGGTCATTGAATAGGTTATCGGGAAAATGATGAGGTGAGGCATTACGGAATTCAAATCCCGATAGAGTGTCAACGCAAAGGGGCCATCACTAAACGATTAAACAGAAGATGCTCAAGCAATCAAGAAGGATGATCTATGAAACACAGACAGAGAGAGAGACTAATTTAAAGTTTAGTCTGATTAGTCTGTCTCTCTAGTTCATAGAATCACTTTTAACCTGCCAATAGGAATCCTCTTGTAGAGTATAGGAGAGTACCTATAGTTATACCATGCATCAAAAATATACACTCGAACCCTCCACAACCCCCTCACTCTCGCATCAACCTTCAAATCTCACCAACATTCCTCCAACAACCCCCCTCGACCCCCTGAAACGGTAAACCCACACACCAAGCCCGCGGATACTCCATCCCCCACTTGGCCATCAAACACCTCAAATCCTCCTCGCACCCCGGCACAACATTCACAAAAATCCGATCCCCATGAGACATTGGCTCCGAATGCACCGCCCCTTCATCCTCACCCACACGGAAGAATACACATTCGCCCCGACGCGCCTGAACCACACCCTCCCTCTCATCCTCAAGCCCACCGCCGCATGTACCACCAGCTTTGCGATACCCGCCTAGTTGCGCCGCGAGTGTAGCGCGTACCGACTCCGCGGCTGAAGCACAGCCTACGCATCGGATGGAGACGCAGATGTGATCGGGGTGTGCGGATCGGAAGGTCATTTTGGTGCTTCGTTGGAGGGTGCGAGCTTGTGCGTTGAGATGGGGCGCGATGAAGAGCGTTCCGGGGCCGAGGAGGGTGGTGGTGAGTTTCCAGTTTGTAGGGTTTGGTGAGGAACTGGTGATTTGGACAGAGGGAGGAGCGGGCTGTTGTGTCGTTGCGGAGCCAAACGTCATAGATGATCGGTTGTCATTGCTGTGCCTCCCGAATTGCGAGAGAGATGATGATGTCCGCCTGTGGAATTTGGTAGCATTTGAGAAGGATGGGAGTAGAGAGCGGCGGCGCCGGTGCTTGGCTTGGGAATGGGATTGGGGGCCGTTGGGAGGTCCTGGGGAGAAGAATAGATCATCCGTGTGCCAGCGTGGCGTGTCGAATTCGTCGGAGCCTTGGCTTGCGCGTATCGTGAGCCAGTATGTTGATACGTTGTTGGCTGTGAGGAATTCATGGACGAAGTCTAGGAAGGAGAATAATGGGCTCACGATTGAGCCGTTGACGGTGGCTTGGGCCCAAGTGTGGAATGAGGAGGGTAGGCTCTCTGCGTTTAGGGGGAGGAGGGGCCCGCAGTATGTCCACGACGAGGTCGCGTTGAGCGTGAGATCCTCGTCTGTCGACAGAGAGGATTGTTGATCAAACTCAATACCATCCCATTTCATTGGGTGGGAGAGGATCTTGAAGTCTGGGAGCGAGCTTGCGTCCATGGTATTGGAGCTGGCCGTAGCTCTCAAGCTCGACCTTGGGATTCGAATATAGAGTAGCAACCAAATTATGAGGACACAAGAACCCCTCCGTCTTCAGGAGATTGTTCCTTCGCTGGTCAGTCAATCATAAAGGAAGAGAGGAGGTCGTCTTTGAAAGGATTCTCAGGCTGCAGTCTGGCTCGGACCCTCTCGAGCCTTCGCCTTCCTGCATGACGCGGAGACGCCCATGTGACAGCGCTATTGCAAGGTTGCAGGCTAGTCTGAATGCGACTTGGGCCACCCTGTGCGGTTGTGGTTTCACCGTGGACCCGTCGCTGGCGAGATGGCAGAACTATGCAGGTGGCGGCAATAATGGGAGGAGCCTCTAATGGGTGGTGGAGTGACCATGGGCTTGGGCAGCAAGTTGGTCCACTCAGGAGCCAATAGGGCGCCGCCTCGAAAAGGAATCATGCAATTGCCAATTCATCAATGTTCCAGAATGGTTCATGATGCAGATTTGTATCAGGACGGGCCGGCGCGACTCGTTACTGGTCGTTGAATGGGTGTTTTGGTTGGGACTGAAGCTTGGGCGAGGTGAAACGGGCGTGGAGACCCTTTTGGACCCCGATTCGAGGGTCCGGGAGCTCGCCAAGCTGTCAGCGATTTGATCACAGCCGTCACATCACCACGGCTAATTGGCGAGAGTTTTTGCTACAATCGATTAACGATGAACTCCAAAACGAAACTGAGTATCCAATTTCAATGTCTATCAAATATCCGCTAATTCATCACTGTCGTTTCCAGATTTTAAATACACAACCCACTGCTTTTCATTTCAAACATCCAGAGTCTTGCCAGTGGCAGAGCTCTCCCGAGCCAGCTCAATCAGACGAATCACCTGAGCAGCCTCGGCGCCACTAGCGGGGAGATCGCCCTCACCATTGAGAGCGCGGACCAGCTTGCGGTAGTACTCGGTGTAGGTGGGGGGCTCCACGGTGGGAACGACCTCCTTGACGGGCTTGCCATCCTGGATGGTGGTCAGAGTGCCGTAGCGCTCGCTAGGCTCACGACCGTAGCCGTTGTCCTGGGGCTTGACGCCGGCCTTGAGCTGATCTTCTTGGATATCGAGGTGGAACTATGTTCATAAGTTAGCATGGGATGTTTCGTGGCTATCGTCAATGGCAGTCATTGATCGCAGTCATTTATTTCTCACCTTCTTGAAGCTACCTTTGTCACCACGGACCCAGAAGCGCAGCTGCTCCTCCTCGGGGCTGACCACGGTCGCCTTGGCCGTGACCAGAGTGCCGTTCGCGTAGTGCAGCAGAACGGTGAAAGAGTCCTCGAAGCCCGAGCTGTTCTGCCCCCGCGCCGAGCCGATGAAACCGGTCACTCGCTTGGGGAGACCAAGCAGGTGAACAGCCTGGTCGAGCAGATGCGGGCCCAGGTCAAACACGGCAGAACCACCGGGGATGACCTTGTTCTTCCACTTGTGAGCATCCGCGGAGGGTTCCTCGGGACGGTGGCGGTCAAAGTGGGTTTCAAACTCGGAGATGCGGCCGAGGGAGCCGTTCTTGACGAGCTTGGAGAGGGTGACAAAGTCGGCGTCCCAGCGGCGGTCTGGTTCAGGGAACAGGACTCATTAGCATTGTAATTGATAAACATGGTAAAGATTGGAGAATGTTGAGACGTACTCTGGTACACGGCAAGCAGCTTCTTCTGCTTGTCGGCAATGGCGACAAGCTCTTCGCATTCTTTATAGGTGGGGGTGAATGGCTTCTCGCAGACGACTATAGCGCAGAAAGTCAGTTCAAGCTCTGGAGCATTGCCGTTGATTACTCAAGAGAGACATACCGTGCTTTCCAGACTCCAGAGCCTGCTTGACCAGGGTGAAGTGGGAATCCGGGGCGGTGGTGACAATCACCACGTCGACAGCGGGGTCGTTGACGAGCTCGTCGGTGGTCCGGTAGGACTTGACACCGGGGTGGTCCTTCTCAGCATCGTCGCCGGGCTTGGGGCTACGCTGAACAACCGCGTAGAGCTTCAGCTCGGGAATCTGCTCCACGAAGGGGATGTGGAAAATCTTGGCGCTGAAGCCGTAGCCGATCACGCCGACGTTGTAGGTCTTGGTGGCCATGATGTCACCGGTTGGGGGGACTGCCGAGGTTGGGAAATGGAGAAGGGAGGATTGAGAGAGACTTGAATGTAATCGCGACAGACAAGTACTTTAGAGAATTCGAGAATGTATAGTAGGAAAAAAAAACTCAAGTGTAAAAGCGGGTAGTTGTGACAACTTATATTTGGCCTCCACGGATCTTGCACGCCGATGCGGGGAGGTGGAAGGTCCTGGCGACGGCAGTCTTTGGGCGCGCCCCGCCCGGACCAGAGAACTGGTCACCGAGGAGCCAACCAACGCCATATGCCGACCCTTTGCCAGCCGGACGTGCAACTGTACAGTCGACACGGTCCACTGTGCAGTACGGGACCCTCTCTCGGCCTCCCGAAGTGGCAAGACTCGGCTTCTCGTCTCTACACATTTTTTGACAGGAAATGAATTTCCGGAGCACAGTTTTCCCAGCACGCACGATCCACCGGTTGCTTGATAATCACATTTGCTGTTTGCATTTCATCTAGAATTGTCTCATTCTGTCATACGGTCATTCCGTGGTTCTGTACTTTCCAGCAGAGCCCCCACTAAGTAGTCCAGCCCGTCATTCAATCTGGCCACCACGATGGCTCTATGCCTCTTCCACCCCCACACAGCGAGTCACCTCAATAGCATCCTGTCGACCAGATTAGCAATCATTCCCAAAGAAAAAAAATAGTCGGTCTGGCCGCGCAAACAAGAATGGAAATTTCAATGACTGACCCGTTCGCCCTCCGGTTGCCGCAACACACTCTGGTACACGAGATTGGGGTTTCCAATAACATCAAAGGCAGGTTCATCTCCCTCGGGCATGAATGAATTGACCGTGCGCTCGCGCAAGCCCTCCACGTTATACCCCTTAGTAGCCCCCTCCTTTGCAGCCGCACGCTTCTGCTCAACACTGCTCCGAACATACTCCAAGTACGGCGGGTTGCCCGGATGAATCACATTATCCGCAGCGAGCACCGAGCCAGGAACGATCATACCATGATGCTCGCACAGCTTCAAATCCGTGGTATACGCTGGCTTATAATGGTCAATAAACAAGAGCTCGATCTTCGTCACGTCGCCACTGCGATACAATTTGTCCAGCGAAACATCGCTGCGACCAACGATCACCCGCACAAAGTCGCGTAGACCGGCCAGCTCGATTAACATGTTTGCAATGGCGGCCCATTCTGGGTTCAGCTCGAGACTGAGATAGCGCTCGCCGCCGTTGCGTCGTACTGCTTCGCCGAAGAGGATGGCCGAGTAGCCCACGTAGCAGCCGAGTTCGATCATGGTCTTCGGTTTGATTTCGTCGATGAGTTCGGTCACGATTTTGCCTTTGGGCCCGCCGACTGTCATCATATGGTAGTCTTGTTCGAATTCATCCATGAGATCCAGCACCTTTTGGGGGTGGCCTCTGATATCATCGAGGTTTGGCTGGCCGAAGACAAAGTGAAGGAGTTTCATCTCTTTGCCTGCCTCGCGCTAGAGTTGAATTCAACATGAGCGAATGCCTAGAGAGAAGCATAATGCAGGAATATCGACTTACCGAACGCTCTCCGACACGGGGATGAGGGGGCGGCGAATCGGTCAATGGCATTTTTGAAGCGGGGAGGATATTGAAGTATATAGTCGCACTGAAGGCTGTGGATTGCTGTAGGGGAGGGAAAGTGTTGAAACGAGCACTGGTCGCAAAGGAAGTAACGAGCGGGTAGACCACTCGTGAAACAACCGCTTATAAAACAAAATGCCCGTGAAAACGAGTAGTCAGCGACGCGGTGCAATGAGCAATACCTCCCCGCATGACCTCTTCCGATTGCAGTTGCCGGCACCCGTGCTCGTATACTTGCTTCTCTTTTGGTAGTACGTGGTCCCGAGGTGGGCTGCCTAGGGACGGACTTTTGCTCGGGGATAAGATCTGAAGCGGATCCAATTAATCAGAGAAACATCCGTGATTGGTACAATGTCATTTTATCTATTCTGAACCAGCGCGCTATAAGGTATTTGTCGCGGCAGCTTGCGTGCTCGGAGGTAATAGTTTGGGAAGTTTACTCCGAAAATGCCGAGAGATTGGTGATCGGAGAGTCCGAGCTGGGATCGGAATTTAAAAGCCACGAGTATACTCCGTGCGGTGGTATTCATAGTTGGCTTGGTTTTGGTTTGCGAGAAAAAGCGAATCGCTCGGATTAATAAATAAAACGGAGACTGAGCTATGGTACATTTGCAAATGATAGAACGCATGGTTTCACTTGATATAGTCGGATTGCGGGGCTTTGAGTTCTAGATTGACGATCCCAAATCTACCTGACTTTCCCCGGATACCATAATCTGCAAAGTTCTTGAGTTTCTTCAATATTATCTTCGGCCCACTAAAATCTCATTCGAAGACGCCTCGCTCATTGATCCTCTTGCAGTTGCTTGGCATGCTGTCACAAGATCCCCATGCAAGGCTAGCATTAAGGTGTTGGTGCTAGGAGGTGGACTAATTGGTATTGGGGCGGGGCAGGTATTGAAGCTCCACGGATGCAAAGGACATTACCGTTGTCGAGCTCTTACAAATCCCGAAGAGCTTGCGAATACATACGGCGCAACGGCTATCCTCGATCCTCAAGAAACTGACAAACCAAATGCGATGAAAGACCTCACTGACGGTCGCGGAGTGGAAATTGCCTTTGACGCGGTCGGTGTCGAAACTGTTCTTAATGGTATCATTGATGCTACCCCGGTTCGAGGTACAATTATGACTATTGCAGTGTGGGAGAAATGACCGGCTATCAACGTAGACGAGCTCATGTATCGAGATATCAAGTACATTGGAACAAGCCTGTATGATAAGGCCTCATTCCGAGAAGTCATTGCCCCTCTGCATACTGGTAGTTGAGATATCAGACCTTTAGGTTGGAATAACACCAACAGCGATCTAGGCAAATTCAAAGCACACGGAATGATCAGCACCAAAACAGTGTTGCGGGATACAGTAGATCAGGGGTTCAGAAGCCCATTAAGTCGCGGGACTCGTACTGCAAGATCTGATCCTCTCCAGACAGGGAGCAATCAATGTTCCTTCGCACTAGTCGCAACCATCGCCGCCGTCCCTCCTGCGGGCTATCTCCCAGGCAAATAAGTTGAAGTTACAGATATGGTAAATAGGTGAGATATCTCAAGGAAAAGGCTTTGCCATGGAAGAACTGCAACTAAGGACAATCAATTTGTTTGACCCGAACTTCACTGCCATAGACCCTCTGATCCACCTCTGACAAGGAATAAAACAAAAAAAGAATCTATCGATGCATTGAAACCACATCTTGATTTTCAAGGCATTCCATGGTACGCGCCCAATCCAATTCACGAATGAATCTCTCCTGAATGCGGTTGAGAAACAAGTATTCGTCGTCCGTAGAGGCAAAGTTGGCATACGATGGTATCGCTTCATTGGCTATTTTCAGCCATGCCTTAACGCTCTTACAGAAGGCCCTGATATTTCGGCATGGACGTCGTTGCCCGTCACCATAATGGTGTGGAATCACAATTTGGTACACACGGACATTGGTGTCTCCCGCCTCTACTCGCCGCCAGGCTTCATTGCAAACCCACTCTCTGCTTCTCGAAGTCGAAATGAATGGTGAAGGTCTGCGGCTACGCCAATCCAGGTGTTCCAATACCTTTTCCACGACTCGCGCCTGGTCTTTCCTCGTTTTCGGATTCATCGGGAGCGGTCTCTGTGACTCTGCTACAATACCTTGCCCTCTCACAAATCGTGCACGTGACCCATCATCTTCACAGCGAAAGTAAACATAGAATCGTCCAACTTGCCGAGGCATTTGAAAGTAGAATGGATGGGGGAGAACGCAAGTGTTGGTGTTGGTTCAAAAAAAAGTTTGTTACCGTACCGAATCTCCTGAAATAATAGAGAAAGAGAAAGTGTTGGGCCACCCGAGGAGATACGAGGCGATATATATATGAATTCTACGCTCTGTCAAGGCTGGCAAGCTGGAAAGTCCGCTATAACGCCTAAGTTGACAAGGCGCGGTATGCGCTAACTTTGCGGTACACGAAATGGGCGCGTGGTCACGGGGCGACAGATCTGCAAGAAGCATGCACCTATGCAATGGCAACGGCGCTTTGAATGGACCACGTATTTACGGTGCAGATAGTGCATGAGTTGAGCCATTGTGCAGCCAATAGATGATCCTTCGCCGGCTCGAGCCCTCCTATCATGCGCCGAACATTTCCTTAAATGGAAATATGTCCTCCATGCATCGTGCCCATTTTGGAAGGGTAAGAAATAGTAGGAATGATTTCCGTTCCGTGCTCAAATGGCCGCCCAACCCTCGGAGACGCAATTTTTTCTAGTCGTCAAGAAGAAATTTGGTAGATCCTCAGAGTCCGTAGGATGCGCATAGAGATTCAATTAGGATTACTCATGGCACTACAAGGGCTTTCGTGACACTATACCGCTAAGCCTATTGCAAACGTATTTTACCAGTAGGGCTGTCTGGAAAGGCGTTTGGAAAGATATTGCGAGAGAATTTTAGAGACACAAGAGGTTCAAGTGTCTCTAATTCGGGCTTTCATTCTTTATCTTTTCTGAAAGTTTGAACTACCACTATGCGCACATGAGGTCCTGGTAAGGATTGTACCGATATCAGTTATATCACATTCTACTTTTTGGTGCTTCCGCTTAATGTCCCGGTGTCGCGAAAGTTTCCTGTAGTGCCATAAGTATGATCATATACGCGAGATAACCATATAGAGAAACGAAACATGAGATAACTTCAACTCAGAGATGACACCCTTTTCCATCACTAGGTCAATCGAAAGAATCATCCTGCGGACGCCGCTGCTCGACACCTTTTGCGATTTCTCTTTTCCGGCGTCCCACATTTCCACTCGTCATAAGGTCTTCAGGGTATGACCTGCTGCCCTTTATCAGAGCTTTGCCATTATTATCTGTGTATACCGTTTTGGATTTGTTCTTATCTGTTATTTTCATCAGCTGACCGAAGCCAAACATCTCCTGGCAATACAAACTCACCTTGCCGTGTGTCGGGATGGGTGCCATTTTGCCTTGCCTTCTCGGAGTTCTGTCGCTGCTTTATGGAGTTGGATTCACCACCAGACTTGCTCTCCCCGCCAGCGCTAGCGTCTGTTGTCTTGTGCAGTATGCCTGTCATAGTGCAGAGATGATGGAAAGGTTGCTGTCGTACCTTGTGGTAGATCAACGTTCCTAACTTTTTATCAGCGACTCCGTTAACGTAGTACATGTCATGACGCAGTGGCGAGTTTAAGTAGTACCTTGATCTGACTCGTGCGTCTCGAGCAATTGATGAACGGGAATGGTGATCTGTGCCTCGTAGTAAACAGTGACGTCAACTTGAAATCACTATAGTGCGATAGACGCCAGACTACTATACTTGTACAGCCTAAACGTAGGCTCAAGACACCCCCTCGACCCGATCAAAGTAGTAAATTGATAGTCGCCGAGACAAACTTAAGGGTCTCTGAGAGTCTTCCGTGAAGTTCCTGGCCATGACAGCCTAGAATAATAGGACTGTAGGTAAGCAAGCACTATGGGGGTTCTCGAGTGAATCCTAAACAGCCCGAATCAAAGCCTCGGTCGCGTGACTTGAAGGAGTTAGACGTTAGCGTATTGATTAGCAGGCATGGTTGCTCAGTACTACTGCACTAATTCGGGCTGAAATGACCATCGTCGAGCAGATCAAGCTGGCGGGACGCTAGTTCGCTCCTTGGGAAATCAAAGCCCTAAAAATAAATAGTGACATGAACGCAGAAGATGATAAAAAAAGGTAAATACAACATCCAGATAACACTCGTAAAAGTTCCACCAATGGGTTGATTGAATTATGCGTACATGCATGACAAACGCCTCGAAGATTGTCGTACAGTCATGAAATCATCGGGCCTTGCTTTCGCATGCGGTGGCTGGTGCCGATGATCACCCCTCACTGCACTGTTCCGGCGTTCTCACACATTCCACCAGCCTTCACAGGGCTGGATAACTTGCAACCTGGCTGACTATTCAACCTCAAACTCTTCAAGAATCAGTGGCCCTGTTAGCCTTGAAAAGAAGCTACACTAGTGCATGAGTCTCAAGCTCAATGCTCGGCCTGCCCTTCACATGGCGGCCCCGGCTGTGCGACCACAGCACCCGATATTCTCCATGAAGACTCGCCGAGTAGTGCGTTCTTCAGCGGAAGCCTTGCTGCGGGCTTTTTGGCCTTTGTTTCGTATAGTCACCTCTTTGGCTCTCTTGTTTATCGACAACACCATTCTCGTGGTGGTCGCTGTACTGTCCCGATTTCGTGCTGCAGCCAACCGGCGCCAGGCAGCACAGCGCAATGTTCATTTCTATCCCAAAACAGTTCTGATCACCGGAGTTGGGACACCGCATGGCCTCGCTCTCGCTCGTGCTTGGGATGCAGAGGGCCATCGTGTGGTCGGTGTTGATGTTGCCGATTTGAATATCCCAGTTCGGTCGGGCGGCGGTATGTCCAGTGCCCTCCTGGCATATTATCGAGTACCCAAGGACCACTACATCTCCCGAATTCTGGATATCATTCATCGTGAAAAGATTGACGTTTGGATTCCATGTTCGCCCAAGGCTACTGCCATCGAAGATGCCACTGCTAGACAGGTGATCGAAAGTCGAACCACCTGTAGGTGCATTGCGTTCGATCCTGAATTAACATCACGATTAATTCGACCCGACTCTTTCCGACAGTTCCTTGCTGAGCGGGACCTTCCAGTGCTCGAACAGCATCAGGTGCAATCGCGCGACTCAATTCATAAGATTTTGAATCGATCGCCGACCAAATCGTATCATATGCGACGGGTCAAGTCGAATGCCAACGAGGCGGCTGTCATCTTGCCAAAGCGCACCCTCAGCAAAACTTATTCTGAAGTCAGCGAGATCACAATCTCCAAAGAAACCCCATGGATCATACAACAGCAGACCCGACTCGGAGAATTTTACGCAGACCTGTTGCTTGTGCACGGCCACGTCCATGCCATCAAGGTTCGGATGGTGGAAACTCGAGCACCTCATTGGGGTGCCTCGCGCATGGACGAAGCATTGGCAACAGCCGTGCATCGACTCATGCAGAGGTTTGCTTTGAAGGGTGGCATTCGGATGACGGGGCACTTGTCCGTCAGGCTCCTAGTTGATGAAGAATTCGATCATACATCGGTTCGGCATACCATCCATATTGCCGACTGCGTTCCTGGAGCCAGCGCCATCGAGAACTTGCTCCGTGATGCGCGCTCCCCCGTTGCGGGATACCTCGAGGTACTAGCGGCAGAGCCTACTGAGCCGGCAGCATGGAACGTGGCTACGACACTATCGCCAATCCCTCGCCCATCATCAAATTTGGTGGCAATGGTGGAAAACCTTCTGACCAGGTTCTCTCCACGGTTTTTTCCTTTGGATCTCATCAAAAGTACTATCACTGCGCTTGAAGCTGAATTGGTTCCATTCTTATTCTGGAAGGATCCTCGATTCGAACCCCATGATCCTCTCCCTTGGTGGTGGCATGTTCATGTGTATCAACCCATGCGCGAGATATGGCTGTTGGTGAAGCAGATCCGTGAAGCTGGAATGCCTACTGTTTCCAAGGCGCGCCAGTGGGACGGATTATGAAATTTATTCACGAGCTTGATGACTGATGAGGAGAATTGCATTTTATCAGCCGCAACTACTGGCGACTGTTCTTTTCGGTATCAATTTATGGTTTTAGTCAGGCTTTCACGGGTCCGTGTATCACGAATGACGGGGCTAGCTCTAAGTATACTTCCTTGTGCACTTTGACCAGACCAGGCCATTTCATACGTTTTGGAGGATCTCGACAAGAAATTAGGTGGAGCCTAGTCCAACGTCATCCGCAGCTGGATCAGCGGTTAACTATTGTGCCATAGCGTACTCCATACGGAGTGGTGTAGGATCAATTCATAGGCATACGCGGAGGACTCCACCGTGGCCAAGTGTGGCTGAGGATGACCCAAAATAGAAACACACGGGCTGTCGCCTGGGCGATGATCGCCGGGCTGTGGGCAAAAACAGCCAGCACGGCACTTTGGGATCCCACGCTCTGCTTCATGTTTTCATAAGCCTTTAGCTAACGACCTCACGAATTCACCCCGACGAACTCATACAAGGTAAATCGAAACCATCGTGAGCTCGTGCGTGCCTTTGCTTACCCCGTCAACGAAGCTGACGTCGACAACCAAAGCCAAGAAAATCCCGCTGCGCGTCCCTCCGAACTTCTATCTCCCCCATCCATTCCGCTGTGTCTATCGCCTTTCCTCTACATTCTTCGCCTATTCTCGAGTCTATCGCAAGGAGGGTTCTCGATCTGCACCCCTGTCTGATCATCCGTCTACTCCACTCGTGAACCTGTGGTCTTGGTCTTTATCTCTCCGCTCGGCACCTCCGCGGCTTCGTCGGGTCAATCTTGAAAGGGCTGAAACACCCTTGCAGTTCTGCATCTTTTCTCGGGGTTCTTACACCCACCCACCGCTATCATGCAGTTGCGAATGCCCCGAGCGACGGGCGGCAATTTGGGAAGAACCAAGAATATCATCCATTTCGTGCAGGCGTTTGTGATTTTCATTGCGTGGGCCATGACGATCGCGATCTGGACAAAGGGTGATGGTATCGATGGACGGACAGTATGGTACTGGATCTTGGTGAGTTTTCTCTTGTCGCCCTAAGGCTTTGTCCCCGATGGGCCCCCATTTCGCTCAAGGGTGGCCCATGGGCTCGATAGACCTTGCAGCTAACCACACGCTGGATGCAGTGTTGGATCAGTATCCCCGCTCTGATTTATCTCGCCGCTGTGCCCATGTGGCCCCGAGCCCGCCGATTTGGAAATGTGTATGCTTTTGCGACGGTCGACCTTATCTTTACTGTGTTCTGGTTCAGTGCCTGGGTTTGCCTAGCTTCCTACGTTGCGCAGGGAAAGAGCATCGGAAAGTCGACCAGCGATGATTCAAGTTCATCTTCAACTTCATCCAGCACCAAGTCTCGTCGCGCCTCGAGCAGCACGAAGTCCGGTTGTGACAACTGGGCTTATGGCAGTGCTGGCAAATGCAAGATCAGCACGGCGACCACTATCATCGGTGTTTTTGTCTTGTATGTGGATCTTCCTTCTCCTATCGACTCTGCTGGGGCCATCATCAGTAACTAACTGTCCAACCCTTGTATAGCCTTCTCTTTGCCGTCACCGCTTGGATGTCCTTCCGCAATGTGATGCACTTCCGTCGCACCGGTACCCTCCCCGACGCAGTCTCCGATCCCACCTTCGCCGCCCAGAGCAAGGCCGCCTTCTCTTCGAACCCGGCCCATGACTTCGAGGAGGATGAGGATGACTTCCGCTCTGGTCGTGCCGGTATGGCCGCACCATCTGCCAGTGAGCGCGACGAGGACTATGCTCTGCTTCAGCAGAGCGAGATGGACGACATTAGCAACGCGCACGGCCGGACCGCAATGCACGGTGCTTATGACCCCACTGGGCCTGCTCCCGGCAGTGTTCTCCACGACTATAATAGCACCGGCTATGGTGGTGCTCATGGGCAACACTACGCCCCTCCATCGGAGTATGGCTCCTCGATGAGCGGGTATGGTCGGTAGGGAAGGAGAATACAGGATTGAGGATGGATGATATAGAGCTTGGAAAGTCGAGGCATTGATGCCGGCATATGAATACCCCAAAATCATTTCAGTGGTTTCTATCTCCTGCTCTATTTTTATTGTGTGCTGGACATGACTACGAAGCGGTGTTGGCTGGCGCATAGTTTGTTTCTTGGTTTATGGAGGACCCTCTTGTTGCCTTATCTTTTGGCGTGTTTCATGGGGGCTTGCCCCGAGTGATGATTGTGTTTTTTTGGTATGAATGAGGAATTTAGGCAAATAGATTGCAAATTTCAACCGTGACTTCATGAAGCTCTGCTGGATCGTTCATATTCGCATCGTATTGAATGTTGACTCTTCACTAATGATGCAGCAAGCGCCAAAAACCGATAACATTCTGCCACCGCCTTCTCGGCGTGCATGTGGACAGCTTGCGATCTCCCCGGACGGCGATCGCGGGATATTTTGAACACGACACGTTTAAACTCGAGGTCAAGAGTCATTTGGAAAATACTCCTCCTTGTCATTCATTTGTTTTGCTGGTAAAGCCCCCAGTCCTGCATCCCAGTATTCCTTCGAATACACTCCCTCCATCTCCCCCTCTATGTCCCAGTCCACCAACACAAGCTAATTATCACCAGGATCCTCAATTTATACCTCAAAACTACCATATTAAAGGACTATCACAGTCCTCCCAACTCTCGCAATGGCCTCCGAAATCGACCTTTTCAATGAATACCCCCTCCACATGGACCCAAGCTCAAAAGCCATTTCCCTGCTCCCATCATCCTCCCAAACCGCCGCCCAAACAGCAGCCATCATCGCCGAACTCCAAGAACTAAACGCCCTGCACCGCTCCCTAATCAGTCTCGACCCACCCAATATCCCTCCACCCCCTCTTCCCGTCAACCCCAAGCGCAGCGCACAAATCACCAAGCTCCGCGACTCGGGCAACGCCGCCTACCGCAAGTCCAACTACGCCGAGGCAATTCGCCTGTACACCTACGCCATCGAGATGGCGCTTTCTCGGCCCGGGTGGGAGCCTGTTACGCTGGCGCGCGAGGAGTTGGCCGGTCTATACGGGAACCGCTCTCAGGCGCATGTCGGTATGCAGGCGTGGCCGGAGGGACTGTGTGATGCTAAAGCTAGTGTGGACTCGAAGCCGGTGGGCAATGTGAAGGCTTGGTGGAGGCTTGCTAAGTGTTTGGCGGAGATGGGTCGGTATGCCGAGGCGAAGACTTTCTTGTCGAAGGGGCTTGAGATTGAGGGGAGGGATAGTGATGGTGGCAAGGAGCTGGTGCAGTTGTTGGAGGATGTGGAGGCTGCTTTGCAGCGGTCAGGCTAGGATGATGAGATATCCCTGGCGTTGCCTTCCTTTTTCATTGTCAGCTTTGGCTCTGTATGCTGGCTGGCTTCGGTATCTTCTTGCTGTTGTTGGCCAGGATTGACGATTCCCTCTTATTGTTTGTGGCGTTTCATTGGCGAATAAATGGTTATTTCATTCATGCAATGTACTACCGTGGTCTTTTTCGGATTGATAGATTCTACAACTGCATTTTTGTTGCTCTAATCAACGTATGGTCCAACACTTGTCTCACCCAACGCTAGAAAGGAAAGGCGTGGGGGATAGTTCCTACCGTGCCCGTAACTATTGCAACATGGACTCGCCTTCCAAGGGACTTCTGGGTCGATATAGCACAGAGATCGAACCCTTAACAGTGAAATCACATTCAGGCTTCAAAGGATTCTTGCAAGTAGGGGGCAAAACCTTGTTCATAACGTTAATAAATTCAGCCGTGGAAATGCCACACCCCGCAACAAGCCAGCGTCACCACGAATACGAGCGCCGAGAGTGCCGACCAGCCTTTCTACAACTTTCCATGTCTATCCATCTGTCTCACACGATCAGTTTGTTCTATGAGTACTCTCCGCCCCTTATCATTGCTAGCTAATAGAAAGCCGTCCAAATGGCCCGGCAGCCGGCTACAAAGGTGCCCGTTCCACCTACGCTGGGAGAGGATGCGGCGGAGCGCAAGCGAGTCTTGAATATCCTAGCGCAGAGAAGATATCGTAAGTTGGTTCCTATATCGCTCGGAACACTCTGACTAACCATATGTTTCAGGGAAGAGAAAAAAGGAGAGGCTCCAGGCGCTAGAGTCTCGTGCTAAAAGTTCCGTACTTCCTGGGGACACTGTCGTGTCTAACCAGCAAGAAGGCCAATCTAGTGGGACCCCTTCAGAGGCCGGGAATCTTGCGCATGAGGCACCGAGGCATCTGTCTGCAGAAAGCAACTTCATTTCCTCTAGTGACACCCATTTTGCCGGTGTGGCCGACCTCGACTTCAATTATATGGATCCATCGATGAACCTTGGCTTGAATGACGATGAAACAGGCAACATGCTCTATACTACACTATGGCCCAAGTCTCAAAGCTTGACTTCACTCAGCTTGCCAACGTCAGAGATTCTCCAATCCGACATATCTTTCGCACTTCCCGCCACAACTGCCGGGGACACGTTTTGGGGCCAATTAGCAGGGAGTTCAGATTGGAACTTGGAGTCTCACGATCTTGTCAATGTTGAAAATCACCTTGCAGAGTCGTTACCGCTCAACATGGATGGTACATACGATCTCTCTGCCGAGCTGCAGGCCGATGATACTTCATTCTTCACATTCCCCGATGACCGAATACTCCAAGTTCCTTCGCTGACACTGCTAAACGCTGCTATGAAAGTGGCACAACGATTGAATATCAACGGTTTGATATGGGACTTTACCGCCGTCAGTCCTTTCTATAGCCCTGCCAGCTCAAGTAGCTCCATCCCTTCGCCTCCCTCCCTGCAATCGGGCCCATCAACCTCCGTGGCATCACCCACAAGCTCAGTTGATCTGACAGAACTTCCACTGCACCTCCTTCCCACGCGGACTCAGCGTCTGATTCCGCACCATCCAATTATTGACCTTCTCCCTTGGCCAAGTACTCGAGATAAACTCATTCAAGTCTTTCAGCTCCCCGTCAATCTGCGGCCACCGACCGCTCAAGACCCAATGGGTCTTGTCCGACTGGTATACGACATGGAAGATGAGGGTGGTGAAGGGGTGAGGATTAACGGGGATGACCCTTTCGAGCCCTCTGTCTGGGAGATAGGACAAGTTGTATTCGAGAGGTGGTGGTGGGCATTTGAGATAAGTGTGGTGGAAAGGAGTAATCGGGCAAGGGGCAATAGGGGAGAAAAAATATTATTATTGGAAGGCCAAAACTCATGAAGAAAGAAGGAGTTTATTAGTGTCGATAGTCTGAAATCAATATTCGCAATCTTACATGACCGCGCCAAATCCATTAACTTCTCTGAGGCATCTACTCTTGACCCTGAATAGCGTGCGCCGACTTGAGAAGTACCCAAATTGGAACTGAGATGCTCCATGCCCAAAGACCAGTCCGTAGGTAGCTTGCAGCCTCTGATTTGACGCCCATGTAGGCCATGGTGTATAACACGCGAGCGCTAAGATAGTCAAAAGCCAGCCAATTCAAGTCTTTCGCTGGAAGTTTCGCAAGATTTCCAGCCAGCTATATTGAAGAGTCCATTAGTTTCAAAAGCTCTGAATAAAAGGAAATTGTGAGGAGGTTTACCATTGCAGTGGCAAACATAGGAATTCCCTCCATGGCATTGAGGTGGGCGCCACGAGCACGGGCAAGCTTGTCCCAGACTTGACCCGGAATGCGTCCCTTCAGATTAGCTAGATTATCGCGAGGCCTAAACTTTGTTAACATAATAAATCACTCTAGTGGCATATGATTGGCATACAGGATATTGCTCGACTGCCCTTTGGAATTGGCCATCATCTTGACGATGTAATATCCGTGCGGGGCGATGCCGAGGCCGTACGCCGCGACGATGGAATAAATAGAATAGTTGTTGCTAGACATGGTAACAAGTGGAGATCTTTCAAATTAATTGAATAGAGGTGATAGTTGAAGGTTGAATTGTGGCCGAAATGAATATTTGGTAAGTATGATGGGAGAGTCTCATAGAATACTTCCTCGCTTCTATATAATTGATGGACATAACGTTAAGATTTTCCGCATTAACGCAGCTTGGACTAATCCCGATCTAAAGACAGAGAGTCACTATTCCGAGGGAATTATTTCCGGTCAGCTTCCGGACGGTTTCTCGTTAAGCGGGATAACGACATGGTAACTCTGTAGTCACTGACGCTTAGGCGCTCTTTGATTATGCGAAGCCTCGGATTGGTGGGTTGTGGGGTTACAGCCACTGCCAGCTTCCTTCTGCGCACGAGCATAACGTTATGTTCGCAGCCACAATAATTTAGTAAACATTCAACTCGGTAACTAGTAGGTGAATACGAAGTTTGGGAACATAAATGACCTTGACTGATTTCCATAAGCATAATGGAATTTCCTGCCTAACGCACTTGCTCCATTATAAATTTGCCGTATGTCAAGCATATATATTTCGCGCTCGGTCTACACTATCGCACAGCTCACTATCACAAGCTCATCACTTTGAACAACCAAGAGAAAGTAGCTCTTTCTAAGCTATACCTAAACAATCTTGCACTTACCTCGTTACATTTAACTCAATGCCTCGCTACACTTCGCCAGTGGATGGTGCACAGCTGTACTATCGCGACTACAAACCTATTTGCAACGGACAAGCAAACACCGGCACAAAACCCGCTCTCGTCTTTCTTCATGGATGGCCATACTCTTCTCTAGCATGGGAGACTCTTACTGTACAGTTATGTGAGAACCATGGCTTCCGATGTATTGCCCCCGATCGCCGTGGATTCGGGAAGAGCGATTGGGATGGTCCACAGAGTGATACCCAGATCACCTACGAGACCTTTGCCGAGGATACTGTGCACTTGCTAGAGAAGTTCCTTGACGTCGGGCCCTTTGTTTTTATCACCTCTAGTATGGGCGCTGGCGAGAGTATCCTTGCGCTTGAAGCGAGTGATTATCTCTGGAAGAATTGCAAGGTATGTACACCGTCTCACCTTGTCCCATCCAACCATATATAGGAGAACCTTGCTAATTAATTGCAGGGCCTCATTTGGGTAGCCCCGGCGCTGCCAGGAAAATTACCGGGAGAAGACAACCGTACAACAGGACCGAAAGCAGTCTGGGATGATATCTGTGCTGGTTTCCAAAAGGCCCGAGCCGATTTTGTTCATGCTGCCCTTCCTGGGGTCATAGTGGGCACTTCGGAGCTTACAGTATCTCCTGAGGTACTGAGACAACATGAGAAGATTGTTGAGGATGCCGATGGGCTAGCTATTCAGCGCTGCGCTCATATTGTTCGCGAAGCTGATTTCAATGACCAGCTCTTGCGATTCAAGAAAGATTCTAGTGTGCCAATTCTTTGTGTTCATGGGGACTCTGACCAGGGTGCGCCGTATGAGAAGAGCACAAAGTTGATCAAGGAGATCATTCCGCGAGTTCAGGTGGAACTCTACGAACAGGCAGCCCATGGTAAGACTATCTATCTGTTATACGCTCTTGTATTCACGACCAGTGAAATATGTAAGATGCTAATCTTGATTTCTAGCCCTTAATGTCACACACGCCGAACGGTTGCTCAACGACGTTCTGAAATTTGTTCAGGCTTGAATTTTATGTGATGGTCGATCGACAGTCATCAGAATTTGGAATATTACTGTTCTTGCTGAAACTCATCTGTATTCACGGCTACCCGACTAATGTATTCTAATTGCACATACTATTTCGCGATCATTCTCATGGCACTACAAAAACCACTTGACACTACAACGCTGATTCTGATTTGAAACGCAACTTCCGGGTATGAAATGATACAAAGACATTAAGGGTGTTCGTGAGTTGCGCTTATGTGAAGGGGTATACAATGGAGTTAAATAGGTTTGAAAACCGCACACCAAACTTCCAAATTATCTATGGGGTCAGTGATGCTCCAGAAGATCAATCGAGAGATCTTACCAGGGTTGTTCGAAAAGATGATTGGAAAGACATCACAAAGGATCTTTAGATATAGAGATTGTAAAAGCTTACCTAGCTAGCCATTTCTTGCTAGCTCTTGCTTCACAGTTCTAAATTACACTGTATACACATAGGGTCTGAATAAGGGTTGTACAGATATGGGATGTACTATACACTACGCTTGATGTACGTTTCTACTTATGCTTTGAATCGCAGTGTCGCTAAATTTTCTTGTAGCGCTATGAGTATGATTCTTAATTGAATGCTAAAAGTGAGGAACGTGTTACTTCTCCGAATGCTATTAGCGCTGCACCTGTCGCTCTAACTTTGGTTGTCGCCTGCTGGGAACTGGGAACTCTTTTACTCTTTCGCTTCGCTGCAAGGCATGGTTTGTATTAGGCAATTATGATAGCTAGTCAAAACGCTCTATCCACGGTATTATATCATCGGTTGAAAATAAAAATCACTGCAGAGAAGGGGGTACCAAGGTGATCAACTTTTGGCCCAGCTCTGATCGCATCTCGATCAAACGGGGGTCTTAGCGATAGAAAGTTTAAAGAAAACGACTTCCTCTAGCACCAACACTGCAACGATCATGGTGGGATAGGTATTTCTCGAAACGCTTGACATGGGGAGCTCTACAGCAGAGAATCCTCAGGATCAAGGGCCTTGGAGGCCTTTTCGAGGGAGGCGTAGAGGGCAGAGTTGTCAATCTTGATGGTGGAGACGCAGTAGGGCAGCGCCTTACTGGCAACACGTTCGAGGAAGGCCTTTATAAACGTCGAGTGTCAGGTCATATCATGGGTTGGGTGGGACGGAAAGTTAACGTACAGCAACGTTCTCCTTGTTCTTAGCAATGGCTTCGCGCAGAGTCTTGCGTTGAGCCTTGTTGAAGGACATGGCGTAGTCGATGAAGGCGTCGTTTGCCTCGATACTGCTCAGAGCAAACTGTACTTTCGGAGAGACCTCATAAGCGTCTCAAGTTCGGCAGATAAAGGTAGGCATCTTAAGCTCCCAGAAATAAAAGTTGTTCGTCTTACCCCGTGGAATGCCTGGCAAAGAACCAACTGAACACTTTCAATAGGTGCCTCGTCAATTTCCATCATGTTCATCATCTCCAGATCTTCGGCCTCGGATGTGGCAGTGGCGTTGTAGGAGGAGACGACAGCCTGCATTGATTAGGGTTAGCTACTTGTTATGGAGAATTGAAGTGTCAAAGCTTCGGGCTGGGCCGTCACCTACATCGGGAGTGACATCGCCGGTATGGTGGCTGAGGTGGTTCAAAAGCAGAGTAGTTTGCTTCTGGCCAATATCAAGTCCGACAATGTTGTTTTGCAAGCCAATCGCGAGGTCAGAGGGGCTCGTAGCGGCAAAGACTGAAGTGGTCAGGGTCAGGGCCGCAGCCAGGATGATATTCTTGAAATGCATGATCTCGGAGGTAAAGACTGTAAAAGTTGGGCTGTAATGAGTGTACTTCGTAGACCTAATCTAGTGATAATGGCAACGAGGGTTGGCGGCTCGTGCCGGAATCATCGGATGTGAAGTCCTTATATCTCGACCATTTCATCATGACAAATCATCTCATATTGACTGCATGATCGGTCTGATGCCAAAAGTACTTATTAACATCTGAAAGCATAGAAGGGAGTCAGGGGTTTTCTAATTTGACAGTAACCGGGCTTCACGTTGCGATACACTACTGCACGTTTCAACAAACTAGTGGCCTGCGAACGAGGGGATTTGACATTTTTTCTACCGTGGAGCCAAGGAATTTCGCATTAGTGGAACTATGATCTACGAAGATTGAGGTGGAGAACTGAAAGAGTTGCACGGGTATCTCGATGCCGGGCTTTGACTATTGGCCGGCGTGGAGGCCTAATTTTAAGACACCGTGAATCTTAAGCTTCTAGCTGCTGACGAAACCCGGGTAGTTGATCAAGAACGGGCCAGCTGGTGGGCTGTGTAAGCAGATCATTTCTCTTCTTAGTTTTTTTTTTCCAAATTGTAACTCAAATAACCCTCGTCTTGATGTGCATCCGCCCCCACTCGCCGAGACCAGAGCACAGAGCACACATATTTTCCCTAGGTTAATGAGATGAAACATTGTGCTACTTGCTAGAAAAAAAATTGCTTGTGCTTGGAAGGAAGATTAGAAAACAACGGCGCATGTAGGGCTAAGAGATCTAAATCTATAAGTTCAGTATTCGGGCAACATGTAAGTTATTCAGGGGTAGAAGGTATGAATCAGCCAGAAAAACAAAGACTACCGACAAGTGATAGCATCAGCCTATGCATAGAAAGGCAAAACTGCAGAGAAGTTGGCAAGGCCTGTCACAAAATGTCGTTTTCGTTGAGAAAACTCAATGCATATCAATCTGCTTTGTATTGAATCAGTCTCACTGCGTGAGCAGTTGTAGTCAGGGATACACCTCTAGCTCTTCAATCGACTAGTTACAGAAGCGCTACATGATGAGCTAAGGGAAACTCGCCAAAAATTAAGGATTCGGTGATTTGCAACATATTCCTCAAGCACGATGTCGATCGCCATCTTATCGCGTGGATGAGCCCGTGGATGATCACTTCTGAAAAAATTGACCTGCAAGACTGGTACAGATCCGTAGCTATGAGTCAATGCTACCTCGCGATCGGGGCTTATCCGACTGATCTATCGTATACCGAAAACAGTGATCATTTATTGGTAATGGGATGGAAACCATTTCATGGGCTGCCATAAAATGATGTTTGTTTACGGCCTTACTACTTTGGGTGGCGTGGCTCCTTGATATTGGAAGGAGAGACATTGTGGATTACACAAAATAATTGGAAATAGCATGAATAATCACATACTCTTCTATATAACTAACTAATCTTCCTGCTGATGACAGCGATAGAGTGTGTCCGGCTCCAAGTCCGGCAAACGTCGACCAGCCGTGCCCGCACGACACACCCCGTCCTTGAAACACCCTTTGTCACCCCAGTAAAGACGAGCATGATCCCACTCATCCACAAGCCTCGCTACTCGTTCCAAATTGCCATAGGTCGCTGGAAGGCTACCCCTGGGTTGTTTCTTCAACATGTACTCCGAACCAATTGCCAAGACGATGAACAGAACCATGAGAGCAATTATCGGTAGAAGCGCAATATTGACCGAAACATCCGCAGTGAGCGCATAACCAAAGACCCACTGTATGGTGGCCTTCATCGCCAACATGATCAGCATTTGCCGGCTGAAATTCGACCTTATAGAGGGGTTGGCATTGACGCCAATCGTTTCCAACTCGCGCCATGCCGCTTCATCACGCGACAGGTTGAATAGTAGCTCCACGCAATGCAATGCAAATGTGAGAAAGGACTGGGCGATGATTTGGATTACTAGTCCAAGCCAATAAGGGGGCGATTTGGTGATCTTCTTATAGTCCCAGTACATGGCTCCGTAGAACCTCCAGTAGCCCCCTGCCCCGCTGGAAAAGTCGCCAAAGTTCTCGGCCATGTAGCCAGTGGTTGCGGTCACTATCCCTTGAGCCAGAGACCAAACGGTAAATATGGCGCAGAAACCCCAGATTAAGCGTCGGATGATCTGAACATGTGGCGCCATACTGAGCATTGAGTCTTGTATACCCCGGGATGAGAAGGTGACCTCCGGATATGTGTCCTCGGATGAGTCGGAGGTCGCCTCTTTACGATCCAGCCATGCGCTCGCATTGGAAAGGAGATTGTTGTTCCAGGTCTTCACTTCATTGCTGCACAACAAACTGTAAGTTGACACACCGACCTGCAACGCAACTCCAATGCCAAGAACAAATATTGCCAAGCCGTTGATATCGATGATATCGGATGTCTCAGACGGTCCGTATTCTACTTCGTGCGTGTCTTCGTTCCACTGTCCAACAATAATCACGTCTGTGATGGCAGCCGAGGTAGCCCCATACGAGACAGCCAACCCAAAAAGCGAAATGGAGTTCATATACCAGCTATTAGGCCCATGTGCACGGGCGCTGGTGAAAAGTCGTACGTTCGAGTTGAACTTGAGCCGGCCTTCCTTGAAAAGAGCCCATTTGAGGGTGGCCGCGTGTATGTAGTTCGTGGTGTCAAGGATAATAGTTACGAGGAAGTTCAAGAGTAACTGTATCAATACCGACGTTCCCTGGTGAAGTTGTTGTATGCGGTGACTGTGAGGATAGGTTTTGCCGGGCCTCATAGTATGTAAGAAGAAATTGACCATGACTACCTTCAATCTCACGTATGATGGGATCTCGAAATGGTCAGCGCTGAGCATGATCGCTCCCGCAACGAGACACAGGGATGCAAAGATCCATCCAAATGCGAGTCCGGCTATGCAAAAGTTACGAGTTCCTAAGTCTGGGTCCACTTTGCCATGATGCGACTTGCAAACTGCGCAGGTTTGGACGTTTTCTTTGGCCATGCTGAATAGTATTCGATCCCATTCAATATATCACTGTGGACGGGACCGGAATGGATCTACTTCAACCTTGAGGGCCCTATAAGCATTCTATGTCATAACTCTGGGCATGCCGTGTGACAACTCACCCAAGCTTCTTTTAGGTGAGGCGTAACCTTGAGACTCGCAGAGGGCAAAAATATAGCAGATGAAGCTCCATTCTATTTCTCTTAGCCTCCACGTAGGGGTGAGAGACAAGGTCATTTTATACTATGGGCAGTGGCAGTGCCAGTAAGGAGAAAGATTTGAGCAGTCCACTATCAATTTGCCGAAAAGGAATCTGTCAAGGAATGTCTGCTTTCTCCCCTCCGCATACCTCGTATTTGGTCAAGCAGACCCGTTTCGCTCGCAAGGTTCACAGGAATTTAAGGCATCCAGCGTGCACATGTTTCTTTGACATTGAGAGCGGGTATTGGAGTGCAACGGACGCGAAAGAAGAATGCCAAGCCTGTTCTTCCCCGACATGATCAAATAGTCGAGATCAACAACCAAATATTTGAATATAGGTGACGTTGCTAGCTGTGTGAATGTGCAATAGTAATTCACACTTGCGAGATTTATAAGGGGCCCGTTGCTTGTCGAAATCTCTGAAGCACGACCTGATTACGAGCCATCATGCACTTGGTATTCGCTCTCCTTGCTCTCTACCCGTTCGCTCACGCACTTGCGGTAGATAGCACTCATCTATCATCGACCCCGAGTGCTTCCGATTCTTATAACACTACAACGGAACTTGGCTGCAATTGCCTTCCAGCTGAAGACTGCCCGAAGAGTTGCACGTGTTGTTTGCATATTGCTGAATATGATCGTTTCCTGTTATACGAAGGTACTTTGATCGAGCTCATTATCATCGTAAGATATCGGGAGAAGGCTAACGCTCTACCAGACTCGCGCATTTCAGGGGATGATTGATTAGGCTGTCTGAGAGCTATGACTTGATACCAATAGGGAGCCGATGTCAAGGAAAATTCCTTTCTGTTGAATGTCTTTCCATCCTATTATACAATTTAATGAAGGGTGACTTGGGAGATGGGCGGCGTGTAGGTTGTTAACCAATCTACTTGAAGATTTCGGAACAAACCTCGGAAACAAGGTAGAAATAAAAAGCCGAATTTAGAATATCCGCTCAATCAGTAATCATATATGTACACATACAACCAATGTCAACATGCTCCCTTCAACCTTAAACCAAAACACTGGATCCATCGCTCTTCTTGCATCCACAAGCTCCCGCGCCGGACGCAACCTGTGTTGGTGTCCGCGAATAGCTAGGCGGGACATCAAGAACAGGATTACGATCGAAGAAATTGCGAGGACGAAGGAGCAAAGTCATAGGCTCAGCGGGCATGATGGGATAGTCCTCGGGCGCGGGAAAGTGAGTAAGGCCGAATGTATGCCAGAGGACAATGTCCGTGTTGTCAATGGAGCAGTCGGAGCCTGCAGACTCAATCCACGCGGGCAGACCCTGTGAAGGTTCGCCGGAAGTCTGAGGAACGTGGCGGCCCGCGGGGTGGATTTCGTCGTCGGAGTCTGGAATGTGGTTAGAAATTTGTCAACGTGGAGCAAGGGGTTTTCTTAGGTATGCATACATTTAGTGACGTGAACCGCATGACGCGCGAAACCGGCCCGCTTCCAGACTAGGCCACCCTTCTTGGGTAGGAGTGGAGGCACGTCACGGCTGACAAGTTTGTAGGAGACGGGCTTTTTGCTATATGGGTTGAGCTTGTTGGTGTTGGCCATATCCCAGGTACGGCTGGTGGAACCGTCATAGTCGGACATGGCTTCGCGGGGGGTATTGAACTTGGTCTTCTTTGCGTAGAAGGCGTTGCCGTACTTGTTCTCCGCACTGCCGACTTCACCGGGCCCTTGGACAGCGTCCACCTGGAAAGCTGTGTTGTTGGGACCGTCGATATTAGGATCCACGCGCAGGCAGAAGAGATGCTGGTGGTTGTGGGCGTTGACACCGGGGTAAACCTCCGTGCCCCAGCCCTTGGTGTCCTCACCCGGGTTCATGGCGTAGGTGTTTAGGATACCGGTCAGCTTGATCTCCAGCTGAACTGTGCCATCCTGATGGAAGATCCAGTACACGCAGTATTCGTAGTTGGCGGCCGTGAAGATGTGTGAGATGATAAGCTTGCGACCGCGGGTCACTACGATCGACTCGTCACGGAAATCGGTGTGTTTGAAGAGGATACCGGCATCCTCTTCGTGAATGCAAATCGCATTCTTGATGGTGTTCGCAGCACCGGCTCGGTTAACGAACGAGGCATCCATGTAGTGAATAGCACCCTTGCAATCGCAGCCAAGAGCGAGACTGTTGGTCATGTAACCACCACCGTATTCACCAAGATCGAATGCATGCTTCCGCTGGTGAGGGTGTTCGGGGTTTCCGTAGGGAACAACCATCTCTGCCAAGGAGAGACGCCAGAAAATTGGTCGAACGTTGCCCTTGTCATTGAACGTGATGTTGTTAAGGACGATACCTTCACGGTAGTTGAAGCCGACGTGGATGCTCCAATTCTGCCATTCGATAGTCCGTCCCTTGACCTCGAATGACACACCCTCGGGCTGAGTGATGTGAATGGGCTTGATATCTTTTCGGAAGCCACCTTCCTTCTCAATGGAAGCTGGGTCGTAGTTGTTCGGAGGAGCTTTATTGACAGGTCGACGTACGGGAGGCACATCAATGTGAATAATCTCCTTAGTCTCCGAGTTAAAGATAGGGCAGAAGTCGAGAGGATAAGTATACTGCGAGTCATCGGGGTGGGGTCGGTAGTACATGAGAGCCTGCTGCAGACGCACACCACTGCCGAAGCGCTCATCATATCCAATCGTCCATGCTAAATGAATGGTCAGCCCAATGCCACTAGGTTGTCGGATAATCCACGGGTTGTACTCACGATCACAGTATACCTTGTGCATATCCTGTGGAGGAATACCAATGATGCCACACTGTTCAATAACCTTGGGGTCCTTGCGAACCACGTGCTCGACCTCCTGCAGGTCCTCCATGGTAATCAAAGGCTGCACATCAGGAGTGTGCTTCCACTCTTCAATCTTGTTGTTCTCGAGATCAACCAGACCATCGTACACCTTGCCACCCGGTGCAATGGCCACGATATCGGCCTTTCGCACTGGGCGAGGGGAGGTCTCTGGGTTAGCCACCCAGGCCATCATCTCGGCCTTTCGGGGCTCATAGAGGGTCACCGTATTGAAGTTGAGCGAGCCATGTTCCTTTCGGATAATGGCTACCGCGGCATCAATTTCTGCTGAAGAGAGAGGATCCAAAGGATGCGGAGGTGCAGCTGTCGCAGTGACCTGATGGGCCAACTGCTGGAGTCGATCAAGAACCATATCGCAATGTGAGTGACGTGTGTCGAGCTAGTGGTCGGATGTAGTTTGCGGCGGAGGTATATAGCGGACAAGGTAGGGTATGGGCCAAGGGAGTTAGGGTAAGTGAAGAGCCACCAATTATCGATGATCACCACAGTGTCCTTGGAATAAATCTGAATCACATATTTTCCATGGGATACCACATGGTTTTAAACCCATCAACCCCTCCAACGTCTGGTAGAGCTCCCCAGCCATATCGATTAGATAAGAGACCGCCAATTGCGGAGGCCGGATCCCTTCACCCGATTGAGTTTAGCGTCTATACTCTATGCGTTGAGGACTCCAAAGAGGCAACCCGATGCTTGCGAGCAGATAAGACTCCGCCGGCTCCCAAACGTTACTCATGGCATTTTGTAACGCGGGGATCGCTGGATCTCGCATCCTGTCCCTCAATGCGGACATGGTATTCTGAGCCCTCTTTCCCGTACTAAGGGATGTCAGTCACAGCTCTCGGAAACTGAAGCGTCATACTTTGAGCACTGCACTACTGGGGGCGAATATTCGATGCCATGTTGGCATTAGAGAAGCATTTCAAGTTCCCGCTGTACATGAGACAGTCCCCCAGTCCACTCTACCTAGAAGTATAGAAAGCAATTGACACCATAGCAAACAGGCAACAGAAGGCCGGAAAGCCCAAACGCCTCGCACATGGATTCAGGTACCAGCCAGATTCAACAAGCAGAGAAAATAAGAGACGAGGAAACAATGGCAGATGAATAATAAAAATGTATGGCAGAAAAAAAAAACACCGTACACCCTCCCGATACCCCCGAAAAGAACACCTCCCCCAGACGCACAGAAAGATCCCGACTAGAAACGGTGGGACCTATGCAAAAGCGACAGGCGAGAGAAGACAAATGCCGAAGAGATCGAAAGAAAACCAGCACAGGGTCCTTGTGCTTATGTACATGCATCAAAATCGTATGAAATCACTACTCCCAAGTCCTTCCACGTGGTTCGTATCGCATTTTCTATCGGCCGGGCGTTGGGTAGCCAGAGTGATGCTGAGGTGTGTGGGAGTTATTAGGAGTGCTGGGCGTTCCGGCGGCGGAATAGATGGTGGCTCCGTTGAGGTTCGGTGTCTGCTGGGCCATGTGGTAGTTCACTGCCGGCATCTGTCCATTCAGACCCCAGATCTGGCCGGAATACTTGCTCTCGTCAATCTTGCCATTGAAGACCAGCTGGCGCATCTTCCAATAGATCTCGCCGGTGACCAGAGAATCAGACCCAGCCTGATGGGCAATGCCGATGCGCTTCACACCCAGCTCGTCCGCAATGTCTTGGAGACCCGATTTTTGGCCGAGATTGGTAAGGATCTGGGCGGCAGCTTGTGTGAGAGGGGAGTCATTCACTGCTTGGTTGCGACCGGCGTGCTTCATTAGGTATTTAATGTCGTAGAGGGATGGGAAGAAAATGGTCAGAAGTTGATGGAACTCCTCTTCATTTTCGGGCAAGGGAGAGCAAAGCATGATCTTCATCAGGTAGCCAAAGTCGTAACCGGAGTGGAAAGAGACCCAGTGCACATCGTCAAGCAGCACAAGCCCGGAGCTGATCAACAATGAACCAAATTCAAAGGGATCAATTCCATTTTTCTCATGCAGGCTGAAGTCAATTCCGGACTTGGCCAGCATCTGTGTTGACTCCTGCGCATACATGTCACCTTCCAATGAGAATCGGAAGTTGAACTGCCATGTACATGGTGCGGGCATCATCGCATTGCCATATGGTTGTCCGTTCGCATCCGTAGCTGTAGCTGGAGGGATCTCCCCATCTTCATTGAACAAAGTGATCCCAAGCTGAATCATCTTCAACAAATCAACATTGCATCGGAGGGTTTGGTAGTGGTAGTCGGCTTTATTCGTGAATGATCCGATCGGGCGCGCAACGATTCCAGGGAACTCGGTATCCTTCATTGATAAATCATTCAATCAGCCCAAGGGATCATAAAAAAGCACAAGGTTATCCTTCTCATCCCGCAAGAGATCTTCTACCCCGTAAAACTCGAGAAATCGATGTGGTCGGTGCCTTACCATGCTGATATATGGGTATTTGTCCACTAGCTGTCTCAAAACGGCCATTTCATGGGCCAGATTGTGTTTCCATACATCGCGAATCCGAGTCTTAACAGCGCCTGCCTTTGCGTCGAGTGCTAACCGCCCATCATGACCTTGACTTAGTTGCTGCTGTTGCATCTGTGCTCCTCGCGCGAACCCCATCTGAGCCGCATGGCTGGCAAGTCCGGTGCCACCACCATCAGCACCGGCGCCTCCAAACCCAGCGACCGACATGCCATTCGCCACACCAGCGCTGGACAGGGTGAAGGGATTCATATTGGTATTCGGATTTCCGGCAAAACCAGGATGGCCACCGAGCGAAGGGGGAGGGAGAGCGGTGTTGGCGGACTGGGCGTGGGCAGGATGTTGGGACTGAAGATGAGCCTGTTGAAGCGTATAAGGAGCACCTAGGCCCTGGGGCCCGAATCTGCCTGGAGGAGGGGGCATTGTGGTGTGAGCTGAACAGTGCGCATGGATGTGAGGGTCAGTTTCGTCCCTCGAAAGGCGGGAAAGCTATCCCCTCCCGTATCGGGTATAGCGTGCCTGCATTCTGCCAAGCGCACCGCTCCGGCTTCACGTCCTTCGCTCTCTGTGGCTTCACTCGAGATCACCTGCGCCCCCCTCCCTCGCCTCTCTTTCTCGTCTCAATCCCTTTTCACATTCGCAATCATGCCCGCCCGAAACCCTACCGGCTTCGACATTGCCCAATTCAAGGCTGCGGCCTCCCCGTCCTCGGTCTACGCTAAGCGGGATCCCTGGGCTCGCCAGTACGCTCTCGATTACCTAGTCATCTAAGCTGGAATTGGGGACTCATTCTAACTACTCTCTTAGTGAGACCTGGCGCTACACTGGCCCTTTCACCCGGTGGAACCGTTTCAAGGGCCTTTTCCCCGGTCTCGGCATCGCAACCGTCGCTTTCACTGCCTACTGCGCATACGAGCACTTGTTCCTCAAGGAGGAGCACCACCACGGTGAGGCCCACCACTAGATGTGGTTGTGCCTGAGGAGGAGTAAATGAGAAATCCGCCGATCGACCAACAATCGAGTGGAAAATGAATACCCCCAACCGACGAGACCGAGCCGTATTATTCCAGCGAGAGTCATAGAAATCAGGTCATTGCGATGGTGGCAGTGACGGCGTCGTCACCCTCAACAATGTTCGTGGTCTGAGGTGGACCTGCGAGCATGTTTCATACGAGGAGAAGTGTGTCTTGCAGACGGCGCTATGGGTGCACTTGTCGAGTGTAAATAGTCTATGTTCAACTACAACAAGTCCTTTTTTTTTGTTCCCACCAACCACTGCTCTTCCTCTACCAAAAAACAAGTGATATCGATTCACTTGATTGGACGGATTAATGACTGACTTTTTCATTTCAGATGGGTTCTAAGGTAGCCACATGCTAAGCCCAGGTTCCCCTCTATGGCTGGTGTAACATGATATCATAAACTTCCCAGAATATATATGGGCAACATAACTCCTCTATACAACCATATCTCCTTTATTCCTCCTCAAAGACCAAGGAGATGCCATCATCACCGGCAGTGACAATCCGCTTCCCATCGAGTCCTTGGACAAAGCCCATGATACCACCCGCCTGCTCGCCCTCTTCGTTCTCGGAAGCACCCATGTGTCCCCTCCACTCCTTCAGCAGACCCTGAGCGGCGGCGGTGGTACCACCACGGGCATCCCACCGGCGGACAACACCATCGAGTCCGACGGAGGTAAGCAGGTAGGAGCGACTCGCAGTAGCAGGCGCGGGGGGACCGGGGCGGGGAGCCGCAGTCGGCGCCCGGCTCGATAAGAACTCGACCTTGACGACGGCAGCGCCTTCATGAGCTTCCCGAATGTGACGGCGAACAGCAAAGCGATGAGCGGCATCATACAGCGCAATAGAGCCATCGACGGAGCCGGCAGCGAGAAGAGTAAGCGGTGGTTGGGAGAAGGAAAGAGTCTCAATACCATCCAATTGAGCTTGAAGATCGGCAAGGATAGTACCCGCAGCAGACGTAGTGGCCGACTGAGCACCCTTACCCTTGGCAGCCTGAGGGCCACCAGAGAGTCGAGGAAGACCGACGATCTTGATGTGACCCTCGGCACCACCAACGGCCGCGATACCGCCGCCGGGCGAAATGGCAATCGAGTACAAACCTCCCTCCACGGCGAATCGCTGATCCTCGGCGGTCAGGCCGACAACGACGTTGGTACCGGGGGATCCGGAAATACCAGCGGCGGCAGCGGCTCCGAACACATCGTAAACGTAGAAACTTCCATCCTCGGACACGGTAGCAAGCAAGTTACCATCTGCTGTCCAAGCACCAGCAGTGCAGGACCCAGTGTGCTGGAAGAAAGTCTGAACCATGGAGACGGGTTGCGAATCCGTAGCATCAATGCGGAACACCCACGCGCTACCGTCGTTGGCACCAATAGCAATGACGTTGCGCTTCTCCTCGCTACCCTGCTGGTAGGGGCAAACTGCAACCCAGTTGATCTCCTCCACCTCTTGGGCCTCAGCCACAAACTCCCAGGCTTCTCCACGGTTCCTGGCTGAGGTATCCCGCCACACACGAAGCTTGCCATCCAGACCCGCTGTCACGGCGTATTCACCAGCAGGCTCGGTGAAAGCCACCGCATTAACGGTATCGGTGTGACCATCCAACTTGGCCAGAGTAACTTGAGACTCGCGCTCACGCGGCTGGGGGTTTGATTCATAGCTCCGGGGGAGGACGGGCTTTTCGGGGGGCGTGGAGTCGAAAATGAACGCGGTATCATCACCGGCACCGGTCAGAACGATGTTATTGTGGATTGGATGCTGCGCGACACAGAAGATGGAATCGTTGTGCGAGTCAAAGTGTGCTGCGGAGTCGTTTTGGAAGGTGAGTTCCTCCTCGAAGGTCATAGGCTGGTCCTCGTCTTCGCCTTCAGAGTCCATAGGGTGGTCCTCATCGCGGTTAAAGATCTCCTCTGCCTCATCTGCACCAACGTATGCGTCCTCTTCACCCTCGCGGCGGGGATCTTGAGACGACATGATTGAAGAATGGGGGTGGGAGCTGTGTATAATCTCGGAGCGATTGATAGGATAGCTGGGGGGTCCAAACTGGGGACTAAGGGAGTCGATCTGCAAGCCGAAAAGCGGCAGATTCTTTTATTCAGAAAAAATGGAAGGCTCAGGGCCGGGTATCTCAAATTTATCGTAATGGGTGGCGGAATGAGTGAGCTGTAGCTGATTCTTTTTTTTTCCGTCCACCTCCCCGCTTAGAAATCGGCATCCCCGCGATCGGCAAACAGTGCAAACAGCTTATCTCTTATCGGAGACTCTTATCATCAGGGTGTGTTCCGTCACATCTAAGGGACAACAAAGACAGGATATTCTCAAGTCCATAACATCTACATCTGTCAATCGTTACCAATATTTACCAACCTCAATTATTCCCTCTCTCATCCATCCTTTCGAAATCGTCGCATCGTGATCGAAGCCATGATCACCATCATACGCCTCAAATTTAACATTCACTCCCGGCTTTTCGGTGCGGAGCTTTTCAACAAACCGCTCACTTCCATAGAATGGTACAGCCGTATCCTCCTTACCATGGAATATCCAAATAAACGGCGGCAATTTGGTCGCCCGAGCAATGTTCTCCACCGGAAATACCTCTGACTGCCTACCAAGGAACTCCAAGAATCTCCCATTCTGGACGATTCGGACTGCTAGATCGGTCCGGTTTGTCTCTGCTCCTTTCTCGAGTCTTTCGTCTCCAGTCACGATTGGACCGTCCGGTAATTCTCGGAGATGCTGCTCAACCTTATCGAATGGTAGCTGGTGGCACAAGATTAGCTATGCGCTTCCAGCAAGCATTTCATGAGCTGACGTACATGTGATGAACCGAACATTGGTTTCTCATAGCTCTCATCCCAGAATCGATCACGAAGATGAACCATCGGGTAGACTAATATGACAGCCGCCATGTTGACCTCCGGATGGAGTAGCATGCTTTGTGCGGCGAGATAGCCACCGGCGCTTTCACCTGCTACGAGGATTTTGTCCAGATCGGGTTTGATGGTGGAAGAAGGATAAGCACTCGCAAGGCTTGATTCAAAATCACGTTGTATCCAGGACCAAAAGGAGTCTAGATCAGAGAGGATTTCCAGGCCATTGGACTCGGGCAAGAGCCGGTAGTCCGGTGTGACCAGGATAGCCTGCCGAGAGATGGCTAGTTCAAGGAGCCTACTTTAATGTCAGTGAACGCTCTGAGTGAGCAAACCACTGTTGATGAACAACTTGAACAGACCACTTAGGAAACCAGTCGGTGTATGTGCGAGTCCCTCCAATCAAGAACCCTCCATGGAATCGAGTAATGACGGGTCTCTTTCCATGCGAGCTGTTCGCCTCCGACAATATAGTCTTCGGGACAAGGATTGACAATGCAATATCATGGTCACCCACAGTCTTGTAGATAAAGTCATTGATTTCAAAGTCTTGAAAGAAAGTGGGATCGCTCGGTGGATTAACGGCCATTGTGGTGGTAAAGTTGGGTCTACGCGAGACCTTGATGGATTGGCAGGTAGAAGCGCCTATATGGCGATTGTATGTGATACAGATAATCCAAACTCTGCGTATCGCTCAGGATACGAATGAAGGTGTCTTTCGATTTGGCAGAAGGTAAAGATGGTCGCTCACTGGTCGTAAGCCATGAGGGGAGAGCGGGGTTTGTGGCGTGCCGCGCTCGGCTTAGTAGACTCAATTGCGCCAGTGTGCTGTGCAGTAGCATGAAAGCATAAAAGAAAATACAAATGTATTGAAGATATTGTGGAGCCTGGATCTCCTCTCTTTGGAAAGATCCATATCCTTCCATATCTTACTTCCGAGCAATTCTCTCCCAAGGTGGGTGTACCATGGGACCTTTAGGTTTCTCCCATTGCATGCTTCAACTTGTCAGAGGGGTTGAAAAGATACCTATATTTCCTAATCTTTCTCATGAAAATGCCCGGTTCAGATGGTGTAGTGTATATTTCTATTGGCTATACATGACATATACTATCGCTCAAACTCGCCACACGAATCAAGACACGCGCATCGCCATGAAAGTCGCGGCAAGAAAATTCTAGATCTTAGCCCCAGCCTTCCTCCTAGCCTCCTTCTCCTGATCACGCAGCAGGCGACGCAAGATCTTTCCACTGGGACTCTTCGGGATCACATCCACAAAGCGAACGCCACCCTTCAGCCACTTGTGCCGAGCCTTGTGATCCTGAACGTGTTTCTGAATCGCTTCGGCGGCGGCTTCGTCGGAGCCGGCGGAAGCTGATTTGACCACGATGGCCTTCGGGACTTCTCCGGCTGCATCGTCCGGGATGGCGATGACGGCGCAGTCTGCCACGGCCGGGTGGGTCAGAAGGTGTGCCTCGAGCTCGGCGGGTGCAACTTGCAGACCCTATTTGGGTGAAATTAGCGGGTTTCAAACTGTGCATACGAATGGCGTCACGAACCTTGACCTTGATCAACTCCTTGATGCGGTCGACAATAAAGACATGCTCAGTCCCCTTGGGACCCTTGCGAAAGACCGCTTCGTCACCGGTGCGCATCCATCCATCTTCGAACGTCTCCTTGGTCGCTTTGTCGTTATTCAGGTAACCCAGCACCACGCTAGGGGAGCGCACGACCAGTTCTCCCGGTGTGTCGTAGGCAGTAATCTCCTGGCCCTCGGGAGACACAAGGCGGGCCTCAAAGCCAGGGATCAAACAACCAGAGGAGCCGAGCACGATGTCATCGGGATGGGTAGAGCTGACAACGGTACACGTTTCGGTGAGACCTGAACATATTGGATGTTAGAACCTACTTATAGATTTGATGAAGAACGGCTCTTACCGTATCCTTGGCGAATAAGAATATTGGGATAAATCTTCTGGAAGTCGGCCGCAGTCTCCATACCCAACGGCGCTGCTCCCGTGAAAAGAGTCTTCACAGAGCTCAGATCAAACTTTGAGCAGACGTCTTGGCTGCGCAGCATGTTGATAATAATGGGAGGAACCTGTGCGTGATGAGCGATTGCTATAAAAACTGGACATGGGATAAAACATACCAGGAAGAGACTGGTAATCTTGAATTTCTGGATCGATCCGAGGTATGACTTGAGATCAAACTTGGGCAAGACAATGATCTGGTCGCCACGGTAGGCGCCAGCATGGCAGATGACGACCAAGGCATAAATGTGACTTTGTGGGAGAAGGCCGAGGCTGACCTCTGAGTACACAGAGCTTCCGTCCTTGACTTGCTTTGCATCGCGATGACTCCGTTCGAAGGCCTGGATCTGCAGCGTGTTTGCGATAACGTTGCGGTGGGAGATCATCACACCTTTCTAGATGGAGTATTAGCATGATGCCTCGCGGTCGCCCTCGAGCAAATCCGATTCCACAACATACCGGCAGACCAGAAGTTCCACTAGAATAGCATAGGAAAGCAGTGCGTCGTGCTCCCTCTCCAGGCCCCCACTTCAATGGCTCCAGCGCCGGGAGCGACTTGCCAGCTTCAGCCAGCTGGGAGACAGATTTGAATTCGGACGGGGCCTTTGCACCTCCGAGAATAGGAGCTGGCACATCAATCAAATAGATCTTATCCTTGGGCAACCCAGCCTGAGCCGCGCCATCCAAAGCGACCGACAGGAGCGGAACACAGGTGAAAAGAGCCTTGGCGCCAGAATCCAAAATCTGGTGCTTCAGCTCGGCAGCCGAGTATGCTGCATTGGCGGGCGAAATAACACCACCCAGTCGGTGAACACCCCAGAAGAAAGGCAGCGATTCAATCTACCGAGGTAACGTTTAGCTACTTCTTCCCTTGCTTGAACTGCTGCTTCCAACGTACCGTGTTTACGCTGAAGACGGCCAGTGTCTTATCGAATTCCGTGCCCTGGTTGGGAGACCATCCAAACTCCTTCGCGAGACCTCGCGCAATGTGATCAACCCGGTCCACGACCTCGCGCGACGATAACGTTTCGCCTGTCAGGCCGCAGGTGTAGGGGTCCCTCGATTGGGCGTGTGGCACTCGTCCATACTTCTCATTCAGCATGAACTCGCTGATGGGGATGTCATCCGGTACATGTCCCAGCGGACCAAATCGTTGGTCAGGCAGGAAACCCATCTTGGCTCTGTTCTGCTTGGACCTCGGCGATGGCTTCACTCAATTGGTAAATGATCTACAAAGTGAGCGCAAACCCGTGCGACTGCGACGATGATTGCAACCTGTAAGTTATGAAGACTACCTCGTCCAGTGTTTGAGGATCTGTCGGATAGGGGTATGCACGAATAAAGAGTTGAGAAAGAAAGCTCTGGTGAAGGGGGTGGGTTGGAGAAATTCAGCCGAAGCCAGGAATCCGGGGAATTCTCCGTGCGGGGAAGTCGGTCAAGCAGCGCGACCCTTGGCCGAATGACCCCGAGCCCTCCTTGTTATACAGTTTCTCTCCAAAATCCCAAAATGGGTAGCCGAGGGCCTCGAGGCTGAATTATTTGGAGGCGGAGCCTGGACCTTTTGATAGGCCTGCTGGTGTCCTGCTGGTGGTGCTTCTCCAGCTTGGACTCTCAGCACTCAGTGCAGGGTGGGTCATGACGCCAATCGGCCCGGGTTTAATGAGTGTTGGGTGGAGCACGGGCGGTTTTGCCTCGGATGTGCGGTGACCGAGGGGTATATGGCGGTGCCGACATTTATCATGGCGCTAGATCTGGAGAATTCTCTAAGACGACAATGGTAGTCATGGATGTGCGGTGGCCGAGGGTGTGAAAAGCCTAGAGACTGTAGTATGGCGGTGCCGACATTTATCATGGCGCTAGATCTGGAGGATTTTCTAAGACGACAATGGTAGTCATGGAAGTGCGCTTGGCATACAGATCTTGCTGGCACACTGCCGACTCGTGTACGTGCGGCTATCCTCCTTGGTCCACCGCCGACATTCGTATCTGTACTCATCATGGTCACTTTAGCTCTCAGGTTTATTTCGTAAGAATCATAAACATGTATTCATTAAGAGCCGGAACCCATAAGCGCTATTAGTAAAGCATCACATGTTGGTCATCAACGAATTTTTCGACCTTTGCACCGTCCGCCCTCCACTGAAACCTGCACACAAAAGCAAACGAAATCCCAGGGTCCTGCTCAGGACTGAAACATAGGCGAATTATGCTCTCGGCTCCTGGTAAATGCTGTGAGGAGTGCCGGAAACTCCGTAAAATGCGGTCGAGCTCAATGATCGCGACTACTGCCCATCGTAAATCAGATTGTCCGGGAGCTTGCATGCGCCCTTCATGCGGTCTGTTCCGCCCTTGGTCTCGATGTATCGTGAAGTAAGCGCAAAGCGTAGGCCCTTGTCGGGTTCCACCGAATGCTACAAATATTAGCCGAATGACTCGCTTTCATAGTTATTGGATTTGACGAACCTCATAGTACGTCTGCAGATGTGCCCCGTGCATCACGATCAGGTCACCATGCTTCAGCTCGAGCCTCAGCAACTTGGGGCTCCTTGCATTTGAACTAGCTCGGCGGAGCAAAGCTTTTCGCTGAGCCGCATAATCTTTCGCAGTGATTTGACCTGCGTCAAACTTGTTCTTGAGAGATCGCCGCTCTTGTTCTTTGGCGCACCCTGACAAAACGGGATCCTCTGCAGTGGGAACATTATTGGTGCTGACTCCAAAGTAGTATTTATCCTTCATTCGGATGTACATCCTTGACCGGGTTCCTAAGGAGAGTGTCGCAATGGTTGGGCCCAGATCTTCTTCACCATCGTCATGAAACTAAAGAGCACCCGGATTAGAATACAACACCGTAGTGTGTTATGGAAGAAGTTTCACTCACGCCGATCTTCATTCCTTCGAAATATCCAAGTGCAAGCAGCTCATTAGGTGCCTGATACGTATCTCCCGCGCGGGTGACAGCCTTTCCAGTTGCCCAAGACAAACGACCCAAAGCAGTGAGGATTTGTGCAGGCGCATCACTGAAAGCCTTGGAGTCCACAGAGACCACATACTTGTAGGGGACGCCCTATACTCCAGTCAGTACCTCAACTTCCCGTGATGGATATTGGTAGCTTACGTAGTTCACAGCAAAATGGCATGTGAGTGTCCCTTTCACTATGGACATTGTTAGCATGGTTGCGAGTGAAACCGCTTGAAGGAAAGACAAAAAAAGACCTCGAGTGCCATATCGACATTTAACTGATTTTGATGACATTGATGAGTCAGATGACTCGGATGACTGAGATGAATGGCGTGAATGCGAGTTAGCCTTTTTACATTTCTTTTTCTTACCTTGAGCGGATCCAAGTGGGTAGCGTTTGAGACCTAGGCCGAGCTTTTGAAGTTCACTGAACAGGTAATTTGGGCCATTCGTACGCTCATTGATTGTCGGGTTTGAAACAAAGTGCGTGATCGAGCCGACACCGGGGAGATTGTAAGTACGTACTTCGTATGGCTTGAGTGAGTGCTTGTCGACGACGGGTTGAATACCACATCTCAGCTGGCTGCGGGTGTAGGGCTTGATGTCTTCGAGGGCTGTTTCCAGAGAAATCTCTCGCATCTTTCTCACAACCGTGTAGCAACAGGTCTCTTCAGGCTCCCGTGCGGCATCATTTGCGCAGTCCCAGGCATCCCAAGTCACACGCTGGATACACTTTCGGCATTTGGGACAAACGATGCCTCTCCATTCCTCACGGTCGGCAAGTCCCTCTGATGGTTCAAGATTTCGGTCCACTAGCTCAATTACTGGTCCAGGATTTTGGATATCGGGACCTCTGGGGTGGCGGTAGTTGAGAAAATCGGTGTGGTATTGAAACTCCTTTGGCTCTGTATTCCGAAATTGCCAGAATTTTGAGCATGATTTCTCAAGACACATCCACCCGGGTCGGATGTAGATTTGCTTGCTCCAATTGCCGCATGACCTACACGCCTGGCTTGGTGGGGGACGGTCAGAGTTGCGAGGTGTGAGAGGAAGGGTCTCATCGGATTCCTGCTCTGCCCACCATCCTTTGGTTGACAGGTCCAATTTCTCCAAACGAACTCGGTAGCCCGCATATTGACCCATCTTTTCCATCCATACATCCGTGATGAGGAACCAGTCCATGACGCAGTATCGGTGTGGAATCTTGACCTTGAGGAGTGCGTTCTTTGAACCTAGATGTAATTATGTCAATTGAAAAATCTCAGAACTTAAGAAGTGCAGAGCTACTCACCGACGATAATCCCCACGGGCTTTTTCTCTTCAAAGCTAGCCATGATCGATTTGATGATTGGGCCATTGGGCGACTGATCATGCTTAAGAATGAGACTGTCGTTATCCTTCCTGCAATCACCGCCCCTAGATAAAATTAGACACGACCAATATGATAAAGATGCCAAACTCACGTGCGGGTAATGACGACTTCATCGCTTATGACCGAGCGTTCACCATTGTCGGCATCCAAGAGGAAGCCAGTGCACTTCAATCCATTATGAGCGGCTCCGCCTTGCATGCAGTGGAACCACTCGATGGTATCGTTGATCTGTTGGCGAGTCTATACAATTTATCAGCAAATTTCCCTGTAATATAAGATGAATCGAGTATGCCAATGGGATGTATACGAACATTACCCCAAGCGGGTGGCCTTCCTTGGCGGCGTTCGACTGCATTGGTACCCTGGGTCACCTCGGGTGCAGTCATTGACAGCGGCGTCTCAGATGACTGCCGCAGTCTCTTGCTTGCCTTATTTGCAATTGGCCCTGTATGGGGACTTATTAACCTGATATTCCGTGTCACAGAATAGAATGTGAATCATACCTATTTCAGAGGCCAACCGCTTCGATTCCCCAGACAGAGGGAAACTACCCGCGACGGTAAGCTCCATGCTGGGACTGACCTACCACACCAGAGAGATGATTAGCCCTCAAAAGAATCGTAGAAAGTGAATGATGTGAGTAAGTGACTAGTTACCGTTGAGCTGTAATAGCAGTGTATGTAATACCTGAAACGAATTGGAGACCAGTCAGGAATGCAATTGGGGGTGAGATGAGTGGAAGAGACCAGTAATGTTGATCAACAACGCGGGAGGTGGGTCCCGGGGCCAGGCGTGGCGAGGTCCGTGCGCAAATTGTGGCTCACGTGATCTCTGCTTAACGAACTTCGGGCTTAGTTCACCCGGAGGCGGTGGCCTCGTGGGCTTCATATGTAGTTCTGTAGTGTACAGCCCAGGAAACAATTTTAATCACAAAGATTTTATCGAGTACTGTTCCTGCTACCATGATGATCCATATTTCCTTCCAACTGAGTTCAAGTTTAATCTGAGTCATTCTGATTCACGGATACTGATTAGAGATTCTTAGGTATACTGCCGAGATAGTATGTGGTACTCAAGAACCATCACCTGGTAATACAGAAACATACCAAGTATTGTGTATGGCTTTAATGTGCAGTACTATACGACTGTATGTAGACTCAAGAGTTGTAACTGGGTGATGAACTTAGTCTCCATCATGATTAAATGGAAAGTGAATATAATCTAAGACTTATATCACTAGATAGCGCTATGGCTAATCATGTGAGATTGTATTTTTTTTTTTTCTCTAGATAAAATGGTCTCAAGGAAGACATTCTCTGGGCCGATCCTTGCTACAATATATTCTGCCCTTTGGACAACCCTAATCCAGCGGTGCACAAGATCTCGAGTTGACATCTAGCAGTAGCTACTAACTAGCCTTGTTGATGAAGAGATAGGGATAATAGCATCTGCATTAGAGGCTCTTGAAGACATGCTAATTTCCGCATGAATTTCCCGTCCTGCCCGACAATCACCAATTCACAACCTTATCTATAAATGTATAATACTGAGTAGAAAGACCCTCCGGCTGAAGTCAGTGGCTTGCCCCGTCCATGGACATTTCCGCGCAGCTACCAGGACTGGTGGGTCGCCAGAGTGGCTTAGCTTCTCCAGCCTCAGCCTTGTAACGGCGTACGGAAAGAATTAACTGGTGGGGTAGACTGCCAGTTGAGAACAGGTAGAATCATCTAGGCATGCAGCGTGCGACAGAATGTAAATGGACCAAAGGCTGTATCGAAGATGCTTGAATTAGGCGAGGCTTTTTTTATGTCTAGGTCTGTTCGGGGGTCTCATGGGAAGAGATAATACCGTACTTAGTGAAGCATCGCCTGCGGAGCTATCGCTATCTCGGGACTAGGGTCTGTTCGATGGAGTGTGTTTTCTAGATTGCCCCGGGAAATTTACCACGGACCCTAGTTGGTAGTCATCGAATGTTGGAGGCTCAATTAAAAGAGAGAGCCGTGGAAATAGGCCCCAAAAGTGCCCCCCCTATAAGAGCTGAACAGCATGCTTTTTTACACGTCACTGGCCCGTTGTGCAATCGAAATTGTCCACGGCTCGTCTACGACTCCACCCTACTTGTGCATTTGGAAGTCATGAAAGGGAGGATGAAGATGAAGAAACTCGAGATCTAAATAGCCGTATGTGAAATATCACCTTAGTGAGGTTGGAGCACGTTAGGCAGAGTCTAAACGGCTTTGGTTAAACCTTGAGGGACCAGTCCCAAACCCACGGTAAACCTCCTCAGCGCCCGCGCCCGAGCCAGGCAGACTTGAACAACCACTCGAATAATCCCCCCCCCCAACATCAATCTTCTCCCTCCGCATTCCGCCTCCTTCCCTCGGCTCTATCCACCCTTCGTCACAGATTTCGACGTCTTAATCCCCTCTCCCTCTTCTCTCACGTCGTTTGTTCTCAAGGGATGCTCACGGTACGCTGCTGCTATCCGGCAGTTCGTCAGTCGCCCGCGTCCCCCTCATTTCGGCGAGCCTGAAATTGCGACCTCCGGCGTTGGAGCTTGTCGACTAATCTGACATTACTGGCCTTGCTCGAGGAAGGCGCTGAAATTTGACAGTGCCGCATTGCGCCGATCGCCACACCGATCAGATCCTGGGCGTGGTCTCTCCAGCGCGCGTCTCAACAATGGCAGATCCCAATGGTTACCAGCCATACTATGGTCAGCCTGGCAACCCTCCGACCACCTCCCAAGCTGCGACCGGTCGCTACGAAACATACGTCCCTCAGCAAAACCCCGTCCAGAACCAGCAGTTGCCGAGACGGATGCCAAGCTACAATGCTGGTGATGACTCGCAGCTGAACACTTCCCGAGTCCACAATGCGCGACCGACCGACGCAAACCCAAGATACTCGGTGCAGAGCAGTGGACACGGGCCCGGCGTAGGACAGGGAGGCTTCAATATTGCTTCGGGAGGGTACGAGGATGATCGTGAATCGTCGGTGTTTGCGCGCACTCCATCTGACCAGTCTCGAATGTCTCCTACTCGCGCCTCGTCGCACACGAGCGCCTCGAGCTATGGGTACCGATACCCTGCGTCATCTGGTCAGCCTGCGTACAACCCTCAGCAATATGGCCTGCCGCAATCGCAGACACAGCCGAACCTCACATATAACCCCTCAACCTATACTGTACCCAGCCACAATGCGCCCTACACGAACACCGTTTCAAGTCACCAGCCTTATAACCCCGCGGCATACCAACAGTCCGCGGTCGCAAGCTTGAGCTCACCCGTTCTTGCGCGACGACCAAGCGAAGCCTCGCATTATGGGCCGACCCCTCCCACCCCGCTGTCTCATGGGTTTGGCTCCCAGCAGCAGCAGCAGCCACCAGTACCCCCTCCTCGCGGGGCGGACCACCCATACGGAAGTCGGCTCTCTCCCTATGGGTCAGGCCAGCCGACTATGATCAGTTCTTCCACATCGTATCAGCCACTTTCATCACCGACGGCGAACGCTTTTGCGACGTCAAGCTCCCCATCAGCCGCGTACATCCCCCCGTCTGCATCCCGTCCCTATTTCCCCGTTGCAGCTGGTTTCGGCTCCGACTCGCCATACCCTACTCCCACCATCCCCCCAGTGAGCAGCAGCCATGAAGAGCAGCCACCGGAGCCACCAGCCCATCAACCCCAAGGAGGTGGGCTCTACAGTAAACGGACCGGTATCCCCTATTCGGCTTCTTCGAGGACTCTTCCCACACCCCCAGTGCAGCAGGACCTTCCTAGCTTGCCTCCTAGGCGAACCGAAACTTTAAACAGACACCCGCAAGCCCGACCTCTCCCTGGACCACCAGTAGACGCGGAGCCTGACTTTAATGGACCCCACGGACGACCGCGATCTAGCAACGCACATAATGACGAATTAATGAAGGAGCTCGAAACAGCAGTGATGGACACACAGGCAACGTTTGCCCGGCGTCATAGCTCTAGGACGTCGTATAATGGTTCCGGCTCGCATGTGCGTCTATCACCAGACGAGCAGCACACTCACACCAACGGCAACGTCTCCGAGTTCCAGATCAATTACGGTGCCTATAGTGATGACAGCGAGGCCGAGGCTGAAGCAGGGCTTGCAATGTTGCGCATGGCAGAAGAGGAGGACCAGGCACGACAGGAGCGGGAGCGTATGCAAAACCGCAGACGGTCGACGAATGCTTCAGTAATGAGCTCTTGTTCACATGGCTCTCAAACATCGGCTAGGGTACCATCGCCGCAATATGCATCCCCAAGACAGCCGTCCTCACGGGGGAATTCCCCTCGCTCGATGCCCCAGGAAGACGGCGATTTCATTGGCCATGATCTCGCTCTGTATGAGGGAGGCTACCAGGGAAATCTTCATTATGGAGAAGAGCCCGTGTACAGCTCCGAAGAACACTTGGAAGCTACGACGGGCGGGGGATTCCAACGCACTCATGATTCTTTCAGAAGCTCCGACATATCCCCCGATGAGCGTGACGACTACGAACATCCTCCGATTGCATATGAGTACGCAAATCGCCTGCATCATCTCCCGTCTGACGCCCGCGTGGACGCTGGAGGTACCGGTGGCCTCTCTGCGCCTGGATATTATGGCCGACGGATGAGCTTCGATTATGGCGAAGATGCCGAGAGTCCGTACGAACAGCAGCAGCAGGATGGATATCAATCGGGCGAGAACAGCCCCCACGGTGGAGCACCCGAGGATCTCTTCTTCCATCCTGGCATGCGCCCACTACCGCCCGCACCGGTAGAGCCCGCTGGCGGTGCGGAACTGTACAGCCACCTGATGCCCGCAGGCACGTATCGACCGCCAGAGCAGGATGAAACGCAGGGTCATCAACAGTACACACACCCCTCCTCGATCACAACGTCCGTGGATCAGTATGGAGAGGAAATTCTCAGTCCATCTCAAGTTCCGCGGTCGTCATCTCTGTCGACACCCATTGGACCGCGTGCCGATGCGCCTATCAGATCGAAGACCGATGCGGACCGCATGAAGTACAAGCAACAGCAGGAATACCTCTGGCAGCTGCAGCAGAAGGAGCTGCCAAAGATTGACCCGACCGAAGCGGCGGCTTCCGTGGCTTTGGATCTGCCGGCCATTCCTGCTGCGCGGCGCAAGAAATTCAATCCTACCAAGATGTCGTCAGAGCAATTCAAGAAGTGCACAGAGCCTTGGGCATTGAGCTCCATTCTGGCCTGGATCAAGGACCTTAGTCAGGATGAGACCGATCTTCGCGAGCAGGCTATTGTTGATGCAATCGTGGCCTTGTTCACTCACAAGGTGCCCACCATGAACATCGCAGATGCCGAAACCCTAGCCGCTCGGGCTGTGAGTAACATGTTCAAGGAGGACGCTCTGGTCAAGGAAGAAGAATGGGTCAAATTCAGCAGTGGACGCATTTCTGGTGTATTGTTCCAGATTACCGGAACTGGATGCTATTCGCCTAGGCTGCATGAGCAGGAGATGCCCTTCCAGGATACGGACTCACATGGGCGTTGTTATTCGCATCACTGCATGCGAACCTTGAAGAAGGTCAACTTGAAAGCACAGATGATGGCCCCCCAGAAGAAGATAGAGGATTGGGTGACTTTCTACAAGGTGCCCAAAGAAGTCTGGGAGTCCCATCCGAAGAAGGAAGTCGACCGTCAGAACAATCTTCATGAGATTGTGACCACCGAGGATGCCTACATTGGGCAGCTAGACGTTTTGCGAGAGCTCTACCGTGACCAGCTGGCAAGCATGAACCCCCCAATCATCCCGGTCAAGCGACTGAACAAGTTCTTGACCGACGTCTTTGGCAAGGTCGATGCAGTGAAAAAGGTGAACGAAGATTTCCTGCTGGCACAGCTCAAGTATCGTCAAAAGGAACAGGGCCCCTTCATTGCTGGATTCAGTGACATTTTTCGTGAATGGATTCGTAAAGCAAAGAACGTCTACATTGACTATGCTACGACATTCCCTCACGCCAATCACTATATCCGACGCGAATCTGATCGTAATCCGCAGTTCAAGGCCTTCTTGAATCAAGTGCGGGAACACAAGTTGTCCAACCGATTGAGCTGGGATACATTCCTCAAGGCTCCAATCACTCGGATTCAGCGCTACACACTTTTACTTGCTACCGTACACAGAAACATGGTCAAGGACTCGGAGGAGAAGACAAATTTGGCGCAAGCCATTGAGGAAATCAAGGTTGTTGCATTGGAATGTGATAGTAAGGTTGGCGAGCAGAGCAAGAAAACCGATCTGATGGATCTTGCAAGCAAGCTCCAGCTCCGGCCGGAGATGAAGAAAGAAGTCGAGCTCAATCTGGACCACATGGGCCGTGAAATTGTCTTCCGAGGTGACCTGCAGCGTCCCGGTACGCGAACTCGGTTTCTTGTCGACACGCATGCTATCCTTTTCGACCACTACTTTGTTTTGGCCAAGTCATTTACCGCACGAGATGCGCGAATCGGCAAGTATGAGCGGTACGATGTCTCGAAGTTACCCATCCCAATGGACCTTCTAGCACTAGAGAGTACCAATGACGACCCCGTGGTCAAGTCATCCGTGCGCGGTGTTGCAACCGTCACCCCTGCCCAGGGGGCCGCAAGCCCTCTGGTCCATACCGGTGGCCCCTCTGCTAATGGCGCCGGGGTCACCCTGGACTCCAAAGACGACAAGATCCTGTATCCATTCAAGATCAAGCATCTCGGCAAGAACGGCACCTACACACTCTACGCATTCTCGTCAAATAGCCGCATTGAATGGTGTCAAAAGATCATTGAAGCGAAGACTAAACACGCTGCCGCCTTGTTTTCACAAAATGCCGAGCCTTTCCGACTTCGGGTTCTTGCAGATACTGCGTTTGCATACTCAGATCATATCCATGGATCGAAGAGTGTTATGATCAAGGGTACTCCGCTGCACCGTGCTATTAAGGAGGTTGAGAAGAAGTATGAGGCTGGGTCTAGACCTCTGCCCGTGTGCAGGACCGGCGTGCATTGTGCGACTGTCTTTCAGCAGCCTCCTGGTAGGATGATGTGTGCTATTGGTACCGACTATGGTGTCTACATGTCTGATCTTAGTGACCCGCGTGGTTGGTACAGGGTAAGTGTCGCTTTTCCGTTATATTTGATCTACCTACTAATGATGGTTTCCAGGCCATTCCCATCATGCGGGTCACGCAGGTAGCTGTCTTCGAGGACTTCAATCTCTTCTTGTTGATTGCCGATCGGTCTCTGATCGCTTATCATCTTGATGTAGTGTGTCCTGCTAGTGGCATTCCATCACAGTCGCAGGACTCTGCTCGTCGTGCTCCGCAGAAACTCTCTGGCAATCGCGAAGTCGGCTTCTTTGCCGCAGGCCGCATGAAAGACCGTTACTTGGTTCTGTACAAGAAGCGTGATGGTCTTTCCTCGACCTTTAAGGTTCTCGAACCCATCCTCCAGAAATCATCTTCCAACAAGAGTCGCTTCTTCCAATCCCGTCGCTCTCAAACCGAGTTCTTCCGCGAGTTCGACGAGTTCTACATCCCCGCCGAGTCCTATGGAATCAACATGTTCCATTCCTCCCTTGCCATCTCCACCCAGCGTGGCATCGAGGTCCTCACCCTCGATAAGAAGCAGTCATGGTCTGTACCCGACTTCCGTTCCGCAAACCAAGACGCCAACGACACACTCCACAGTATCGCCCAGCGCATCAAGGATCTTCGTCCTCTGGGTATGTTCCGACTCAGCGAAAGTGAGTTTTTGGTCGCGTACCAGGAATGCGCCGTGTATGTCAACAAGCACGGTGACGTTTCTCGAAGTGTGGTCATGGAGTTTGTGGGTAGTGCACACACTGCTTGTCTACATGGCAAGTTTCTTATCCTGTTCAATGATGACTTTGTTGAAGTCCGCAATGCAATGAACGGCCGGTTGAGACAGGTCATCCCTGGTCATAATGTGGTCTGTCTGGATGATGGGAGCAAGTTGCCTGGCTCATTCGGCCAGGCTGCTGCTGGCAACATGAGCGGCTTCTCCGCTTCGGCTAATGGCGCCTCGCCAGCTGCTGCCGGGCAGACTGTGAAGATCTGCATGCAACATCCCGCGTACGAGCGCAGCCAGCTTGTGCTCGAGTTGGTTGAGAATGAGGGTCAGAAGGAGTAAATTGATTTCCGTTACTCTGCGGCTTTTCCGCTAATTCCGGATTTACTATCGATCGCTTCAATGCTTTGTCGATACCTAAAGCTTTACTGTCCCTTGTCCCCATCCTTCTTTTCCACCTAATTTTCCTATGCCTCATCTACTTGTCCCCAAGCTTTTGTCCCCCCCAGTCCATGTTCATACCCTCGTCATCTTCGTCCATATTTTCGAAACAATCTCTTTCAACGCGGAATGCATTTACGGGATCTTTCTGGCGTGTATGGGCAATTGGCCCTTTTTTCCCCACCGTTGTTTCAGGACGCTTTTGCAAAGCGCTGTTTCAATTCCATGATTGTACATAGATATGTCAGTGTGCCATCTTACGACTTTAATGATTTGATTCACAATCTTGCATAGTCCCTGTTGAACCCGTATCATTGTTCTTACTCTAAAATGTCTCATCTAAGCTGTGGCCTTCATGTAGTCCCGTCTCAAGGTCAAGGTGGATTGCCTCGGGAGTTGCATCTGTAGACAAAGTCTTGGGTTTGTATTGCCGAAATATGGCCCGTCAGAATCATCAACGGGATACTCTAAAATAAGTACAGAGTCCGATGGTTCGACTTCCTCCTATTCTCTCTCCATTCTTACCAAATATCTTCTTCGTTTGCTCCCTTCACAAGGTAGGTAACTGTTCAATACGTGTTGTCTTAAACGCTTTCCATTTAGCGTGCGGAGGATTAGCGCTCGACTTTCTGCAGATGGTACCATGCAACACGTCCACCATTGTTGCTCCATCCACAATGATACTATTAGTTGTCCTCTATCAAGATACAGAACAGGAGATTATAGAATGGGAGGACTCCTCAAGAAGATACCTCGGGAGGTATTCTATTGGCTTTATCTCTGGATTGGTGTCCTCGCGACATGACGAATGTACCAGGCGGAGATGTACAGTTGTACATCGGCAAGGTAAAGCTAATAAACAGAATAAACACAGACCCGCCTTGGAACCTACACAAAATGCCACCTCCCAATAATGAAAACAGTGAAAAGAGGATGGGATATTATCAGGACTCAAACTCGACAACTTTGCTAACGACCTCCGGGTCATGTGCTGATGCAGGCGAGTTCGCACGATGTCCGCTGTGGCTTGCTGCTTCCTCTTTGGGAGCCCGGATGCTGATGACCTCGGCCTCGGCACCTTCCAGGAGGTCACGATCTGCCTCGCGCACGCTGCGACGCTCGGGGTCGGCACCGTATGCGCCGGCGCCCCAGCTAGAGATACCACCTGCCATGGCGGCGGCAGATGCACCTTGACGAGAGGGATAATCGTCATCATCGTCCTCGTCATCTTCTTCGTCGCGACCGCCCAGGGCGTTGCGCTCCAGCTCGCGCTGGGCGTCGTCCATTCGCTTCTTGACTTCAGCGGCCATGCGGATACCGTCCGTGACGATGTTGTCGAGGACGCCACGGAGGCCCTTGCCAGGTGGAACGATGCCTCCGGAGGCACCGGCGACGGGTGCGCCTGCGACGACTGATGCGGAGGGGCGAGCGTTGCCAATGTTGGAGAATGTGGTCAGGTTGGAGGAGAGTGAGGAAGATGCGGCGAGGGAGGCGGGGTGGGGGTGATCAGAGAGATGGAAAGATTGTGGGAAGTAAGACTCGAAGAATTGTTCCAGGAGCTCGTCGGCTAGGACGACCATTCGGAAGGTAGGGAGAGTGATGTGAAGTGGGTTGTTAGGGTCCAAAGCTGGGTTGGCAGACTCGGATTTAGGTCGGCTATGCTCAATCGACTCCGTAGGTTTAGGCGAAGACACTACTGCCGGTGATGGTTTCGGCTTTTCGTCATCGTTCACATCAATAAGGTCCTCCTCTTCGTCGTCGCCGATTGCAAAGGAATCAAGTTTCTCGGTCACTTCGGTGGTACTGTCTGAGAAGACAGCCTTCTGATTGTCGGGGTGGCTGGGATCGGCATATTCGAAGCAGCGACGAATGAACGCACTGACACTACCCAGGAATTTCTCATCAGTGGTCAGTCTGTTCTGTTCAGCCTGTTCACTACCTCGGGGGCTGTTCAAGTCCTCTCGGGACTGCGTAGCAGTGATCGTTCCCTCGAACCCCCGGCGAGAGAGGAAAAGCAATGCCTCGGACATTTTGAGGATACCTTCCCGGTCAACTTGGCCATTGCCACTATCATCGTAGAGAGTGAAAAAGTAGTTGATGTTGTTCATGATATCCGGTGCTCCCTTGAGACGTGCTAAGCCATTTACCACGTTCTGTAGACTCAGGCCGTCTTCGGGGTCAGTAGCCCACTTGCGATACAGCCGTTGCATGAATTCATGGTCGGCGGGTTGGCGTCGGTTAGCCCACAGCAAGGACTTGCCATTCCCTCGGAGACTGCCGTACCCGGAGGATGACGAATCCTTTCTGGCGGGCGCAGGAGTGTCGGAAACGGCCCACTTGGATGTCGCAGCCAAGAACTCTCTGAAAGCATCATAGTCCATATGAGTAGGGCTGGGTCCAAGACCCACCCGACCAACCTGCCTATCTACAGGTGGTCCGAGGACGGATTGCCGCTCCGATTTCTTCTTCTCCTGGCGCATTCTCTCTTCCTCAGCGACTTGCTGGTGTTGCTGCCACTGATACAAGGTCTCGTAGAAGCGGTCGTAGATCGTGCCGAGATCGTCCACACTGAGGCGCTTGCTCTCTGGCCCGAGATTGCGGATCGAAGTACGCTTAGCAAAGCTTTCAATGTTGTTAAGCACTGCGTCCTTGTGTTTCTCACGTTGCTCGGTGATGGTACTATGCGTGATGCCGGAGAACTCCTTGAAAGCAACCACCATCAGCTCCTGGAATCTAGTGATGGCGCGGAGCTTAGGATTCTCCGATCTGGGATGAGCCGACTCGTCAAGGCGAGAAAAGTACGACTTGAGCACGGAAATGAACGATCCGTCGTCTTGAATGTCGAGAAGCTCTTCACCGTTGATACGAAGAATGGCGAGGCCAACTTGGAACAAGACCTTGGGGCCTTCCAGGAAGAAAACGTCCAATACACGGAAAGCAAAGACAAGAGGCATTGAGTTGATGTACAAAGAAAGGAACCAGGGAAGGGAAACGACGGAAAGCTGTACATCGAATTTGGCGAGGTGTTCCCAAAGAACCGGCATGGTCTTCTCCACCAGGGACTCGAAGACCTTTTGATCAAGCAGAGTTCCGTACATCGTTGTAGAATAATACCCTGGTAGGAGGCGATCGCACAAGACGGAGAGGAGGAAAAAGGCTTGGTCCTCGGACATATATCTGTTCAATTTAGCAAATGGCGTGCTTTGGGTCAACATAGGATAAACTAACATCAGTAATGCAGCTACAACAATGTTCATGGCTTGACAATAGCCAACTTCAGCATTGGTCCAACTGTACGCAGTCAGAACTCTTCGCAGTCGCCCAATGCCCTCTTCACTCTGGAAGCCCGGATACTCGGGTAGACTGCGGTTCAAATCCTTCTCAATTTCGTCGATAGCTAGAGATTCCTGGCCGTCAAACTTGGCTAATGTTTCTTTGTAGAGATTGGGTGACCGAATACGAAGAAACATCGAACCCGCCGTGAGCTCCCAAATCTCTCCTCGTAATCGATTTGGCAAGCCAACTCGGATCAGCTTGTGGAAAGTCGGTTGCCGAACAAGGGTAGCATTGCGGCCATTTTCTATCGCAAAGCACTATTAATATCAATCGGGAATAATGTTCACATTAAGCAAAGTTAGCTTACCTCGGAAGTATTCACCCCATAGTCTCATCTTGCTGCGATCTCGAAGTTTCCGAGCATCTCCAGGATAGCGGAAGAGCATACCCAGCCCAGCATCCGGAGGCTGCCGCCCTTCGCCATCATTTGCGTCTTTCGCCTTTGTACCAGAAAGCAAGTATTCGGAATAGCAGTCTGTAACGATGCTTCTAAGATTATCAACCTCCTTCATGCCTTCCCGCAGACCCTTCTTCAGGCAATCGCAGAATCTTTCGCAGGCCTGCCTGCTACCGACCAGCTGGAGAATGAGTCGCTGCGGGGAGAAGTTGGGCTCTTGCTGCTTGTTCAGCAATCCATTCCATGTTGTCAGTGCCAAGGAGAACACGTCTCGGGCACTGTGGAGTCGTTCAACACGGCGGATGGAGGAAAGTGGCAAAGTAAAGCCATTGCCAGACGGCCCTGTGCCATGAGTTTGTCCCGTCCAACTGGTTGAAGCACTCAATGTCGACGAGGGTATGAAGCTGGTTGGTTGTGTTGAGAAGCAGATGAATCGCTCACTGAGGTGCAACCGGCCAGTATAGCGATTACCAGCCCGGTCTACCCGGCGGGTACCATCTGCGGAATCAGAGGAAGAGTTTGGTAGAGGGAGGATAAGTTCAGCGGTAATTTCCTGCAGAGGGTTCTGGGAATCGGGTAGGCGGAATTGTTGGCGGAATAGTGAAGCCTTGGAAAGATTGTGGTCGTTGGAGGAAAGAGAAGGAATGTTGAAATTGGCTGGGTCAATCAACGACGAGGCCTTTTGAACAAAAGAGGATAACGACATCATGGTGGGCAATGGTTGCTCCGAGGCGGTTTTGCCGTAGCTATGGAGAGGTGCGGTTATCCGATGATGTCGGGGCGGCGGAGCTAGAGCTGCGACGTGGTACGGCGAGCGAATCAGCACCGGAGGTGTGCAAGGCAGCCCGTACTCTGTTCAAATAACAGTCCAAAGGTCATTGCATGGCCTAGATCATGCCTAGTAAAGTATCTGCACATCTGTAGCTGTCGCTCGGGAACGTGGGAATAGGCGTTGTTGTCGGATGGATAAGAGGGGGGTTGCTGGTGAAGCACCGCTTATCACGTGACGATCAGCCTTATAGCGTTGATGGATAAAACGTGCAAGGCAATACTTGATACACCGATTTAGCCGCCGATTATTACTTTGTATGGGGTACGGGGTACCAAAACAACAAATATTCTACAATTAAGGTTATTTTAAAGTTCTAGGGGTTGTAGTGGTAGATAATGATACAAGCGAGAAGAATTTATTGTAGGAAATGCGCTGTACAAGCTGGACATCAAGAGAGTAGTGAAAAGAAAGGATATAGGTAAGAGACATAGGTCATGGAAGTGAATCAAAGCTCAGCCAGCAGTATAGCATTCTTGCGTTTGCGTTTGAAATTAATGGGCGTGCCCTTGGATCTTGAATCCGGGTATGAAGAGGGTATTGGGGGAGGATAAGATGTTGAAAAAGGACAGGTACTTAGAATATAAGAATGTTTAATTCTTATCCAGGGATCCCCGTCGGGAGGTGGGCTCATTGTACTCGGGAAGGATCTCATCAGATGCCACCGAGGTCTCAGTCATCAAACCCTGTTTCTCGCAAGCGTCACCCTGTTCCCAGGCAGCCTTGTGCTCCTGTGGCTTGATGCCACGGTAGCGCTGCCAGAGGAAGATGATAGCCTGGCCAACGAGCATTCCGACGGCACTGGCGGTCAATCCCGCAATGACACCGAGGATGGCAGGGACGACAATGAAGCGAAGAACACGGGAGAAAGTGTGGGCGAAAGCGCCGTGAGGGGGAGGTGGGTGATGGTGACCGTCATGGCCGTGGGGAGGAGGGGGCGGGCGGTCGCTCATCTCAGCGCCAAAGTCACCCTCGTCATGGGGGTGGTGGGGGCCACCGCGATGGTGCTCCATGGCGAAGTCTTCAAATTCGGGGAATGGCGGTGCGCCCTCAGGGAAGTCGTCGTGGTGCTGGGGAGGACCATGGTGGCCACCCATGCCCATCGGGCCCTTGCCCTTGCCATGGCAGCCCTTCTTGCGGCCACCTTTGCCAGCCTGGCCAAGGACGCGGTCATGAGCAGCGGCAAATAGACCACGCACGCGAGAAAGCAGAAGCTCCTGGATGCACTTGGCCTTGCCATTGCACTTCTTCCAGGACAGACGCTCGGGGGGAGGCACAGTCTTCTCAATCTCGGTCTTAGCGATGTAGAGCTCGCCGGTGGGGTCCTGGATCAGGGTGATGGCGACAGTGTCGACAGGGACGGGGTGAGTCTCGAGATCGAGAATGGTGAAGCGGACATCGAGGAGATCGGTTCCGGGAGTGTCGTCGGGAGATCCCAGAGGCATCACCTCTAGGGCATAGCCGACGGGCATAGGCTCCGTGGCCTCGCCATCTTCGAGTTGTTGGATGGCGCGGACAGGGCTGGGGGGAACGGGAGGGAAAATTTGTTGGCCGTTGGCGAGCAGGCGGTTGTCTTCAATGGAGAAATCCAACATCTGTTGAAGAAATCTTATCAGTCGATAATTCACGGATGACATTTGCGCTGATCACATTTCCAGACTTGACATACCAAAGACGATGACTTGCCCTCAGTCCAGCTGACGGCGCCCTCCTGGTCGACTTCACGGAAGGGACATTCCCTGCAAGGAACGTCGACCACCGCGTGACGGATATCCTCCAGCAGCATGGGGTGGACATTCATGAAGCCATCCTCAACCGCCTCCACTTGGGGCTCCATCTCGGGGATAACCAGCATCGCACTGGCGCCCATGGCGGCTGCGCCACCCAGAAGGATGGAACGCACGAACATCGTTGTGTACAGGGTTGGTGAATAGGTAAAGAGCGGACGTCGGCGACAATGAGACGAGGATTCAGAAGAGGGAAAAAGCAGTCATTTGAAGAAATCTCAGGATGGCAAGAAGTCGTCGTCGTCTTTAGAGGGGGAGATGGGAAGTGGAGATGATCGAAGGGCAGTCACAGTCCTTAGGGCGCCTTCTTAGTCCGCATGGGGCGAGCAAGTGGAGGAGGGTGACGCCAGCTTGCTGCGTGGCACTGATCGTGATTGGCTGCGCGGATTGAGTAGTATTATGCTACATGACAATACTCATACCTGCCGCTCTACACTTGACGCTCTCATGCTCTTATCAGTGCTATCACCGGTGGGCGCTCCATTTCCAATCAATCAACCTGCCAGCGTATTTACATTACATACCGGCCACACCAATCATCTTGTATAGTCTAAAAGGAGCGCCACCAACACGATCAGTAGTTTTCAGACCAAAACACTGACAGTGTGACGCTCCTTTTGGATTATATTTACCCGAAAGACGACCGGTCAAACGCTAGCCACTGGGACAAGCTAAATCCCACCGAGTCCACCCAGCCTACTTGCAACGCGTACTGGTTGCGCAACTGCTGCACCATGTAACGCTCGTTGGCCCTCTCCCATTGCCGCCACTCCGCGTGTCGTTCATAGCTCTGCCACAACCATAGCGCCATGAGGCCCGGATAGACGATGCACTGAGGATGTGAGGGGTTCAGCAAATTCAATAATTCGATGCCGACCGGTAGAATATTCTCCATCGACGCTCTCAACCTTCGCAAGACTGCAATGGCTATCTCCGAGGCAATCTCGGGGTTAATGTCTACATAGGAATTAGCTTTTCGCGGCCATGACCCCGGCATGCGCTCGGTGACTGATGCTGCCTCTGTTGCTAGTACTCGCGGCAGATCGCCGACGGATAAAGATCGCAACTTTCCTCCCTGGTCAAGCGGGCCGTTTGGCGCCATCACTAACGCCTTCAGCGAGGCAGCCAGATTGTCCGGACGCGCCAACAGCGGAGTATCGCCAGTCTGAACTCCCCTTGATTCGGATTCCTTGATGATCGAATTGCCTCGTCGATGATCCACACTGAGGATGGAGGCCTGATCAGGATCGTCATTCACCGTCCTAGTAAACAGTGCACTCTGCGGAACCGTACAATCCGTCGGTCCACTACTAGGCACCACGTCAAGGTCCAGCTCACGAATAGAGTCGTCTTGTTCCAAATTCGCACTAGCTTCGCCATCATGATCCCAATTCGGATGAGATGTTGGCGGAGCACATCGAACGCGCTTTCGGGACGTATTCAAAGGAGGTGTATAGCCGCATGGCAAGTGGCCAAAGTAGACGGGCCGCGACTTAACCCTTGACCTATCCATATCTGTTCGCTCTTGGACAGGCCAACTGGGTTTCTTCAGAAATTTCCAAGACTCGAAGCTCATGTTCGACAAATGTGAATTGTGGAGACCTGGTGGATCTGGCAAGCTTGGGTTCAACCAGCCCTCCCCTATATAATTGTTGCCATCGGTAATTTCGGGTGACGGGCTATCATGGGTGATCCGATTCCAGCATTTCCCCCGTGTTTTCTCGTCGAATGAGTGCCGTTCCAGGGCCTGACTAATGAGACTGTCCCGTTCCCAATCTTGCAAGGAAGATCCAAACATGCGGTCTTGATCTCGGTCATATTTGGTGTCCGAGTCGGAATCGAAGCCGCCGGTAAGGGTTGATTCGAAACCGCGACAAAGTCTGTTGACATCGAACACTGCGAATCCGCATTGGCCGTTATCTACTGTTGGTATCAGTGTATCCAGTGAGTGTAGCTCGTCTTTGGCGGGCTCTATATGCGTATCACTGGAAGACGGCAGTGCAGCAGCGTCACTTTCAATCTGGCCGAGGCTAATATAAGGCCCGTTGTATTCATCTCGTGCCTCGCATGGTATATTCATAAGCGGGTACTCCCCTATACCGGGCAATGAGTCGCTGTCGAAGTCATATGTCCCCAGGAAAGGCAAGAAGTCACGGAAGTTTTCTTCGGATGACCGTGGAGAATTAACTCTCGAGATCTCACTGCCCCATTGAACAATTCTTGGGCCAGCTCTACTTGCCGCATTGTCCCGGCGAAGTCTGTTGCGCGCGATTCTAACTTCTGCGGCTTGAAATAGCTGGTTGACCTCATCCTGAATGCCCTCCATGGCATTGGAGTATTCCGTGACCGAACGACGAAGCTCTCGAATCCTCTCGCCATTCTCAGACTTGTACTTATCCAAGAGATTCACCAATTCTGCCCAGTCTTCTGTATCCTTCTGAAACAGGATCCCATACTCTTCCACATCCTTGTAGGCTATAGTGAGCGACTGTTCCAGACTGCGTGCTCGGTTCTCCGTCTGTTCAATTTCCTGAATGAGCTCACCCTCTCGCATGATATTCCTTGCCACGATCCTCCCATTGGCTTCTTCCATTTGCTGATTTTCCTCCGCCATAAGCTCCATCCAAGTTTCATTGTTCTGTGCACCCATCTTCGACTCGAAAAGGGACTTTTGTAGCTTGGCCATTTCTCTTTCGCTTTCCCAGGCGCGAGACTCAGCCTTGGCCACGGCAGTCTCGGCCTCGTCCAGTCGTCTGACTAGATCATTGTGCTCTAGCCTCAATCTGCTAGCAATGGCCTTGGTGGCATCGTGCTCGGCTTTTTCGTTGCCTAATACCTGCTGGAGCTCGAGTTGAGATATCCGTTTCAACAGGTCTTCCTTTTGTTGCTTTGCCAGAGCCACTGTTCGTTTGCTGCGCGGGGGCTTTGCCTTCCCTTGCTCAGGGCCGGGCTTGAATCCCGTGGCACGTTGAGAAGGCCCCATGGTCGCTTGTTGGTTGATCGAAATGAGTTTTTTGTACTTAGAACCACGAGTATGATCGGATTTTGATGGTATATAGGCGATCAAGGTTTTGTTTGATCGTGGGTTTCCGTTGATGGGGTCACGCACGTTTAGCGACTTGCGGCCCATATAGTGATCCTTATATGTGCGGCCTTGGTTTCACTCCACCCGACTCGATGCCATTGTCTATGACATACAAAGAAACTGTTGAATAGACAGTTTTCTTACAATAGATTTTGTCTATACTTTCTTTGAAATAATTCTCATGGAAACATAATAGGTATTGTTTAAATCATTGAAAGTTATTTGCGCTCATTGACTGACCCATTAGACGCAAATGGTGCTCTCTTCGGTATGTGCCTATAATTAGATTGTTTCAAAAGGCACAAGAAGGCGAAGCTTCCGAGGATTACGTAATTTACCGAGCAGATTGACAAATTGAAGCCTTGAAAATGGGCTTGTGCGATGGGCGTGGTCTCGACGTGGCTCCTGGAACGATATATTTCAAACTCTAGCACAGGGGCGGGAGCACCTCTCAGCTTGCAATCCCGATTTCCAAAGCCTAGATTCAAACCTTCCGACCAAAATATATCTCACGTTACCTGGTAAATCAATTTTCTGGCAAGAATCCCTCAAATCCTGGACGTCGCAGGTTTTCTAGATGCCCTTTGACCAACGGCCCCACCGATGTTGAAAGTTCTATTGGCGCACTTGGATAACTGAAGAATTGGGAGCGCCAATCTCACCCATAAGATGTCATAATCTGTCACAATGAGAACCAAATGATTATTGCTACACTACTGTAAAAGGCTAGACAGGATCGCCAGTGTTCGTAACCTGAGAGTAAACCGAGAAATCAAATTAAGTTCACCATAGCGAGCGCAAGAACAAAGAAAAATAGAATCCGCAGCGTCGATAATAACCGAAAAGACAGGAGTCAATGACAAATCTATGGAAAACGAGATACCTCCCAGGAAAATCACTGGTCTAGCCAATCCTTCAACTCCCCGATGTTTGGGCATTCAATGAAAACAGAACTCTTCACGTCTAGATTGAGCTCCATCTTGAACTTCTCCGATAGAACAAGGGACATGAGAGAATCGACACCGAGTTCGACGAACGATGCATTGTCTGTAAGCTCACTGGGATCCAAGCCGGTCTCACGGGCAATGATCTTGAGACAGTCGGCGACGATTGGGCTATCTGATGAAGCTGGTGGGGTGGATTTCGCAGACGCTGGCGCGCTCAACTCATTAGTCTTTTGCTGAGCAGGTCTTGCTTCACTTGAAGAAGGCATAATGACTTGATCGGAAGTAGAAGGAGGAAAATATGGGAATGCTGAAACCGCTTTCGGCTGCACAGGTTGGATAATAGCAGGCACGGCTGTTTTGAATGAAGCAGTCTCACTGGGCGTAAAGAACTGATTCATCAAGATGCGAGGCACCCGGCGGAACTTCATCTGGCCCATCATAGCGATCACGACCTTGTCTTGAAGCACGTATACGTCACCGGCATACATGTCCTTCTCCTCAATAGGTGCCATGCGGACATAGCTGCGATATCGACCACCAGCCCGCAAGGGTTGAATGATGCGACAGCTACCCCAGCCGGGAGTGACGTAGAAGTAGTCCTTGGTGTTTGCTGCATCACTACCATTAAGTACAAATCCTCCAATGTGAAAGATACTGTCAATCCAGTGTGGGGGTGTGTGCCAGGTTCCGTGTCGGTCGGAATTGAGAACAATCTCGGAGTATGCTTCCATTTTGTGCAGCACTACAGACTGCATGCCCCGATAATGGTCGCTATATTCGACCACGTTCTGGAAAAGGTTGTAGACCATGTTTCGGGACAGATGGTTAGCAGTTCCGTCGAGAGCCATCGCTGATAAAGAGTCGATTCGGCTATTCAGTAGATGGGTCAACCGATCCCACTCCGAACGCCATTCAGCAGAGTCAGTGAACTTGACAGTAGCTGAAGCGTAGGCTTCAGCTGCACGTTCACCATCGCTGGAGACATTAAACCATTGAATTGGCATCTCTTTTGACTGAAAGTCAAGAGTGGCTTCTACTTGCAGCAATTGAGCACGGTTCTTATCGGTATGTGCCACTTGTGCGTGAAGAACCTCGAGATTGGAGACGTCCATGTGAACCTGACGGGTTTGAGGCGCAAGTTTCTTATACAGGTATTCTCCTATTGTCAAAGAAATATCACCCCAAAGAGACTAAGAACCTTCAGCATTCTATTTGTCCTTAGTATTATATCGCTGGAAGACTTACCGATGTGGCTACTCCGTAACCATTCATCCGGTGACCATCCACCGCAGCTGGGGATTCGGGATCCATAATGTCAGAGACGACAGTCAGAGTTGCGATGGAGCCACTGACATTCTCCGAGGTTATGCGGTGAATCGAGGATGTCCGCAGTCCAGAACCCAATGGTGACGAGGCAGCACCTGGCCGACTGACTCCAGAATAGGCTTTATCCAATGTCCAAGTACCTGTGTATTGAATCCAGTAATTCTTCTCGTTCCAGCAGTATTTTGGAAGGGACAGGAGGAAATGAGATTTTTCAAACGGCCTGAAGTATGAGTTCCACTCAATAGGTAAGCCATCGTTGTGTAGGGTGGCCAAAGAGCTTGCCAAGGTCGTGAAGTTGTTTTCGTTCTTACGAAGCGAAGCCAGGATTCGAGCTCCTGGCAGAAGCGACTTGATAAAAGAGCCATTGACAGGATGGGGCCCGATCTCAATGAAACTGGCATTCTCCGTAACGACTCCAAGTTCACGACCAGCGTTCAGGGCTTCGAAGAAACGAACCGGTTCGCGTGTTGCACGGCACAGATATTTCGCGTTCACGGCCTTGCCGTCAAAGATGCCGTCGCCCAAAAGAGGAGACAGAATTGGAACACTTGGAGCACGGAAGGTTACTTGCTGGGCAACTTGCTCGAAGACCTCCAGAATTGGTTCCATTTGGGTTGTATGGAATGCAAATGGCACATCAAGAGGGGTGCATTTGACATCTTCCGTCTCAAGAAGAGCCTGAACCTGTTGGATATTGCTCTTAGTGCTACCGAGAACAGTACTTTCTTGCGCATTCAGACAACTGATCTCGTATACCATACCCGTGGGCACAACTTTCTTGATATGCTCCACAGAGGCTCGCACGGCAAGCATGGAATGGCTACCCAGCTGGGATGAATTTTGAAGAAGCTGGGCCCTCTTTCCTACCAAGAAGATTGCATCTGCAGCAGAGAGGACATCAGCTGCCACAAGAGCTGCATATTCTCCGAGACTGTGACCAATGACCACGCTGGGGGTAACGCCAAGATGGCCCCAGAATCGAACAAGGGCGATTTGACTGACCAGAATCGCAAGCTGGGTCAGAACTGGCGAGGCAGACTTTTCGTCCTCGAGTGTGTCACCTATTACAGGAACAACAGATGAAAAGCCCAGACACTGCACGAGATGGTCGAGCTCGTCGACTACTGAACGGTAGGCTGGGAAATTTTCGTACAGATTGCTACCCAGTCCTGAGTAGAAAGCCCCTTGGCCAGTGAAGGTGAAGGGAACTGATGCCGAGGAAGTGGTAAAGTGGCGAAGTGTGCTCACAATATTAGCCGTAATGATGTCTTCTAATGACTTTTTGACTTGTTCAATAGAAGATGCAGCAAATGCGACCCGCGTATGATGATGGATCCGACGGGCACAAGTAGTGTACGCCAGATCACCAAAGTCAGTCTCAGGATTCTCATGCAGATAAGCAAGCATGGCCTCAATATTTCCCCTCAGAGAAATTTTGCTCTTGGCAGATAGAGTAATGACATGAGTAGGTCGAGGGTCAGATCCAGTACGGATATGCCTTGGCGCATCTTCAAGAAGCATGGTCGTGTTACCTCCATGAGCGCCGAAGCTGTTGACTATTGCGAAGCGCTTCTTGTCACCAATCCGTGGCCATGATGTCAATTCCAAAGCCAATGCAGCATTGCCTCGTTCAAGGTTCTTGGTAACAACAGGGTTGATCTTGGTCTTTATCCCAACGTGAGGCGGGATCATATTCTTCTGGTACATCAGAAGAACCTTGATCAAGGAGGCGATTCCAGCAGCGGCTTCACCGTGACCGATATCTGATTTAACAGAAGCCATCAAAAGAGGGGTCGGACGACGCCACTTGGCATTCGCGAAGATATCGACCACAGATTCCGACTCAACCGAGTCGCCGGCCTGCGTGCCCGTTCCGTGAAGCTCGACGTAGCTGACAGCTACTGGACTGATGCCTGCGGCCTGCATGACCTGTTGGTAGTTCTCCTTTTGAGCGCCAGCATGAGGATGGGTAATTGAGATTGCATCTGCAGATTGATTGGTGAAGGCGGCATCAATCGTTGCGATGATATTATCGTTATCGGCGACAGCGTCTTCGAGACGTTTGATGACGACGGATCCGATCCCATCAGCACGGCAGTAGCCGTCTGCATCCTTATCCCATACTTTGCATTGACCAGTCTTTGACAGAAAATGCCCTTTACAGAGCATAGCAAAGTTATCGGGGTTGGTTATCACGTTCAAACCCCCTGCAATGACCGTATCCGCCTCGCCTGCCCATAATGCGCTACATGCGGTGTTAACAGCTGCTAGACCGCTCGAGCATGCTGTATCCATATTAAAACAAGGCCCGGAGAATTTGAAGAAATATTGGATGCGCCCATTCGCAAAGGCTCGTTCACCTCCTGGGACTGCATAAGTGCCAATGTTCTTGGCGGCGTTCAGCTCTCGCCAATCGTCGCTAGCTTGACCGAAGTATGTACCGATTCTCCGCAGGGAGGTAGACGGCGTTCGGTTAGGCGAATATCCAGCCATCTCAAGAGCTTCGTAGGCAGTCACTAGGGCGAGCCGGTGCATTGGATCGGTTTGTTCAGCCTAAATTTGTTAACAGGGTTTAGCTATTGGTAATAATGCGATAGCTATAATGATATGCATATAGCACAGGTAGACATACCTCACGGGGTGACATATTAAAAAAATTTGCATCGAACATTCCGGGGTTGTCGATAAAATTCCCAAATGGCGTTTGTGTTGTATTGGGAATATCGCCAGTTGGGTCATAATGAGTATCGATATCGAAGCGATCCGCGGGAATTCGGGTGTGAACATCTCGACCTTCTTCAATCAACTTCCAAAAGAGTCCCAAATCATTTGCACCTCCGGGTAGCCTGCAGGCTATACCGACAATAGCTAGCTTGGATTGGCGTGGTGTACGGGATGCACTTGGAAAAAAGTCCGGTTCGTCAATGAGACTCCAATCGAGGATGTCTCTTTTTCGGATAGTGACATCAGGTAGACTAGACTGAATCGAGGATAACAGCCCTTGGGTTATCAAGGAGGTTCGTAGAGTGACGAACTCTATCTCCAAGGATTCATTCGTAGAAACCTCCCGAATTAGCCCCGTTGCCAGATTATCAAGGTAGATTCCCCCAGTGAGGATTTCTGTTACAATTTCCTCCCATAGTTGCTTCGATCGGGTCGCATGTAAAGCCTTCCCGGTTTTTGCTGATATAACGGAAACGTGAACTGGAGCCAAGGCCTTGACCTCAGAGATCATGACGATTGCTCGGACATCTTGAGCAGTATAGAGGTGGGGAGCGTGACAAAGACCACTGTGAACAGGGAGAGCCATGTGCTTTGAGTATCTCAGGATAGAAGAATGGTGGAAAGCATTTATCAAGCGAGATGGAGGTCCGGTCACGCTAACGGAGTTGGCATCTGCTGCGCTGATGAACACCTTCATAAGCTCCGGACACACCTGAATGCCAAATATCAGTGTCAGTCCTGTAGGTCTTTCAAATCTTTGTGCTTTCAACCGGGAATATTCACCGACTCCTTGTTAAAACGATCAAGCTCTTGTTGGATGATCTCTGCGGAGATTCCCTTCACGACGTAAGCCCAGGTTTTCGGGTTACTATCTGCCTCACGAGCCTCCAGTGACTGGGATACTCTGCCAACGTGGATTCCCATCCGAAACGCAATTCGCACGCTTTCAACACCATATCGGGCTAAGTCGGAGATTGAAGTGGAAATTGCCACGGCTGCAGCAGAAAGAAGTCCCACGCTCAAGCCACTCAAGGTTGTTCCAGCATTCCCAAGATCGTAAATTTGGTCAATTGCTGCATGGTGTCTGTGCTAATAGTTAGCTCAATTTGAGGTAATAAGCAAGTGTCAGCTGCTGGCAAATTACCCGATAAGCATGCCGATTTGTAGTATGCAGAGAAGGGCCGTCTCAACGGCCCCTCCAACGAGAGTGAGACGGTTGGCTTCCCAGCCATCGACAAGGCTCACGATATTTTGAACGCAGATAAGCTGGGGAGGAGGTTGTTGCGAAATCTGGCTGATTTCTTGATTGATGGTGGACACACATTCTTCCATGAATGAAGCTAGAATATGGAGCTTCTTGTCCATGGACCACCGGTGCAGACGGCGAAAGAACTCCGGGATCTCTCCACTTGGGAAGTCATTGCCGAAGAATACCAGCCTGCTACTGAGGCGACTCATGGTTTCAGTGGACAGGGAAGAAGGGGTCTCCATGACTGCGCGAATCTCTATACAGTGAGTTAGGAAGCAGTCTGCTTGTTCATCTTCTTGGAGTTGGCTGTTGGCAAGTCTTGGAACGGTAGGAATTGTTTTCATTAAAGCGTCTGCTTCAAAATATTAACATATGTCTCACTCATATTAGATATATTCAGCATCCACTGTTTCGGAAGCTTACATTCAGGTATGTGGTATGTGGACGGCTGAAAATTTGATAGCTTCGGATGCCGAAGCGGTGGCAGACGGACTCCGGCGAGGTTTCTGACTTACAACTCTCTGACTCTCGCTCAAATCTCCTGACCTACGAAATCTGTTTATATGATAGTACTTTAGTTGACTTTCTTCCTTGCTTTGTGACGGACTGGTATTGAACAAATCAGCTATCATGGTTTATATCTTGTATTATCCGCTCCTGGTGGTGGGTGCGACCAGTATGTCTATCTTGCTTGGTGAGTATTTTCCTCTTCATTTCGACAGACACAAAGCGGTATATCTCTCTGAACTTCACCACTTAACACTCTACGTTTCTGTTCAAAATGATCCACATTGACCGTGCTCCCAGGCTGTCAGATAAGCCTTTCCTACGTCTCCATGGCGGCCATCCTCAGCATTTCTAATCTCCCCGAATACACCGCATTGTCAATGTGGAAAGTCACTTTCGATCGAGGCTTTTACCTCTGCCCTACTCAGGCAATGTTCTCAAGCTTCGTCTTCCTTCTCAACGCGCTCTTGACTTTCATATACGGCCAACCGGAAAGTTCCAGCCACAACTGCGCTCTCACGATGTTGATAGCAGGAATACTTGCCATAAGCCTTGTGCCGTTCACCTTGTTCGTAATTGTACCCCTGGAAGAAACTTTGCTGAAGCGCCATGAAAAATTGTCTCGGGAAGATATTCATACAATATCTAAAGGAAAGATTCACAGCGATACAGGACCAAATTCACAGGCCATCGAGGGTCGTCGTGTGATGGAAAAATGGGTCTCCCTCAATTATGTCAGAACCATTCTTCCTGCTCTTACAGTAACTTGGATCTGGTTGATGTGTATATAACAACAAGAGGTCACTTTAGACCCTTAGTATAGACTCGGGAATTCCTCGGGTTCATTTGAAGGGTAGATAGGATGTTGTTACTTACTGGCACGCCTAAAAAGTCAAGCGACACATCAAACTCTTAATTCGGTTAGTTTCCTCAATTTCAGAGTCTGAATCTAGCCATGAGAGAGGAATTCTAGCCCGATACGCATCAACTGACGACAACTCTTTTGAACTGTCTCTCTAGACAGTTTTTGAATTAACTTTCGGGCTATCTTTTGGGTCATGACCAATAATTCTTTAAATCTAGTCCAGAAGTATTACCCATAGCAGTAGCGAGATCAATCCTGAATAGACCAGTACACAATTTTACTATTCCCTCCCAGGCTCTATGAAATCTTGTGGGGCTTAATCCTATCTTGAACTGAATGATTGAAAGATGCGAAAATTGGATAATAGAGTCTAGCTTAAGATGTACCGAAATGGTCAAAAATGTGAAATCACCTTGTGTTGCCCCTGGTTCATCTTGGAACCATCTGAAACACTTCGTCGGTGATTGATCTCAACCGCAATCTCAGCGAATCTGCTAGAGCAGAAAGTCTACCAGCAGGCTGCGCATCCCCTTTGTATCTAAGGGCAAATTGCATCACCACATTGGCGAGCTTGGAGAGTTCTTCCAGGATTTGTACCGATGACATGTGCGCATCTCCCTCGTCAATTCAAAATCGATGAGCGTGGCGCATTCAGTTATAATGCCCTCATTGTGATCCACATTGAGATCTAGGGAGTAACCTGTATCTATACTTTGGGCTTGGATCATGGTGAAGTCTCCGGCGCTCCAGTCATGCAACCGGTGAAACAACGAGTCGAATACGTCCATAATCATCATACAAACTGTCGCCACCAAGATACCCACGTATGTTTTCCGTGAGCAGGGGCATACCAAGATGGTCGACAGTCGGTGAATCGCCCAAGCAGTGGTCTGTACCCTGTCTAGTAACTCCTCCCTTGGTTCACTGTTCAGTGTCTTAATCGCAGATTCTTTGGAGGCCTGGAGATGGCGCATGATTTCAATTGTGCCTTTCACGCAATCTGGCTCAGATGAATCTGAGATTGGCGTTTGATCGCCGGTGTGAATTTCCACTGTCTGGGTCGCGACGGTACTAGAACCTGAGCCTTGGCTAATACTTTGCGGTAGGGAAAACTCGAGCGGCGTGAAGAAGGAATCCATATGAGGCTGTAAAGAATGGAGACACTGTGGGTCCCTGTTTAAGGCATCTGAGAAGTCGAAGCGGTCAAAGTCTGGTGGCGGGGACTGTGGAACATTCATGGTCTGTTCTTGATCCAAATCTTCATTGAAGACATATGAGCCCCAATTCATAGCAGATGTTGTGGTTGTTTCAGATTCGCCTAGAACGCCAGCTGGTATGGGCATGTCATCCAGCCCATATGTCACGGCCGATGCGTACTCATTCTCATCAAAGATCGAAGGCTGTGTGTCTAGGCTCAGACAAGATTCTTGACAAAGCAACTTGGAGTCTTCAGGGGTATTTGGTGGGCTTGCATTGATTGTAGATTGTCTTTGGCACAGTTCAGGACGTGGGTCTGGTGATTTGCGACTGACAATTCACGGTTTGGATGCGGACGCCCTATGCGACGTGCGGGACTATAGGAGCACGGATAGCCCAGCTTGCGACAGCGACTACACAAGGGCTTTTCCTTGTTGCACTTGACCTTCGATGATGAACACATATCGCAGCTATCCTTCAGTTTCTGCGAGGGCGGTGGCCCGGATCTCCCTTCTGGCCCTGCCATTGTGGTCGAATTGCGAGAGTTCATCTGGAGCAAGTATTCTAGACTGAGTCTGTTTAGAAATTACCCATGGACAGCAGTACGCTTAAGAACTGGCCTTACAAGCATAACAAGTTCTAGTATTTGTTACATCTAGCCAGCTGGGCATCCAAGTCTGCATATGGTAACCTTTTCGCCCTGTGAATGCAACCGTAGTTTTGCCTGCCTTCAATCATGCATTGGGAATCTAAGCTGACATAAGATTTCTCCAATAGTTTTCGAACAGATAATCGTTGTAGTGCGAGGCTGAAGCGAGACAAGTTGTCATATCTCGTAATTATTGATGGTAGCTTCTAAATTGGACACAGAGACAGAGGCATGCATCTTAGTGCCATCATGGTGGATCGCTATTCCTCCAATCTCGAACACCGAAAAGAGAATCCCAGTAACCCTGCCCTCAAAGTTTTGAAACCATGCAATATCAGTCAACAGATACGGGAAAGACAGAACCGACTAATTTCCAACAAGGGCTTAGGAATGAATATTTCTTGTATCGCAGTTGAGCTGTTAAGCAAGAATAATTAACTAATCAGCTGCCTTTAAATTTGGCAACTTGAGGAAAGCGTGACATGATAGAAACAGCTACGCTTCATCGGGCACGTTATGACATACAAAGAAATATGTCAAAGTGAAACAATCGTATTGATTGACTAGAGGATATCTGCAAGCCATTAAGCCATACTTGATAAAGTGCGATACGTACATGGACCCGTTCTTTTTCTTCACGTCTTCCTCCTGCATCCTCTTGCGTGCATCCATCTCGTATGACAAGATCACCTGAAACAAATCAACAACAGTAAGGCTTTAGTACTATGTAATTACCCCACCAAAATTTGCAGACCTGCTCGACATTTTGAATATAAGATCTAAGTTGATTGAGCCGACAGCTCGCAAGATGTATATCGGGCTAACAATTCGAAGAGAAAAACATGAATATTCTACTGCAGATCGTTCAAAATATAGAAATTCAGATCCAGATGCGTCGTTCTTATCATGTGCGTCTGTCAAGGGATGATTTGCAGCAGGACGCCCGACGAACTTACCAAAGATCGAGGTCGATGCGTGTTTGACCCGTTTCAAAAGCCAATTGTTGGGGATTTAAGAGTCATTGCATATGTAGTGACAGTCATCTCGGCTGTTTGTTGTACTTGAACAGGCCCCTGGACTAGTGATATCATGCAGCGATCTTGTGTTTTTACCGGCCAGGATGGAGTACAACTCACCAGCCGGACATTGCCGGATCGCTGCCCTTGCAGGTTACTAGATTCTATTATCATACATCACAACTCCTTTGTGAACCATCGCCGAATCAGTAATTCGTTATCCCTGGTTAACTGTATCGTTCTAAGCCTGCTGATTAGACTAATGGCACTGCCATAAGCATATTTGGCCGATTCGAGGTGTATGGACCGAGACTTGCCATTAGGAAGTTCTATCACCGACCCAAGGGAAAAAACAAAAATCGATAAAGTAAACCCAAGATAATGGCAAGAGATACCAGAGTAAAATAAACAGATACGTTTGGCACCGACTATGACGGTACATGACGGGTGCGTAAAGCAGCGTGCAAAAGGATACTCAATTGTCCTGTCAACGCTGATCTATAACCGACCGAAAGCGACTTCAGAGCATACGGTAGGCGTGCCGATCACTCGCGCCGAGAATACCGAGGCCGTACCGCTGATTATTGGATTCCTGCAGGCCCTCACATCCATTCCCACCAACGTTGACTAGCCAAGAAGTCGATCCCGGAATGGGTAAGCCAAGTAGATACCGATGAGATGATGAATTTTCTGTGCTCTCGATAAACTTGATCCTTAAGTATACCAGACTCCCGACCCCTTGATTCCTGTCGCTTTTAATTGGCCTCACGGCTCAAGGTTCCAACTATTGCTGACTTGGGAGAATGATATTCAAACCAAGCCATGGCAATGGACGCGTGTCACGCTTCTACTACCGATTTCGTGGGCCATCAAGTTAGAAGCTCACAGCCTGGGACTTGCTCTGATGAAAATAAAATATGCACAAGATCCGTTCTCGATGCTCTTGCGACACTTTGTGTCCCACCTTCTGTCTGTTTATCAGTCAGTGATGACGGCCAATCAGCTCGCCATGGCACCGACACTCCCAATTCCCAGGCACGCAGAATGGATGATGCCCTGAGAATGAACCGGAGAGTTCTAGCGACTCTTTCAGAAGTATTGCAGTGTTCTTGTTCTGTAAATCCATCTGTCCTGCTACTTCTTGTCGCCGCGAGCGACCGGGTGGTAGCTTGGTACCAAGCCATGCTACGTGATGATGAAAACAAGATTATATACGAGCAAGTGCCTTTTGTAACCTCGTCAAACATTGAGCACGACCAATGCGAGCTAGTACTTGCAACACCTATCACCATGGGCGACTTTGCTGTTGACGCAGCCATGCAAGTACACATCAGAAATCAACTGGTGATCGATGAGATGAGAAGGGTGGAATACGTGGTCCACCAATGTGCTGCTCGTGTGCAGGAAGCACAATGTCAGAGCTCTTCGGCTCATCGCCAACAAATTTACGAGGTCCTCAATTCCATGTTGAGAGACCAGCTGCACGCTCAGGCCAATATGATACAGGAGCGAAATTAGTCTATGGGAGCTGTGTAGGTTTCCCGTCTAGTCAAATAGAGGATCAGATATTCAGAACATTCGGTAGATATTGCTGGAGAATTTACAAGGGGCTGCGAGGCAAACGACCAGATCCGAGGCAGGATTGGAGAAAGGAGCGGACCTGCAAAAGTAACAGTGCAATCAATTACCTTCTATGCATTGGTCAATGGCAAGAAACTCAGACATCAAGTAAAAATTAATCGTATTGAATTGAGCCATTACTGAATTGGTAAGGACAGGTATGAGACACGGGCACACAGTAGGGCATTATCGCCGTAGTATGTGAAAAATGTCAGTCACTCCCACAATTCGTAGTCCGGGAAGTATTTCCTGTAAATCCGTTGGGCGTAATCAAAGAGAGCCAGACAACTTTGGACTTTGGACTTTGTTTCTGGTGCACTGTGGAGAAGGGTTAATTTCAATCCGCCAATTTGAAGAAAAAGAGGCTACTGACGCGTCACACATGAGGCTGGACGCAATGAACCCAAACAAAGTGGCGTCTGCCTCGGTCGGAGCACCACTGCCGAGAACCCAGAAAGGAGTTTCTTGGTCATCTGGGCGGCTAACTGCGCTTAAATGGCTGTTGAGCGTGTCCCAAATTTCAGAACAGAAGCTAGCAATCTCGTCTGTGCTGAACTTCAAGGTTCCTTGACCTTCGAGAGACCGCACGGACTTTTTGTAGACAAGATTTCCTACAATGACTTGAAGGGGCCAAGGTAAAGCTCCAAGGATCTTGGCTCTCATTAAGTAGTAGTTCACTACCCATCGCTCATGACACTATGAAAACCAGAATATAAGTCCTTTACACATCTTCACGCATTTCAATCCGAACTCATTCAATCACTCTTACCTGATAGAAATAGAGTTTTTTCCTCTAGCAAAGCTCTGATAGACAGATCTTGCAACTTCAGCGCGGCTGAGAGGTTGTCATTGAGGTCCTTAAGATCTCCAGATTCAATTAAAGCCCGAGTGATCAAGTTTGAGTCAGCAATAGTCTCACAGTTCCCATCTCCGTGATCGATTGAAACATAGGGCACTTTTCCACGAGGGGCCTTGGGGATTGAACCAGCTTCCGTACACTAGGATATACCACCAAATCGAAGGCGAGCCTCTAGTTTGGTGACAAATGGCGACCACACAAAACACCCCTTGTCGGGAAACCCTCGGAAAAGTGTGAGGCTGAGTGGCAACTCGGGAGATGTCATGCTGGGCGTGAGAAGCACGGCCGCGGTCAGTAGTAGAAGTACGATGTACCTCGATGCGTGTTCTAAGGTGGAGGAGTGGATTAAGTTGAGAATCTTGTATAGGGGTAAATAAGGAGCGCACATAGAAGTACGAAGAAAACAAAAACAAAGAAAGCAGTTGTAGGACCTACAGCAGCCCTCGGTCTCTAGGCAAACAGCCCGCCGATCACTGAACCCGCAGAGTCCAACAGCGTGGTGGGTATAGTTTTTGTTCCTTACACCCAACTATATTCCAGATCTGAGGGTTTCTTGTCCGACTTCTCAGATAGGTCAAGCTTGAGGTAGCCTAGGACAGGGGCCGATACGGGAACCCTAAGTAAGTCAACATCGGTCTTTGGCGAATGGCCGTGCTGCCAAATAGAACAGTCCTAATGCGAATCTGGAGCTCGGGAGGGCGCCGGTGTCTGCGGCTTTTAGCTTTCATTTCGGTTCACATTATTACGTTGATTTATTACTATCGTTCAGCGACCCCAGCCACCGAATTCCCTTCATTGCCTATCTGTATCCCTGCCCTCACCTAAGATTCTCAATGGAACTGCACCAAAATGCTCATAATTTTGGGAAATTTTTGGGAACTGTAAAATAATGATCTGCTGCTCACAGAACGAAGGCATACATACGTACTGCACTGTGACTGGTAATTGGTCGATTCCTGAAAGCACCTACCACCCACATGTAAAAAATAGAGGGAATCGAAAGAGCTCAACCATTGATTAATTATGGGTTCCCTGGAGACATTAGCGAAGGAACCGTCAGTGAAATGACTTGCTTCGGCTACTGTAGCTACTGTTTGATAGGAATACTAAGAGTTGCTGCCCACTCATACTTGTCATGAAAGACGATGGTCGTGGGCCTTACTGCGCTCAAATAGGTGGATGAGCCTCCTACCTGCCTGGCCAGGGAGTCCACGCCACTTCTTTGCACCGTGAGCACCTAGACCTACCAACCGGTGGCCCAGACGGACCGGTCACCATTTCCTGGTATCCGAGTCCATAAGCTAGAAACATACAAGCCAAATTTATTCCCGGGGCCAATCTTCGAATTATAATTACTCTCCTCATAGTCTCAGATATGCAACGTGGTACAGAGGTAGCACGCCTTGGCGCCAGTGATCCTGAGGGTCTAAGACCCTTCGAGCTTCCAGCCCCAGTCTGTCGACCGCTAGGGCATTCTTTGTCACTGCGAGCAACCCATGAACAAGATTGGTGAAAATAAACATTCTGCTTTTCGGGCCAGAAGTATCATGATAGACACGCCGTCATGAGAGTAGATTTCTGGACTCAACGACTCAACAAAATGCGAGCAGGATTATTATGTAGACTAAATCCCCCAGACCTCCTGGAAATTGTTATGTTTTGGGCGGACCAGTTAGATCCGAAGACAATACGACGAAGTTGATCGATTCGTGTTGCAATTTCACATTTATTGAAATATTTGAGACTAAGTCACACTAACGACAAACTGAGTGATACGATAATTTAGACACAGCGATGAACTTCTTCATCAAATCCATGGTTTCCATGCTTGGACCAGTTGCGAAACAACAAAGCCTATTGCATTTATGTTGAATGACAAAACTTAACGGATTAAGGCACCATCTAAGCTTGCATGGAAACCGCGACTTTGGCATCCGAGTTGTCCTGGTTGTCAGAAACATCCATTGATTCTCCGTCGCGGTGCTCGCCGTGAAATAGGCCAAGGACGTCAATCTTCTCGGCTTTTTGCCCAGACGGTTTGACGAGACCTAAACGACCATGCTGCAGATTAACAGTCAACCCTCCGATTGTATCAAAACTGAAGGCGTCAATGTTGATTGTATCCTCCGATCGCAACATCTCACGCGCACGAACGGTGTTCATGATGTGCAGCTCTTGTGGAGACATGGATGACTCGAGCGTGGCCTTCACCTTCGGGTCCAGGTCCTTGTTATTAAGTCCGAGGTCTTCCATTTTCCGAAGAACAGCTTCTTTTTCTTCCAGGGGAACGGGGATGAACGCCCGGCAGCAGAAGTTGATCGTGTTGGAAATTTCCGACTCGGTCAGTCGGGCTTTGACATCAACCGTGCCCTGGATGACTAGAACACAGACGTATAATCAGTAAGCGATCGAGCAAATTGAGCTATGAGACTTACTAGGTCGGAAGAATGAAAATGCGCGATCGAAGGTCTCTTCGTCCCAATCGGTGAGGACGGGGTCATCTTGGTCCTTGATTTGCTTGAGAGCACTCAAGACCACCAAAAGGAAGCGGGTGTATCCTTCGGCAACCTTTTTGGAATGCCAGTCTGCCGCAGTATTCTCACTGGAGTCACCTTTTCTGCTAGCACAGATGGTTGCAGCTGCTGACAGACCACTGGCCATGGCCAAGTGGACCCCAGACGAAAAGAAAGGGTCAATGAAGCAGCCCGCATCACCCACAACCCGGACAAAAGGACTGGCATAGCTGGAAGCGCTGTATGACCAGTCCGATGCAGACTTGACCTCTGAAACCAGCTCTGCTTTCTTCATCAAGCCCTTTATACCAGGAACGAGTTTCAAGTTCTGGAGATAGATGTCCTTGCTAGAAGGAGAGCTCATTTTTTTCTTCTCCTCCGTGGCAATGGCTTGGTTTCGGACAACACCCACGGAGACCACATCACCATGCAGGGGAATAGTCCACGCCCAGCCACTGGCGTCGGCCAGAGCCTCAAAGTAAGGTTGATCTTCATGGATACCACCAAGGTCATAAGTTTCCATATTTTTCCAGTATCCCCAGCTGGCGATGTTCTTCAGGCCGTGGTTGTATCGCCTGTTTTTGTAGTGCTTGGTGCTAACCAAGCCCGCGCGACCACTGGCATCAACAAGGTAGTTGAAGCTAATAACACCGCTGGTACCATCTTTGCGTGACCAACGAGCCGAAGTAGGTCGACCTGGGTTGGGCTCAGGGAATTCAGCCAGCTTCTGCTCTACAGAGTCGTTCTTGTCCCAGGGCCGGAATTCAAGGTCGCCGACACGAACCCCATCGAAGGTCTTTGCACCGCTTTGAGCAGCATGCTTGAACATCAATTCATCCGCCTCAGAGCGAACGATGTTCCAGGTGTAACCTTGAGGGCCACCTGCAACTACAAAATCGGTGACCAGTCATTCATTGTGTTAGGCAAAGAGTGCATAGTCTGGACCTTCGATCAACTTACAGACTCGAGGCTTAGAATTCATCTTGAACATGCCTCCTTTCTGTAGAATATGCTTAGTCACAATACACCCTCTTCTCTTGAACATCGCGTACCTTGATCTTGAACCCATAATTGTCAAAGGTGGAGTCCAGATCGATGAAGCGCAGGAAGTGACGCATCGAAGGGAGCATACTTTCCCCAATATGGTATCTGTGAAGAAGTGATCAGGCAAACCATCCTTTGTGCTATTTTTGATCAATTGCTGATCGAGTTGAACGGACTTACCGAGGAAACACATCAGCTTCCAAGAGCACAGTATCGATACCCTCGCGGGCCAAACAACACGCCGAATATGCACCGCCTGGACCGCCACCGATGATAAGCACGTCACACTGCTCTGGGATATTCGACATTGCAGCTATTTCAACGGTGATTTATATTATGTTCAAAGATTGCAACAGGAAGGTCTTTCGTATGTGCTGTGATCTGCTTCGATTTTATTTTGAGATGGGGGGGGGGTCTTATATTGAGTGTCAAGCTTACCACATGGATTGAGGCTCATCATCTAGAGAAACCAGTAGTTGCATGTACTAGCATATACTCGGAGACCGAGCTCTGGTGCGCGTGTAATTTGCCACTCAATCTTTGTTTCAGCAACATGCCCGAGGTCGCGGATCTCGGGGATGCACGAATAGCTGGGCTTGACATCGATGGCTTAAGAAAAGCCGGATTCCGAGGGACCGTCTGTGTTCTGTTGGACCCGTAATTTCTCTCATCGTGGGTGCGTCTGTTCTACGAAGGTCGAGCAGAGTGCACCACTCTCGCCTGCTGAAGCACTTGATCATCTGCTTCCATCAATTACACCTCTTCCCCATCTTGCTGACAGGGGCCATTTTCCACGTATTAGACTTGATTATCACTAGTCTCCAACTCAAGCTGTCTATTCTGCAATATGAACTTCGATAGCATTCTATTCCGCATCCAAAGCAGCATTTCTATCTTGAAGTCTTGGGTATTACAGTCGTGGTAGTAGGGTAATTGTTTGTGCCGGTCACTTTCGTTGTTGAGCATGCTCGTACGCATGGAATGCCTTCGCATCTAGCCAAAAGTCTTGTCGCCATTCTCTATGTGCAAGTTGAGTAGAGATACTTGTCCATGGCTCGCAAATGACAGGTATAGTATGTTCGGCCAAACGATCTCCAATGCATTCATGGACAAAGTCGGCCATTCTAATGTCATGATCATCTGAGCAATTTTACCATGGCTTTGATCTTAGGACCTTAGCTTTCTTCTACTAGTAATGCTGCTGTTGTGCGATGGGGACGATCTTGGTAGCGACGCGGCCTCGTTGGAATGAAACCCCTGAAGCTGTGAGGGCTAAATGAGACAGTGGGTAACTTTGGCTTTGGGGTAGATGTTTTGAAGGCTAGTAAATCTGCACACAGTGCCTCAAGACACTCGTAGCTTGAATGGGAACTATGAAAATGCCAATGGCTGATGTTCGAGGACGTCGTGAGTCAAAGCAACAGTTGGATCGAGTCTAGTTGGTGAATTTGTTGATTGTCGGATGCCGACTCAAAGAGATATATTTCTTTTTCGAAGCCAAGCCCGCAAACTTACCCTGAGGACTAACTGAAGCCATTGAGTTAAGTTTAGGTCATGCATGTCCCGTGTACTAAAGGTAAAAGGTCAATAGTTCAGAACCTGCAGGGTCTCGCCAAACCCGGGATCAAAAATGCGAGAGAAAGACCGAATTCAATTGTGTCCTCGGTCATCAGTGATTCAAGTCCTCGTGATTTAGGCTCACAGCCGCTTCACCCCATCATCCCGGTCTTTCATTTTCTGGTCTGTCGGGTCCTTCACTAAGTCGCTTGTCTTTGCCGAATGAAGGTCTAGGCCAACATAGACGTTGGCCGATTGTCATTGAAAAAAAGTAACTGTCTCGGCGAAATTGAACTGTCTGGTATTTGAAGGAGTTTTGCGAGGATTCGGTGATGCGGAAATCGCATATCAGCGCCCCAGAGTTTGTCGATTGGCGACTTTGGGCAACGAGAAGACACATTGAAAAGATATTCAGCATTTGATACCGAATTCTTTGCATATATCGGCCAATTCGACTCAGCAAAATATATCACATGATGAGTTGAAATTGAAGGCGTTTTTGCTTCTGCAGGGGAGCAGTCCGTATGCAAATCACACCGAAATGAGGCACTTGTCTGGTTTTTAGAGGTCTTCGAACTGTCGACTTGGCTGAAAAAAAAGTGTCTTGACAAGAGCCACACCTGCGCCAAAATCCTTTCGTAAGCTGACCGTAAGCGAGATCTACTATTACTGTCTCAGTGTCGTATGAAAGTCAAGTCTGGACTGTCCATCGATCCTTCCGTCGTGCAATTGTGCTGTTTTAGTTGGAGAACTCTCTCTATGATCGGAATCCGAGATTCAGCCGTGCCACTTCCACCAGAAACCCCGATGTATTGTTGCAATAGAGACTAAAGGTTACGATGGATGGTCACGGTGACTTCCACCAGATCGCAAGTTTATATGGTGGTAGGGAAAAGATCCAAGCCCCCAGCCCTTCCCAGATATCTTAGTGCCTTTCTTCTCAACTTCTGAAGAATAAACACTATGGCGCTCAACCCTATTCCCCTCAATCAGTGCGCCTGGGGTGACTATCTCTCGGCGCAAGAGGCAAGCCTCCCACACCTTGCGGACGTCGAAGATGTGACCGACAGGGTCATCCGCATTATGGGTGGCAATCCAGGGCAAATGCAACTTCAAGGGACTAACACGTACATCGTGGGCACGGGCAAGTCCCGTGTACTCATCGATACTGGTCAGGTAAGTCTACAAAGAAGATGGTCTTTAACTGTCTTGAACTGAAGATTTCAGCCATTCTTATCCATGCTGATAGGGAATGCCCACATGGGCCACCAACATCACCAAAATTCTCAAGGAACGAGATCTTGAAATCTCGCACGTCCTCTTAACACACTGGCACGGAGATCACACCGAGGGAGTTCCAGACTTGATTGCCTACGATCCTCGTCTCGCCTGCCGGATCTACAAAAACCAGCCGAGCCCCGGTCAACAACCCATCCACGACGGCCAAATATTCGAAACCGAAGGCGCAGTCATCCGCGCAATTTTCACCCCAGGCCACGCGGTTGATCATATGTGTTTCATCCTCGAAGAGGAGAACGCCATGTTCACGGGGGACAACGTCCTCGGTCACGGCTACAGTGTTGCGGAAGATCTCGGCGAATATATGAAAAGCCTAGAGATCATGCGCAGTCAAAATTGTCAATTTGGGTATCCGGCACACGGAATCAAGATCCTTAATTTACCACGCACTATTCGGCTATATATTCGTCACAAGGAGCAGCGTGAGCGACAGATTTATCATGCTTTGACGAAGGTTACTCGTACAGGTCATAATGCTAAGGGGAGCTTGACGGCTCGAGAGTTGGTTCATGCGTTGCACGGAGATATTCCCGAGGAGCTGTTTAAGAATGCGTTTGAGCCATTCTTGACAGAGTCGTTGTGGAAGCTTGCAGAGGAACGGAAGGTCGGCTTTGAGGTTGTTCGAGGACGGCGTCGGTGGTTTTTGAACAAGCGCGCCTGGCAGGTTAGCTCGGCGGCTTGAGGCCAGTGCTGTACGAGGAATTGAAGTCTCCTGTTTTTCCTTACAGTATCCTCTTTACCTGATATGCTTTGTTCGGCGATAAATATAGTTTTAGAGTGCAGCAGTAAGCATTCGAGTGATTCAGACTCGAGGGAAAGGGAAAGCTATGGCCCAGATTATGATTGATAATAGCTCCGTAATGCATGTAGATGACCTCTATCGAATCGCACGATAGCCATCAAGGTTGATAGAGCTAAGACTTCTATTTATTCAAGATACTTGCTCATACTTTCCCCTCGCTCACAGCTTCGACTTCTTCTTGCCCGTCACGTTGGCAACCTCCTGTCCCGACAAAAGGAAGTCTGGGTATTGCAGGTTTCCGTTGGTAGCAAAGCCGCCGGACATCCGCCAGTTTGCACCGTCAACTGTAAAAGCGTTAGAAGATATTTACCTCGCTTGCATTGCCTCGCTAGGGAGGTGATTGACTTACCAACGAGTGTCTGACCGGTGACATAGCTACCAGCATCGGAGAAGAGGTAGACTGTCGCATCAGCAATATCACGAACATGCCCGAAGCGGCCTAGAGGCTGGGACTTGGTATAAGCAGCCTTGGCGTCGGATGGGAGCAGACGTTCCAAGCCCTAAATTATCGTCAGATCTCAATTTCCCTTGGGTGGTTCTTTAGTAATCTCACCTCCGTTTGAGCGATGGGCCCAGGTGCAATAATGTTAGAAGTCACGCCCCGAGGGCCATACTCAATGGCCGTCGAGTTGGACAGGGAGTCGATGCCGGCCTTGGCCACCGAGACGTGGGCTTGGAAAGGCATGCCGCGGTAGTGGAGAGTTGCGCTGACGAAAACGATCCTACCACCGGTACCACTAGCAGGCGGCTGGACTGTCTCTGGTGTCAAACTTTGTATTCTCAATAGGGTAAGGAGTGGCTTTGACTTACGGGTTTCTGAGTCCATTCTGTGCTTACCGCCAGACTCAACCAAGTAGGGCAGAGTAGCCTTGAGGGTGTTGTAGGATCCAATCACGTCAATGTCCATGACAGACTTGAAAGCGTTAACTGAGAGCTGCTCAATAGAGGCGAGGAAATTGCCTGCAGCACCGGCACTGGTAGGACAATTAATACGAATGACACGAATCTGGACGCCTTGATACCCTGCGGACAAACATACATGACATAGTCGATGGAACCGAGCTCCTTAACACAGCGCTCGACGGCATTCTTCAGGTCCTCGAACTGTCGAACATCAACGGCGCCAATGCCAATAACCTTGGCCCCCGGGCGTGCGGTGGCGATATCCTGAGCCACGCGCTCTGTCTTCTCTACGTTGCGACCGATGATACACGCGTTGGCTCCTAGGTGAACCAGAGCACGAACCTGGGCACTGCAGATAGTACCAGCACCACCGGTGCAGAAGACGACCTTGTTGGCTGGGAAAAAAAAAAAGAGTCAGCGATTGCGAGTTCGGACATGGCCGAAGGGGGGAGGTCTACCGAAGATGCCATCCTTCCAGATGTCGCTAACGTACTCGGACTTGGGGAGAGGCATGATGAAAACTGTTCTGAGGGGGTTCTCAAGTAAAATCAGTGGAATATCATGTAGAAAGAGCTAAGTTGCTGAATCGAGAGGCGATAATATTGCAGTTTGCGGAGGCCAGCGTAGCTCCGTCGCCTTTTCCCCACAGGCCGAAGTTGAGCCTCGGCTCGGTCGGACTGCTTCTGGTTGTGCCGCACGATTAAAGCATTACGATAGATCTAATTCACTAGGAACACTGCACATCTACCATGGAAAAGTTAATATTGTTAGAAATGGATACTCGTAAAGCCAATGGGAATCATGCCCACACTGCCCGCTCCTTCCACCTTTCTGGAGTAGCAAGTTGTTAAACGACGACGGTGCCCGTGGAGATATATAGGTGACTACCAGCGCTGAAGCAAAAAGCTAGTCAACTAGGAGTGGAGTGTTATTGTCTGAGACTACTAGCTATGAATTGATGTCAACACCCTGTTCCCTTAGGTTGTTTCTCAAGTTCTGTGTGTATAATAACCTACCAGCTAGGGAATAGCCAGCTCATGGACGCCCTGATGAAGAACGTGCGGTCGCTGATTGGACGGCGCGTGCACGTCACTTCCACCCGAAGACTTTCAAGACTTCAAGATCTTCTCTCTCTCCATCCATCTCAACCTGACCGTTGAGCCGCGAGCTATTCAATCCCCAGATCAACTGCGCGTCCTCCTTAACTCAATTCTGGCTGGTCGCGCATCTCCATCAACAACGTCATGGCCTGCCCCATCACCATTTCCAAGTTTGTCGGCACGGTCTCGCTCGGCTTGCTGACGGTAAGCAAAGGAACATCGCAAAAGCCCTACGTCCGATGGCGGTCGCATACTGATGATTCTCGATTAAATCCTCCAGGGCCTTTCATACTCCACTGCCACCATCACCATCCCCTCCCTCCAGCTCCTGCCGACCGCTTCCACCGCCTCCCGCTGCCTCAATGAAGTGAAGCGCCTCAACCGCAAGCATGCGCTGCGACTCTCCAGTCTTGCCAATACCTGCCTGCTCTTCGCATACTGTGTCTCGCCGCCGCGCCGTCAACATCCATTCCTGGTATGGATGTGCGTCGCTTCTACCGCTAGCTCCTATGGTCTGGACCTCTGGTTCAATCGGCACATGGGCCTGAAGAACTGGTTCTTCAGCATCATCTACGATACCACCTGCGTCTCTTTGTGCAATACATCCTCGGCAAAGAAGGATGAAGATCTCGTCGTTGTCGAGGCCGAGGACGATGTGAATGGGGAGAGCGTCCGGCGCGAGATGGATACGGAACGCCGTCTACAACGGGCGAGAGCTTGGTTGGCGGGAGTTGCTTTGTCGGTGGGAGTTGTCGGTCTGTGGGGAGACAAGAAGTAAAGTCGTTGATGCAACGTGTCTACTTATCTTGAGTGGAGGTGTCTGGTGGATTCGTTTCCAGCCGGCCATGATCAACGGATCTCATATGTTTTGCCTATTTTCTTTCTATTTCCTGCTTTGGCGCTAGGGTGAATAGTGATTGCTCACGGGATTCTCTTTATTTCTGAATGATTTAATTACTATGCTGTACAAACTCAATAAATCGTCAACTGTTCCTTCTGCACTAAAATTGAGACGACGTTCTATTGATGCTCCCAATGGCCTTTCTCCCTCGAGCGACTGAGGAACTTTCGGGCCCGTCGCTTGTATCACTGCCTAGATAGCTGGGGTACAATATCCCGATCTTTTCGGTTGGATCTATTAGGCCCTTTGGCTTCTGTTCCTCACTAATTCTTAGGCACACCTATCGCAAATGACGTAGGTGAGGAACGACTCGAGTTGTACAGCTCCCCCAGCACAAGCTTAGCATATCAATTCCTCCGACTGATCCGAGAGACCAGTAGTATCTCTAGTAAAGACGTGACGCAGGGCACGCCAGCAAGTGGTGGTGGGGGTGGGGGTGGATCGATCTCCATCCTGGGGGTGGCGGTTCCCCACGAAGGATCCCCCGAAATAGTAGTTATAAAAACTCATCTTGACTCTTGAAGATGGTATAGACACACACTGATCTTGACATTTGGATTCCATTCTTTTCGCGATGCATGCATATCTATTTCTTCTACTTCCTGTCCTCTTCCTGGTTCTCCAGCTCCTCCTACGGCTCAGTAGAGCGCTCTTTTCTCCTCTAAAGGCTATCCCGGGTCCTTTCTGGACTAGATTCACCTCGCTATGGTACTTCAGCCGTGTGCGTCACGGGCAATTTGAGCATGAAAATATCAAACTGCATCAGCAGTACGGTCCTATCGTCCGTATCGCACCCAATCAGTATAGCATCAGCGATATCTCTGCCATTAAGACTGTTTATGGAACCGGATCTCAATTCGCAAAGGCGGCCTGGTACGATGGCTGGAAACATCCACAGCAGTGGACCTTGTTTTCGGATCGCGATATCAAGCGACATGGTATTTCTCGATCCATTGCTCTTTCGTCTTGCGATATATCTTTGCTCACAATGCTTGCAGGCGACACTCGAAAGCGATTCGCCAATTTGTATTCTATGAGCTCGCTGGTTCACTATGAGGCTCTCGTGGATCATTGTGCAGACTTGTTCACTGATCGCCTCAACGAATTTGCCGAGAATAAGAATACTTTCAACCTCGGATACTGGTTTCAGTGTTACGCTTTCGATGTTATTGGAAATATCACGTTTGGCGAGCGTTTCGGTATGTTGCATACAAGATTCCAGAACTAAAGCCCCATCGCTCATTCTTCCAGGATTTCTCGATCGAGGCGAGGACGTAGACGGGGCTATTGAAGCCGTGCACAAGGTCATGATCTATAGCACCCTTGTGGGTATCTATCCCGAGTGGCACCCTCGTCTGTTCGGCCTACTCAGCAAGTTCAAATCGTCTGGTGCGGGCGGAAGAAACTACATTCGCCAATTCGTTGAAGAGAAGATTCGAAAGCGTGAAGCAAAGAAACCTGACCCCGAAGCACCGGAGACTTTGCAAACGCAAGACTTCTTGGAGAAAATGATGGTAGCGCACGAACAGAACCCAGAAAAAGTCACGAAATATCATCTTTTCATCATGGGTCAGTCGAACGTGACGGCCGGATCGGACACGACTGCAATTAGCTTGTCGAGTATTATGTGGTATCTGCTGCAGAATCCGGATGCTCTGCGCAAGTTAGTTGCGGAGATCGACGATTTCACGGCAAGGGGTAACGGAAACATCACCTTCAAAGAAAGTCAGGATATGCCTTATTTCCAAGCCGTCATGAAGGAAGCACTGCGAATGCATAGTGCTACTGGCCTGCCAATGTGGAGAGTGGTTCCAGCCGGTGGTGCTCAGATTGGTGATCAGTTTTTCCCTGGAGGTACCATTGTCGGTGCCAATACCTGGGTTGCACACTACGATGAGCGGGTCTTCCCCAACGCAAAGAAATTCCGGCCCGAGAGGTGGCTGGAAGCAGAAGGCGAGCCGGACAAGTTGAAAGAAATGAACCAGATGTATATGCCGGTAAGTCACAATTGCCCTCACCGTGGTGCCAAGCCCAGTGACTGACTTAACTCCCTTAGTTTGGATTGGGCTCGAGAACGTGCATAGGAAAGCATATCTCCATCCTCGAGATGTCAAAGTTGATCCCTCGTCTTCTTCGGGAATTTGAATTCACCCCCCTCCGAAGTAACTGGACCACCCAGAACACCTGGTTCGTAAAACCTTCCGACTTCGAGGTCCGGGTTCAGAGACGGGCGAAGTTAGAAGCATGAATAATATGAGGTTTCACTATATTAAGGAAATTTCAGCTCACGCCAAGATTCATACTTCGATACTGCATAATAAGCCCATTCACATCACCCATATCCGTATGATCGTATCGAGAAAGAGCTTTGCTTCTCTCTGCTTCTTCTTCTACTTCTTCTTCATCCACATCCTCGCACTCGTTCGTAGTTGATTTTATCTCGTCTACCATGATTCTGGCCAGCTGCCAGAACTCGGATGCCTGACGGAGAAAGCCAACTTGCTTCCATAAATTCTCAGGCGTATCGGGCAACCCGATATCTTCCGGGACTCTCTCGCACCAGATGCGACGCCAGTTCTCAAGGCCTGTTTGCACGGGTGCCAGTGTCGACTCGAAAACAAGGGCGTTGTTGAAATGAAACATTAGTGAATGAATTGCTGCGGAAAGGTCAGCTGGTTCTTGGCTTAGCACGATGACAAAACCCACCTTGAACCATCGTGAATAGATTCAAAGTCCCAAGGAGAGAGTATTCTTGAACAAGGTCATCGTCGATCATGCTTTGACAAACTCTCCTAGCAACAGAAACCACGGATATCCGCTTCTTCCAGAAACGAGTAACAGCCCAAGCGCGAAGGTTTTTTCCACACTCTTCGGCGGACTCGGCTTGGAAGCATGATTCTGGACACGCGACATCCATTTTTAATTCTGAAACGACCATTCGTGGAGGAGAGTTGTGCAGAATTGTGAGCGCGGCGTCTATCAGAAATATATACGTCATTGTTCTATAGATGTTGGTTAGTACATTCCGTTTCTATACCCGATAGCTCATGATGGCCGGGAATTCACCTGATGAGTTCTTCCTTTTCAACAAAATCCCTCCACCATCCACCCGGCATGTTTTCATAGTCCAGGTGACGGTGAGAGGCTGTCTTTGGTCCAATACTTCTTGTGAACTGTAAGTGTATAAGTTTCCACTCAGCCAAGCCTGATTTCGGGGAGAATTGGATATCGTACCGCCACCATCGACGCATGTCGATGACGCCTGCTTCTTGCCTGAGCTTCAGCTGATCCCTCTCGCTTCTGAAGTGAGCACACCAGATACGAAGCCTGCAAGCACTGTAACTTTTCCTTCATGCACAGCTTCGAGACTTGATCTGCAGTTGCCTCAGCTCGGAGACATTTGTGACTGAATACAAGCTCCTCGGCACTATCCATCCATTCCCGTGCAGCTTCCACATCGTCTTCTTGTGGTGATAAACAGGCTCCAATGATCAGCATGACACATAATAAGGACGGTGAAACCGAGGAAGCATCAAAGAGCGGCTTATGAACGATCGGGCAGTGTGGATACCACAGCGACCAGAAGTATTCTAGAAAGCGACGGATGTTCGGAGGTGAGAAAAATTTCGAACATCTTTCTGATACTGCCGGTGACCATTCCATGGTGATCGAATCGTCTTTTCCCTTATTGGCGGATATCGATCGAATATTGTCAACAATCTCGCGCGATTTCGATGTAAGCTCGTCAATATCGTCTGTGGCGAGTAACCCAGAGTCATACTGGTCGAAAAGTGATTGAGTTGATTGTGGGATCTTCCTTTCATATAGAAGCTTTGCATCGTAAGCTTCGGCCGCCATTTTCTGACGCCGAAGGAAAGATGGGCGATCAGTAAATGTAGACATTCCCCTCGCGCTTGTAAAGTATGCCATATATTCTAGTTTCCCCGTCATAAACGTATCTGAAGAGGTGCGGGGGAATAAGAGGAAGTCCAAGGCTGAGAAATCCAGAGGTGAGGGCATGTTGACCGAGGCACTCCCAGGCAGACCTAGCAGATCATCAAACACACCATAGCTATAGTCCACAGAGCCGTGCCCTAGCGAAGCGAGATTGTCCACCGACGATTGGACCTGTCCAATGGTATGCGGGGTAGACTCGGAACTTTGAGAACATCGCTTGCGTTTGACATCTCTTTCATCTTGTACTGTTTCGACACTTGTATCGGGGAATTCCCCCCGATATTTGCAAGTTCGCTCATGGCGACGGAGCACGTCTCTGGTGCTGATAGTCAGTTATTAGTCTGGTAGAAATTTTGCAGCTTTAAAAGAAAATGAAAGAGCGATACTTTCGGTTGAACCCATTATTGCAGAAAACGCAAGTGTGTGGCCGGCTGTCAGAGTCTGCCAAGGGGTTTTCATAAGTCAATAAGTTAAGACGATTCCACAGAATACACTTACGTGCAGCCGTGTGTCGCTTCAAATGCTCGGGACGGCTGAACGTCGCGAGACATGTGGTGCAGCGCCATTCCGAAGCCATACACCTTGTAAGTCCGGTAATAGGGGGAAGTATGGGTGGGAAAAATAGCAGCGATCTTCAAGTTCGGCTCGGCTTGGAGAAAATGATGTGAAAGCGTGACTTAATGCGGGGAAGTGGAGCCGAACGATTTTACCGAAGGCCTCCGTCAGGTGGGTAACAAGGTACATTGTCAGTGCAAGAAATAACAGCATCTAAGCTTTTTCAAGTCTAGCAGCTTATCTGCATAGTCATTAGTGTTTCCCGTGCAAGGGATGATCGACTGTAGGCCCACTGTTTAGGTAGTTAACTTAGTTACTGCGTCGAAATCACCAAGTCATCATTCCTGGGCGTCCAGGATTTGCCCCGCATCTAGCTGTGAAAACCAATTGGGTATCAGCTACGCTTTCTGGAAATGACTGCCTTCCTGTGCTTACATCCATCTACAGCAAGGCTGGGAGTGGATCTATGGTGCAATAAGATCACCCTTCTAGATTTATCAGCAATTGCTTATCAATATTTTCCTCCCATGTAATGTGGTCCTCCCAAGCTAAATATAAGAATGATAAGCGCCTCTTGCGTGCGAACTTTTGTACCAAATCACACTTGTCGCACACAAAATCACCAATCCTGCATGCCGATCCCACAATCATGACTGGCAAAATCAAAGCAGTCTTTTTTGATTTTATGGGAACATGTCTAGACTGGCATAGCAGTGTAGTACAAGCTTTCCCTCCGGCAATAAACAACAAAATTGCATCTGCTCTAGCTCTCGAATGGCGGAAGCAGTATTTCATCGCAAACAATGAACGCTATCTTCAAGGCCTTGCTCCCGAAGACATCGACATCACGCTTGCTAGAGTCCTCGACTCAGTCCTTGACCAATTCCAAGATGTCAAGTCTCAACTCGACACGAACGCTAAACAGAGACTTGTCGAAGCATGGCATTCACAACCAGCCTGGCCCGAAGTACAACAGGCAATAAAGAGTGTTCGAGAGAACCTTGGGCTAGAGGTCTTCGTTCACGCCAATGGCACGACTCGTCTTCAACTTGATCTTACACGCTCGTCGGGATTGAACTTCGACATGTTATTTTCTAGCCAGCTCCTAGGCATGTACAAGCCAGCTCCGGAGGCATACCAGAAGGCATTGCAGTTGGTCAAGCTTCGGCCAGAGGAGGTGGTGTTAGTTGCGGCGCATGCCTACGATCTGCGAGGTGCTCAGAAAGTTGGCTTGAGAACAATCTATATACATCGATGGACAGACGACATTGATGAGGATATGGAGAAAGTCAAGACCGAGTTTGATTTCTACTTGGAAAATATGGAGTCTCTTTCAGATACCATTGTTAATATATAATTCCTGCATGTACGGCGACTTGAGAAAATTGTATTTGTTCAAGAGGTGCTATCGATGGAAGTATGGGCAGTCACACAGGGTTGCTTTTGAGATCCATCGTATATGCTTGCGGAATAGATTCATCACGGTCGGAACTCTGGACTTTGCGCTCTGTATATTCGAGCTTCGATGGTGGGATCGAAGGGAACTGTCACAAAATCGAGGTCTAGAGATCTTGCTGGACTGGTCGGCCTAGTCGAGTTGATTCGCAGCTAAACAGATTCGCACTGGGGAGTGGATAAATCTCTGTGTGGGAGAGTCCACTAGGCACCGCAGTTTTTTTTGGCTATTTGAAAATTTGTTATCTTTTTGGACCCTTTAAATGTCAATTTCCATACAGGATCTAGAGACCCTGCGCTAATGGTAGCCGAAATGACCGAATAAATTAAACCAAAAGCGCTAAGGAGAACGCGGAAGGCCGGAAATGAGACACTCGGCGCGCCGTCGCAACAGCTTTTGATGAAGCCGAACGAAAGGCCCGCTTGGGGGCAGATGACGGTTCTCTTATTAGAGCTCGATACCCTTGGAAGATTTTCAAAGTCATTTGTGACCAGTCTTCTCTTGCCGGTCTCGACAATTCTGACTGTCATGGGCAACTTCACCATCGTCAACGGCCAAGTCTACACTCCGGGCTTGGCCATCATCGACGCCCCACAACCAAACACGCCGCTCGGAGGAGGCAAGCCGACCTGTCAGATATGCTCAAATCAAATGGAACTGACGTGAATGCCCAGACAACCTTCAGGTCGCCATCGATGTGTCGGGAAATGGCAAGCTCCCCTGGCCGCCTTCCACCCAATCCGCAGACTCGGCGACGCTCTTCCACAACATCACTCTCTTCTTGACCTCCGAGACCTTGTCGCACAATTTCACCATCTCCAATGGCACTGAGCCAAAGAATAACGGCACTGGCTATGTCGGGCCCGTGTTGGACTTGGAACCCTCGTCCACGGTGAAGCACGTCAACTGGGTGTGGCCCAAGTGCCTCGTGGGCGACGGCACGAGCAGCGAAGGATCAGCCCGAGGCGCGTACAACATTTCCATGCACCAGTCCTTTCGCTGGAATGGCACAGATTATTATACGGTCTTTGATTTGCCCATCTCCGTGACGAATAGCATATCGGAGAGCGCCGATCGGGTGGACTGCGACTCGCTGGAGAACAAAGTCCTTAGCGAGGCAGAGGATGAGAAGAGCTCCGACACGCTGCCAGGACAACCCTGGGTTCAGAACGGTACGAGCACTGAGACCAGCTCTGGATCGAGCGCATCGTCAACCAAGACAAGTGCAGGAGTGGTCGTGACAAAGGAGAAGAAGACGGCGATGCTCCTTGCGACCGTCGGGATCGTTGTCAGCGCGTTTCTCCACGCGCTGTGATGACGCGGCGAGTTTACCCCTTGATTTTGTTGACCCCGTTTTCTATTATTATCATAATTATTTTGAGGATCACTTTGTTCTTGCATGTCTGCCTAGTTGTAGACAGGATGTTTCATTGAAAGCCCTGTTCTCATTAATTGAATAGGGTATGAAATGACAGGAACCAGTGATCGTCATCCATCAGCTCTACTGTAGATCCGATCTCATTTTCTCGGGCGATCTCCCTAGATTTGGGTCTCGGAAGTACGAAAGGGCTTCTTTCAACCTTGGGACTGCCCCTTGAATTGCTACGCCTTTGACACGCACTTTGGAAAGTCTTGGATGTCTGGGCATTTTCTAGGCACAAAGTATCCTCTTCCTCCTTCTCCCCAAACTTCTCCCCATCCTTCTTTCCGGCCGTATCCGACCAAACATCCTCTCCAATATGCACTACCGCTCCACAACTTGAATCATTCCCAGTCTAGCTAACCACGCTGTCGCATTTTGCGACGTCCCCTCCTTATGAAGAACCCTTTGACCTCCTACCCGCGCACTATTCGCCGGACGTTGGTCCGAAATCGCATCGTACGCTCTCTACTCATCCTTTTCATAGCTTGGAATCTCGTCGAGCTCCACCTCATTCTGCGCCGCATCTCCGAAACGGACATCATCTACCGCGAACAACCCCGCCACCATGAAAGGATTTACATTGCGATGGTCAACTGGAATAATGAATATATTCTACGAAGTCACCTGAGCAAAGCCATCGCCGAGCTTTCCTGGAAATTGGGGCCGGAGAACGTGTATATCAGCATCTACGAAAGTGGCAGCTATGACAATACCAAAGGCGCGCTGGTCGAGCTTGATGCGGAACTTGATCGCCTCAATATACCACGGAACATTACCCTATCGCCCGTCACACACGACGATGAAATAGCAGCGCCACCTGACGGCGCGGGGTGGGTTGTGACGCCGCGAGGGAAGAAGGAGCTCAGGCGGATTCCGTACTTGTCGCGAGTGCGAAATCTCAGTCTGGAACCGCTGCATGAGCTGGCTAAACAGGGGATACACTTTGATAAGATACTGTTTATTAATGATGTCGTTTTCACGGTCCGTAGGCTTCATGCCAAGTCTTCGAGTTCGAGTAGCATTGATCAGCTAACAGAGATGCCATAGTCAAACGATGTTTTCGAGCTCCTCGATACCAATGATGGAGATTATGCTGCGGCATGCTCATTGGATTTCTCGAAACCGCCCTACTATTATGACACATTTGCTCTCCGGGATTCTCATGGCCACGAGGCTGTCATGCCTAGTTGGCCTTTCTTTCGAGAAGCTTCATCACGTTATGCGATGAAGAACCTGCTCCCCGTACCAGTCAAAAGCTGCTGGAACGGGATTGGTACGTATTCCCCATTATGACAACCTTCCAAGCGCTGGCTAATATAGATACAGTCGCAATGCCTGCCGCTCCTTTTTTGGCGAGCCCGCCCCTTCGATTCCGGGGAATTCCAGATTCCCTAGCAACTTGTCACCTCGAGGGCTCTGAATGCTGCCTCATTCATGCAGATAATCCACTCTCCAAACAACACGGAGTCTTCCTCAATCCCCTTGTGCGTGTTGGCTATAGCACTGCTGCTTATGTGGCTGTGAACCCCACCTTGAATTGGTTGACTCCCAGGGCGATCCTGCAGGGATTGTGGTTGAACCGGATACGTCGCTGGACGACTTTCCCTCGCTTCAAGGAGAGAACAATTCACAATCAAATCGCACGCTGGGCGGGATCATCTCCTGACAACAAAGAACCTGGTGAATTCTGCGTGATCAATGAGATGCAAGTCCTTGATCCTCGGGGTTGGTACCATGTATAGCTACTATATACCACAATGAAATTCAACTCGTGCAATCTAGGTGACGGTAAAAACTACCGCCTCGGAAATGATCGGATCCCGGAGCACAGGGTGAGTGAGTTAGTCAACTCGCCGCCCCGAGTAACCAGCTCACGGAGCGGATATGAGCAGCTGGTTGCAGAGACTGGAGAAGGCATCGGAACCACCGAGGCAGGTATTATTCTGCACGGGCGGCGCATATGGTTCTAACAAATGATATTTTGATAGTTTCTACCACTATCTTCCCTGGTTGATACAGAAGCTACAAGAAAATCTTTAGTACCAAAAACAACGGAGAAGGAAATCAGGGTTGTGTGGCCATTATGTCAAATAGGAAATCAACGTCCACCCATTCAGAATCAGCCGTTGTGCTTCGTTTCAGAGCCACACTTGCGGTCCTTAAACAAGGTGGCGGTGTCAAGAATTGTGTTGTTGCTGCTAGACACGAATTCGTGAGTCATATGAGTGCAGTTGTGGAATGTGATCTTGCTCCATCCGTAGGCGGTGTCCTCAGCGTAAGCCACGTAAGGCTTGAGAGGTGAAAGATAATTGTCCAATCCATCGTAGTGGCCAGGGGCGGCAGTGGTAATATACCACGGGGATGTGGGATTGTCAAGACCGGCAGGATCCATGACATAGTCGTTCAAGGGCTGGTTGCGCTCATAGAAGTGGGTGTGCGCTTGGATGACAAGGTCGACGTTGTGCTTAACGAGCAGAGGCTCGAAGACATCCTTGCACTCGGTACAGATGGTAGAGCTGATGTTCTTGGCACTCACATACCAAGGGCGATGCACCGCTGAAAGATTTGTCAGTTCTTTGTTTTGCTAGATAGTGAGCGGAAGTGCTTACCAGTAATGACCCAAGGCGTCTTCTTACGGTCTACACTCTCCAAGTCCCTCTCGAGCCAATCGATCTGCTCGTTAGGGTAAGATCCGAATGGCCCAGAGTTCATGCCTTCCGAGGACCCAGGCTCATCGGGTCCAAGAAATCCATCGCCAATATCAGTCTCAGTGTTTAACTGGATAAAGTGAGTCATGCCGTGGTCGAAGGAGTACCAGAAATTTCCGACACCACCAGACACATCGCTAGGCATACGATAATGGCTGCGGAAGCCAGTGAAGTTGGTTTGGCCCATAGGGCAAATGCTGGCGTTGTAAACAACACCATTGGCGGTGGTACCACCATTGTCACCTGGATAGATGATGAGAGTTATCCACAATAGAGCGAAGGGGTTAGGCGCTTACAGTTCGAGTCGTGGTTACCAGGTCCAACCATATAGGGCCGATCGGCAGTCAAGACAGTCATTTCGTCGAAGTACTGGTTTAAGAGCGATTCATACAGAGCCGGACCATCACTGACTGTATAGTTGGAAAGGAAGCCCTGGGCCTCTTCTTTCAACCAGTAATCGGCGTAGGCGATGTCACCAGCTACCAGGAGGGATTCAATTAGTATGATAAGCGAGAAATCGAAAGTTTCATAGGGAAAGCCTACGATGCCAATAGAATTCCCACTCCGACTTCATGGACTGCAACGATTGAATTGTGTTGTTGTCGTTGGGGCCCAAGGGGGCGACACCCCCATTAGGACCAGTAGTGGTAGTAAGTCCCCGGGGGCCCATTAAGCCCAGGTCACCGCCAACTGCGATGCTGAAGGGAGTCTTGTCACCAGGAACACGAGCAGTCTTCATGGTATAGATCTGGGTGGAGTTCCCACACTGCGGCTGATAGTAATACATAGTGTTGGGCTCCAGACCAGTGATCTTCACATGGTTGTTGGAGGTGGACGAAGTGGGATAGGTGACGGACACGTCCGATTCGGCCCACTGCGAAAGAGCGTTGGGATGTTGTCCGTAGCGAACATATGGGTGATGCAGCTTGGAGTAAGTGTTCCAGCTAACAGTCATGCCCCGGTCTCCAGAATAGGCCAAATGGGCCTGCATCGGGGCCGTGTCGCGAGTACATTTGGTCTCGGTAGGCGAAGCAATAGAGGTCGAGGCGCACGCAGCGACAGCCACCAGCATTGATTGAGTCCACCGACGCTCCATTTTCGAAAAATGGGATAAGAATACTCAATAATAGTAATTCAAATCATTTTCCCACCGCGGACTTTTATATCCGTGCCAAAGACTCACGGAGTCATGGTAATATCGATTAAACTTTCGGCCTGCATGCGCCACTTGGACGATTTTCCGTATTTAGTAGGTGGTACCTGGCCAGCAAGCGGTACTTGACCGAACAGAAATGGAGTGTTGCAAAGCTCTCTCTAATCACCATCGTCGGATGACCACAGTCAAGCATCCAGGCGTGCCGCTAGTCAGCACGTGGGCCAAGCACCATGAGAGCCCCACCGACTGCGATTGCGGCTTCACGGAGAGCCAGTGACGCCCCCCATGTGAACGATGGCACCGAATGCATTGAGATTGTCTGCGGGTTCCAGACCAGGTTTCACACCCAGCAAGCTTTAGAGTTCGCCCCACTGTCTATGCCGATCATGAGCAAGAGTTCATGGATATCACCTGCATCCCGTTTTCTGCATATACCACATTAAAGATCATTGGACTGCCGATGGAATTTTACGAATGGTGGATCTGCTTCCAATACATTGCCTTTTCACAATTTATCGGACACCGCGGTCTCCGAATTCATGGCGGTGCACCCTCGACCGTCAATTGGTTGTTCGAACTTTTTGATGCAGAGCTAGTGATTGAGGACCATGATCTTCACCACCGTTATGGTTGGAGAAAGAGCCACAATTATGGCAAGCTAACTCGCCTTTGGGACAGGGTCTTTGGAACATGCCATGACCGCATCGAGAGTGTGAAAGAGAGATGTTGATTACATAGACCGTGTAACTATGCCTCTACTCTGAATATAAAAGCAGAGACACCACTCGAAAAAAAGGAAATTGCAAAGTATGACGGGGAGGTCACCGAAATGGCAATTCTACTCCCCAGAAACTGCTCGTCAGGTACTATCGTCAGTTGGTGCCGGAGGCTTTGCCTCCAAAGAGCAACAAAGGACACGCATTCAAATCAACGATCTCAACATCAATGCCTGTCTCTTTACTCGAGACATACCAGCCGTGATCCGGACAATCTTTGTTCACGTAAAGTATTAGCTAAGTGAATAGAGTGATCGGAAAGATAGTGGATGTAGTTCTTGACCTGACGGACAACTCAAGTGGTCTTTCTCTCTTTCCTTATTTCGACAGCCGATACATCTTTTGCACTAAACTACCCGCATATATTTTGTTAGGATTGAACCGACCACAAGCTGCGGAATTCGGCAAGGGTAAGCAGATCCCTGAGCAACCCTGAGCAATAATGAGCGCTCAGGGAACAATGCATGTTCATTCAGGGAGCAGAGGGCAGACACAGAACACGTGTGAGAACGAAGACTGAGATTAAGGTCAAATTGGCGCTTAAAACAGCGTCAAGTGTAGCCTTTTTTCGGCGTTGAATTTACCGTTACCTAGCGTCGTGGTGTAAAATCATTCATTAGTCTGTCAGGTAAATCTTGAATCGTACATAAGAACTTTCCAAATCCATCTTACAACCAAGCAGTCATTTCTGGCTGACTAGCTTTCACAGTGGCCCTGAACGTAGTGCTTTCGGACCCTCTCATACTCAGGAAGAGCCCACCGTGCCATCCACTCCGACTCCAGAACCTGTTGAGCAGTGACCCGCCCCTCGGGGCGGAACACAAGCATCGACCGAAGCATTAAGAAAAAGGCCCCTTTCTCTTCATCGCCCATGGCCTCCATACCTCTGTCCCGTCGCGGCTGCTGTACCGCATGTTCGAATCGTGTTTCCATGTCCGGGTACCGGACCGCCTCCAGTGGTTTTCCTTCCAGATCGAATCGTTTACGGGCAGCAGTGAACTTCCTTCCCCATGTGGTCCACCATCCAGGAGGTAGTCTTCCCAAGACGGATATTTGCTCAGCGGTGATATTGTCTTGCGCTGAGAAGTAGCTTTTGAATAACGGGAACCACGCCACTAGATCCCACAACGAACATGCCAGTGTCCAGATATCCGAAGAGAACGTCATCGGTGTCCGAGTATTCCATAGAGCCTCCGGGGGCTGGTAGGCTGAGTGGCTATTCGACTCGTGGCGTGCTTGCAGCGAAGGCACGTAGGATTCTCCAAAGTCGATAAGCATGATTTTGGCTTCGGAAAGAGTGATCTCGTCACAAGTTTTCCCCAACCAAATTGGTTCGATGCCCTCATTTGGAATGGCGGCAGTCAATGGCTGGTCATCCAAACGTAAGATGGGTCTGCGCACCGGGTCTCCGAATTCCTCGTAAATAGCCTCGACAGAAAGTTCATCCATGTTGAATGGCAACCGTTGAACCACATTCGACAAGTTCACATCCCCGTGCACAAACCCCTTCTCATGGACATGTGTAACGGCAATGATGAGTTGGGCTGCCATTGCTCGAGCAACATCAAGCGGAAAAAGTCGCTTGTGTGAATTTGATTTTGCGCTCTCCAGATTTGCTCCTCCAACGGCGGTCACATAGCAAGGGTGCTTGCCATTAGGTCCCACAATTTCAAAGGCGTCGAAGACGGGTGGAATCACAGTGCTGATTACACTAGCTTCAATGGAGGATGAGGTCTGAAGACATGTAATCACATCCACTTCGACCGGGTTCGAGTAGCCAGCACCGACTTTGATTGCAACGTAACGATTGGTGATTGTGTCGATAGCCAGCCAGGTGGTGGAGTATGTTCCGAATCCCAGCTTGTGCACGACACGATAGTGCTTTCCTAGTATGTCACCTAGTTGCACAGGGTGATATCCGCCATTGCGGTAGCGCTCGAGTTTTTCGATCCTTTTTATTGGAAGATAGTCGATCTCGGTTTCTTCGTCATTGGTGAGATCGGTAGGTGGTTTGGGCACCGACATTTTGATAAAAACGCGATGTCCTTTGTGTCGGTGTTCCAAGGGTTTTCGATGTTAGAAACGAGGCAACGAGAATATGAATGATGTACGAAGAGATAGCGAGCTTAAAAATCTGTAGGAGGAGAAAGAGGTGTTGAGAGGCGCGTATGACTTCAGCTTGTCAACACCTAGACGCGTTCCTTAGGATTTGCGCGACTCTCGGATATCTCCATTTATACTAACCACTGTCACAGAAGGAGCGATCAGTGTGTCAATCCCAGGCTTCTTAAGTATACTTTTGCACTTTTCAGATAAACTGTAGACTGAACGAAATCCACGCTTTACCGATCTCAGAGCACATTAGGTCATGGGGAAACATAGTCACAAAAAGGTATAGATATCACTGTTGCCACTGTAAGATCAATTAACAAATTCTTTGAATCTTATAGAAGATCCGTTTTCACGTCATTCACACGATCGACGCCGATATTGACGCCACGAACATTCAGTGAGGCAGATTGTTCTATAAGCGTAAGCCTTACGATATTCCTTGAGAAACTCTATGTTGGACTTATTGAGAAATAGAGTCGATGAGTCACTCATGCCCCTTCAACGCTGATCTAGAACAATTCGGCATATCTTCGCAAACAAAATAAAATCCCTCCGTGATAGACGTGCACAACGAAATGCAGTAGAAGTGTTGTTCAATGACAATTTTGGTCTCAGAGTAAGAACACCTATCAACCAAACCCGCTAGCTTTGTCGCATTCCGAATGTGTCTCTGCACGCACAATCCCAAAATCTGCAAGCTTCCTTCGATAAGATGAGGTTTGAATCGCAGGTCGCGCAGATTGCTACGATTGAAGTAGGTAGGATAATTCGCAAGTCGGGAATTGCAAATGCTTGTAGAAGCAGAAACATCAAACTAGGATTGTGTTGGTCGCCTGACCCAGACTTCCTGATCTGTATTTGTAGGAACCTCTTCTTTCTCACGGGTCAGAGGTTCCCGTAGCTCGATATCCCACAAATTTAGCTTGTGGTTGGCACGATCTGCCTGTCCAGTAAAGAGATCGAATCTCCAACCATGTCTGAAACACTTGATGCCGGCTCCGTTGGGATTTCCAAGGTCCTCGATGTCGAAGACGTTGCCTTGCTTCAGCGGGAAGGATGAGTGTGGACATTGCTAGAGACAGTAAGCATTGATACCTTAGGTAGCCGTAGAGCAGATCTCTGACACACGTTATCGATGGCATGGATAAACCCCTTGTATTTAAACACCAGTACCTGATCATTCAGATCTGATAGTCGGTTCATTTTCGCTTGGTCGGCATTCTGTGACTTGGGGATGCTCATAGTCTTACACCCTGGTAAAACTTTGCAGCCATTATTATCTAGGCTGATATCTGTGAATGAAGATACAAGTCCAACTAGATGCCAGGTGCTCATCGCAGTAGGCCGTTCAGGGTTGTTCATTGCGGGATCTGGTATGTTCAGAGATGATCGGGGATTTCGGGGGTCGGCAAATGGTTTTCATAGCTGTGCCGATCAGCAACGGAATTTGGAATCCACGATCCCGATTCATGATTTTTGTTTTGATCTCGAATGAATACGCGTTCTATGGCCCGAATTCTTATCACTGTTTTCCGGATCACTTCATATCCAATATATAATGCCTGGGGCCGTCCAACCCGAGGGACGCTCTCAAGGGGGTTTTCAGAAGCCCTTCATATGTTGAAATTTAAAGATATCTGGTGCTGTCTGAACCTTGCAACCCATTTTCACACCTTCTTAAATACTGATTATGGGCCTTAATTGGTCACCTTTGGGAATCGAGACATTTTCGCCAAGGTCCCATGCATGCAAATAGCGCTTCACAAACTTGATTCTGGGTAACTTGCCACAATTTCCATGCAGAGATATTATATACAACAGACAGAAAGTCCGACTAGATGCTTGCATACATGGAGGAGGTGATATCGGCAGTACTGGACTGAGTTATAGTTGCGCGAGTAGTGTCGCACATCGCTGCGCTGAGTCCTTGGTGCCTACAAAAGACACACTGGGGTCATTGTTGAGACCTATCTCGGCAAGGGTTGGGGCTGGAAAAAATGGTATTAGCAAGTCATTATGGCCCGGATTTTTACGACTTACCCTCTGGATCATAAGTTGGCCAACCCAAGGCCTTTAACCCGTGTTGCGGATCAGCAATAAAAGCTCCCCAAGCCGACCGCATCTTGCCCTGTAGCTGGTACTGCGCATCAGACTCAGCAATGCCAGTGATTTCAGCAGACTCGCCAAAAATCATGTTAAATTCTACACCGTGGTACGCTCCACTCGTGGGGTAGAGGCGAGTGTTGTCCCAGTCCGCGTCGTATTGAAATCTCCAGGCCGGTGTCCGTCGGCGACTCCGGTCTGCAGCTTCGAGATTAGATGGACAGAAGAAAGTTTGCATATTGAAGTCGTCCCATTGCTGGTCTGTCAGTATAGAGCCCTGTGCGTAGGCTGCAATCTTGTAGAATCCCGCCTCGTTTGCATTGTGTCCGACCAAGTAAGGCTGCTCGGAAACGATGGTTGATTAGCATCTCGAACGCCGTGTATTCCAATTTGAAATTCATGGGAGGTAGCTCACGATGCGAGCAAATTTTCCTTGCTGCGAAAGTAGTGTATAGTCTCCAAAAACAGTGACATCGTCCACAGTGGGTTGGAAAGCTGGCGCCTTCCTAGCAGGGTTCGTGGCTGGAACTTTAACCGCGCTGGCAGCAGTGAGAATGGCAGTCGCATTCTGCTGTCTCATGCAAGGAAGCACGTCTCCTGAAGATCCACACCCTAATTGACCAGAAACTGTATACCAATGCTGTGCGGCAGTCGTCGCGTTGTTGGTTGGGAAGCTTAGGGCTGTGCCAGAGTGCGAGATCAGTCCGGCAACCAGAGGCTCAGACTGGTAGGCATATGCCCAGTAGTCAACAGAAGCACTTCCGCAAGACTGGCCAGATATTACGATGCGCTCGGGGTCACCACCAAATCCACGAATGTTTTGCTTGACCCATTCAACTGCCAACCGCTGGTCAAGTAGACCCAGGTTAGGAGGGTGTCCAGGCAGACCGGGGAACCCGAAGATGTTCATGCGATAGTTGACAGTCACAACAATCACATCTTCAACTTCGGCAAATCCTCCCCCATAATAGAAAGGGGTATCGGTTGTGCCGCTTGTCCATCCTGTATCAAATGTCAGAAGCATGCACCGAGATTAAAAACACAGACTTGATTAAGACCAATGCCAGGAGTTGAACGAAGGTTTAACATACGGCCACCGTAGAAATGAACATAGACCGGTTTGAGTTTACTCGAGTCCAGCCTTGACCAAACATTCAAATTCAAGCAATCTTCACTCTGGGTGTGGTTGTTAATAGCCGCAAAGGCCTCAAAGATGCTGTCAAATTGCGGTGTTTTATCGGGATAGTCGACCAGCTTTGACACCGAAAACATGCACTGGCTGCATTTTTCATTAATCAGGGGCCTAAGTCATCACTCTATAAGAGCACTCACTTTCCCTTTAAAGTGCTCATGTTAGAAAATATTCACGAAAACCTCAAGCATCTTCTGCTGAGAATTAGGTTCATAGGAATAGGGCATGAGGAGAGTTCGATCATACATATTCCGAGGCAACTTGTAAGCCCCTGGGCGTGTATTTCTGGGGCGGTGCGAATCGCAATTGGCCGATCGGGGGCTGCGCAAAAGGAACCCCCAGCCATTCTGTAACACTGGGGTTCTGCGATGCCTTATGTCCCTGAATAACTGCACCCGATCCGACGTGGGCCTGCTGTGCGGCAGCGACTGCTGCGAAGGCCAGCCAGGCTACCTTCATGATTCCCTGTCTAAGAAGTGACACAATTGAAATCGGTATTAAGGAGGAATAGGGGAACAGAGTGAGAGAGAGGAGTTAGGAAGAGAAATTCATCACTGAATCTAAAATAGTGCCAACAGGGTACATAAACACTAAGTGGGGCTATCAAGCCGCGCGAGCCATAGACGGTTTGTGGAGACAAGATCAAGGGTTTTTAATGCCGTTTCAAGTTCATAACAATCCCGATTGGCCCCCGACGGGGTCCGTTCGAGGTCACATCAAATCACTAGCCAACATACTAGCACGCGAGAATCCTTCAGTGGCCCTATAATGTCTAAAAGGAAAGGGGGATCTCTCACACAGCCGGCACGCTTGCTAGTGCCTTCAACTCTACTTAGCCTTGCCTTACAACAATGGTGCGCAAGATATGGTGTTCTATGGTCAAACAGTGGATGGTATCCCCGATCGGGGCTACAAACTATATATCACTGCATTGGTCATGGTACTAATTGCGGCGGTTTTTGTTGTCATTCGTCTAGCAACGAGGGTTCATTTGAGGCAGCTCGGTTGGGATGACTGTTTTCTTGTCGTCGCCTTAGTGGCATCGGTCATGACAACAGCTACTATCAATATGGGTAAGTCAAAACATATATAAATTTGATACAAAAGCGGCGAATCGCACGACATTCGTACATAGTGCCAACTGACCCCTTTCTCGCAGCTGTGGTGAACGGCTATGGTAGACACAAAGCGGACATGGGAGACAGTATGCATGCAGCGCTTATGGTATGTGGTTGATATCGAAGACGACCTCGTTCAAGATACTGATAGTTCAGCAGTGGTTCTTTATTGCACAGATACCCTATAAAATCGCACTTGGTTTTACGAAAGCTTCTATCGTCCTTCTATACCTCCGAATCTTCATTACAGAAATCTTCCAACGCGTGGGAAAAGTCTATCTGGTATTCATCGCCACGTGGACAATCGCATCAGTCTTGGTCACAATATTTCAATGCATTCCAATCGAAGCTTCGTGGAACAAGAATATTACAAGAAAACGATGCGTTGATAAGAATAGCTGGTGGTACGCCTTTGCGGCAATTAACACGACCACGGACTTTTTAATCGCCATTCTTCCAATTGCTCCACTCTGCCACTTGAAGCTTTCAAAACGCGACCGCATTGGATTGCTTTGTGTCTTCAGTGTTGGAGCTTTGTAAGTTCCATCCGCTCCACCTTGCTTTTGTGCTGAACAAGGGCCTAATTTGTGCCACTGAGGAACAGTGTGTGCGTGACTAGTATCATCCGCACAGTTGCAGTATCTCAGACCTCGACTGGATTAGACCAGAGCTGTGAGTATCCTAAACCCCTCAAAATTTTCAAGCTTGAACAGAGAATTTCTGATTGGTGTTTGCCAAAAAGGGGACTTCATCCCACGCTCAGTCTGGACACTCGTTGAATGCAACATGGGAATAATATGTGCGTGTCTTCCTATGATGCGCCGGCCGCTAAGCTTTGCTTTTCCGTGGCTGTTCAGGGAGTCTACTCGAAAGGACTCGGAAAGACTCAGTTACGTTCCCCTCGAGCTCAGGTATACAAAGCCCCAACAACGCCTACAGGACAGCCACAGCCAAGAGGAAATTTTGCAGTCGGATACACAACGGGAAAGAGCTTTGGTCGAGGAACAAGATATTCAGATTTCTGTCACAACGGAGATCCAGCAAAGTGTCGCAAGACGCTGAGACTGGAGCCTGGAGGGACATGATAGGTGATAATCCATTCTGGATATCTCCCGAGACCTACCTCGCCCGAACCTCGAACCAATATGTACATTATCACTTTTATCATTTGAGCAGCAACGAGGCACCACATCAAAAGTTGGAACTTATTCACAAATTTAAATGTCATAATGAGTTGATCTGCCAAGGCTATAAACGCCTCATAGCAATTGGCAGTAACAGCAACCCCGAAGTTGATCGGACATCCCCTCGGTCGGCCAACCCAATGGAGTATAGCTCGGATATACCGGACTTTGCTGCCTTGAAGCGATACATGCGAAATGGACAACATGACCTGGAACAGATGTATAAAAGCCCCTTCAAATCTGGTAAGTCAGAAGTTTCATAGCACACAAAGACAAATTCCGAATAAGCAGCCATACGCACAATATCATACTCCCCTATCGCAGAAGCCTACTAAATGACCCAACTCAACACTATGGATATCAAGCCCGAATCCTACATCTCTGTTGACTATATGGAGAGTAATGAGACCGTGAAACATGATCATCAAGAGTAGGTTCTTGAAACCCTTCACAGAATCCGTAAGTCTGTCAAATCAAGCTAATCATCGATGGCTGGTTAGTATAAGCCCCAAAGTGCCCTGCATGAGCCATGGACCTAGCAAGACACCACTTCTTGATTGTGAGCTACAGAAGCCGCAGACACAAGAGATTATACACGCTATATCATCAGGATTGGAAGAGCTCGTTGACGAGAAGAAATGCACCAGATGCACTGTGGAAAATCTTTCAACTCTACTTACGGAGCAGATCCGGAACCTGAGAGAGGCGAAGCAGAACGGAGAGTGGTCCAAAGAAGAGAGAAAAGCGCTAAAGGCGGAGACGAAGAGCTTGTTAAAGCCAGTCAAGAAGCAGTTGAAGGGCCTCTGGAAAGCAAATTGAGGGGGTTTGATTTGAGGGTTGTCGGGAGTACTGGGTGCGGTGGAGTGGGACCATTTCTCTAATATTCATGCCGAGGAGACGTCGTAATGTTGTTTGTACCAGTTATCTGTATCAAATTAATGCTATATATTGTGAAGACAGCTGAATGAGCTCTATGACCAAAATGAGTAAACTAGAAACAAGAATAACGATCGATATTAGACATATTAGACAGTCACATCGTGCATCAGCTCCCGTCTCACGATATGCGACTCTCCCAACGTGCCCTTCATCACGAGCACCAAATCATCAACTGAACCCAAGAACTTGAGATAGGCGGTCATAGCAACACAGAAGCGACGGTAGTTCTCGTCCCTTATCAGATCCGTGCTGAGCTCGATTTCGACTTGATGAACTTGCCAGAACTCATAGCAGCGTTTGAGGAGTGGTGTGGGAAGCACCTCGGGAAGAGGATCGCCAGTCTTCAGGGCCTGCTCCACGATTCCCAGGACCGCCATGACATCACCGATATTGCGGTGGTCTAGAAGACCAGTGCGGCGGGCAAGGAGTCCTTGGAAGTGCTCAGGTAAAGAAGCTGATAGATAGAGCAGCCGTCCGAGGTGTTGGTTCAATGCGTGGCAAAGGGACTTGACTTGGGCAAGAGTATCACTGTCGAAGGGGGAACTAGAAAATTCGAGACGAAGCAGGGCAACAGGACCATCAAGGGCTGACAGGGCTTCTGCGAGGTCGAGTGCTAGCTGCTCGGCCATGAGACCTTCGTCACGGTCTGGCTGACCCCAGCATGACAGGAGAAGTGCATAATGATCAGAGAGTGCTCGGATGGAGTTTGACATTGACTTGCAGATATGTCGTGCCGCGGAGGGTGGTCGGGGGAAAATCTGCACGATCAAAGCCGCTGCACCTCCAATCAACACAAGCACGAGTCTTCGCCAGAAGACATTGTACCCCCAACCGGGATTCCCGTATGATGGTATGTGCCTAGTGGAGTTTGTTAGTCAGGTCTCAACACAAAAAAGCGGTCATTTGACCGTTGCATGACTCACGTGTCATCGTAGCTGTATCCAATCACCAAGATACAGGTTGCACCACCCATCATTGTCGCTTGCAAAAGCGCGGGAGGTGCGAAAAGACGCCCCCACATAAGAAGTAGGAGTACCGCAGCCATGATCGCAGCAAGCCCGTACGGGTTTCCAGAGCCATGACCCGAACCAATGTACCAAGCCACCAACCCTGCGACGCCTCCGACCACAGTTCCCACGAAACGAGAGGCGATCGATAAACTAAAGTCCGACATGTACACGACAACTGTGGTCTGGCCCATGATCAAAGCCCAAAGACCTTTCTCGCGGTAGTAGAAGCCTGCACTGGATGGGATTACTGCCGGAATTGCGAGTGCAATAGTGACAACTACTATGCGCATCGCATACATTCCATCAGCATTGATAAGCCAGTGATATGTGCTGAGTATAACACGTCCAAGGCCGCTGCGTCGTTTGGTCTTGTATCCTCGGCTCATATTAAGACTTTGCTGGGCCGCTTTCGACTGCTCCTCGACCACATCGGGGTCAGCCACTGGAGACTGGGCAGCAATAACAGGGGCAACGGCGGCTTTGTGGAACACCCAGTTGAAGGCATACCGCAGTCCTCGAGGAAACCACAGGCGAATACGTTGGCGTTCCTTCATCAGCGCGACAATTTGTTCCAAAGCTTTTTCCCAGGCGTCCGAGACTCCAAGAATCTGTTCTTCAAAGACCATGCCCACGGCAATTCCTCGCACCTTGTGCATCGTGAGATCGTCCATATTCTTCAGCTTGCCACTTTCATCAAAGATGTCTGCATTGGTCTGGATGAGGCGATCTGTTGTTTCTGATGCAAATGAGACACGCAGAGCTCTGAGGGTCTCCAAGGAAGATTCACTGCGCTGGAGGAGCTCATCCATTCGAGTCTTGGATAGTTTCCCGAACCATCGTGAGGAATTCACCGCACGGATGCAGTCAGCAACTAGAGTACTCGCGTCCTGGCAAGCTGGTAGAATCTTCGTACAAGGTTGCCGAATAGCGTTAAGCATTTCCTCTCGAAGAGCCTCATGCTCAGGGGTAGTAAAGGCCTTCACAAGAGTAAGGCTCTCAAGTAATTGGCGCATACCCGCTTCGCGCAGTTGTGCCTTTCCTCCCTTTTTCTCCGTTGTTTCAAGCTCAGAGTACTGGTTGTACTCTGCCGTGATTGCACGGAGTTTCTCTAATTTTTCCTCTCCCCCGACGCGAGAAATGTGAAACTCCAGCAGCGATAGAGTATTCAGCAAAGCTCGCCGGATAGGTTCTTTCAAGCTGTGGACATCGTCCGAATTCCACCGACTCACCGAAAAGTCCAGTGGTAAGAAGGCGAGCGCTGGCTCGACATTCTTGTACGCCCCAAGAGATTTCATCTTTATTTTTTGCAGGTCTTTCAGTACCAGATGTTCACCGTCAATTAAACTGGTCACGGTCACATCCAAGGGGCCTCTAAGGAGCCGTACAACTCCTTCCATACCCTCAAGGACGGTATATGAAGTCGATGTTGGGAAGAACAGGATGTTACAAGCCAATCCAATCCCAATCCCAATCGCTGCTGGCTCAATGAGAACCTTGGGAATAGTTCCACTGAAAGAGGGGAGCAGTGGCCCAATGGTGATGAAAATATCCATAACGATGGTTCCAAAAATCTGGAACAGAGCGAACTTGGGATTTTTAGCTCGAAGGCGTGCCTGGTGAGATTTTAGTCAAAATTCAACCTCGTCCGCGCGCTTGATCGCGAGCCAAACTTACCAGGACATAGATCAGGAAACAAATTAAGCAAAAGTAGACAGCCGTTACGCGAGCGTCTAGCATCCAGCCTTCGTAGATAAGCTGTTGCTGGATCGTTGCAACGGGCTGGCCAGTCGAATTAGCCACGCTATAAGCGTGTTGGCCCAGGGCCTGTAGTTTCGCCTGAGTATCAGCAGCCGGTCGCGCAGCGAGAGCCGCCTTCATCGCGATCACACCCCAACCCCATCCGAGGCTCATGCCAAGGATGAGGGTCAGAGTTCCGAGGATGAAGATGAAAACAATGCCATTGGGAGGCACCATGAAAAGTACCAATCTAGTCATTTAGTCAACGACCTGATTCAAATCCACGAACTACTCAAAATCACTCACGTCGCGAAGAAAGTGGCCGTCCCGATCGTGCGCAAGGACGGGCCGATAAAGATCAACAAAGAAGCGACCCATGCTGCCACTGTACAGCGAAAGAGAATCTTTAGATCGCGTGCATTGAAGTGATCCAACCATCCGGGCAACTTTGCGCGTGTCCGAGACGCGGGAACCTCCTTCCCCGGCATAGCGGAGTCGTCTGCGCTGGATGCTAGTGAGGCGTCGTTAGGCGCTGCCTCCGGTCGGGCGGGGTTCGACATTCGGCTTAGTATCTCCTCTAGATCAAACCAATCTCAAGGCCCTGCGCAGGGTTTCTTCAAACGAGGGTCAGGTTGGGAGGCGAGGTGTATCTAGCATTCCTCGCGCGGAAAATCGGGAAGAGTCGACGATTAAGAGGGAGAAACACGAGTTGGGTGTTTAATTTTGGAGCTTTCCGATCGAAAGTGTGGATCGGCACTATTGATGTAATTATTTGATTATTCTCGTCTCCCGAACTGCGATTCGAATCAAATTCATGGGCAAAATGCAAAATCATTTCGGGATCGCCGCCCGTCTTGCTGTTGCGGGCGCTTGGCAACCTTCCGAGTGGTGAGTTATGCACGCAGCTGCGAGTTATGCTGGGTACAGAACGTGGTGCGCGACACACTTTGTTCTCTGCAGGGCGTCGAGAACCAGATAGGCACAGGTAATAACCCCATCTTAGTCCCACTAGATTAGTGACTATTATTATGGTCATGAACCCTAGTGAAAGATCAAGATTACGACCCTTTTGTCTCAGAAGAGTGGATTCAACTTTTAAGGGGTTCAGATGATTCCACAGTACTGTACAGATCATCCCTGGCCCTGAGTGTTAATTCATGAGATTACAGTTGAGAGGAGATCCAGATTATGTCTAGTCCCGATCGTAGTCTACCAAAACAAATCAGCATAAAACAGACAGTCACCGTGCAGAGGCCCTTTGTGATTAGTCATTGATCATTCATGAAATCTCACGGATTCTGAGGGACCCTATCATGCCTCAGGCAGTACGTTACACCTCAGGCACCAAAGAAACCTTCTTTCCACCGTTTGCAGATTAGCCAATCAGAAGCAGTCGCTCTACAACTTCTTCCGAACTTCTTTCGAAAACTTCGCACAAACTTTGTTGCACCGCCGACTGGCCACGCTAAGTTTTACCCAGCCACTCTTCCGCTAAAAGATATTAGCGATTGCTCCCACCAATCAAGTAAAAGAAAAAAGCCTTAACCCTTCGAGCCGCACCTCAAGACGCACAGGGATGAAATTAAGCACGTAGAGATCAGATCCACTTCTGCGACAGGTAAAATCCCCGCATAGTCTTTCTTAGGGATCTACAATCTCCTTTACTGCTTAAGGGGGGCGTCATATCCCCGGACCACTCCTCGATTACTCAGCCAAGATTTTTTAGGAAGTGATATGACAAATAGGAACGATACCAACCAACGTTTTTCGCCTCTTCCCCTCCCGAAGCGCGGCAAAACCGAAAAATTCACCGATCGCCTCCCGAGAAAGTGGAGGGTCCGCGGCGGTTAGTCCAATAAACTTCATTCAGTGGAGAAATTTCCGCGGTGCAACAGACAGAGCCCGGATGTCGTGATTGACGGCGTGCTGAGATTTCGGGGCAAAAGAAAAGGAAGCTCATGCCCACATGAGCTTGTCTTCCTGTACATTCTTTGTTTTTCTATCCTGGGGGATCATCATCTGGGGAAACGTCGACTAGTTGTTTAGTCTGGTTTTTTTTTCTCCAATCTTTCGGAGATCGACCACCTCGCTAGTTCACTCCTCGCCAGCCTAAAGATGGAGAAGTCCACTTTGGCCTCGGACACTATTCGTCCGGATCCTGTCAAGGTCGATGAGTATGATGCGACTCCCAAGGAGGATCTTCAGCTCAATGTCGGCGGTCGTGGTGCGACCCAGCGCCGCCTGCGAAACTATCAGGTCACCATGATCGGTTTCTGCAGTGGCATCGGCACTGGTCTGTTCATCGGTACGGGAGCTGCCTACGCGAAGGCCGGTCCTGCGGGTCTGTTGCTCGCGTATATCATCGTTGGTGCTGTTCTCTGGTGTGTGATGCAGAGTATCGCCGAGTTGGCGACTCTGCTGCCCACTGCTGGTTCGTTCCCTCACTGGGCGACGCGCTTCATTGATCCATCTGTCGGTTTCTCTCTCGCTATCTCTTACGGTTATTGCTATACGATCGCCATTGCCTCGGAAGTGTCAGCAGCAGCAGTTATCGTCTCCTATTGGACAGATATAACGCCCGCGGTCGTCATCACGGTTGGCCTTGTACTGATTTTGATCATCAATCTGATGAGTGTGCGCTTCTATGGCGAAACTGAAGTCGTTGGAGGTGCCGTCAAGGTCCTTTGCTTCATGGGTCTTGTGATTGTGTCTATCGTCATCACCGCCGGCGGTGGTCCTAGCCACGAGACTATCGGCTTCCGTTTCTGGAACAACCCAGGCCCCTGGACCGACTACAACGGCATCACTGGTCCAACCGGCCATTTCCTGGGCTTCCTGGCTTCCTTCGTCAATGCCTCTTTCAGCTTCATCGGTGTCGAAACCGTCGTGATCACGGCTGCTGAGTCTGTCGACCCCCACCGGGCCATTCCTAAGGCTGCCCGCCGCGTCACTTACCGGATTGCCTTCTTCTATATCCTTGGCGCCCTTCTCATCGGTATCATCGTGGACCCGCGCAACCCGTCTCTTACTTCTGGATCCGGTAATGCGAACAGCTCGCCTTTCGTTATTGCGATCAAGGAGGCTGGCATTAACGCCTTGCCTTCCATTGTGAACGCTTGTATTCTCGTTTCCGCCTGGTCTGCCGGTAACTCGTACTGCTGGGTTGGATCGCGCATGATTCTGGCTATGACGACCGACCACCAGCTGCCTCAGATCTTCGGTCGTGTGACCAAGAACGGAGTGCCTTATGTTGCCGTGATCGCAGCCTGGCTTTTCGGCCCTCTGGCTTATCTGAGTAAGTGCCCTCGATACGGATCGATAGGATTCATTGAACTTTACCGACTAACAAATTTCTTTCCAGGTCTTGGAAGTGGTGGCCCCGCGCAGGCCTTTACCTGGCTCCTCAACCTTAGCACCGTTGCCGGTTTGATCGCCTGGGCTACTCTCTCGTTCTGCTACATTCGCTTCCATGCTGCTATGAAGGCACAGGGTGTTTCTCGTGACTCGCTCCCTTGGAAGGGACCCCTTCAGCCATATGCCGCCTGGGTTGGCTTCATTGGTTCTACCATCATCACCCTGGTTGCTGGCTTCCCTGTCTTCTTAAAGGGTAATTGGAACACGTCTGACTTTGTTGCGTCGTACGTTGGCATTCCTATCTTCATTGTGCCAATCATTGCCTGGAAGCTGTGGCACCGCACCAAGGTTCGTTTTTGCATAAAGATTCCCATTTTCGAAACCTTGGCTGACTCTGTCTTCTATAGTATCAACGCGCTGCCACCATCGATCTTTGGTCAGGCCGTCTCCAAGATGGAGAGATCATGCCTCACCGGAACCCGCGTAACACCGCCTGGGGGCGGTTCGTCGACTGGCTTGTGTAAATCACCTGGATTATGTATATAATATAGTATCGTGCATTTTGCATATCTTCTAGAACGCGATTTTTCGAATGTACACATTTTAATTTCATTGCTTCCATACCCTGGAATCCGCTTCATCAGATTGTACAGGCCACTCAGTTTGAAAACTGCTCGTGAAGCTTCTTAATGTCCTGGTGAGAAGCTTTACAGCAGCCACCCACAAGGAATTCTTTGAAGGGGCCCTTTGTGCTTGCATCCTTCACGACTTGAGCTAGCTGGACTTCCCAAGAGCGCTGTTATCCGGTCAGCATCGGTTGGCGGTAGAGCTTGTAACAAAGATGGACATACCGTGTCTCTATCCCCATTTGCATTGTAGCCAGCGGGCTTCTCCCAAACTTGTGTCGTTGTGTTGTAGACCTCTCCGTTCGTTCCATCAGGATACAAAACAAAGCTCGGCGCAGTGGGGATATCGCCAGCAGAAACTGCCGCAGAAACACCCTCTCCAAAACTCTCAATCAATCCCGAGAGCTTATGAAGTTTAGTGCAGTTGATTCCGATTCCCCACGGCACGCGTGCACCGTCAATAGGGGAAACAGCAGCACGGACAACCTGTTCAATCGAGCTTCCATCCGGCAAAAGATCGTCCTCGCGAGGGAAGACGCAAGCAATCCAAAAAGGAACCGTGATCCCTGCATCATGGATAGCTCTCCTCACTGCACGAATCTCATCGAGGCGGGGCAAAGTCTCGAATGCAACATATTGCATACGCGACAGCAAATCCCCCTCGGCCTCCAAGAAAAGTCGCAATCGATCCAGATGCCAATGATACAGAGCCTCTTCACTGTCATGCTCGGCATCATACGCACCGCTGTACTCCTGTCCTGGAATCATGCACGCACCACACGGTCCCAGGCTCAGCGCGATCTGGGTTCTATCGCGGACCTTGGCTCGCTCTGCGACGTCCACCGCAGTCTGCAGAAACGGTCCGATGGCATTTTTGGGAATGCCATTGGGGTATTCCGCAGTCTTCGTGCGAGCAAATCCCTCAGGGGAAACTTGGTATGTAGCTGTGAGAAGCACATCTACCCCCGCCGTGCCAAAGTCTTTCTGGCAAGCATGCAGCGTTGCGGGATCGGAGACGAGCAAGTGAGTTGACCAGAGAGGAGTATTAGTGCTGTCAAAGCTCACTCCGTATTGATCTTGGAGAGAGGTCCCAAGACCACCGTCCAGAATTCGTACCGTTGCCATTGTGACTAGATGTTGCTTGTGGATTGTGTGAGTTTAACAAGTATGTTCCCATCGCAGCCCTCGATGGTCCATCCCGCCGATTCGGTGGTGTTACGTAAACCCCCCCCCCCCCCCACCGTGCCAGATCTATCCCGTGTCCCGGTATCGCGGCATTAGAATTGTTATCGCGGAATGTAAAAACCTTCGCATACCACTGGCGTTATGAGTGCTATCTCGATTAAATGAAAGATGCGAGAAGTGAGCTTTAAATGCGGACGATAGATCCTCTGTCCTTGAGGGTGAGGTTACTGATTCCTCCGCAATAACGATACCATAGTGAAGGTGGGGACTTCGCAACTGAGGACAGAGTATTTTCTTATCTTTCTCGCTTACGATTTCCTGGATTGCTCAACATATGATGATACTCAGAGTATCATAGTGTTGTCTGTGGTTCCTTATTATCAATCACTAGGTTTGGGGTTAGGACACCCTCGGAGTACCGGCCCAATCCCTAAATATTGCGGTCAAGCGAAGCGTCAAAGAACTACAAATAAGCAATATACTCGTCGTGGCTGGACTACAGTCTCGTCTTCTTATCAGTTAGATTCTGGCGAGTTTCTTCCAGACCCTGGTGCGCCTTTCCTAAATTCTCCCTATGAATACACTTGGCCAAGCATAACTCCTAGAAGCGTCGGTGTAGTTCTAGAATTCGCGCGGCTTGGAACCATGGCTCCAGGGTTTCCTGATGAGAGCACGTCATAAGCTTGCACACTCCGCAATCACGTATCCATCAAGTATATTCTAATTCTTGCCCGATATGTAGTTTCTCCACATCTATTAATCAAGCGAACATGGGATGGATCTTCCCACAGGCCCTCTCCGCCAACCTCTCTTTCATAAGCACATCATACACATGTGACGCCCACGAACAACAGACCTGTCTAGTATCCTTCGGATCAATAATCTCCTCCACGCCAAATGCATTTGCCGTTCGAACAGGATTCATCAGCCGTAAATACTCCTCTTCCAACTCCTTGTAGCGCTCCTCTTTCTTACCAACTTTCTCTGCCTCTCGCAGCTCATGTCGATGTCCAACTTCAATTCCACCATCGAGGGGTAGAGAGCCCCATTGTCCGGATGGCCATGCTACTTGCATGATGGGGTCGCGGCTGCCGAGCATGATTCCACCAGCCACACCGTAGACACGACGAGTCACGACGTTGAAAATTGGAATTGTGGTGGTGTAGTATGTTTTGGCTAGTTCAACGCCCCATCGCATAGTTGCAGTGCGTTCGGCGACGGTCCCAATGGCGTAGCCGGCTAGAAAGATGATTAGCAGACTTATGACAGGGATAGGTGGGGAATGAGTTCAAAGTACTTACGAACGTCGAGGAACTGCAGGATTGGCAGGTTCATCACGTCGCACATTTTCAACAGACGGGTGAGCTTTTGACTCCCGGCAGCATCAAGCGCACCACCATTCACCTCGCAGTTGAGAGAAATGATTCCAACGGGATGACCGCCAAGGCGAGCCAGGCCACCTATTGCAGTTCGACCCCAAAGCGCCCCAATCTCAAACCATGAACCTTGATCCACAACGGAGGTGATGATCGTTCGGGGGTTATACATGCGTGCCTGTCGACGTGGAATGATACTCCGCAAAGCCAAATCTTCACGGTCCTGAGGATCATCGCAGGGATTGACCGGAGGAGCCTCACTTCCAGAATTTGGCAGATAGCCCAACACCGTACGGAGTTGTTCAAAGCACTCTGCTTCATTGGCAGCCAAGTTGTCGATAGTACCATTCGTACAGTGCACCATTGGGCCACCCAAGTCCTGAAAGTCCAGCCCTTCTTCAAAGGTTGCACCTTCAACGACCTTCGGGCCGGCATTGAATAGTGAACCAATATCAGCTGCCATGACGGAGAAATGGCATGATACAACCCTTGCAGCACCCAGCCCAATCTATAAGCAGGTTAGCACACCTACTACATCCTCTCCGTCTTGCACAATTGAGGCAATCCACGCAAGTACTGACCGCGGGTCCCACCACAGCCCCCAAATTCGGAATACCCATGTTCAGCTGCTGAATTACGGGCCTGAACGGCCTCACAAGCGGTAAATAACTCCATCCCTCCTTCTTAATGGTAGTCACACTTCCGCCCCCAGAGCTCCCATCCACGAGCTTAATGACCGGCACCCGCAGCGCAACCGCCAATTTCTCCACGTAAACCGTCTTCTCTGAGCTCGCACCATCCGCATGACCGGAGCGAATACTAAAATCGTCTGCGGTAAGGAAAACCTTCCGCCCGCGTAGTAAACCCGCACCCTGGACGTTATTGCTCGGCACGAAGGAGACGGGTGTCTCGCGCATGGGCCCTGTCTTCTTCCATGTCACTGTGCCCGAGACAGAGCCTATTTCGGCAAAGGTTCCTGGGTCGAGGAGGGCGTCTATGCGCTCGCGGACCCAGAGCTTGCCGGCTTGCTTTTGGCGAACGTAGCCGCGGTGGTTGGGGTCTGGGGTGGCTGCGATTTTGCGAAGAGAAGCGATTTGGGAGAGGACGTCTGAGTGGTCTGCTGGTAGACGAGATGTTGCAGTGTTGGACTTGGGTTTGGCTTTGCTTGTCACCGGTGTACCTGAAGGGGGTTGTGCGGAGATGTGCGAGGAGACCTGGTTCAGGCGTTGAGCTGCGGTATCCTGGCCTTTGGACGCAGGCTGCGCTTCATTTTCCTTTCCCATATTGCTCCCTAATTGTTGTCATATGCAGACAAAGTCCCTTCTAACTCACGGTAATTGGGTAAACTTCAATCGCTGGTGAGCCAGGCCGCTCGGCTTTGTTTACTGCGAGGTGAGGGGTCAAGGATAGTCGCGTGGCCCATCCGAGGGCCGAGGCGTTTTGCTGAGCTGCTACAAGTCAGGGATCAATCGCCGTAATGGAGTATGACAATTCCAACGGATCGAAGCTGCATCTCGGTAAAACAAAAAAAAAGTCTGACAATTATTCCTGTCCACTTTGTACTTTGCGAGCCTCTCGACTTGACTTGTTTAGTTCGCTACCCCAGATTTGCTGTACCCCATGCCGTCAACCCCGCATTCACCGACATTCAAGCGACTGCTGGTCGCCAATAGGTACGACACTCTTGAGCCCTAATTCTAGCAAGGTCTGTATTGATTTACATTTTATAGAGGCGAAATAGCCGTTCGCATACTCCATGCTGCACGAGAATTGCCCAACCCAGTCGAGACATTCGCTCTCTACACCTCAGATGATCGGTCGCATTGCGACTTGGGGCATCCGCAGCACGCTGTTCAGATCCCCTCCGCATCATCTTACCTAGACATCTCTCTGCTTGTCGATCTAGCTCGCAAGAATTCCATAGATGCCGTGCACCCAGGCTATGGCTTTCTCAGTGAGAGCGCCGAGTTCGCGGATCGCATGTGGACCGAGGCCGGCGTGGTCGTGATAGGACCTGGCCCAGAGAACCTCGCTCGCACGGGCGACAAGCTGCAGGCAAAGCAACTGGCACAGCGATGCGATGTCCCTGTCCTGGAGGCTATGACTCGACCGACTGCTAATCAAGATGAAGCGCGGGAGTTTGCAAGACGAGTTGGGTTTCCTGTTATGATCAAGGCCGTGGACGGCGGAGGTGGGAGAGGTATTCGCCTTGTCCGCGAAGAATCAGAGTTGGATAATAGCATCCGGCGTGCTATTGGCGAATCGCCTTCGCGAACGGTCTTTGTGGAAAAAGCTGCCGTGGATGGATTTCACCATGTTGAGATTCAGGTCATTGGAGATGGCACTGGCCAAGTGCGCCATCTCTGGGAACGAGATTGCAGCGTGCAGCGAAGATTCCAAAAGGTGGTGGAGTATGCTCCAGCTTTGATGTCTGATCGCGGCTTGGTTGCTCGAGTGATTGACTCGGCATTAAAGATGGCGAGTGAAATCCGCTACCGCTCGTTGGGGACGTTCGAGTTCCTGGTCAGTCAAAGAAAAGGAGAATTCTACTTTTTGGAAGTCAACCCGCGGCTGCAGGTTGAGCACACTATTACAGAGTCTATCAGCGGGATAGACTTGGTCCAGACACAGCTTCTCCTGGCACAAGGATGGACTTTCCAGCATTTGGGCCTGGGATCCGATGTGAATGCCAGTGCTCCGCCGCCGGCGAACTCCCACTCGATTCAGCTGCGCCTCTGTGCCGAAGATCCCAGCAACAATTTCGCACTGAGTATCGGCAAAGTGACCGAGTTCAAAGTCCCCAGTGGTCATGGCATTCGCGTCGATACCAACATCAACGCCTCGGGGGCTTCTCCATTGGTCGTCGGCTCGAACTTTGACAATCTTCTCGCCAAGATTATCGTCACGGCATCCACTTGGGAGGCCACCGTCCGCAAGGCCCAACGAGTCCTGGCCGACTCGAGAATCTCCGGCGTCAAGACGAATCTTAATCTTCTGCGGGGCATCGTAGCGCATGCCGAATTTATGACGGGTCGCACTGACACGCAATGGCTTAGCCTTAAGCTAGACGAAGCTTATCAATTGGGCGAAAGTATTGCCAAGAATCTTCAAAGCCAGCACGTCTCCAGCGGTTCCTCTCAACAGTCAATGGTGCAGAATGGATTGCCCGCGTCCAACTTGCTGTTCCGCAAAGGGGACGCGTGGTCCATTACGCTACAGCCCCTCGAGAACGGGAACCCACAAGCATCGGCCACGGTAGCACATCATCTCAAGCTATCGCGAGTCCTCCGAAATGAGTTCCCCACATCTCTGGCCGCCGAGATCGAGTACACGACTCCGACTTTCAAGACGGCTGTTCCGTACCGTATGCAACTGGATACGACTACGACGGCGGCTTCGGCACTGGTCTCCTCGTCACACCGGCGGGGCGACCCGAATAACCCGCGCCATATCGTGCTCCCGCTGTCAGGCAAATTGATCGAGGTCCTGGTGAAGAGCGGGGATGTCGTGGCGGAGAATCAGGTCTTGGCTTTTGTGAAGCAAATGAAGATGGAGCTGGAGGTACGTAGTCCTCGTGCGGGGACTGTCAGATGGGTGCATGAGATGGAGGACGAAGATGAGGATGTTGCCGAGGGGATGTTGTTGGTGGAACTGGATGAAGAAAGGGATGAGAGACAAATAAAGGGAAAGTTGTAGAATATAGAGATACAGCTAGGTCGTGGGTTGAATTAAGAGCCAATGTCAGCAGTATAAAACGTGGCTGGTTGATAAATAATCTTTCCTTCATATTTCACAAATTAGCAGCATCTTACATGAACCAGCATCATTGGTCTAGTGGTAGAATTCGTCGTTGCCATCGACGAGGCCCGTGTTCGATTCACGGATGATGCATATCTTTTTGGTTTTTTTACCATTCAATTCCCACTCTTTTTTGAGTGTGGAGTGGTGGAGTGAATGGAAAGCAATTGTTCGAGCGTCTCCGGGTGTTTGTGTATCGGCGCTTATCGCCGAGCTCCACTGATTAACGTGGGCACGTGGTTCATCCCGCACGACGTCACCGCTTTTCAGCTTCCAAGTTGCAACTACAGCACAACATCCCCCTCAACATGGAGGAGTTAAACCTCTACATTCTAACCTCGAACTGTGCCCGGAACCTGATAGATATCGATCTTGTCGCAGCCCACTTCTTCGATGTCCTCCCCTCGTCGAGTCCAGCCCCGGAGCTGATCATGCTTTCATTACAGGAGCTCGCTCCGATCGCATATTCCTTCCTGGGCGGCTCATATCTACTCCCGTACTTTGATGCGTTCATCAAGGCAGTCAAGAAAGCGACTGCGAAACAATGGAACGAGTCTTATGTCAACCTAGTCAAAGACCACACCGGCATGACGGGGTTAATGGTCTTTGCACGCGCTGATATTGTGGACAGGATATCGTGTATCGATACCGCGCATGTCGGATTTGGGTTACAGGATATGGGAAACAAGGGCGCGGTCAGTGCTCGGCTGAAATATGCCGTAGAGGGACCAACGTCTCAAGCAGCGGATTTGACGTTCGTCGCGGCGCATTTGGCGCCCATGGAGGATGGGTTGGCAAAGCGGAACCTGGATTGGCAGAGTATCGTTGAGCGATCGGTCTTTTCCCAGGGACTAGGCTCACCTCGGGCGGTAGAAGGCGACAGCCAGACAGACGAAAGCACCTCTCTGCTGAATGAGCGTCCCAATGCCTCGTCGCATACCATCTTCGCTCCTAATTCACATCTCTTCCTAGCCGGAGACCTCAACTATCGCACATCCGACGTCAGTCCGCTCAAGGGCGATGCCATACGCTTCCCCAAGCGCAACGCCGACCCCAGCAGCCCTTCTCATTACTCCCACCTCCTCCAAGAAGACCAGCTTTCGCGCGAGATGCGAGCAGGCAGGGCTTTCCAGGGTCTCTCTGAAGCCCCCATCACTTTTCCTCCAACGTACAAATTCTCCGATGCAGCGCAACAGGCTGCCCGTCGGGCCCTAGAGACCGGCGACTCGGATACGGAGTGGAAATGGTCCTCACACCGGTGGCCCAGCTGGTGCGACCGCATCCTGTACCTGGACAACGCATCGTCACGCGATCCTGGCGAGGGCGCAGCTCAGCGGACAGTCAAACCAGTCGTGTACGACGCGCTCCCACTCTTTCCTCACTCGGATCATCGCCCTGTCGTGCTGGCTGTTAGCGTGGCTCTGGGACCTTCCGATCACATGGCTGGCGATGCGAACGGTGTGAGCGAGACTAAAACTGTGGCTCCGTTTGCAATCGATCCTACCTGGCGGTCTCGGCGGGATGCGGCGCGGCGGAAGGAAATTGTCGTCGGTGTGTTGGCGTACCTGGGGTTGACTTGGGAGGGGAATGGGATGGTGCTTGCGTCCGTGGTGGGCCTGGTAGGTGCATGGGTTGTGCTGAGGTCGATGTGGGGGATGTGAAGGGCAAGGCAGTGCCATGAGGCGATCATTGGGAGTTGGGGGGAGTGCGGATTGATTTGGCCTGTTTCGAATTCCATCAAGATGAGCAGCAGGGATGACGAATATAAGTGTTTCGGGATGTTTCTTTGGGAAACGCATCAGGCAATGAATTGACATGGGGTAAAATACAACCTCATTAATCGTGTTGCCGTGTCAGTTATTTCCCAAGGCCCATCCACGGCTGTGCAGTTTGTCTTGCCTCGTCCATATCCCCGGTTTAATACATAAGATCCCTCCTCTTCATCAAACGACCTCGACTGCGCCCTCAGTGTATCCTATTGGTTCGACTAGGGAATGTAGGGCCAGCCACCAGCCCCTATTCGGCTCATTCGGGTGTCTGTAGGCTCTGCACGGAAACGCTGCACTATGACGAAATTCCCATGGGATTAAACACTCAAAGAATAACAAATTGCGGCTGACACTGCCCATCCGTCCGAGCGGGCCGCTATCGAGCAGGGATCGGCCAAGGACAGTGGAATCTGTGCGATGGATACTATACTCAATAATCAATAATCTATCCGCCGACTCCGGACTGATCAAAGCCTAGGCCGTTGGCCAGAGGTCTAGTCCTCCCTCTGGAAAAAGGAAACAAGCCAGAACCAAAAAAATCCCAGTAACCAAATACCTTTCGTATTCGATTCGGTCACCTGAGCCGCTTCCAGACGGTCTGGCCGCAGGTCGTGCGGCGTAGTTGATTAGCAGCTAGGCGGTCTTCTTAGCGTCTTCCATTTCCATCCCCTAGTCACTAATGAAGTCACTACTGGCGGGACCCGCCGCCGAAACAGATAACCTTTTTGAGTATGAACCTCGTTTCATTCGGCTACAGGGCCCTTTTTTCCAGACATCCTTCCTTCCGGATCATCCTGGCGAGGGCAGTGTCGAGGGGTGGCTGAGGGAGGGTAGTCTATTATCTTGTCTGCCTTGGACTAGTCCGTAAACTCAGCCATGTCATGTCGTGCCGTGTCCTGTCCCGACCATTGCATCGCATCGCCGGATCTTGCTGTCATGGTAAGGTTTGCAGTCCTAGTTTCTCTTCCCCACTCATTCGGTCACGCGGAATGAAAAAAGATTGTGTCACGGTGGATGGTGGAGACCTAGGTTTTCCTCAAATCTACGACGAAATCTACAAAGTAATGGAGCTACAGTAATAAAATATAGTGTAATTTTAGCATGATAAACTCCGTACAAACACTCCATACCCTTTACGATCGCACATGTCAAAGGTGATACCACAATACATCCGTATTGTACAGAGAACAGGGCTGGCCATGCCCAGGCTCTAGGCGGTGATGGTCCCGGTCTAGATCCCGAGGCTCTCATGTTGGTTCCCGCGCTCCCGTGGCTTTAGGTGCCTTCTAGCGCTTCTAGGGCTTCTACCGTCTCTTCTAGACCTTTGGGCAAAATGGAAATCTGGACTGTATCGATTGCATCCGGGTTGGTCAGGATTGTGTATGAGATAAAGTATCTTATCATCAGTCGACTATTATGTCGCGGTGTCTTTTTTTTTCAGATAGAGTGGTGTCCGATTACCTTTGTCATGGATCTTTTCTATTCTTTCTTCCGATTGTACAGTACAAGCACGGCAATTGCCGGTCAATACCCCAATATTGTCTTGGTTTACCATAACCCAACCCCAAGTTGTTCGTTCTAGAGACGGATCGCGGCATACGAGCTGCGGTCGTCCTTGGGATTCAACCTCATCCCGTGTGTTTTTGTCATTTAATGCGCATTCCATCCCAAGGGCGAAAGACATTCCTCCTTCCTTACCAGCCCTCTATAGCAATGATGCATAGGCCATTTTCCCTCGTATTGACCTCCGCCTTCCGCAGAAAGAATATGAGCGAACAAAAGGTATCAGCGATGCAGTAGACCACCTGAACCAGTCAACTGACCGTTCAGGGTGTTCCTTCGACTGCTCGTGGCTGGCCCGCGGTGCGACACGCGGTGCGGACGAAACTGTAATCTGCGACGGGCTGGGCTTTCTAGGCGGAGTGGGAAAGGTGGAATGCCCAGAGTTCTCAGGGTACTGACTATTACGAGGATGAGGGATTTGACGTTGTGTGGTCAGGGCTTGGGGATAGACCTGGTGAGTTTTACGCCATGTTACATTCATCTAGGTGTCAAGCTTTATAGATCGGTTTGCCAGTGAGGAAATAAGTACCGAGTGCCGAGTTGAAATGTAGTCGAAGTATGAAGTAGGCGTTTCTCAATTTAAGACTCCTCGAGAATGCCGAAGTGAAGCATACCTTCACCACTGTATGGCTCTTTCAAGTCCAATAGTATGCTTCAAGGAAAATGATTGCTGGTGTGGACATGTCATGTTAAATTGTCAGTAGAATTCTTCTCCTCCCTTGACCAGCAGACGCCAACGATCGGGCTCCACTCGGCCAGACATGAAGAAAAAGGCGCCAATGAAGTTTCAGATCCAACACTCAAAAGGACAGATTATTTTTCAACTACTGGTTTGTTTTTGTACGATATCATCTCTTCTATTATTGATCGAGCGTCGCACGATCATTTTCACGCGTATAAACCAACCAACTCGAAGCAACGAGCTTGCTGCCTAACCCGTTACCCGAATGCTTGGGTGTTGGGCCTCGGGAAAAGTAACGGGGAAGAAGACATTACTAGACCCTAGACAGGGTCAGGCAAAACCAAATCCATCTATGAAAAAGCACTGACAGAAGCTTACATGTCTCATTGAGCTGCCATCGGAAATACACAGGCTATTATTGGCGACGGGACAGCATCGAAGGAGCTTCTAGTCTCCAACCCAAGATCGGAGCCACCCAACTCCCCGAGCTAACCAGTAGCTACTAGCTATGGACACCACCGTACCACTGTAGAGTAGGGCAAACAGACCCGAACGGGTAAATCCACGAAACCCCATCGAGCCGTGAGCCGTGGATGGGCAAAGTGGGCAGTGGAGACCTTCCAGAACACTGCCCGATACAAAAGCAGAGCACCAAGGGCATCAAATAATTAATAACAAAATTATTCGAAACCAAAATTTATGATCATGTCCCTTCGGATTGGGGCAGCCCGGGGGCTTGGAGAAGAGTCTGGAACCTGGGAAGCCTCGGATCCTGCTAGACGCCGCACGTTACGGAATACGGGCGGCAAAAACCCCACCCGGACAGAGCTTGAGCATTAAGGGCGTCTGAGCAAGAATGAGAGAGAAAAAAAAATAAGAAGGAACCGGCTGGGTACTGTACATGCTACAATGTTGAAAGTCCGTTGAGCAGATTGGGCAGACATCAAGTTGAAACGGGGGAGGTATGATTGGAGATAGCGAAGGAAGAAAGGGGGGAAATTAAAATTCAATCAGTATATGGTTCTTAGTCAAGGGAATGGAGAAAGGGGCCTGAGAGATGGGGAGAAGCATATCTAAAATTGAGATTGAGATTGACCAAAGGAATCAAAGAAAAGAGTCCTTATTGCCATTGAATAATCATCAATGTACGGAGTAGAGTAAACCACCTGGAAGACTCGGGCCCTCGAATCCCCATTCAATCAATCCGCCGAGCGACCAGACCAGAGCCTAAGCGATGGCAAAGGCCCACGCGGCCTAAACTCAGGATCGCCTGGGAGAATCTTTACAATGCGATGACTGCTTATTCTAGAGCCGAGGCAGTGAATATTCCGTGTCGAGATGATTATGGAGTTTAAACTGGTTCTACTGTATCTACATTCTATTTGCATACTCTGTGTATACTCTCTACGTTGACGCCAAAATACTTACAGTGGCAACTCTCTAGCACCTTCTCGGAAGGACGTGCAAAAACAAACGAACTGGGGGCCCACACCCTCAGCCAGGCACTCAATCTGAATCTCTAGCGACCCCGTTAGGCGCTGTTTCGAAAACTCCGCGAGCTTCCATCCCACCCACAACCCGCCCTCCACCGTGTCGGGTGCTCCACCCGGCCCTGCAATCAGGCAGGCTGAGACTTGCCACGGTCTCACAGTTCACCAGGCACGACCTTACGATCGTGCTTTGACAGCTATTTCCGACGTTACTGTATCTCACCATACAAAAGTTCTCCCTACTAACCTTCCATCTGCACTGAACCGCAGGCGCATTCTTCATGCCTAGCTTACATCCCTCATTGGCCCGTTCCATTCCACCATGCATTGATGACCAGCATTTTTGGTAGATCATCCGACACCCGCATGGCAGGATCGTGGGCAAAGGGGGAGTTATGAGATCGACCGATCTACTCATGCACGAACAGGAGCTGCCAGGTGCTTTCTTTCTCTTCTGATAGCTCCGTTCAGTACAACACACCAAAACCATGGATGGTTTGAAGGGCATCGAAGGTCCAGATCCTAAGAGGCTTCGGGTCGGCACTTGCTTCCTTACCCGTCAACTGCCCAACCAAGGAAATGGAGCACGTCTCGGACAGAAAGTAAAGGGAGGAAAATTCTAGATGAATCGGGCAGTACCGATGGTATTTGAGAATGGTAGTGTTCTCTATGAAAGATTGATTTTGATTTTACGGTTGGTTCGGTTAGTAGGGAGCACTCTATATTCGACGGTCATGCTATGAGCCGGCGGCAGACAGATTAAAAGCAATCATTCTCGGAAAAAAAGGAATAGAGATTCAGTGACCCAACCAGAACAATAGTCAAGAAAACAACCGTATGTACATATGTATCCATACGGAGCCCAAGATCCTATTTTCTTCCCACTGACTCACTAGCCTACACTAGTCATGGAGCTCCGGCGTGTTAATCATACCGAAAGTGGAAAAGGATGGAAACCGAATGGAAAAGTTTTGGAACGAACAACCCGGGGCCTTAGTTTCTCATAGTGGATCTTTCAACACAACGGCGCCCTTTTTTTTTTATTTTCTGCTGGTCCCCGGTAACAATGGAACCCTAAAAATCCGAGTTCCTTTTATTATTTTTTCTTTACTTCCGTACTGGGTACGGCTGTCTCCTTTATTTGTTTTTTATTACCGATGACGGATGACAGATTACGGATTTACCTAAGCCTAGGTAAATAATAAGTTAATAAATCTACATTTCTGTACAGTACCCTAGTATATCACATTTTAAAAATCCTCAAAAAAATAATCCTTTTTTTTTTACTTTACGGGCTTTGGGGTTGTTTTACCTTTGTCTCGTTTATTCTTGAGCCTCTCTGGATATAAACCCATCCAGCACCCCCTTAAGTTCTCGTCCCTCACGTCCTCTAAAGCCTTCTCCAGCTTCCTTCGTGGCCCCCTTCGTCACTACGGTTACCCTTCGGCTTCGATTCTATTAGACCCCTGCAACACTAAATCCAGCCTTCCACCACCACCACTCAACGCCGACAGCTTGCTCGTGCGCCTCCTGCGATAGCTGCACTCCAAACCCTCCGACGTCATATCCGATCGCATCCTTTCGACGCCCCATTACGTCGCATTTTCCTCCCTCCCGAGAGGAATTCATCTCCGGGCTTTTTTAAGTTCAGCGCCGAAGCTCTTCGATTTTCCCGATTTTCTTTTTCTTGGGACTCTCCTTTCGGCCAAGTCAGGTTTCTTTAATTTCCTCGAAATTCAAAGGAAGCCCGCCATCTCCAACGGCTTCTTCACCTTTCGCCTTCTACCTTCGACTTACCTCGCCATTTTCACCCTTGGAAACTCTCAACGCGATCTCTCTTCTTCTGCGAACATCCCGCGACCTTGATCTTCTCCTGCACCCCGCGCTTTCTGCATCTCCGCACAACTTCCACTTCCTCCGCCATGTACTCTTGCGCAAACTACCCCCGCGGCTGCCGAGGTCGTGTCAACCGCCAGGGCGCCAAGTGCTCTGACTGTGTCGTAAGTATTCTCCTGCACTATTCGCCGACTTGACGAACTCCAAGCCTCTTACGCAAGGCTACCGGAGCTTTTGCGCAAAGCGGAACAACCACATGTACTAACAATATACCTCCCAATAGACACTCAACCTCCGCCGCCCAGCGTCCGCCTCTCCATTCGCACAGCCCCGGGACTACAAACGCAGCTTGCCCTCGGAGCGACTCAGCGACGCCGCCTTCAAGGTTTCGGACCTTGAGCTGTAAAGTGCTCAAGCATTTATCCGGAACGGTCCGGCAACGAAACACAAAAAAACCGTTCCAGAGGCCACTCACACGGTGTGCGCTGGATGCCATCTTGACAGGCTGGGCCTGGTTCCCGTGGATATGGACATGAAGAATTATGATATATTCACTGGGTGAATGGATGGAAGCTGGACCGATTCTCACGTTTTCCTCTCCGTCTCATATGCATCGCCGGGAGTTTGATTATGGATTACACCAGTACGAATGGCGGCTATCTCTTTTTCTCGCGTCTTTCTTTTTTTTTCGAAACTCTGTCGCTTTTGCCGCGACTGCGAATACGCTCGACTAGCTTGGCTCACTTGAGTCGAGCTGAATTTACCGCCGACTTCATCAGCTTCTTGGAGACGGCGACTTTGAAAATGTCGTTGTGACGCTTTCAAGGACAAGTTCCATCCGGCAGATTTACTTGCAGGAAGGAGCGCATCCTCAATCACTCGCTTTATTGCTTTTTTATTCACCGTCTGGGCTTAACCTCAAGGCCGAGACGGACTTTTTCGCATGGAGGATAGAACATTGCATGGAATACGCATACCAGTACCACCTCCGATCCGACACGCCTCGGACTTGGGATCTGAATTCATGGATCTGCCACTGGTGGGCAGTGGCGCAGATGGGGCTCTGATATCAGTCGATCGGCGATCGACACCTTCGTTTTTGATCTGCCGTCTTTCTTATTGTTTTTGTCTTGCAGTGCTGAATTCCTTGCGCATACCTCTTTCCCCCTATGTCGCTGGTTCGAGATCAGTATCACTTGCCTTTCTTTTTTATTCTCTTTTTCCTTTTTTCTTGTCTTTGACTCGTCACCTTTTTGTGATCGACTCTGCAATGCCATACCCCCTCTGTGTTACTTGTTTTTAATGCTTGATTTGATTGGGCAGGACGAATGATCGTTCCGTATCCCTTTCAGCTTTGAACGTGTTTCTTTACCCTAGATAGATACCTCACTGCATTGATAATACGGTTTTATCATCCCACCACAAATCTGGGTCTTCTCGTAGCCATAGCCATTACGAATACTAACATAAATTTGAACAGACTATAGTATAGCTAGCAATACCGCCTACCGGAGACGCCGAATGTAATCCCTCCGTCCCCAGTCACGCCTAGAACCGCCCATATACTTACAAATATAGTTACCCGGTGACAGCGCAGACCGTTAGATCCGTGACTATACTTTTCGGCCCCCATGTCAGAAAAATCGGAGCTATTTTATCAGCCGCAGTGACCCGGCGTGCCGGGGCCACGCCCCATCTTCTACCCTGCGGCCTGCTGCCTATTATGTACTCTATCAGCCCGGGCTTTCCGAAACGTTTGGTCCTGGTATCAGCCCCTAGGGACTTAAGTTACAGTACGTGTGTATAAGCCGTCATCAACAGCAATCCTACTCAGTGGCTCGGTGGTGCTGTTTTGGTCGACGCGCATAATGGAGGTGGGCGATGCTTGGTACCACTTGCACCCTGAGGTTGACACCCCTAAGCAAGGCCCCATGCCCCAATCCCCAGGGTGCAGGTTGCAGTATACAAGCAGGCAGTGCTATTCGAGGCTAGGGGGAAATTTAACGGCCCCGTGACCCCCATCACGGCATTCAAAGGTCTAGGCTCTGGGTCCAGGATCGGGCTGGTTTTTGGGGCCCGGGCAGAGAGGCTGAGGGACACGAGCAGGGATTGTTTGGGAGAGGTATGAGTTGGGGCGGTGATAGTTGTACTTTCTTTTTTTTTAGATACTTCGTTTCATTTGACTTGGCGAAACGGAGGGGCCGGGGGCTGTCAGCGTCATGTGCTGTATGAGTTCAAGTTTGATTGGTTATTGCTTTGCTCTTGTTTTCGTACGCTGCATTCGGCCTATGTTTCCTACTCAGGGCTGGGTTTTGGTTGATAGTTGAGGGCTGGGCTGTATGCTCAGCTTGGCCGTTGACTGTTTGTTTGCGAGGAGGGATCTGGTCGGGTCTTTGGAAGGGTGTGACTGTATATAGATAGAAAGATTCTAATCCATTATCTAGACGCGTGTACGGAGTATACTTTGGTAACGTATACTATGGTATCCTACCGGCGTATGCTCGAACATGGACAGAATTGGTGAATCTCTCAGCTGAATCTAGACCAAGACCTACGCCCGTGTAGATCTGGATCTAAATCTGTAACTACCTGACCCCGAATCCAATCTGAATCTGCGTCTAATGTTCAATTTGAATCTAACTGCGAGTCATGTCGATCGAGTTTCGGGTTTCAGCCTTGAGGGTCCGGGAGAATAGTGTGGTTTACATTTGACTCGGTGGGGTAAATGGCGTGTGTAGATCCCTCAATACTAACGTACTATGTGCGATGCTTGCTATGGCGTGAGTGCCCAAGTACGGTACCCTCTGTCTCAACGCATGCTTTGTAACCGTCGCGTCTTCAAGATCGCCAATCTCCCACTGATAAAATGGGTAGGATTCCCGAACGAGACATCTATGGCTCTCTAGTCCAGCAACACGAGCTCGAGAATGAAAAATGTCCTTCTACTGTACCTCTCCTCTTTAATGTCTATGTCGACGGTGAGGTTACCCACATGCCGTTCTCTTGCTCCCCGTCAAATCCTCGCGCGGCCTCATTATGACCACCACTATTGGAAAATCCCCCCACAATAAAACAAACATACAAAGGAAAATCATCCTTCCTTAATTTCCAATTCCGCAAAGTAATGGTATCATTCCGCCCTCAAGAACGAGTACGGCGGTTGAACGTACCTATGGGCGGTCCCCTTTTAGAAACCCAAAAATGGGACCCGCAAACCCGCGAACGCCAGCCAACAAGCGCAAATAGTTAATGCCCAGAGCCCCCGATCGGCTGGTGAAACGAGACAAGACAAGACAGTAGGCTCCACTTACAGGCACCGGCATTCGGTGGTACATATGGAGAACGGAAGTAAATAGTAGGTGCAGTAGTAGTCTAGGGACTCCGTTATTTGGGTACTAGGGCTGAAGTGGGCGTTGGCCGCGGTCGTGGTGAGATTGGGATGTTCGCGATTATTGATTTGGAAAACCTACTTTTTGTGTAGAGGATGAGGGGGTATACGGATATGGAGCTTGACATTAGAAAAACGGGGCTTATTGCTTTTGCCTGCAGAGCAGAGTAAGAATGTGAGTAGCGAGTACTTCCAGTGTAGTGGATGGATGGCTAGTGAATTGTTGAAGATACACGAAAATAAGGCTGGGAAGCATATCGACGGGTAGTCGAGGGACAGATACCCTGCCAATCATCAGCCACTAACTGATTCTCTAATGGGACCTTCTATATCTTACGGCTTGGAGTTTCAGGGCTAGCTTCTCTACTTCGTTCTTAAATAGAACATAGACTCCTCGTCTCTACACGGATATGGCTGCCTGAAGCAATGAGCTCGTGGGGGGCAGCTTGGGAAAAAAAAAATCACCTGAAAAAAGAGGAAACGAGGATCCGACGCACCCCACAGTTCAGATCCCATCCCCAAAGGAACGGTTTGGACCACTCATACGGCGTACATATGTCTCCGTACGAAAGACATACATACTGTACAAAGGGTGGGTAATTGTCCTTCGGGATTGATCCAGGTTAACCAATACGGGATCGTATCTGTGGTGAAACATATGGGTCGAGGGCCGGTTTCCATGCAGCTTCGCTCGTGCTTCTGTGCGTCCTCCACACAAACCACATTCCCTCGTGGTGTTTCGTTCACCGTTCACCCCCTTTTTTTTTGAGCTAGGCCGCTCAGCCACAGTCAGATCACTTTTCGCTGTTTCAGGGTGGACTATGGGGAATTTAGGTCCCCACTTTTCCATCCGATGAACCCTATGAGGTAGGTTGAGGGGGCTGATCACGGGAACTGGTGGCAGTGTGGGTGGGGTTGGTTGGGAGGTTGGTGTGGCTTGATGGGAATCGGTTCGGGTCTATGTACTTGTAACGTACGGTGTGTACGAAATACTACGGCCGTATTCGCTGCATTACCGCTTGTATCTTTCAATTTCCTAAAGGGGGTTGTAGTTTGTTGGAAATGGCGTTGGTTTCAGTTACCATGACCATTCGAGTGTGGCGGGTTTTCGAAGGCTGGTCCTGACGTTGGGGATCGTGGCTTGGTGTTGTGCAGGAGTTCGGAATAGGTGCCGAGTTAAGTCCACGCCTCGTTTCGAGATCCTTGCTAGAGAGAGGCTTAGCATTGGGTTTCCTCGACTGGCTATGGCAGGTAACCCCCGGGGAGCGAGGCTAGCTAGTACTAAGTAGCTATGCGAGAGGGAGTAGAGAATCCCTGTTAGCGAGACACGTAATTCGACGTCGGTGGCTCTCAACGGTTGCATCCTGGTAAGCCTTGTGCAGGCTCGAGCGCCCAGCTGCTAAGTGGGGGTGAAGACTGTAAGAGTCCTCTGGTGGCAGTTGCGTTATGTTATGCCTCTCAGGTCTCTGCCATTATTGTCCATGTCATCCAACCGACGTAGACCCCTGTCATGTTGCAAAGACCCCATTTCTTAATGGGGCAATACCAGCTCCTGTCATCTCGGCTCATGATTCACGCATCTTGTTGGTAGATGTGTTGGGGTACGGTGTCTACTCTGGACTTCTCGGCCTTCCTCGTGAGCCGTCTGAACATAACAGGGGGGGCGCTTTGGGACGCTTCGGAGATTTTTGGTGGGGGCGATCGATTTTATTTAGTTGTGTGATCAGCATTGGATGATTGGTGACTTGAAGGATGTGACCGGATTCTGTGTAGTTGATAGATTAAATGAACAACGGATATATTGCTCGCTTGCAGGGTTCACAATACGGGAAGTCATTGAAGCAGTCTGATTGGGTGGCTTGTCACTCCTCTCCCATTTATTATCACATGTATCACTATAGATAATTGGGCCTTTCTTTAAATTGCCGGGTCCGTGTTGAATTATTGGCAACGTCCTGCAACATCTTCTGACACACCCACTGGGCCGTCTTGGTATGCAGAGTCCAATATCGCTCGGCCTCGGGGGGCTGAGCCACCTCGCTTCTAGCAATACCCACTTTATCTCCAAGATTCCCAAGAGCCTCAAACACCACAATTTGGTCTCTCATATGAGAGTCTAGGCAGGACCGCTTGGCCGGTGTGGATCCAGTCGATCCATCTATTTGGTAAGTCTGCGTATCATCATGTGTTTCGGACAATTCGTCGATGAATCCCTGCACGCATTCATCAATCATGTCGGAGACTCGTTGTAGATGTGCTTCCGAGTCCTTCTTCTTAGGAGGTGGTCCCTGTCCTTTCTTGTATTTTTGGTGCTTGCCAACTTTTTGCTTTGTGTGCTTACGTCCCCGGTGATCACCGAACAAGGCATCATGGCCAATTCGAAATCCCGTGGAAGTATGGGCAACGAGCAGAATGTATAGTCGGCTGGGATGAGATGTGAATTCCGTCGGAGACATGTCGATGGGTATATGACGCTCTCCATTTAAGGGCTCGGCGAGAATTGTCTGATCGAGAGTCTTCAAAGACTTGCGTAGCCTACGAAGAGTCTCTTGCTCAACGTATTCGGCCACTGTAAAAGGGCTTCCATTCTCTTTGGCTTTTTGAAGAGCATCATTGGGTGCGAGGACAGTAATGGTAATGCGAGTGATCTTCCCACATTCATAGTCCATGATTTTGATCCGTGGAAAGCGAGATGCGCATGCGGCTCCTACTCCTACGGACTGTTTCGATTTCTCACTCGCGAGGCCATCTGTGAGCTCTGGCAAAGGACGAATGAAGAAGCTCACTTCACCCATTCCCACGACCCCAGATGTCCAGCCACGACTCTGCAAAGTCATCGAGAACGAAGGAAGACCCAGTCGAACAAAATTCGGCGCCATTACCTGGGCAGCATAGTCATAGGAAGGGGAACTGGTCCCGTTCGTGCCGCCGACGATGTTCACTCTGATGCACTCCGTCATCGCGCGTAATCCAACATGCAACAAGTACGGGTACAGTGCCTGGAAAATGAGAAAGACAGACCCCGGAGTTGTCAAGCGAATGTTGTACTCTGGCTTGACAGACAGAGTATTCAACGATACTAGCGGTATATCTTGAGGCTGACGAGTCGCGTCTGGTGATTGCTCGTCCTCTTCCACACAAGCTTGTGGTGGTGTGAATGTCAAACACTTTGATCCCACATTTCCATCCGAGACATGGCTGCCACTAATCTCGGCCAGCAATTTGACTGCTGCCGCATGTGACGCTTTGAGGCCCGTCTTGCCTCCACGGTTGCCGCGGACGTGATCTACCGTCACTGCTCGGCCCGTCAATGCCGATAGTCCCAGAGCGATCCGGACGAGTTGCCCGCCTCCTTCCAACGTTCTTCCATCGAGGCGAACGTGGTGGAGGGGTTTCTGTGGGGATTCGGCTCCATTTGAGGCTGAACGTGAGGGTGTTATGGATTTTGCCATTGAGAAATACCAAACAAATGATCGTACTGACTGCGGATTGTGCAAGATGAGGGTAGCGGCGACGTATCTTTAGGCGCTGGACCACAAGGGGCAAGGTTGTGGGCATGAGCGACTCTTTGTAACTTACGAACTTCCATTTTGGGATTTATTTTTATGGCCATGTCGGCGTCCATTTTGGGACTCGTATGGCGGTGAATGCGTCGTGATTGAGTCAGGCCAAGGCTGAAGCTGAATTCCAACGGTGACTCACTCTGCCTTAGTTCCGTTCGAGCGCTTGGAACTATCCAACCTAGTGGCGGCGCCTTGTTCACTAGCTCGATGCTTAATTCGGATCGAAATTTGAGTTAGGTTGAGAGCTAGAGTAATGACATGATCAACGATCTGGAATCTCTAGAATCATCATGTCTTGTTGTATACCCCAGCAACCAACGACTGCCTCGAGGCTGACTTGCACCTGCCATGATGGACCACCACGCACTTTCCATCCGCCAGCAAGACCAGGACACGAAAAGCCTAATGCTTTCAAACTCCATTGTTTTCATTCGTTTGGTCGTCTCTTCACATCAATTCTCATTCACGTACCACGTACTATACAGACTTTCACAATATGTTTTCCTCAACCAGTACCCGCGATCGACTGCGACGGTCCATGTCCACTCGTTCCATGAGAAGAGCTCGTCCATCTCGAAAGCCAAAGCAAGTCGATCCGGAAATCGCCAAAGCCCAAGCAAAGGCAGCTGCGGCACGAGCGATGCGCTTGAGCACCTCTTCCAGTGAACCCAAGGCTTATGATCGATTGGGGGGCCCAGCGCAGGTGGCAATTCCCAAGCGACGGCCAGGATCAGGTCTCCGGTATACAGAAGATGGTGCTTCCGTATGTTCTGCATCCATAGTACCTCCAGTTACTCCCCGTCAATCCATGGAGAAAAACGGCCTTCACCGAGAGCATACGCTTGAAGCCGCTGCTGCACTACCGCCAATCACCGAGCTTCGAGGACTAGATGGGCGCGATAGCTCGGTGCCTTCATCTTACCGCCGGCTACGCAAGGCCAAGTCCATGTTCTCAACCCGAACTCGGTCTTCTCAAGTACCCTTTGGGCCTCCTGCAATTTCGCCTCGACATGCCTTTGAATTAGAGCGAAGCCCAGAAATCGAGCTACCTCGGACCCTACGGCCATCCGTCTCCTTCATTCGGGGCCGTCATCAAAGCAACCGAGCGATCCGACACGCCAAAAGCCACGATGTGGCTATTCAGCTCGCTCGCAATCAGTTTGCGGAAGAAGCTGGAAGCCCGGGGATACAGATCAGACGCTCCTCGTTCTTCAACCGGCGCAGAAGAGATCACAAGCCGTTTCGCAAAACATTCCGAGTTACGAGTGATACTAGACCTATTCCAGGCTCAAAAGCAGAGCCCACTTCTCGATGGGCCTCCCGTCATAGATCCCGAACCTTCTCCTCGTCGATCAAAAATGGCTTCCGTCGCGTATTTGGAATTTCCAGACCTGCTGAGCAGCAGGGTTCCGAGTTCAGCCTCGAGGAAGATGTGATTCCAACGGCGACACCAGAGACCACGATGGAAACTCACCCTGCTGAGCGTATGGTGGGTGGTTACTTTGATATGGACCAGATTGTGACGTCCAGTCCCCTGCCGGTTGAATCTCCCGGGGGCGAAAGTCTCTGTACATCCAAATCCCGCGTGACTAGTTGGGCAGATTCGTCCGTTGCAAATACTGTGATGACTCGAAAGACCCGTCATCGCCAGTCGCTCTCTTTGATTGAAGAGCACGGAGATCCGAACAAGCAATTGCCTCAAGTACCTGCTGATCGCACCCGTCACCAGCCTCCCCTGTGCGAGAGTAATTTCGGCGAATTGGACGAGGGATCCAGTCCTGGAGTCTTCAATAATTGGGCTGATAGCAATGACTTATACTCAGCTTTAATGCAGCAAATTAGACGACAGGTTGTGCACACACCCGATGAAGACATCGTCTTTGGTACGGTTCCTGAATATCGTGCGATTCCAGAGCGCACTTCTTCGGTATATTCACAGCGCAGCAAACGCACCATTCGGCATATTCCGAGTGAAGAATCATCAACCGCTGGATCATTTGCGACTGCACGTGTTGGTGTCTCAAAATCTCCCCAGAGGCGCCAACCAGGTCCCCGCGTACACCCTCCCGACAAGATTTCTCGGCGCATGTCTAATCAAGAGATCCATCCGCGACTCGAGACGTTCTCGGGAGGAGATTCCCCGTGTTCAATGTGCGTTATTGGTCAAGGACCCGACGAGGAAACTGGAAGCATTGTCATTGCTCGCTTCGAGCCATTGAGCCCAGGGACCGAGTCCCCCAGCGTCTACTCGCGAACAACTGGTGGCAATACCCCCACAAAGGGCTCCAGTGGTTGCATGGCCAATTTGATTGATGACGAGACAGGGACTGCCACCATATTTGCTTCTCAGCGAACTGCATATAGCTCGCCGACTCGATCTAACGGCTCAGCTACACTAGGCAGCCCTGTGCAGCACAGCGCGGACTGGCAAAAGTGGATGAGCTCCCAGATTGAAAGGATCGAAAAGGCAAGCCCAGGCAGACAGCATATTCGAGAGAATGCCCAGTTCGACGGCGATGAAGATGAGATCTTTATGGGAATGCTCAAGCGGGCTCCGGCGCCAATCCCAGAAACGGCTGGCGAGCCTTACCTACCAGAGGGAGAGAGATGCAGCGATTCCTTGCCACAAGCGGAACCCAAGCCTCTGGCTCAGAACAATTTTTCCAGGCCATTCAGTCGAGCCTCCAGCGTACGGGCCATTTTGTCGTCGCAAAATATACAGCCTCTTGAGCCAATGCAAACCCTACCAAATCCCTCGGGTACCGAGGATATGTCTCAGCCTTCTATTTCCGATGCTCCGCCTGTCCGCGATCCCAGTAAGCAGATGCCGTCGCCAGTTCGCATCCGATCATCGAACATGCTCGCGCCTCCAAAGTCTCCGACACCTCGCAGGGCTGGACTCGACTTACAGAAGCGAATGTGGACCCAGGAACAATACCGGCGGTATTCGGCTCGACGCCCAGTTGCAAATGGCAAGTCCAATTCATTCCGATCGATGCGGAGCTACCGCGATTCGCGTGGGATGAACAATGAAAACTCCCGACAACAGGATGAGCATGAAGACATGATGGACGATTATCACAAACTCCAGGACATTCATTCGACTATTTCCACCAAGCGTATGGTGGATATGTTCTTGGACAGTCGACGCAAGCAGATGGCAAGGGACCCATCTGGGAGCACCACTGTGGGCGAGGCGTTTATTTGATATTGTTTGTGGGGTTTGCTATTCTTGAACACTACTAGGGTTGGAGGAGTGGAAATGTTATGTTTTGCCCGAGGATATATATTCCTAGGGTCGTTCGTTTCCAACCCATCATGAACGTTGTCGAACTGACAACTTCACACATGTCTGTTATATCAGCGGGTCTGTAGGTAGTAGTGTAATAACAGATGATTATCTTTATCAAGATCTACTGGTGACAAGCAAAAAAGCACCTTTACGTGGCAAAAAAGAAAACAAAAAGAAACTCTCCCTCGGGGAATCGAACCCCGGTCTCCCGCGCTTATCGGTGTTAATGACAAGCGGAAATCATGACCACTAGACCAAGGAAGATGGGATGACCGAGTTACTGCTCGACCACTTGGTGCTGTTGATGTTGGGAACGGCAATTTTTGAAATAATGAAGCCTCGGCTGAGTATCCAAGATATACAACCAAACTTTCCTCCTTCGGTCCTCCCGTTGTGGTTTTTTATTGTTTCTTGTTGGGGTTTTTATTTTTATGACAGCTAAGATTAGATCAATTAAAAATAATTTGAACCGTTCAGAGTCAATGTACCCGCTGGCACAATTGCTCCATAGAATAGAAATTCCCTTATTGAGATAGCTTTTCATAACAGAGCTGGAACGAATTCATTGTAGACAATAAGATCGAAGTATACCCTCGCAGCACACTGTGCACAACTAGTTGGAAACGAGTGGACACAGATCATTATTCAAGTTGTCGTCACGTATATTAACGTGGGAGAGTAATCTCCCCTGGATATCACAATTTCCCGTCCACATATAGAGTACCATCCACCTAATCACCATTTTTGAGAATCTCAATCCATATGCCAAATTTTTTCAAAAGCCGTCATCTCAATTACTCGACATAATTCGCAGGGAACGCTCCCTGCACACCCCGCAACTCGCCTTCCCACCAGTCATCCGTGCTGTTCGTCTTCTGTATCACGCGAATCCGATCGCCCTCTCGGAAGACAAGATCTCCAGTGCCCTGCCCGTCAAAGTCGTACAAGGCCGTGACAAAGTTGACGGGTCGAGGCGGGGGTGGGGGTTTCCGTTTTTTGAGTGCCGCCATGGCAAAGGGCTCGGTTCCCGCGCTGGAAGTAGTGCTTGAGGTGGCCGGGCGGTGGAGTTGGAAATGATCAATGTTCGGGCCTGCGGGTGAGAATGTGACGCCCGTTGGTGGGGCGGCAGGTTGGAGGTATGGACTTGGTGTTGGGGCGACCGGAGGAGGAGGCATGTACGAGTCCCCTCCCGAGGGAAGTGGAGGCGTGCTCGACGAGCTGCCAACGGAAATAGGCGGGGTCATCATTGAGGAGCTTGGTGATGGGGACCGCATATCTGCTGCACTGGGCTTAGGTGCGAGCATTGGGGGTGGCACGCCGTATCGGGGTACGCTGTTACCGCTGCGGACGGATGAAGCCGAGGACATAGTGCTGATAGTACGACCGCCGATAGAGGGACGCTTGTTTTGAGCTTCGTGGGCTTGTGACAGGCGGAGAGCTTTGCCGTGGGAGAGGCAGCTTAGACTCTCGAAGTCGGCTTGGGCGGGCCTGTATGCGGATTCCCATTCTTGAACGACTTGTTCCATTGAGGGTGGTGGGTTGGGGAGCCCTTCATCTTGACAGTAGCCCGAGAGAACTGTGTAGTAGTGGGCCAACATGCGGTTCTGGATTTCGACCTGGGCCTGGAGTATAAATGGGGCTAGGGAGAAGAGAAGTGAGATCAGAGTGGGGAGGCGCTGGAGCAGGTCATGATCTGCTTGTTGGTAGACCTGGCATAGGGATTAGTGATTTTCCCAATTAGTGAGGTAGGTCGTTGGAAGGCCGTGTTTACCTCTTTTGCCATTGATAGATCTGCTTCGGCCTTGGCGAGATTGGCATTTTCCCGGTCGGTGCGTTTTGGTTTATGGATGAGGCCATCGACTTTGCTTTGGAAACGTTCAAAATCCGACTATAGACGTTGTGGTGTAAGTATTTATGATATAGTCTCAATGCCGAGTCATTATCGTGGGATCGAACCTTTTTATCATTTCGCTTTTTGATAGCCTTCTTCATTGGAGCCAGGTAGCTCTTCGCTTGCTCCGCGGGCTGGGACATGCGCAGCTCAACGACATTGAGCTCCTGTACAAGTTCACCGCGCAGCTCGTCATATTCGCGTCGGAGATTGTTCGTTCGTGAGAGGAGCGCAGGGGGAGTTTCCTCGGGGATATGGCGGGTTTCGGTCTCGGCTGAGCCAACGATAGGCGCATATAGTCCATCGAATTCATCGGCCAAGCGACTCTGGAAGGTTGCAATGGAGACCCAAGCATCGCGCCAGGCTTTTGTCGATTCGATAATCTGGATGGAGGCAGGAACGATTAGCTCTCGAGGAACGCGCGTCACCAAAAATTGGGGGAAATTGCGAAATGATGCCGCCTACCTTGGTAAAAAGGTTATCAGCATCTTCAAAGTCCTTTAAAAGGACGGCCACTTGACTGTTGTCGGCAGACTTTGTGGCGGTCATTCGACCGAAACGTCTCTGCATGCTCTGCATTCTGGATGAAGCTGACAGGTACAACTGGACTTGGACGGGAGAATAAAGTGACGACGCTTCGCTTTCAGAAACAGCTTGGGAATGTAACACCACACAGCCAACCGGGAAATAATAAGAACACGAGCTTCTGAGCTTACTGAGAGGAACGAGCCAATCTCAGCAGTGTGCAATACGAGCAAGAATGAGAGAAGAAGAAGAAGGTAAACAGGGCGACGAGACTCTGGCAAGGCTGAATTCCCCCCCTCTTGTTTCAGCCTCCTGCGGCTCTCCTCTCGCGGAGACCACGGCCCCCTCCAACCCCTCCACTATTTTTGGGGAGTCGGGTCGACTGCTTTTTTGCGAGGCTTAACCGTCCAGGGTATTTTGCCGATCGCTACCTCCATGGCTCTGGCTGCTGTTGCGTGCCGCTCCACTGTGAGCATGGACAAATCAGACTCCTGGCCCTGACCGGGTGCATATGGAGTGACCTCTTAAAAAGGGCCGTTAACGTGTGGGGGCTGGGGGCGAGGTAGATAGAATGAAAATGAGTCAACAGTTCTCATTGAGGATTCGGATTTCGAATTCGAAGTCTGGTTTGCTGTGCGACATGTTCCATCGCAAATCCAAGTGAGAATATTGCGAGAGATGTAGACCGGGGGAGGATGGAGAGGAAGTTTGTTTGCGGCCTGCTGTACGGAGTACGGAGTATACTTTGGGGGGGGGAACTGGCCTGAGGCGGCCGTGTCGATAACTTGATTGCGCTTATCGTCACTTTTGTTGCTTCTCGTCACTTCATCATATCCTGACTTCGACTCCACCCTACTGTCTCCATACCACATGGCCTAGCCTCCTTACTCTCCCAATGTGTGATTTCATGGTCGGCCTTTCCCCCGATCTATAATGACCGCGCCGGCATCCTCCACGCCTCGAGGCACAGCCCCGACCTCGTCCACGTCCGCGCCCGCGTCCTCCCCGCTCACCGCGTCGGTGATCAAGTTTCGCTGCCTCTACACACACGATCTACGCCGAAAGTCTAAACGCTGGCAGGATGGCTATCTCCGATACCACGCGTTTAACAAACGCGTTATGGTATACGATGAAACCGGGAATTACATCGGAGATCACCATTGGCGGTCCAATGACGAGGTACAGGACGGCGACGAAATGGAGCTGGATAAAGGGGCGTTGATCCAAGTTGGTGAGCGCATGGGAAGCACCCAGACGGATCTTACCAATCTGCTTGAGAAACGCAAGTCGACTCAGGGTTCCCCGCAGGCGAATGATCCCGCATCCCAGACACCGCGTGCCTCAGCACCTATCCGATCCTCAGGATCATCACAGCCGTTCCGCTCGTTGAATGAGCTATTAGGAATCAAGAAGACCCCGATTGGTCATTTGGTCTCACCGTATGAAGAACGACATCCCCCGACGCCGGCTGCAAATGTCCTTGAGTCGTCCGAACGAGCACCGAAACGACAAAAGGTTTCCTTGGTAGAGAAGGCGCCTGTGAACAAGCGGAATACTCAGTCGCAGGTTGTGGATCTGACAATTCAGGACGATGAGCCTCCGGTGACCAGAGCGCCAAACGTTGCCCAAGGGCGGACAACACCTCGTGCACACGGGGAAGCAGAACCGCCTAGGAATCACCTGGGACCGAAGAATCAAGCTTCATCGGTGGTTCGATCCCCAAATGTGGCAAAGGAATCAGATTCAGCGAGATCCGACATCTCCATATTCGCTCACCCTGTTTCCCCACCCCCGAATGCATCGAGAACCCAGCCTCCAAAGCCCGTGCCCCTTGTCGCCCCTAGCAACTCACGAAGTGAACAGAGCGAAGCCCGTAAAACCGCGAATACTGCGACCAAAGCAAAATCACGAGAAAGTCCACGAGAGACACCACGGCAAGCAGCACGGCCTCAACAAGGCTTGGGACAAAGAAAGCCAACTCTTCCAGAGGATATACCACAAAAAGGGACAGAGTCACCAAATCCAGTACGATCTGATCAACCGACATTTGCGAAACCAGCCTTGCCATCCTGGCTGGAATCATATAGGAGCCGACCTTCACGGCCAATGCCGCCTACAGCTGCCAAAGACGGACGGAGTGAACAGTCTGAAGATGGCAAAGTCGACAGTGGCGTCGTTCCCCCCACGGATAAGTCGACGCCCAACTTACCTAGAGGCCCGGTCAATACTCTGCGTATGTCGAGTGGGAAACCACGCCGGAAGTTGATGTACAGCGCATTGCTACCCGGCGATGCATCGCAGAGCTCAACGCCGGGGCTGTCCTCATCCTCGCCTGGGAGCCAAAGTCGATCGATACTCAAACCCGACGAGTCCCAGTCAGTACGTACTCAACAAATGCTGACAACCAGCTGCTAATTTCTCTCCTTCAGACCTGCTGCGGCTCGGCTCCGGGAGATTGAGTCTACGAGTGCAGAGTTCATGCCTTCTGACTCCACTCAATTCATTCTGGACGAGATGACAGCCCCATGCCCGGAGACCGATCTTGCACGAAAGACAAGTAATCCGGCCAGTATTCACCAAAATCCAACCCTGCAGAGAAAACTACCAACGAAGAGAGCTCTTGATGCGCCTTTCCGCAAATCCCTCTCAGACCCGACTGCCTTGACAAATGTCCAGACGCGACCGACATTGACCCGGAGTGCACTGAGTGCAGTTCCTGAGCAACAGGAGCATGCTGAAGCAGGTCCCTGGACGTCCGAGGCATTAGACTTGTTTGACTTTTGGCCACCTGGACGGCCGAAACCTAATTGCGCAGATTAGGGCAGGATCATGCTTCCTGCGTGTTGATCTGTGTTCCATCATTATACCCCCCCCCCCCCCCAATTGCAGATGATCCCCTTAGATGTACATTGTGATGTCGCGACCATGCATTTCTTAAAAGATGATACCCATTTAACCAAATACGACTGAATATTCCAACATTCCAACATTCCAACAGATCCAGGTGTTCGATGCATAGACCTCATTCAATATCTAAAATCCCGTACCTATCAATCTTAACCAACTACTTATGAACCACTTGATCCAACCACTCTCATCCAACCATTCTCAACCCACCGAACGAACTTAATCACCAACATCCTAGTTACTCTTCTTAACCAAAACCCCCGAAATATGCGGCAGCGCCGACCACCCCATCCACCTCTCAATAGCCACACTCTCCCACCCCCCATCCGCATCCGCAGCCCCCCTCAACGCCCCCTCAACATCGCGATCCAAACAACAATCCCCAACAAAAAAGCTCCACCCAAGCCGCTGATAGACCCCCTGCGCAATCCGTGCCGCAATAGACCCCTTCGCCGTCCGCCACGGATTAACAACATGTTCCATAACAAGTACCTTCCCACCGGGCCTAAGCAGCCCATAAAGCTCACGCATCGTCTGCTCCAGCTGCGGCACAGAACAGAGCACTCGCAAGCAGACAATGGTATCAAAGACCCCGTCCCCGTTGGCTTTATGGGAATCCGTTACGCCCGTGCCGGTTGCGTCGAGCGCGGGGACGAGCTCGGAGGATGCCACGCCGCAGGGGAGGATGTGGTATTTGGACCCGAGGCCTTCGGCGACTGCTTTGGCGTGAAGCACCTTGTGCAGGCCGGTGCAGGGTTCTGCGCCGTAGATGGCGCTTATCGACGGGGATTTGAGAAGGGGCATTTGAGAGCCCGTTCCCGGGCCGATGTCGAGTACGATGCCCGAGGCGGTTTTCAGGAGTGGCGGGATTAGAGCTGAGGGTTGGATTTGGGTAGGTCCGTTGCTGGGAGGGGTTGGTGGAGGTCGAGATGCTGGGAGGCGGGAGTTAGCAATGGCATATTGATGGATGTTGGGTATATGATTTCCAGGGGTGGTCTTGTTTTTGTGTGTATTTTCTTTTGTCTTTCATAGAGGGGATTGTGTTGTTTTACTATTCTTGGAGGGGAATGCTTACTAGTAAATGCAATCCAGAATCGGGAAAACGCTTCATCGCGAAGCTTTGCCGTCTGCGTGATGGGGGCGAGGATCTCGCCACGCTTGATAGCTTCGATACAGACTTGGATGTAGTCTATAATTGGGTCAGCTAGATTGCTTTGAAATGGAATGATAATCACATATGAGCAGCAAAGGGGGAACAAAGGCCACAGAAATCAAAGTACTTCATGCGGGGTATATCGGTATCTCAATGCACAATAATATGTGCGGCGGCGTATAGAAAACAAATTGCATGCGAGTAGTGGGATATATAAGAAAAGAAGCCCTGAATAAACAACGGACAAGGATACATGAAAGTCGAAGTACCTGAAAAAGGGAGAAGTCACAAGAAATTAGGACAGTCGAAGAGGATGGTAAATGGTAAGCAGTAACATCATGAACTCGAGATATCAAAATCCCCAAGTATAAAAACTACTTACGAGAAATAGCCATAAACAACAAGAGTGTAGGCTCAAATAAACCGAGCACACGCTCACGCAGTGGTGGTGGAGCATCGGACGACATTTCGCAAAACTGTCACTATCGCAATGAAAATTGGTATTGAGATATCTGACCCTCAAGCCTTGTAGAAGTAGAAAGAAAAGACGAAAATGGAGATGCGATCCACCGCGGGTGGGAAGTTAGGGCCAACGGTCCGAGTTGATAAGAGTCACATGATATTCGGGGCTGAAGTATAGACAGAGAAGACTAGGATCGAATGTGGCTAGTAGATGCGGCATTAAGAGGTAAGCACATCATAGTTAACTAACTAATGTGGATAGGATTCGTAATCAGCGGGTAGAAGTTTCATTACGGGTTCTTTCAGACATAGACTCCCATTCGATATTCTGATTTAGATGGCTCAGTACTATAATTCGGTTTGGAGAAGGGTCGACATCTATACCTTCCAGGCGGATGGCATAATACTAAGTGATCGGCACACTGAGACACATTGTAGACCAACTTCTTGATGTGTTTCACCTCGTAGCTCAATCTGTCCACGCAATGAACCAGACTCGATGGTAGATCCCGAGAGGGCAACATAGAAATGATCAGATACACGACCGAATACAATCATACTGAAGAAACGAAAAATATCCACAAAAAGAAAATGAAATATATTGTCAAATGACTAGTCAGGTTAGACTGGATGTAGCATGGCTGAAACTAAAATAAAGAAATGATCGAAATGACAGCACTGAGAATTGACGAAGGAAGGACGGTGGTAGGAGAGTGTGATAGAGTTTATTGACGCGAGTTGGATTGGAAAAGGAAAGAGGTGGTCGAGGTTGAAGTAGTAGGCATGTGTGCGTAGAAGAAAAAGAGCGGGTCCGGAGGTGGGAGAGGTAAGTAGAGAGAAGCTGGCTGGAAAGATTTCCGAGACCGGCATTTCCCGAGTCATCCAAAGTGGTGTGTCAAAAAAAGTGAACGGCCATAGTCCACTTTTCAATTAGAGCGCATTAAAACGATGCAGAAGCAAGTGTGACGAATGTGAAGATACTTGTCAGGCAAGGAGGAAGTAAAAGAGACTCGTGGGCAATTATACGAGTTAAGTGCAAGCCATCACCGTTTGAGGGCCTGCCCACAAACTCGATCGAAACGATTCCAATGCAACATGCAAAGCTTTTAGTGGTGGGAGTGGATGCGATCGACTCTCGGGCTGTACCGGCTGTTGCGCGACAGCGAACCAACGTCGTGTTTGCCATCACAGCAGGCGCGAACATTCTCGAGCCGATCTTCATCATCGTGATGGTGTGCGAGGTTCTCCATGCTAGGTTGATCGCGGATACTCTCGTCATGAAGACTAGCCGCACCATGGCGTCCTTTGAGACTGGCGATCGATCCGCGGATCGAGTTGTTCAGGATTGAGCTCAGACGGGACGAGGACCGCGGTTGAGTGTCTTCGGGAACTTGCAACGAAGAATTTGGTCCCGACGTGCTCAGAGCAGGAGATGCACGTCCTGGAGTTCCTCCGGTTGAACGCATGGACATGGCTGAGGTCGCGCGCTGTGGCTTGGGCGGCTGGCGAAGAGTGCGGCTGTTGTACGAAGATAAAGACATACGGGCAGCCTGGCGAGAGGAGGACCGGAAACCAGGGTTGAACTCGTCAATGTCATCCAGAGTCACGCTGTTGCTATCTTCGGCACTTTCGTTAACCTCCCGAAGGAGTAGATACGCCAATGCATTGTACCAAGTTTCGTGTCGCTGGCTTGTCGTGGCGGTGAAGCGGACTTTGCGGCCAGGGCTGACGACTTCTAAGCTTCGGCAGTGAAGACCCGGAGGATATGGGTTATCATCTACAATCACTCGCACAGCTTCGATAGGTACACTCTTCGTGCGCAGCTGAGACTTGCCCGCAGTCTGCGGGTCATGTTCACTCCAGTATAACGTGCGTGTATATGGATGAACCCAGAAGTAGCGCCGGTGACGTGTGGACGACATGTCGGAAGAACCAGTCTTGCGGGTGTATTTCCACAAGAATTCGCCAATCATGGTCTGAGTGATGGCTTGGATCATTCGGGGGTCGGTGTTAGCGCCATAGCCATGAGGCACCGGTCCAGCATAGGGATTCATGTTGAACCGCTCCTCGAGTTCGGACGCGAATGACGACACCGATGACCGCCTTGACATCTGGCTCTGGCTTCCTCTCCTCACGCGAGCCTGGGTGGAGACGGTCCGTGCGGATCCAGGTCCTGTGCTCTGGTCGTTTGGTGTGCGCGGGGCAGTGTGTACGTTCACACGGTAGGCCGAAGCGGGTGCTAGAGGAGGTCCCATTGTGCCGGGTGAAGGAGCAGGGGGAGGGATATCGATAGACCGCTTCTCGGCGGCCGCAATGGCCTCACGGTGGTCAGCTGGCAAGGGCGGGTGGACACTGAGAGCAGAAGTCTGGCTACTGGCCGTGTCAGGACGTCTCTGGCTGGACGCTCCAGATCTGGCAGACAATTGTGGTTGGAGGCGAGGCCGAAGCTTGGGGGTGGCGAAGGGAGATGCGGCGGCAGCAGCTCCAGCAGCTCCAGCAACGGCTCCCGCGGCGGCTCCAAGTGCGGCCATCTCCATTCCCTGCCTGCTGTCTGCAGAAGACACCGGCCGGGCAGAGTCCCGATCCATGAGAATCTGGTCGATTTGCTTTGCAGAGAGAATCGTCTGAGATCCCTGGTCCGAGCTGACGAAGCTGGGCTGCTGTCTGTCTGACTGAGGTAGCAAAGCATTGCCAGAAATGTCACTCAAGGCCAAACCGGTGCTTGTTCGACGCTCACTGGTATTGGTACCAGAAAGGTCACGAACTGGGTTGACAAGTCTATCTTGTTCATCTTCGTGGATGACAACGGCAGCCGCCGCGACCTTTGGCTCCTCCACCGGGTCTGTTTGAATTGAAAGGTCACTCATAGACGGAATGGTGCGTACCACCGACTGCACTGGCCGTGTTTCAACCGAGGGCAGGGTGAAGATGGAAGGCACTGGAAGAGGAGGGACCTCAACTACCCTAGGAATGACGGGCTCTGTGAAAGCGGGATTCAATAGAGAGATGGTCAGATCTGGGATAATTGGCTCCGGTACAGGCGCGGGAATGATGATCGGCTCTGGCGCAGGAGCAGGCTCAGCGTCGACCGGCTCTGTGACCGCAGGTTCAAGCAGAGATATAGACAAATCTGGGAGAATCGGTTCTGGTACAGGCGCCGGAATCACAATCGGCTCTGGTGCTGGAGCAGGCACCGCCTTCACCGGCTCCGTGAATGCTGGATCCAGATGAGAGATCGATAGATCTGGGAGGACTGGTTCTGGGATAGGCGCAGGAATCATGATCGGTTCTGGCGCAGGAGCAGGCTCAGCCCTTAATGGCTCCGTATGCTGCGAAGAAATAGCAGACACTGCCATTTCGGCCACAACGGGTTCCGGTTGAGGTTCAGACTCAGGAAGCTGGGCCTGGATGGGCTCGGTGAAATGGATGAAATGAGAAGACAAGGTCAACTCGGGAAGCTCCCGAACAGGCTCGATAGGAACCACCGGCTCCGGCTCAGAGATGATAGCCTGCACAGGCTCAGTTGACTGCGACTCGATCGACGAGAAGCTCATCTCCGGAATCTCAGGAGCAGGAAGCTCATGTTTCACGGGCTCCGTGAAACCACCAGGGAGGTAGGAAACGGCCAGGTGTGGCCAGCTAGGTGCAATGGGAAGAGTTTCTTGAGAAGAGATAGTGGCAATGCCCATCTCCGCTGGCTCGGCTTGGGTACTAGCCTCGACCAGCTGGGATTCCACAGCACGCTCGTCCCAGGCCATCTTTGGTGGCGTGGGAACATTGGCCAGGTGATCATTATCTCCAGTAACCGGCTTGAGTGGCGTCCACTGGGTACCTGAGCTGACCAGCTTGGGTGTCTCCTCGCCTTCCGCAGAGATCTCACGGTCGACGCTTCTCTGAGGCGTAGTTGGGGTCTCGGACAGGGCAGAGACAGCAGCTCCAGCGGCTCCAGCAACCGCGGCTCCCGCAACGGCAGCTCCGGCTACGGCAGCAACAGGAGTGCTGGGCTCCCATGGCTCAGTCATCATACCAGAATCAACCATGATGGGCTTGGGCAATGAGTCGAGCATGATCTCAGAAGGCCTGCGAGAGTCCGATGAAGGGTCCATGCGCGGCGTCGAGGCCTGGGAATTAAGATCTGCACCGTCTTCCTCTTCATCATCATCATCACCCCCTTCCAGCTCAGCGAGTTCCGCGAAGAGGCTCTGGCCCTCTCCAGCCACGGGCAGCGGTTCAAAGCTTGGCGCGGGGGAATTGCGAGAGCTAGATGGACGACTGCTAGACGCCATCGGGGCCTCTCCGGATGGGCGAATCCGCCGGAGAACACTTCGCTTTGACCTTACCCGACGGCCAGAGATGTGAGTTTGGCTGGGGGAGGGGAAACCGCTGTCTGTCTCATCCTCGTCGGATGTGGCAGACGCCGTGCTGTGGTAGGAGGTACGATCGCGGGCCTTGGCCATCATAAGAGACGGAACACGACGCGTGCGAGGAGTTGTCTGGAGATTGTTCTCGGTCTCTGTCAGATCCGCAGAGTCGTCGCTGCTGTCATCGGCCATGCTTTCAACGCCAGTCTGGAAAGCTTCACTCTCGGTTGCCGTTGCGCGTTCATTTGCAGTCTCAAATCCGTCCTCGGCTTCAGTGGCAGTCTGGTAGACATCACTAGGCTCATCGGGAGGGGACATAACTCCAGAACCGCTCCTAGCAGCTGAACTAATCGTGACGGGCCGAGTAGGACTGCCCTGGCCCGCATTGTCTTCCCAATCAGTATCATGGATCTCCAGCTCGACCGAAGACTTTTCCTTGCGGCCAGCGCCCAAAAGATCTGGGCGAGCCGGCTTGCGGAAAGAATTATCCTTGGTCTTCAGGCGCTTGGTAGAAGCGTTGGGAGCATTGGCCTCCCGGCGACGCTGTTCAACCTCATCGCGGGCTTCTTGCAGCATGCGCTTGAGCTCAATCTTCTCAGTCTTCTCGCGATGGATGGTGCTCTTAAGGTTCTGGATCATACGATGAGCATGACCAAGCGAGCTCTTGAGAGTCTCAGACTCCAGATGATTATGCCGAGGGGTGAACTTATTGGGAGACGCAGGGGGAGAGCTTTCGGGCGTAATTTGCTCTGCCTCTTCATCGTCCTCATCGTTGGGCATATCTCGTGATCCTTGAGATTCATACTGTCGGATTCGCATGGCAACCGCCTTTGCCAGCTCTTGGTTCTGGCCCGTCAGCTCCTCAAGCTTTTTCTGAAGCGCAAGCTTCTCTGCATCACCGGCAGTCAAGTTTCGACGTAGCAGATGAATTTCAGAGTCATTTGCCTTCTGTGTGATGGCTTGCTCCTCCAATAGCTTGGCATTGGCTTGCCTCAGCTCCTCCAATTCCCTTTCGACGGCGTTCTTTTCCGAGTTCACAGTGCCCAGGCTGCTGTTGAGTCTCTTCTCACGCTCCACAGCATCTTTGACAGCTGCCATGAGCTCGTGGGTTTGCGTCTCCAGAGCCCAATTCTCATCCTTGTAACGTTGCTCGCTGTCGTCGAGCGCACGGATGCGCTGAGAATAGCCTTCTGCTTCAATTTCCAACCGCGACTTCTCGAGGTTGACTGACTTGAGAGTCTCCTCTCGCTCAGCCAGAAGGGCCTGTAATTGACGAACTTGGGCAAGAAGAGAGGTCGAAATCTCGGTGGCGAACTCAATGTCGTGCACACGGCTGGCGGGTTGGTTGCGCTGCTTGCGGGAGGGAACGCTGACTTTGCTGGGAGAATTGGTTGCTTGGCTTGCAAAGAGAGCGGAACTGAGGGGAGACTGAAGACGAGGTGGTTAGATATGCACAGCGGAGGGAGCAATGTCGGCCATAGAATCGTTCGTAATTACCTTTTGATCGAACCCTGGAGTACCCGGTTGAGGGTCCTCCGAGCCACCTGCCAACCGCTTCGGAGCTAAAAAGGCACGAGCGATTTCCCGACCAATCTCATTATACTCCTGTTCGAGGTCGGCAAGTCGCTGTCGCAGTTCCGGTCCCATTTCCCCCTCATCTTGCTGCTGCTCTACTTCCTTCAGCTGTTCCGTCAGTTCTCGCTGCTGCTCGATGAGAGCCGTTCCCAACTTGGACGCTTCCTCCAATCGACGCTCGGTCTCCGCCAGATGAGCCTCAAGGGCCCGTTTGGCCTGTGCAGGCGAAGAAGCATTGAGACTGAAGAGTTGCGTGTCGAATGACGAATACCGGTGGGATTCACGAGGGGCAGCGGGCTGGCCCGAGGTCGAGACGAACGGATCCTCCATCATGGCTGTCAGAGAGCTATTCCCGTGGGCGTGGGGTGCTGTCATCCTCCGAGGGTGCGGTGCCTCAGTCGGCTTCTGGATCCCCTAATGTGTGAGATCACAGTTGCCGATGAGATGTGAACGAGACTCGCGCGCGTGTCAATTTTTCCCTTTTTTAGAACTGACCCGTATTCGGTTCACGCGAGCATCGTTTGAGTCACCGTGCCTGGGAGAATGAACTTCGCGTGCGGTTCGCGCTGTGTCTGGGCGGATGATCGAGCCGGCCAGCGACCACGGATTGACGATATTACCACGTGCGAAAAAAGGATGCGATACGGGGGTAGGGGCAAGGCGAGAGCGGGTGTCGCGAGCAGCAAAGTTGGAAGGAAGAGGGGACTAGGAACAACAAACACGATTGCTCAAGGATAAGCGAATCAGTAAGATCCCGAGCCGGCGAGATCCTTGACCAGGTACGCGCGCGTTGGTGAGTGTGTGATGCAGCCAACCATAACACTTGGCGATCGGCAACAGATATCACCCAACCGAATGGATGTCTCTACTCGGATTAGGTGGCCCTGATGAATCAACAAAAGAAAAATGAGAAAAAGAAAACAAATTCAAGATGACGAAAGAGAAGGAAACGAGACAAGAGAGGGTAGAGAACGTGGGTATGGTGATGGGGGAGGGGAGGGCAATGGGCGACTCGGGGCGGGGAGAAAAGAGAAGAGAGTCGTCGAGCAGCGGGAGTGGCAGATTGGCACCAGCGTTTGAGATCACCGTGGGGAGATCAAGGAGCGGAGGGGGAGCGTCTACGATCGATAGGGAAGTAGGGTGGAATGATTATTGAATGCCATCTGCACGTCTGAGACTTTTTGCACCTCTGCCTACTGTCCCTAGTTTACTTTTCAGCTACACCATAGAATTCAGCGACAATTGGACGGAGTACATGTTATCAATCAGAAAAACGGACAGGAGACTAACGGCTGTACCGGCGATGATTATTCGATAGTGTTGTTGTTTTCTTTTCCCAACGCGTCGGGCAGTCTGTTTGCACTGTTTGCATGCCACACTGACAGCGTCTGCTTAGTCAGGGCAGCTTAGTCAATCTCCGCGGATTTCGAGCAGCTTCCGATAGTGATGATTAATGAGATTCAAGTCCAAAGACCTTCAAACTACCTTTTATCCTCTCACAATCTCACTACTCAAGACATTTCCTTGCCACTCACAATGGCAGATGGGACTGAAACCTCAGACGTTGTCCCTCAGTTTGGCTTCAAGAAACGCGCTAAAGGCAAGGCCAACTTTCGCAAGAAGCCCGCAACACCGCCACCAGCCTCAGACTCCGGTTCCGACTTCACATCATCCGACGACGAAGAGGGTAGGCGCATCAAGAGGCGACGCAAGAATGTGGCAGTGACGGCCTCATCCGCTGCAAATGTCACCAGGAGAGACCCTGCCGCCGATCAACCTATGAGCACTGGCCCGGTGCCTCTATCTACGAGCAACGATGCCACAAAATCAGCCAACTGGTACGATGAGGATCTGAGTGCGAAGAACCTGCTGGGGTCAACCAGAGCTCATGCGTCTACGGACACCGCGCCAGACGGTACCTACAAAGGCGCGGCCAACTATTCATCCTTCATTCAGAAGAACCCAGATGCGCCCACTAAGCAGTTTGGTCCCATCAAAGCGCCTACAAATGTTCGAACCGTGACGGTGATGGATTTTGCCCCCGATGTCTGCAAGGACTGGAAGCAAACCGGGTGGTGTGGATTCGGTATGTTCCTGCACAACACTAAACTTAAGAATCATGAGAAGACCCGAGACTAACATAAATTAGGTGATTCCTGTAAATTCTTACACGCCCGTGAGGACTATAAACAAGGCTGGGAACTGGATCGGGACTGGGAAATCGGGACCAACGGCAAAAAGTTGAGTGGCCGGGTGGTATCGCAGCGGAAAGGCGCTGGAAAGACTGCCGAGGACGACGAGGACGAGGATGACGACGAGCTGCTGGACAGCATCCCGTTTGCCTGCATTATCTGTCGGAAACCATATCAGAACCCCATCATCACCAAGTGTGGGCACTACTTTTGCGAATCCTGCGCGCTGCAACGGTATCGGAAGAATCCATCTTGTGCGGCGTGCGGGGCGGGCACTGGTGGTGTGTTTAATACCGCGAAGAAACTGAATGCTTTGCTGGAGAAGAAGCGGGAGAAGGCGCGGAGAGAGCGTGAAAAGGCTATTGAGGAGGGCGAGGAGGTCAGTGAGGAAGAGCAGCATGAGGGCAGTGATTAGGATTATTGGCGGTCCGAGGCAAGCTGCAGCTGGACTGCGCGATCCGTCCTGGACGTCTTTATGTGACAAACTTCATCGAACACTATATTCTGAGATCACCGTGTTTTACCGAGGCAACCCTGAATAATACTAGAAAAAACACTAATATATCCACTGCCCCGTCCAGGAGTAGTTGATGAAGCTAAGATGTGACATATATTTAGCATCCGTCGATCCTCAGGGTCCCAAATAAGTCGTAATACCAATTACGAACGCCAAAGTAAGAAATTAAATCCAGCATTCAAGGGTTCTTATTCCAATATCTACTACGGGTTGGCGACGGTGACTGCACGTCTATTTGAGATGGTCATTCGTGGCTGCAGGTGACCCGTTTACTGTGAGCCCGGGCCTCAACTCCGCATCCACCTCGACCTCGACCTCCTACCATCACCAACACCGATGAAACTTCTCGGAACAAGACAGTTTGAACTGATAAAACCTATCCCCGCATTGATCTTATCTCTCGAGCCCCGATACCCGGAAACCTTGCGGATTGTCACAATCCGGCCAAGAATGACACGCGGCCAGTGCGATTTGAGGTGGCTCGGTTATGGTTAAGCTCCGCCAATGGTATTGTTCGCCCTGGCCTTGTGCATGGATATCAACTTCCTACGGAAGAGCGTTCACTTCGCGCCCCCAACGTCAACAGGCGCCGATGCATTCAAATAATTCGAATCTTGAATGTGGAGTACCATACCTGGTGTTTATTCCGGCAGAAGGGACTGACGCATGTCTACGATCGGCACTCAAGCCGCGGAACCCCATTCTACAACTCTCAAGGCCTGGAGCTGATTTTGAGAGGCCCATGATGAACAAGGTTCGGGTCCGGGTCGACAACCCAAAATTTACTGCCCCTCTCGTGGCGTTTTCAATATCCTCTCAACTCTCGTGATTGGCGATTCACGAAGTTCAACAAGCGTCCACGCACATACAGTCACACACCAAACTCATTGCGATGCTGATCAGGTCTTGGTCAGTGGGTCGATTCGGTCATAGCCACATTTCCATCGGGTGGGACCATGGAGGCCGACGAGAATCCGACAAGATCGGGTTGAACAATGGCCAGCATTCATCGGAAAAAGGTCAACTCCGAGGAGCCTCACCTGAGTCGTTGTTGCAGTCAAGATTGTGTCTGCCTACTTTGCAACCAGGACGTGCTAATGTTAAACAGGCAGATACTGCCGACGCTAATTTGAGTTTAGGGGTAATGAAGCACGCCCCACATGGGATACGAGACTCGCCAATAACTTGGTGGAGAACGGACGTGCTCCGCATGTCCTGGCGTTTCCTTCGCACGTCGGCCGCACCTTTTTTCCAGACGGGCCCTTTTTCTCAATTCTCTCAACTCTCCCAAACTGTTAAACGCCACGTGCGAGCCATGGTACTCATCACTCGCCGGTTGCCACAGTGCGTCAAACTTGCACACTGTGATCCAAGGTAGTCCGGGCGAAGTTGGCTGCAATGAATACTAACGCAAAACAGGCAATCTGGTCGATGCCACTCTCTTGCAGCTGCTCAAGCAGAAACGAAGAGTATACTTCGGTCAGCACGATCAGGGGTCGCGGGAGGCGCGAAACTGGCCCCAAGCCAAGCTTTTTGCAGCCCAGGGCCAAAGCGACCCGCTTAAAGACTAAAGTTTCTCTTTGCCCCGGTGTCGCTGCCCTGTGCCCCTCTTGTCCCCTGAACCCGCCTCCTCAGTGGCCAATGATGAGCCCATAGCATGACATTCTAAGTTCAATGCGGTTTAGACTGCTTGGCTGATACCAATGGCGAAGAAGGGTGTGGGAAGCATGGCCCTGGTCCCCTTGGCTTTCCAACCGTTTCGTTCGCTTTTCCCCCTCAACGGAGTGGACTAGACCGAGACCGTACTGGAAGAAGTATGTAGTTACCTAGCGGCTCTCTAGCCTGCTTACTCTGCTGGTCCGTTCCTTTTCAACACTCTATTGTTCGGTCAACCATTATCCCTGAGCCATTGTTTCCCCACTGCGATTCCTTCTCTGTTAAAGGCGCCACACACTCTCTCCTTTGCTCCAGCGTGACTCTTTTCCCTTTTCCCTCCTTTTTCTCGTCCTCGAAATAGGAGATTTGCACCTTCCTTTCCTCCATCCGTCATCTTACCTCTCAACGCTCTACGCTGTCCAGTTCGCATCGTCGATCAATGGCTCAGTCCCTTCAACGGTGAACTTGGCCCGCTCGGAGCTCCGCTCAAGGGTCTCCTCGTGAACATTCTCTGAATACGATCTCGTAATCACGATGAAGGGCGGTGTGCGTTTCGCACTCTGCGCTTCATTACTCCTAATCTTCTCCTTGTACTTGTTGGAGGCACATCTCAAAGATATCTTTAGCCAGTATCGCGCCGGCGCATACCTAATTGATTGGATCAACCGAAATGGAGCCGCTCAGCTTTCCACCGTCGGCAATGTCCCCGTTCCAGGAGACAAGGTGATTGTCATGGCTAAGCTACAAGAAGAGCCTACCGACTGGGTACAAGAGCAGCTACCAGAGTATGTCTATCCTCTCTAATGAGCATCTCACCTTGGGTGAGGTGTTGATTGGGTTACTAACGTTGTTCTCCATAAACAGCTGGCAGCGTGCTATCTACATAGTCAACCCCTCTGAAGATGCCCGTTCCGATCCCCAAATCCTCACGACACCTCTGAACAAAGGACACGAATCTATGGCCTACTTGACGTACGTAATCGACCACTACGACGTTCTCCCATCAATGGTCGTCTTCCTCCATGCCCACCGCGCGGGGTTCCTCATGGCATGGCACAACGACGCCCCACTCCACGACAACGTCAATGCAATGCGCATGCTCCAGACCAACTTCGTCCAGGAAAACGGCTACGTTAATCTCCGCTGCAATTGGAACCCCGGCTGCAAGGAAAGCCACCGCTTCAATCAGCATGTCACCGAGCAGGTCTGGTGGGATATTTTCGAGGGAACGAGCACGCCGCCATTGAACGCTTCGTCACCGTATGAGCAGGAATTTGCTGGGCAACGATATATGCGCAAGCCGGAGCAGATCGGTGCGGCGTGTTGTGCGCAGTTTGCGGTTTCGCGAGGCCAGGTGCTGAAGCGACCCCGTGAGGACTATGTCAAGTTCCGGCAGTGGATTATCGATACCGAATTGAATGATGCCATGTCAGGACGAGTGATGGAGTTTTTGTGGCATGTCATTTTTGGCATGGAAGCCGTTTACTGTCCCGATGAGGAGCTTTGCTATTGTCAGGTCTATGGGAAATGCTGAAACCTGGAAAAGCGAACCACTTTTATATGAGAGTGCCCACCTCCCTCGGTTCCTCCGTGGCTCGCACCTTGATTTCCGCCACTGCATATTTGCCAATGTTTTTTTTTTTTTCGATACCCCCTCGCCATGAGCTGAGCTGAGCTCTTTTTTTCGTCATTTTGCCTCATGCCGCTGCACGAAGCCGCTGAGAGCCTGGAGTTTTGAGATGATTTACCTGGGTGATTAGACCTCATTGCAATCCGGCGCTGGCGAGAGCGATTTCTTGCCGCTGTACATTTTGATTGCAACATCTTGTTGCAGATTCTTTGGACTTGAAGTCTCTGGAATGTTTATAGACCCCATATTTATTTGTCAATAACTAATAGAAGATCTGTCGATTGCATTATGCTTCACCTCGAAACAAGAGGCCGTCTTCCTGAACATGCAGGGCCTCCAATCTTCCACGGACCCAACATTCGACCCGCCACTTTCATTCTCAAGAAACCGTTTTGATACACCGCTTGAGATAATCCTCCACCCGCGCAACATCACTAAGACGAGCGAAAACCCCGACATACCCATCAGGCCGGACCACAGCCAAAGAGCTCCGTGCAGGATCCACACCATGTATCGCATAGGTGTCCTCCAAAAAGCGGACCCATGGAAGCGCATCTCCGCTCGCTGCTTGATGGAGACGGCAACACCGTCCCACTCAGACTCCCGGTGAAGCTCTGGATGTAAGATGATCAACACTCAATAACCGAAGTAGGGAAATTGGGCATGATACGATCGATATCGCCCAGTGTTTGTGCAGAAATGCTTTGTCGATCAAGAAGGTCAGTCGATGCTAGACATAGAATGCGGAATCGGCCCGTTAAGGGGGTATCTATAACCTCGTCAATCATTATCATCTACATGGAAAAACGAAAAAAAATGAAACTCTCTTACCGCTGCGCTCTGTCAGCAATGCGCGTGGGACATGTATGGCTGCCTCGGCTCAGACACTCATGTTGTCGACGGTTGTGCAATTAAAGATGCATGAACAAGACGGCGGCTCGCGTTGAGAAAACGAGCCCATTCGGTGACGGGGGTGCAAGCTTCTAAGCTCGGGCATTGGCCGTCTCGGCTGATCGCTTGCTCTCAAAGGTCGAGATCGGCGTAGAGGGAGATAAAGATCGAGTGCCAGGGTACCGGGCAAGCAGAACGGGGTTTGGTTCGATGCATAGTATGTTTGCCACCACTCTATCAAAATTTTGAAATTTCGTGGCAGATAAAGGGATCGAATTCCTTGGATTGTTTGGCGTCATGAGGCGGGTGTTGATAATTTCAAGGACTCCCTCCTATGCCGTGAAACGAGATCTTAGCCCTGTGCTCGTTATGGATCTGATGTGCGGGATAGTCGAGTGTAAGCGGAACTTTGGGGGATAGTTTCCATAGACTGTCGATGGAGACCCGCCCATTTTGAAGCTGTTGGCGCGGCAATTGGGGCACTGGGCGATCGAAATCATGCGGGGTGAGCTGGAGAAGTTCAACTATCAAGATACAGGCTCGATATGACCCAATGGCGGCCTAGGATGTCGAGTAAAGATATCGAAAAGTCGAGATCTTCTCCTGGAGATTGCGCTCGAGTCGTACCTCAGGAATTGACCGGCGTGTGCTTCGATGACGACTCGGCTGACTTGGACTTTGGAGATGGAAAGCTAGATGTTGGTGTTTTGATGATGCAATCAAAGTTCATGATTGAGTGGATTACAAGCTACAATACCAGAACAACGCTCCCTCTAGGGTCTCACTTGCTCTCGAAGAATTGCTCCACTCGGTCGACGAGGTCGGCTTTCTTACCAGCCGCGGTCCGGCCATGGGCGGTAAGAAACTCTTTCAGAACAGGCAAAGTGAGCTTCGACACCGTTCCCTTTTCATAGCATCGCTTCACCTCCTCGTCGACACCTCCAGCACCGCCTTCGGTCTTCACCCGCTTGGGTGCGGGCCCCCCTGCACTGTCCGCACTGTCCTTCGGACCTCTCTTAACCAATGTTGATTTTGTAGCGGCAGTACCACCGAAAATCGTCTCGAAAGCGGCATCAAGTTGATCAGACCATGCAAGAACATAGTCGCCAGCGCGCTGGATATCAATGAGAACCAAACTATTGGAAGGGTATATCTCTTCCTCAGAAGGACTCACCTTATCGATTTGCCGGTACTTGGGTATAGTCTTGTCCTCTGGCTCTCCTGGGTGATCCTCGTCCAGAGCCAGTGCCTGTAGAATGCGGTAATGCCATTGAAGCGCTACGTTTTTGTGAGTGAATGACGGGCAAACGGAGTATAGTAGAGAGAGCCTCACCTGGATTTGGATATTTCAGTGGATCATAGATACCCTTTGGAAGCTGCAGTTGTCCAATAATTTCGCGCATTGCGTCGGTCAAAGCGTCTGGGGATACGTTTACAGTGGACTCTGGATTCTGTCGCACATCATCTGCGAAGGGAAGGGGAATGATCCATATGCCCGGTGGGACCTTCTGCACACCATTCTCATCGATTTTCTCCTCGCCGGCAACCATAGCTGCTACCACTGGTGCGGCATTCTTGCGAGGGATGAACCATACCAAGGCCATTTTCTGGGCCTTGAGAAGTTTCTGCTGCAGTGCCGAAAACACACGCGTGGAGCCGACATAATCTTCTTCAGAAGGATAAATGAAGGAAGGATGTTTGACATTAGCCCAGATTGGCAAGGAGGACAAGGGCTTGAACCCGATGATGCGGATTACGGGGTCCCCAAAGTGTCTCAAGGCTTGCAGTTCTTCGGGAGTGAACGCGACCTGCTCACCTCCAAATTTGTAAGCCTTGCGGATTTCCGACTTTTCCACCGTCTGAGCCGTATCATCGGCCATTTGAGTGGTAATGCCTTTAACAATCTGCGGCGTCTCTCCCCCGAGCCAGACATAGCAACTGCGTGCCGGCTCTTGCCGCTTCAGCAAAAGGTATCCGTTGACAGAGATCTTGAAGTTGGGTCCAATCTCCAGAGGAACATTGGAGAAAAGCGACCGTCTCGGCACAGATCTGGAATTGATGCTTGACAAAAGAGAGTTGAGCAATGAAATACCGTCCCCTTTGGCAGTCGAAGTGTTGGTGTCTGGCTGCAGATATGCGGGGGCCTCCCCGTCACTTGGTGAGGCTTTGTAGATGATGTCCTGCACCGAGTTAGCTGGGTCTCTCCTGAATTTCCTTAGTCCAGTGACATACGTCGTAGAAATTGGATGTATCGAATTCGTGATCTGGACGGGAGATTGGGAATAGCTCGATGTTTACACCTAGATCATACAGGTCCCTGGCACGGACTGTGGCTGCAGACCTGAGCGACTTGCTATCTCCATGTGGATTGTCATCATCAGTGACGATGAACAGGCGTCTCGAGAGGAAGTTCGGTGCCTTAGAAGTGAAAATCTGGTTGGCACAAAAGAGCACGTTCGCCATGGAGACACGCTCCTTCGATGGAACCAAGACCTTCCGAGCTTCCTTTTCGTCCTCTGCGAGGGCTCGCAATTCCTTTACTTCCTGGGCTGACGGGATATCGAGATCGGTAAAGAGGTGACAATGAGGGTATGAAACGTCACCCCCACGTTCTCCATCTTCATCGTAGAACTTGGAAGATTCAGTGCCGTAGAGCAAGACTCCGATCATGTCATGGGGATTTGATATGATGCGCTGCTGCATCAAATGATATGCACACTTGAGGGCTGCAGATGCAGGTGATTCCTGGCCTGGTTTCTTGGGGTCCCCAGATAGACGGGGCTCTAGCATCGAGCTGCTCACATCAATTGCAAAGAGCACGGCATCCTTGACGGCTCGAAAGCTCTAGGTGACCAACTGGGTCAGAATGCGGATCTTTATCTCCGATAAAGGTACATGATATAGTTGATAGTTACTTACCGTCTGGTCAACCTCTTCCTCCTCAATATTGTCCTCATCTCGTGTGTAACTATCGTCGGCCATCTTGCTCTCTCACGCTCAGAAATATTTGAAGCGTTGTTGAGTGAATGAGAGAAAAATTGTAGGACCAGCCTTTGCGTCATCGCGGAACTGTTGCCTGAGACGCGATTTACGCGGGGGAAACGCGAAGGTCATGTGACCGTCTGCCTGATCATGCTGACTCCCAGCGGGGTGGTGATTGGCTAATCGGCCGATTGGCGGCGGGTCCGCTTAAAGCTTCCCGAGGCCGACTTGGTCAGTGGCTTGGAATCGCATTTGCCATTCTGTTCACATTTCCCTGCTATCCTAACACCCAGTTGACACGGAGACTCAACAGGACTGGACCGACTTGACAGTGTGCAGTGTCAACCCCAGGCTTTTCATCCCAGCCATGTCATTCCGCAGTCCCTTCGCAATTTCCCGGCGGGTATGGGCCAATGCCGCGACCTCCGCCATGCGGCCAGTGCCTCGCAATTGTCTGGCCTTTGGCGGCAACCAGAGATACGGTATGGCGACGGCGGTACCACCAGTCACGCAGGACGCGGCAGGTTCGAAGGGTCCTACTGCGATGGTTTTCCTGAACATGGGTGGTCCATCGACGACGGCCGAGGTGGAGGATTTCCTCGGCAGGCTATTTGTAAGTCCAAAGGAACCTGCATGCGAGCTTTTTGTTTTCCCTGTGTAGACGATGGGTTTACTGACAACATACATTGCTATCGCTACAGGCTGATGCCGATCTTATTCCATTGGGACGATTCCAAACATACCTCGGACCTCTTATCGCGCGCCGGCGGACCCCAAAGATTCAGAAGCAGTACGCAGAGATCGGTGGTGGTTCACCAATCCGGAAGTGGTCCGAGTATCAATGCGAGGAAATGTGCAAGCTGTTGGATAAAATGTCTCCGGAAACCGCGCCCCACAAGCCCTACGTTGCTTTCCGTTACGCTGCTCCCTTGACCGAGACTATGTATAACCAGATGTTGGCCGATGGCTTTGGAAATGGCAAGGGAGGTCGCGCGGTGGCATTTACGCAGTACCCTCAGTACTCCTGCTCT